CCAGGACAGGACAAGACAAGACAGACAGACAGACAGACAGACAGACAGACAGCAACCTTGGCAGATGCAGTAGATCCAACCCAACCCCAGACAGACAATACAAAACTCTCTCGTACCCCCTCCGCTTCCCGCCCTCCTCCATACCACTTACACACCCAACCACACCCACCACTCATATTTTGCTTGCTTCTACACCAATTCGCTCGTCAGATATTGACGACGTCATACTTTTCCTTGTAATACGCGAGCAGCCACAATAACAACAATCTCCCTTCTCGCTTTCCCTCCCACCCCATCCCTTCCCTCTTCTTTTTGATACCCAATCCCACCGACACCGACCTACCATCACTATGTCTACCCAAGTTAACAGACCAACCGACTTGAAGCAAAAGGATGCTGATGTCAATCGCAAGCTTCAATTCTATGGCATTGCTTCTGGTAAGCTTGCTGGCTTCACTTGCCTCCAAACAAAGCTAACAACCTCACCCAGCATTCCAAGCTGGCAAAGTCCCATCCAACGAGCAAATCGACATCGCACTAAACAGTTTTCTGGCCTCCAAAGCTCTCTCACACCCATCTCCAGCGCTCTCCACTGAAGGAAAAGCTCTCGTTGCCGACGTCCGCGATGTCGTCTCGCAGGCGAAATACCTGTTGTTGACCAAGAACGAAGGCAACCTGTTGCAGGACTTCATCTGGCAGAGCCAGAAGGTCGATGGTAGTAATTCAAGGCTTCCGGGTGCGCCTGTTGGTGCTGAGCAGGCCAAGCAGCATGGCAATGAGGCCTTGGAGGGCCTGAGGACGCTTGGGACGCTTATTATCACCAATGGCCAGTTCCGAAAGCTTCGTAAGTTTCGCGACCATCTTGGACTTTGAGCGCCTTCTAACGTGTACATAGTGAACGATGCTACTATCTTGATCCGCGATATTGCTGGGGATGCTGCCCAGAAGGCTGCCAACAGTGTGAACCCTAGTGAGGATCAATTGTCGCAGATCGACAAACCAGCTGATGACAATGTCTGGCATGATAAGCCTAATATTTCCACCGGAGGCCTAAAGAACCAGATCAAGTCTGCAGTCCCTGTCGGCAAGAAGGATTTGTGAGCTTACCACATTATAATTGTACAACTCATACTGATTCGTAGCAGGCAAGACGCTGCTGGCGATGCTAGCCAAAGTGCTCACCCAGATGGCTCCAGAGACCCTGCAGATGTCGCTAGTACGGCTGGTGAGCAATCATCATATGACGCCAAATCAGGTGCTCAAGCTGGAGCTTTCTCCGGCGCATCTACACTCAAGGATCGTGCCAACCAGAACATCTCCGATGAAGACAAACAGAAGGTCAAGGATAAGTCTGCCGAGCAAAAGGAGCGTACTAGGAATTATCTCTCCAGCAAGATGCCCCAAGAGCGTCGCGAGCAGACCATCTGGCGTCTTAAGAAACTCGTTGTCGAGATCCAAGGTCACCCGGATTGTAAGTGAGGAATTCTACCAACCAAGTACACGTGCTAATCCCATATAGACCAGCAAGCAATCAACACCCTTCTTAATCTGGCAGAGCAATACGCAGGTCATGCAAACACAATTGGTGCACACTCAACTGGCACAGTCAAAGATGCTCACACCGACGACTCGCTTCAGCGCGCGGAAGCAGATTTAAAGGTATTTCCACAATTTGTACATGCAAGCAAGCCCATGCTGACTAGTTGCAAGACACTCATTGAGAGATTCGCCAATGGCACTTCTACCAATGATCTTTTCGAGGCTATCAACAATATCTACCGTGTAAGTTGCTATGAAAGGAGATATCCCAGCACGTTTAGGCAATACTGACATCTGCATAGGATGCCGACAAGGACCCAGAATTGAAGAACTGGTTCAAGAGTGTTGACAAGTACATCAGAAAGGTTTTGAAGCAGCAGGGTTACATCATGGAAGACTCCGCCACCGAAGAGTGGAATGCGCTCTATGACCGTGGAAACTTCCTCCTCCGGGACCGTTACCGCAACCACACGGACCGCATTGTCGACGAGACTAAGTTTCTTGCAGATCAATTTGAGAGGGACACTCAAAACAAAAAGTTCGGCGAATCTGTGCAAAAGTTGTTCACCGATCTCGGCAATGATGAAAATGGAAAGCCCACTTTCAAACCTCACTTGATCAAGGATCTCACCGAGGTCATCCTTCCTGCTGCCTTTGAGAGCATCCAATATGTGCCCATCCCCAGAATGGAGTTCAGTGATCCTCAGTTTGATGCTGTCATTGAGAACTTGGTCATCGAGAGTGACAACCTCATGCCAAACATCTTCGAATTCGCAACTGGTAAGCAGCTACTACGTTTGATATTCTGAACTTTACTAATTCAAAAACAGACAACTATTTCCGCTACGGTCGTAAGAAGATCGCCAATAAGAACCACAACGCAATCACCTTGTCTGTGTCTGGCATTCAGATGGATCTAAGAGACGTTGCATACTACATCAAGAGAAAGCAAGGCAGCCCCAAGTTGACCGACCAAGGTGTCGCAGACATCTTCCTTGGTGGTTCTGGATTCAGCTTCAAGATCAAGGCTTCGACTGCCGAGAAGTCTGACAAGCAAAACTTCTTCAAGATCGACAAAGTTGATGTTGATGTTAAGAACTTCAACATTAAGCTCAAGCAGTCCAAGTACAAGCTCATCTTTGGCTTGTTCAAGTCTGTTATGTTGAAGTTTATGCGTCCCGCTCTTCAAAAGGTTCTCGAGAAGGTTATCAAGGACAAAGCACATGAGCTTGATAGCATCCTTTACAAGGTCAAGATCGAGGCAGACCGTGCTTTAGAACAGGTTAGTATTTCCGTAAGTCCATGAAAGTTCCAAAGCTGACGAGAAATATAGGCCAAGAATAACCCCGAGGAAGCCCAGAATATCTACCAAAGATACGTCAACGCAGCCCAGAAGCAGTTTATGCAAGGAAAACAGAAGGCCGATGAAGTCGCATCGAATACCAAGGTCAACGTGGCTATGACCCAACATGACTCCATCTTCCCCAACATCAAGTTGCCAGGCGGAATTTCCTCCAAGGCTACTGAATGGAAGGAGATGGGCTTGAAGGGCTCCACTTGGGAGTCACCCGTCTTCAAGCTCGGCTCCGGATCTATCTCAAATGACATTCCCCATGCTCCTCAGGTCCACAGAAAGGACCATGCCGTGACTGAGGGCGGTGTCCGTGGACCCCAAAACGTTGGTAACACCAGTGGTATTACTACCGGTGGCTCCAGTGGTCCTGCTTCTGGTACTACCGGTATCTCTAGTGGCACTACTTCTGATACTACCGGGATTTCCAGCGCTTATAGTTCTGGTACTGCCGGTACCTCCAACGGCAATGGTCACGCCTTCAGTAACCAGGTCGACCAAGCTTTCGGTGCAGAGAGAACCCCAACTGCTCTTCACGGAAACGGAACCAACGGTTCTTCCAATGGCAAGAACGTGACCGGTACTACCCTCGGTGCTAACAACCCTGTCATCACGGGCTCTGTCTAAATGTCTTGACCCACCAAACCCAACAGTCTTTACTCTATCTTGCATTTCGGAATCGTTTGACTTTGATGATACCATGACGCGGATATTATATCACGGTGCATACACGATAATACAGGATCAGTTGTAATGGGAGGGGAAGATGGTCTCTTTTGTCGATTGCGTGCTTTTTTTTGCCTTGCGAGTACCCTGTGCCATTAGTCTTTTGATTATCAAAATTGGTGATGAGGAGTGGAAGAGGGATGATGACAACATTCGTACTAGACGAACAATGAGTTTTTCTTAAAATTGTCTGTACATAGATAACAGCGTTAGTAATAAAAGCCAATAGCTATAGCGAACAAATGTCATTTTCGCCGGTGCTTTGATTATGAAGTATACCATGCATTTATATCCCATCAGTCTTTATCTTGAAGAACTTAAAAGTTACCTCAAGCACGACCTCTTTAATGGACTCTAGCGTTTATCGAGATGCGCGAATACACTCTTTTGCAGCGTGCAGCGTATATTTCATCAACCGTCCTTTATAAGAAAAGCAGTGAAATGCCATAGCAATGAAAATTGACGTGGGATCGGAAAGCTATATATCAAGCAGTTTATATTTTCCAAGTTAACGTTTTATTATCATTGCTAAGTATGTTAGTATACTTGTTAGTATTTGGTATCACGAATCAATTTTCCCATTCTTGAGTCCCGTATGGAGTTAGTAAGCTTGCTGCTCTTGCTCAGGCACTAATCACTCTCGGCTCACCCTCAGCTTAGTCGACTCGCCTAAATAACCTGAGCACCGTGAGCAGCTCGCTGAGCAGGCCTGAACATCCTGAGCAAGATTTACCATGTTGTCACATGTTTTGGCCTCTCGCTTTTTAGCCAATCGCACTTGATCTAACCTCTGTTCTCTCGCATTAGTTTTCGAGGACGTTCGCAAATCTTTACTAATGATTATATCAAGGCTCATCGTGAGTGAAGAGCTTGAAAGGAAAATGCGTACAGGGGGAGCGCGGGAGCGGGGGCGGGTAGGGCGCAGCGCCATCTCTCTCAAGGCTCTACAGTACTGTAGTCTGCCCTGCGGGTATTACTCGCTTAACTGCACACAGTCTTGGCACAGAGGTCGATCTTACCTTACCAATCTGATGACAAAGATCTTGGCTACTGTACGGGTATATGAGACCCAATCTGGTCAGCAGGGATTATTGCCCGAGTGGATTTTGGATGGCGTTTTGTTTGTTTGTTCGCGCAGCGGCAGCCATGAGGACCCCTCTCCCTCGCTGGCTGAATGCCATACCGTCCCTCAGCTCGTTACAGTACGCCCACCCACTTTGCTCTTTCATCAAAAGGGAGGGCAGTATCACCTGCCAACTACCTGCAATACTACTATTTCTTGCATCAAGATAATGGCAGCACCTGCTTCCCAGGAAGCGGACCCAAGAGTAGGAGCAACTGGAGCAACCGGAGCAAGCACCTCTCCACGAAAGCAACAATGGGAGAGACGAGGCTCAGAAGGAGATAGAAACTCCAGAAGAGGCCGAATTCAAGGCCTCGTGGTCCCTCCGGTGTATGCTCATCGCTCTGTCTCTCTTCTCCTTCCTCAGTGCTCTTGACGGTACCATCATCACCACCTCACTGCCGACTATCGTGCGCGAGATCGGCGCCAGCGACCAACAACTCTACCTCTGGACGGCACAATGTTTTTTTCTTCGCGTCCACAGTCCCGCAGCCGCTCCTCGGCCAGGTAGCCAACATCTTCGGCCGTCGCAATCCCTTCTTTGCGGCCGTCGCGCTCTTTACGCTGGGCAGTGGTCTATCTGGCGGCACGCATAATCCCTCTATGTTGATTGCGGGCCGAACCGTGCAGGGCTTGGGCGCGTCCGGGCTCTATGTGTTTGCCGATATCATTATTTGCGATCTTGTGCCGCCACGCTACCGCGCGTCGTACTTGAGCTTTTACTTCGCGGCCGCTGGCATCGGCTCGACGATCGGTCCTCTTATAGGTGGCGGACTGGCCCAGGCCAACTGGCGTTGGATTTTCTATCTCAATATCCCCATATCTACTATCGGATTTTTCATTGTGGCCGTGCTTCTCAAAGTCAAATACACACGCAACGCGACTTGGGGGTCCGCTTTGAGACGTCTCGATATCTTCGGCGCTCTGGTGTTTACACCCTCTAGTTTCGCGATACTTTTCGCTCTGATTACCGGGGGGGATTCAGTATCCTTGGTCTTCTTGGCGCATAATTCTGCGTCTCATCCTCGGCGTTCTTGGTTCAGCTCTCTTTTTCGTTTACGAAGCAACTTCTTCCCTCTGTTCCGATCCAAGCGTCCCTATTCGTCTATTCACGAACCGGACTTCTGCTACCGGATTCCTCCTGATGTTCTTCTCTTCCATCATCCTCCAGGCTATCTCGTACTTCCTGCCGCTTTATTTTCAAGGTGTCAAACTCAAGTCGCCTTCACTCTCTGGTGTTTACTACCTCCCATTTTCTCTCGCCATCCTTCCGTTCGCTGGAAGCGGAGGCTGGCTACTGTCCAAGTACGGTCGTTATATCCCTCTGCACTACGCCGGATTTGCACTACTAATCATCGGTTCTGGTTTATTCTCGATTCTTGATGCCGGGTCTCCTGCCGGCCAGTGGATTGGATTCCAGATTATCTCCAGTGCCGGAATGGCGCTGATATTTGCAACAAGTTTGCCGAGCACCCTGGCGCCGCTGGACGAATCTGATGTAGCCGTGGCAACTGCTATATTCTCCTTCATAAGGTCTCTTGGGTTTGTGTGGGGCATAACTATCGCCGGGATTGTATTTAATGGACAGGTCAATACACACTTGTTTCTAGTGCAGGATACGAATATCCAGGGGATGCTGAGCAATGGTGCAGCTTATACTTTCGTATCCACCGGTCAGATAAACCAGCTGACAAATGCAATTACTAAGAGTCAGGTAATAGAGGTTTATGTCAAGGCCCTTAGAGTGGTTTGGTTGGTTATTGTCGCTGTGGGACTACTGGGTTTTCTTTGTATACCTATGGAGAAGCATTTCGAGTTGAGGAAGTCGCATATTACCGAGTATGGCATAGAAAAAAAGCAGGAAAAGAGTGAAAAGGTGTAGAAAAACATATCTCTATATTTAATCTGATCAAGTGCATATAGCTGGCTGCTTTATTACCAAAGTATCAAACTCCACAATATCATAGTTCCAGCGAACCCCACGATCTTTGCGAATCACTTGGACGGTCAACAGATCCCTAATATTCTTGACAGCGTGCGCGACCTGGGAATCCAAGATTTATTTCCTTCGTAGAATCTTCCAAATAATCCGTAGATTTTCCCAGCCTGCTCGTCCAAGTTCACTACCTGGCCTGAGATCCAGAACCGGAACCTTGCAGCTAAGGGATCCTGTTATTTCTGCTTTCGTTAAGCATTTTATGTTTCCCAAGTTAATGTTCTATTATTATTGCTAAGCACCGAGCCTCTAAAACCACTCTTGAGAACATTCCTGGTGGCGATAAGGTGTTATCGCATGCATATCTTAGGTAGATATGTTGTTATCTATCCTAATATCCGCATCTTGGATATGATATGATATGATATTCAGGGGCTCGCTTTCGACGCGCTAACGGTTAACACCTCGCTTAGCACCCCTTATCCCTATACCTAGTGTTTTACGCCACGCCTATGGCCTCCTTTATAAAAAGAGGAAGCGGAAATTCGCGGTAGATAGGGAAATCAGCATTAGTTTGTAGTATGCCAGGTGGCATGGAATATTCATTTGATAGGGATAACCGCCGCTTTATTTGTATTTAGTAAATTAATCTTAGTTGGCGGTTTTTTTGTATAGGAGGGTCGTGAAATATTATGGGAGATGACTGTTTCTTGTACTATTTAATTGCGTCTATTGATTATCGAGCTCGAGCTTCGAAATGATAATCTTTGGTCTTGTTTAGTATTCTCCCTAGCAAAGTACATGAAGGTATCACAATTGAAACTGTTCTGGTAGGGAGAATAGAAGTACTTGAACAACCTATCCCCCGGTCTGTCGCTTCAAAGTCACTTTCGTCGATTCTTCAAGAAACAAAATATGCTTAGCCTTCCTGAGCATTCACCAAGCAAGTCATAAGAGCCAGCCCTCCATTCTGCGTCTCTACAGTTCTTCCCCTCCCTCTATCATTCAGGTCCGGATCCGGGGCTGAGCTATTCACCACGGCCGTCATTCCAGCAGTTGGTATCGGGGGATTGCTCGGGAGTCTCCAGATACGATTCTGGGGAATCCCTTTGTTCATCACATCTGCCGCCCCAGACAAGGAACTCGTCCAGCCCGTCGGAGTTGTCTCATTTGCATCCCACCACCCTCCATAAACACCTGTTGCGTTCCTCGTCGCATACGCATGCCGAGCATTATGTAGGATCCAAGGCTCATAGCTATTGCACCGTGTCTGGTGATGCTGTGCTTGCGCGGAACTTGCGATGAAAATGACGCTGTCGTTCGAATAATGGCTTTTTTGCAGCTGCCTCTCATCCATTGCAAGTGGCTCGCAGAACAAGGTGAGGTGATGGAAGAATATTGCTTTGAAATTCTGCGAGTCTTGACTACAGCTTCCGTCTACATCGCACAGATCTTGCAGGATGCCATCTGAGCCTAGCCCAGCCCATGATCCGTGGGACGTGAATGTGGATCTGGATTGCCAGCCCGTTGCGTTGATGACGCTTTTCATCAGACCGTAACCGTCGGCGAGGTATGTGTCGTTTCCGGTTGCGTCCCAGAGTCCACGGAGGCCGGAAAGGAGAACCCCCTGGTTGTAAGTGTAAACGGACTCGTCCCTTGCATCGCACTTTCCACTTCCAATAGAAGTGGGGCTCGTCCAATTAGTGATGTGAAACCCGTCAACATATAGTCCTTGGGCATTCGTCATGTTGCTTGTAGACAGCCAGTGGTACTCCTCCAATGCAGCCTTGAGATATCTCGAGTCGTGCGCGTTGACGGGCGGGAGTGCCTGAGAGGAGTTGTAAGTGCTGTTTGGAACGGACGAGGGATTCGGATTCGAGTCTCCAGGAAAGTAGAGATGCATCCCTATGCTCGAGGCCACGAACAGCTGGTTGGTGATAGCGTTCTTGTACGGGGCGAGCTGGTTTGTCCAGAGCATGCCTCCGCCACATAGAGTCGTGTCGTATCCTTGCGAGGCAAGATCCCAAAAGACTCGCGCCCTGTGTGCGAATTCGGACCTGTATCTCCGTCCTTCAAAACTTGCGTCCGTGTCTGAATACAAGTTGATGAACTTGATGCCCTCGAGCCATTCAAGAATAACCCATTGCTGGTCATCGTATTTTTGAGTCACCAGAGACGTGGCATTTTCACCTGTATAAAACGCCGCGGCTTCGGAGAAATACTTGGGTATTTCACTACGGTACTTAAAGTTTTCGTATGTAGCCATCACGCTCAAGGCCGTGAGGATATGAGTATTAAATGTTGCTCTAGTCCAATCAATTCCAAGTGGCCACGTCGAGATTGATGGGTCCCAGAATAGCGACTGCATTACTTCCAGGGCGTCTACCATTGCCGGGAATGAAGACGCGCCATTTTCCAGATCTAGTTCCCGGTGTAATAAAGAATTTGTATTGTGCGATGTGGTGTACGATTTTGCGATTTTGGGATCATCCACGCCACGAATTGGATTTACTAAGAGGAATATAATAGAGAGAATGGGCCAAGGGTTTAGAAAAGTCATCTTTAAAGTTCTTAGATATGCAGCTTAGCGATGACGATTCTATAGTTGGAAATATTTGATAGGGAGGAAGGGGAAAAGTCTTAAGAGTCACTTCAATTTTCTATAAGACCAGATGTTGAAATGGATGGAAGGGCTGCTGTAGGGTGACATTTACTCGGGGTGCGTTGTTATAACCAAATGGTACCTGCAGGACGCTGGTCACTTGAAGTATCAAGCCCCTTATTATTTGGTTAGACTTTTATGCAGTGCTTAGTCTAATCAGCGCTGTGTAACTGCTGTAGTATTTCGCAGCCTTTCTATAAAAAGACCACTAATTGTACACCATTAACTTTTAAAGTTCCATGCCACCTGTAAGATTGGTGCCACTTTTCCTATCACCCTAAAGCTTCTTCTTTTGTCAGACAACCGTAAAACACTAAAGGAGTCAATACACAGGGTACCGCCGACAATATTCATCGTTCTTTAATATATGCAAAATTGAAATTTGGCAATACAGCTTGTAGAGGAGTTGAAGTAAATGGAAATAATTTAAGCTTATCATGCGGCCGCAGGTTAGAGATCCGGAAACGACTTTCTGACCTATCTTATTATTTTAGCATGACGCACGCAGAATGTAACAAGGACGATCTGTGCAATGTTAAATATTCTTCTTGTGGCTGATGGACAAGGTTTCCAGCCCATTCAAGGCAAGATGCTTCCAGTCAGCCGAGCCTTCCCTGCGGATGAAAGGGTCCGAGCTGTGGCCTGTCTGGCGGGCGAGGCGGGGTACATGTTCATATTGGAATGCAATAGCCTATGGAATGCATAAACTTATGGAATAGGGCCTGAGGGCCCTATATATACAGCGTCCTTCCCACTGTAGAACAGCAGTCAATTTAAGCTTATTACCCCGAAAAAAAATAGTTCAACCCATTTTAGCGCGGGAAACTTATAAAGAGCTTGGGCTTTAAATATAATAAGAAACACAGATTCTAGATAATATAGAATACAAGAGTCAAAAAATTTCCTCTGAGACCGAACTTGATAGAGTTTCTCTAATGAGAGGGGGCGAATTAAGAATCTTGAGAAGCTCGGTAGTCTCAAGTTTAGGATTCCAAAATGCTAGCTTCAACACAGCCCTCAGTAGTATGCAATCCGTTTCCGAATCTTACCTGCTGCCAAATTCAACAGAATTGACTTTCAAGGAACTCGCATTTAAACTCGGATCTAACTCAATAGATGGTTGAAAGAAATCAGATTTTGCATCAGAGCTCTTGTCACCACAGAAGGATGAGATTGCCTCATTCTCCTTGGTCCAAGATATGATGAAATAGCTTTACCTCTACCTTCAATCCATTCCACAAAACCCTCTTCAAAAACTTGCCCAGCCTCCAACTCCCACCTCCCCAAAATCCCTAAGTGGTGGATGTTTGATTTAAAATAGCCCATTATTAACTGAAAATGCCATTGACACTCTCAGCCCCTCTAGAGTCTTCTTTTGCAAGTCTAGACCCGTGGGCCGATCGTCTGCCTTGAACATCATACACTCCATTATCAGATCCCTCAATCCTCTAGAATATAAGCTCGCCCATAGGTCTGAGGATAGATCTGCACCTATCGTATACTTGCCTATGTATTCATGTTTCGTGTAGGGTTCTTGCCAGTATTCTCTATCCTTCATGGATGGGTAAGTCTGTGAAATCGGAAAGTTAGCCATGCTGCTTTAGGTAAATTATCAAGCGCACTGTTCAAGGATTCAAGAGCTGTGAGGGACTTTTCTACTTGGATCTTCTGGAATCGTGCCTTCTAGCTCCCAAAATATGACAGCATAGGAAAAGAGTAGGGGTATGAATAGTCATTCTCACTTCAACACGCCGCAAGCAAATGTATATTATGCAGCCAAGCTGTTAGGTGTTTGAACAAGCTCCTTTACGGGGAGACTTTAAGCGAACGCAGCTTTCCTGGGTATATCAGCATATATCTTGACAATCGATTAAGGTGAAAAGATAGATTGGGTACCGGGGGCGTTATATCCTGGTGCTCTTCGGACGCGATCTTTCGCCCAAACAGATTTATCTGCAGGGTTTTTAGGTTCCCATTGCCCGTTGCCGAAGTCTCCGAGCTATATCATTAAGTTTAGCTTTATACCTTAATAGATATGTATCTCATACTTTTAGAACTGCATATCGTTCATGGTTAGGGTTCTTTTGGCCTAGGGAAACTATAGTATACGACGTAAGTCTCGAATTCTCGTAGGATCGTCTTACCATTTTCCGGCTTCAAACTATTTCCAACATCATATCAGTTACCCTTTCAAATCAAAGGTAAGTCAGGAAATAGTTTTCCCGTAATACACCAACGTATTCTCCAAAGTCCCAAATAAAACAGGCTCAGAATCCGAACCCTCAGTCCCCCTATCAACAACCGCGCCTTCCAATGCCAAATATCAAACGATCGCCCACAGATCAACTTCCAGCATCTTCTCACCTCTCCTCATAAAACGTGTCAGATCCCCATTCGGATAATACTGGAGAAACATGCCTACAATCAAGCCTCCATCCTCCAAGTCCATACGAGCCGGATCCCTATATTGCCTCACAATATGAAAACTTTCCACCTGGCTTAAAATTCCCATAAACCGACTCTTGCGCAGAGGATCCGAGTGATTGTGCGTATATGCTTGTTTGATCGCTACCTGGGTTACTGCTTTTAGTGTTTTTATCGTCGCCGTCGTATTCCCACAGCTACTAGGCCGCCTTGCTCGTTTGCCGAGAAGCTTTATGCCTTTCCAGCCTGCGCCGAGGACTCCGTTAACGGTGAGCCCGTTCATGGCTTGCAAAAACCCTGACATTTTCAGGTCAATTCTAATTGATTAAAACGCGAAAAGAAACTTTTACAAGGTTAAGGATATGTGTGAAAAGCTTTATTAAGCTTTGTTGGACCTCCACAACGGAAGAGAGAAAATTTGGACAAAGGGAAAGTTCTTTGATTGAAAATAGATATCGTATTGATATCTACTTGTTGAAAGGACCCTTTCTAATAAAAACTTTGCGGTTCTTCACAATATGACTAGTTCTTCGTATATGATACGGTGCGTCTCCATTTTATTGGCATGAGGTGTTAATGAATAACCGTACACAGAGTCATTACCATCAGTGTTCTGCTCGACGACCTCATGACATACTGAAACCCCAATGACGATCGATGGCTCTGATAATCCGCCCATACCTGTAGACGTCGGCGACGACCCTGCCAAAACCGAGACCGAGGCCCAGATAGATCGCCGAGGAAGAAGCAGCGTCCGCGATGAAATGAATTGCTTACGTTCGGTGGAACTTTAGCTGTCAAAATACCATTTCAGTCAAGCTCAAGTCGTACCTTTCCTTTCATGCAGCACGCTACCTATTCTTCCTGCAAACTCTACAACTAGATTCGGAGTTCAAGTCAGAGTTCAAGTGATTCCTTTTGAAACCGGATTGAGGACGAATAGCAAAATACAAGCAAAGCAGCGCAGCTTATCTGAGTGGTTTTTGATCTTTACTGTCCCGTTTGATTCCAAGCTCACCTAGATTGACTTTATACTGCTAATCAAGGAAAGATAATTCACTCAAGGCTCACCTTAGTATTCGATCGACTAATAGTCAAATTTCTGATAGTATAACTTCCTTACTTAATCTGTCGGTGTATGCATAGTGCACTGGTCTGGCCTAGTAATCTGTGGTTCTGTGGTTGCATTTCTAGGTGTAGGAGAGGTTCTAGCGAAGGTTGCGGTGATGAAGTGAAAGGCCTCATCGCTGCTTAGCCATCGAGGCCAGGGTCATGTGGTACACGTGACATACATCCCAACAAGATGAGCTATCTAAAAGTCTACTAGGAAATAAATACTTAAGGAAATGTTATTCGAAAAGACAAGAGGGTATTTCATGGTTATTTATTTTAAGTAACTTGTATCTATATACAAGCAAATCCTGTAACATCCCCCGAAAATACAAAGTAGAGTTTTCTATCATAAAACCATAATTTCATTCCCAAGCCCCATTTTAACCTAGTAGTTATCGCAATAAATAAATGAAAAACAGGTAGACTGTTGTAGTAGTATAGTAGACAACGCCCTCTCAGCCAGTATCGTATAGTAAGGGAACGCTAAACCGCAGCAAATTAAACCAGCACCAAGAACAAGTCAAACGGAACTACAGGTTCACTGTAAGAATCGCTAGCCGTTCAGCGACAGCATCCATCTCGGCCGCTAACCGTTCTACCTTCCTCATACACGCATCATCAGTAGCAGACGGAACAACGAGTTCGTAGTTTGAAGGTTTAGCTGTGACGTCGATGGTGCTGAGGTCGAAGGAGAATTCTTCGGGTTTGGAAGCAGTGATAACGGGAGTGGATGAAGTAGGCGAAGTAAATAGAGCAAAGGTAGGATCGGAGTCAAACTCTTCGTCCACGACCTCGACAACATTGGCAGGTGCTTCCTGAGCGGCAGATTCGGGCACGCGTTCAACAGTCGGAAGCTCAACCTTTTCGTCATCGCTGGCGATAGCAGTAAACGAGTTGGTAGACTTGCCGGAAAGGATCTCAGTATCAATGGTTGTCTCCGGGAGGCTTAGACACGAGAAGACCTGGGGTTGGTAGGAGAATGATCCATCCGAGCCGAGGTCGAGCATAGAGAAGTCCATGTGCTGCTCAGGGATCATGGCCATTCCAATGTGTTGTTGCTGCTGCATTTGCTGAGCAGCATATGGGTTGACATCCTTTCGAACTTGGCGTTGAGGTGCTTGCTGTTGCTGTTGGTGCTCAACTCGAGGCTGGGTTACTCGTTGGGCGGTTTGAGCTGCAGCTGGGTTCTGGGAGAGTGTGTCCAAGAAGCCGGAGAAGGAAGGGGACGACAGTAGCATGCGAGTCAGGTCTGACAGACGGGTGTTCTCTTCCATCAAGGCTCGGTTGGTGTTGCGGAGATCTTGGTTCTCGTTAACCTTGCCAGCGATCTCTCCTTCAAGTTGTCCAATGTATTCTGAGATGTGTTAGCTGTTGTTGACTCAAGTTCGGATTAATATTCTTACCCTTCCTTCTTGAGCGGAAAGCGCGTGCAGAAACCTTGTTTCGTAGTTGTCTTCGCTCCTTGCTGCTAAGTTTCTTTCCTTCCTCACTAGCCAGCAACCTCTCATCCTCATCCATTTCCTCCTCATCCTTGCGCATGCGATGTGCGTGAGACATGTTGTCTGGAGAGTGAGAGTTGTTGTCCTCTGTGCCAACGCTGTTCTGTCTCATGGAGTTGAGAAGCTGGGAGATCTTCTCTTCGACGATGGGATCGGTTGGTGGATGGGACGCTCTTGGTCTTTGAGACGGTTGTCTAGCCTGTGCACCCATAGCGTTTTGTCGTTGCTGCTGGATGATCTGTTGTTGTTGCTTCTGTTGGGCCTGCGCCTTGGCCAAGGCTTGCTGTTGGTGCATGCCCGGCCAGAGACGACCAACATTGCTAGTCTGAGTTGGCGGGCCAGATGAGACTGGTAGTCCGTCTTGGGAAGCACCAATTGCGCTCGGGTCAACAAACTCATTTGATGATTGTTCGGGATAGAAGAATGCTGGCTCTGGGTTAGGCGATTCGAACTCCATGTCCATATCGGTTGGGTTGAACGAACCATTTCTTGTCGGAGCCGTGTTGAAGTCGACAAAGTCGTCGTTCGGGCTAAGTCCAGACAGATATCCATCACTGAATCCATACTGGCTGTTGATGTGTGCGTTGGACGAGTTCACGGCCAATGTATTTGCAACTGCACCCTGTGGAATGCCGGTTTGCTGGCGGTAGAGATCATAGTTATGGCTCGGACCGGACAGGCTGGGTTGACTCGATGGCATGGTCGGTGGCGTGTTTGATACCGGCTTGGTCAAGAACTCGCTCTTGGTCGCAGAAGGAGAGATGGATGGAGATGAGTAGGAGACCTGCTCGTAGCCCGAGAAGTCGATTAATGCATCCAAGGGATCGAGACAGCCCGTCTGCTGGGAATTGGACGTCTTCATGGAGGAGGATTGTTGAGATGAGGTCGTCATGATGGCCTCGGTGATTGGAGTCGCACTCAGGATATGGTGTGAATGTTGTATTAATCCCGATGATAGTATTGATGTTGTTATTTTGGGTTGATGACTGAGGTGAGAATGGGTGGTGAAGGAGGAGGGTGAAATGTGTTTTGTTGCAAGAGAGCGGGCGGGTGTTTCTGTTTTGATGGGGCGGCCAGGAGAGATTTGAGAGGTTTGGGTAGGCTTAGTTGGATAACTGGGTAGGTGCCTGGGGAAGGATATTTGGCTTGGTTAAGAGGCGACGCGCGTCCAAAATGCTCGGAACTGGACTGGACTGGGGCCCGATTTAACTCCGACCTGCTAATAACCGACTACTGATTCCGCAGCACAGCAGCACAGCAGCACAGCAGCGCACAAGTTCGTATTCCTGACTGAGGGAGGGAATGGGGGGAGGGAGTTGGGGATGTTCAGAGTCAAACTGATCAGATTGTAAGTTCTGTAAAGCTCTGTACAGTACTGGATAAATGAGAAGCAAACGATGGAGAGACAGTCAACGTCGGAAGGGTAAAGCAAAGGACTTCTTGTAATCGGAAAGGCATAAAGCCCGAACCGGGAATACTTCCATTTTCATATTAATTATGCTGCCCCTTTTCAGGTTCTGGGTGAGACGCCGATGCCCTCATGCACCGTTCAATTTAACTGCACTGCCTCACAATCAATGGCCACGATAAGCTTGCAATTCCTGGAGCCAGCGCCTCTCGTCCACCAACCATAATCCTGCGTTTACACTTTCCTCCGACCCGCCGCGTGGCAAAGTCATCCCTGCTTGATCACAACGCCCCCCCTCCAATCGCAAGGTCTGGATGGGACGGCCAGTTCGGATCCCGACGAATAGGCAGTATCCGACGAGAGCTGATTGGTTGTTTCGTATTGCTGATTTGCCTACTTAGGAGCTTAGCCCCCTCAGCCCAGTTTTCTCTTTGGGACTGGTCTCGTGTGGTCTGGGTCAGGGTCTGACGGAATCAGGGTCTGGGTCTGGGTCTGGGTCTTTTTCCGATTCTTCCATTCTTCCAATCTTCGCTACTCCTTCTAGCGTGTTTCCTTGTACGGCCGAGATGTTCATATGGGCATAGATGGGTGCATGGATGCATGAGATGCACGGATGGAAACGTCTTCCCTTCTGACGACTTGGACTTTGTTTCATGTTTCTTTCATAGGTACGGACCAAACGCATAAACGTCTGTTAGGGCTAGGCTTCACTTCGGAGAATATACCGGTACTTGATTGAGGCTTGTTCTCTGCGAGTCATTGAAGTATAAGCCATAATGAATTTTTTCAATTGGGCGTGGGCGTGAGCCTCATAGGGGCCGACGTGGAGGAGACGACTCGGTGCTCCCTATCAAACTGTAAAGTCGAAAGTTGCTAATAACTCTGCGGTCATGGTGCGGTATCGCCAACTCGAAGATGAAGTGCCCATTACCAGGTGAGTTCCAAAGAATAATCTGTATGCATCTAAACATGTGGCTCAACCCATCAATCGTCCCACGAATCCAAAAATCAACATCAGATAAAAAGAGCGCCAAGACATCATGCCCACCCCACCCCACCCCACCCGGCGCTCGCTTCATCTTACCTCGCCCACATGCCGGCCCCCTAGTCCTAGTATAAACAAGAACAGCCTCGCTCCTCGCATCGCCTCGAAGATGTCTCACTCTTCTAGGACATCTCCCGCCACTATGCTCCAGAAGAAGAGAGCAGAGCAGAGCACCCTTCTAGCCTTTGGAAATCCCAGCAGAGCTGAAGAGTTTGAACTTTGAAAACTCGTGAGAGTGGAGTCCCTTCTTAATCCGAGTTCTATTCCACCTCCACAAAGGCCAGAATACGGAGTAAACAGCCGTCCTATCCACAAGGCTGATGATGTGTTGTCCTCATCATCGCAAGTTTCAACAGACCATGCCAAAAATAAATACACCGTTGCTAATTGGTGGTGGTGGAGTTGAGAATCCGACATGATTCTAGTGTTTGTTGTTCTCTCCATGTCTCTCGCCCTCTCCAACCAACTTGTCGTCGCCAGTCTCGTCCTGGACAGAAAAAGCGGCACTCGTTTGGAAAGGTTTTCGGTATGTAAACTCGGCATGAAACAATTAGAATTAGTGCCGCTTTCGTACAAAGCAACTTTTTCTAGCACGCCGGTAGTCCGTATCCGTGTACGTGTGTGCACTGTGCCCATTCCATTCTACAACTACTCGAGTAAGTACACCGGCAGTTCTACAGTACTGTATTGCGCACTGCGAATCAAGGAACGATCGCCGATGAGAGAAAAGCTTCCCTTCCCTAACCAAGCCAAGTCACAGCTCAAAGCTTAATCAATCACTGATCCGACGATCGATTATCAATGAAAATCTCAATTTAAAGAATAAAGGGAAAGAAAGCCCACCCTCCAGACCCGAGAATCCAAAAAGCTTATTACTTAATAAAGCGGAAAACCCATCGGGATAGTGGGCATTTCTTGGTATGAGCGTAAGCCACGTAACGGTCGATCTTGTGGCTTGGACTTGGGACGATCGAAAAGGAGGCGAGCGAAATTTCTAATTTTAGACCAAGTCTCAGGATTCCGGTCCAGGCACGTTAACGGTGTAGGTGGGTTAATGCATAAGAATAAGGTACCTAAGAAACATGACTTCTGATTGACGAGTGTCACGGGAAATGAAGGAGTACAGTCTGTATTTATGTATCGAATATCGAGAAAAGGCAGGCAAGGAGCAGGCAAAGTTGCTAAATCCATCCATCTCAGCTCCAGGCGCATTAGGATTCTAGATGAACCCTTACGATTTTTGAAAAAGAGCCTCCTTCTCCAAGTTCTAGTCACGTTATGTCCCCCGAGTTTATTTATCTACAGCCCTACCGTACGGTGGTTGCGGACCATGACCTCACAGACAACAAGTCTGCGCTACCTACTACATCACTCGTTGAAATATCTATCCACCGTACATACATCTTCTAAAAGCAGAACCAAATAACCAACCAACGCTCTACAGAGTACCTTGGAGTAGGTAGGCAGGTCTTGGTATTCAGGCTACATTAGATGGTAATCTGCTTCGAAGTACTTTATCTGCTTCGAAGTACTTTTGCTGCTTCACTAGAATAATACATACGGGAAGCCAGTTCAGCAATAGAGTAGGTATACATTCTTACGCATTACCGCATCTACTTTGTACAAACCGCGGTTCTCCTACATCATACAATTCAGTATTCGTTTCGTTGTATTAGTAAATACTAAAACTGATATACATGATACTGAGACTAGCATATTGAAACTCTTGACTCTCCGTCTACAAGAAACTATTCAATCAAAAGCTGCCTATCTATATGCTGTAGATTAGCAACTTCTAGTATTCCCCAAAAGACAATCTCGTATATTCTTGATTGCTTGAAACCACGTCATCCCCTGCAGTCAGCCATCCAGCCGCATTCCCAAAACGGGAAAACATCTCGAAAGCTTGCAGGGAACGGTACTCCACAATTCAAGACAACTTGCAATGTTTACATTTACATTTCCGATCCGACGAAATTATTCGCTCTGATCTTTTGCCGGTTGTGTACCCAAGGTCGTTAAACAGATTCACGACAAGCAGTGAGACTGTGGGATGCGCAGTCAAGTTCTTGTTCTTGTTTCGAAGGAAATACCTTTTTCAGCATGCTGATAGTAGATCAGATGTCAGAATCTGCGTCACTGCATGGCGATGCGTTAGATGTAGGGCTGGTGAAGATGCGTTGGAGGGAGAGATGGATGGTATATATAAGGGCATGGAGAGACTTTCCATCACGGCAACAACTCATCCATCAACCCTTGAGTTTCCCACTGGTCTATCGGAAGGATCAAACAGCTCGATCTGACAACAATTGAACAACCAGTACAATGCTTCTTCTCGCATCTTTCATTTCCTTCCTCGCCCTCACCTGGGCAGCACCCACTACCCAAGATCCAGGCTACAACTGTCAACCCGGCCAGAAATGCTGGCCATCATTGCAAGAATGGCAACAATTGAACCAGACCATCGACGGACACTTGTACCAAACCATCCCCATGGGAGCCCCTTGCTATGAGAATTCAACATCCTACGACGCAGCAACTTGCGACATGGTGGAGAACAATTACAACAGCAGCATCCACAGAGGCGATTACTACGGCCAAACCTACTGGCAAAACTGGGAGGCTTGTGGTACAAGCGGCTGTTCTCTCCTATCAGAAGACCCAACGGAAAAATTGTACCCTACTTGCTCGCTAGGAAGACTTGCCTCGTACTACGTCGATGTCCGCAACGCTTCGCATATCTCAGGTGCTTTGAAATTTGCACAGGCACATAATATCCGTATCAGCATCAAGAATACTGGACACGACTTCTTTGGCCGTTCGTCGGTGCCGAACTCGCTCGCCATATGGACGCACAACCTGAATACTTTTGACTTCTTCCCAAACTTTACCGCATCCAACTGTCCATCAGCCAATGGGAAGAATGTAGGTGAGATGGGAGCCGGCGTCGTGGCCGGGGACTCGTACCGCTATTTCAACAGCAAAGGCATGGACGTAACAGGCGGCTACGAAGAATCCGTGGGTATAGCAGGCGGATTCGGACAAGGTGGAGGAGTAGGTGACTTCACAACGACCTACGGTCTAATGGTCGACAACGCCGTAGAATTCGAAGTCGTTCTTGCATCCGGCGAAGTCAAGAACATCAACGAATGCAACGACCCCGATCTATTCTGGGCCATGCGCGGAGGCGGCGGCGGCACATTCGCAGTCCTCACCAAATATCGAGTCCAACTCTACCCATCCCTCCCCATCCACACCTGGAACTTCAAAGCGAACTTCACCGGCAACCAGACCCAAGCACTCCGCTGGGTTCTCGAAGCACACGCCGAGAACCAGCTCGAATGGTCCAGACAACTCGTTACAGGAGGCGTTGACTACTACCCTGAAAAGGTATCCTTCGACATCGTGCTCCCCTACGCCGACGACGGATCCAAGCTGAAAGCCGCAACCGCGAAATTCAACCACTTCATCAGCAATAGATCCGACATCTCAGTCGTGGAAAACAGCTACATCTCCTTTGCGAACTACACCGCTTACCTTGATCTATCCGCCGTTGATACCCGGGCCACAGAACCAGCCGGCATCTTCTCCCTCCTCGCATCCCGCCTCATACCCCGCGAAGTCTTCTCCACACCAGCCGGTATAGCTGCGCTGGTCGACGGCGTGGTGCACGGTATTGAGACAGCGCGAAATCTGCTCCCGCTCACGGCCACACAAGTCGTGCTGGAGACCCCCGTCTCGAATCCCGATTCCCAATGCGCGACGTCTGCGCACCCGGCTTGGCGGGACGCCATCTGGCATGTTATCCATGTGGGGGAATGGGAAGAAGTGCTTACTCCAGCTGTGCAGGAGAATGCTACATCGGGGTTCTTGGAGATTCTGGAGCCGCTGAAGGCGTTGAGTCCGGGTGGAGGGGCGTATCTCAACGAGGCGCATTGGGGGGAACCTGATTGGCAAGGGACGTATTTTGGGGTTTCTTATGACAGGTTGTTGGAGGTGAAGAATCGCTATGATCCGGCTCATATCTTTGATTGTTGGAAGTGCGTTGCGTGGAGGGGCGAGTCGGATCCTTTCTACTCTTGTTATAAGCAGTGGTGAAAGTAGTCCTCAGACGTTCACTGGTGAAAGATGCGCGCCCAGCTGTGAACTGAGCTTTAAATGTTTTCCTCCAACAAGAATTGTAATATAAGTTATTAGCCTGAAACTAATCATTAAGTGCGCTCACAAACAAGTACCTCAACTTACCTCTCTATCTCAGCCGCTCATGAAAAAGATCTCAACTACAAGAAAGCAAAATCCCATCCATGCATTCGCTAGTTCTAATCCCAACCCCCACTTCCCCCTCCCCTCCCCTTTCTTACAATAATCCAGGATACCACAGCACTCGCTCCTCATCAGCATGTCAAAGTAGCATCACGCAAGACTCCATCTCCAGCGGTTGGTTAGATGCCTAGAAATAGACCAGGGGTCTCAAAAAACGAAAACCCGAACCTCAAGGCACCCAAGATTATGCTCCTGTATTGTTGTCTTGTTAATTCCATTGCTTGCTGGCGCGTAATCAATCTGATGTGCATATACAGCATTGTATGCAGGTGGAAAAGTAATACGGAGTAATAGAAAAGAAGTTTGGACATTGCTGGTGCCTGGCCTGGATGCACTGATTGCGTGCGTATTACAGTACTCCTATAGCACCTTCCTAATGTGGTACGCGGGGTAGCTCCCCCTCCAGTTACCTCCTCTACAGTAACGTCAACTCAAGCTTATTCTGTACCTCTCATAAACAAAGATCCTCAATATTTTGCTTTTATTCTCTTCGATAATTGGTACAGTAGTAATACCACTCATAATATGCAATGAAATCATTACTTTGGATCCAAGCTCTCCTGGTCCCAACCCTTGCCATAACATCACAAACCCCACTCCTCCAAGATGAAGCACCCTTCACAGTCCATCAAAGCAGCGTATCGCCAGCCCACTCAATCCGTATCAAGCGTCAGAATGCATCTCTCTGTAACACACCCGTAGACCAATATACAGGCTGGCTAGATGTCGGAGCTAAGCATTTGTTCTTCTGGTACTTCAAAGCCGAGAACCCCGCCTACCATGCCGCGTCTGGCTCCGCATCAGAATCAGAGCCTCTTGCACTCTGGCTCACAGGCGGGCCAGGCGGTTCGAGTATGTTGGGCATGTTGCAGGAACTGGGACCGTGTTTGATTAACGAGTACGGGAACGGTACTGTGTATAACGAGTATGGTTGGAATAAACACACGGCGTTGCTGTTTGTAGACCAGCCTGCTGGAGTGGGCTTCTCGTATCTGGATCAAGGGGAACCGGTGCCGGGGGATTCGTTCACGACGGCGGTGGATGTGCATTTGTTCCTGCAGATGTTTGTTAGTCAGGTTTTTCCGGAGCATGGGGAGGGGCCGTTGGTTATTACGGGGGAGAGTTATGCGGTGTGTATCTATTTGTCTTGTCCCGCTCGAGCAAGTAAAGTAAAGTAGAGCAGCACTAACAACTTCATAGGGACATTATCTCCCAGCTCTGGGTGCTCAGATAGTCACCCAGAATGCCCTGCATCCGAAGCAGCCACAGGTGCCGCTGAAATCACTGGCTATTGGCAATGGCTATGTGTCGCCACTGGACACATCATACGGCTACTGGGAGACCCTATGTACGACGAACCCCGGCGTCAAAGAACCCATCTTCAACTCAACGCGTTGCGATATTATGGCTGCGAACCTCCCCCGCTGTATGGACGTAGCGAGAACCTGCTACGAGCATCCAGACCCTGCTATCTGCCAAGCAGCATCCGCAGTATGCTGGTCCGGTGTCATCGAATTCTACGACGGGGAATCCTACGCCGGTGGTCGAAATCGTTTTGACAGTACGTACCTACTTCCTTGCATGCATTCCCAGACTCCATACATACCCTAACCATGAATCAAACCAAACTCAAGCTAATTACCAACCACAAAACCAGTAACTGCCCCGTGCGACATCGACAGCTTCTGCTACGCAAACACAGCGCTCATACAATCCTACCTAAACCTGCCCTCAACATTCCGCGCCCTCTCCGTCCCGGCCTTCATCACGAACTTCACCGTAGAATCCACGGCCGTGGAAAACGCCTTCATGGCAACCAACGACCTAGAGATCTCGCTCATGCCCCAACTAACCTTCCTCCTGGCCTCCCAAATCGACGTGCTGATCTACCAGGGAAACTTGGATCTCGCGTGCAACACGGCGGGCGCGAAGCGCTGGACGAGTAGTATGGCGTGGAAGGGCCAGGCGGAGTATACGGCGAAGGAGTTGAGGCCGTGGAGGAGTGGGGGGGAGGTGGTGGGGATGGCGAAGGAGGTTAAGATAGAGATGGTGGAGGGGGATGGGAAGAGGACGAGGTTTGCGCTTGTTACGGTGGATGGGTCGGGGCATATGGTGAGTTCTGGATGATATATAAATGTTGATGTGATGGATGAGTATGGGTACTAAAGTGTATAACAGGTTCCTCAAGATCAGCCGGCGGTAGCGCTGGATATGTTGGATAGGTGGTTAGCTGGGAAAGCTTTTGATTGAGAAGTATTAGCTTGTTGGGGAGGAGGAAGATGTTTGATGATGTTGAAGCAGAGCTATGATACTTATAATTTATGCATTGTGTTGCGTTACGTTATGTTGCGTTACATTGACTCGGCCAGTTATTTAAGGACCTCCAAATCGGATATAACCATATAACTTGACGTTTTTTAATTTATCTTTCGCTGTTTAGGTATTAAGAGTATTATCGGATGATTAGAACCTTGAGTCGTACCTACGCATGTGCAAAAGTAATGAGGTTGGATTTAGTAGATACTGGGGTAGTGCAAATTAATTCTATGAGACTTGGTGAGACTGTACTGTAACTGTTTGCTTACTGTATTTACAACCCCCCAGAATTTACCCCTGAGCCAAGCACCTACACTAACGTAAGCGAGCGGGGACGAGTAGCTGGCCAAGCCAAGTATTTCCAGTATAAAGACGTCGACGTCATAGCTCCAGGCAGGCATCCCTTTCTTTATCTTCCCTTCCCCTCCATCTTCCCCTCCACACTTCCTTTCTTCCCCCTCTTCAACACTACACTCCCTCTTAGTACAACACCAACACCACACTACCACAATCACAATCACAATTCACAACAATAAACACAAATCCCCCACCAACAGCAACAGCAACATAACACAATGCCATCCCTCTTGAAAACCCTCCCCCTCCTCCTCCTAAACCTCTCCCTCCTCTCCCTCACCGCCGCAGCCGCAGCCTCGGATACCCTGACCGCAGCAGGCCATGGCAATTCCTGGAAATTCGGCACTGGGGGTGGGGTGCTGGGATTCGTGGTGTTGATTTTAGATATCTTGGTTTGGAGTATGTCTTCCCCCCCCCTCTCCTAAGCATTTTCTTTCTCTCCTTCTTGAAATGAAGTTCTATTCGATTCAAATTTCAAAGGAGGTGCAGGAACTGTTATTTATTTATTGGTCAACTCGTATTAATTGATTGATTGATTACTGCTAACCCATTCTCCCTCCCCGCACAGTGGAAGTCCTGAAATCCAACCGTCCACCATCCCACAAACTGCTCTGGTGCGTCGTCGTGTTCATCTTCCCGATCGTCGGGCTGGTCGTCTATTGGTTGTTTTCGAATCGCGCGGCGCATACTGGGAGTGGAGATTATGAGGTGTTGCCGTGAATCATTCACTTCCCCCTCTCTGATATATGGGTGTGGATTGGCGTGGGATGGAATGGGGTGGAGAGGGAAGGGTCTTTGTGTTGGATTTATTTATTGCATGGGGAATGGGATGGGGATGGGGGATCATATATGGTGTTTTGCATTGCAAACTGGAATGGATTTGGATGCAAGGACAAGTAAGCTACAGTACCTAACGAATATCATGCAATGCAATTGGAATTGGAATTTCGGAGTTGGCTTGCCTTGGCTTGATTTCTATTACTGTACGTATGATATAGGTCGTGCAAATTTGAGCCCAAGTAAACTGCACCAAAATCTAGCTTTGGGATTCCGTTTCCAGGTTTCAGCATGGGAATGTTTCAGCATGGGAATTGAGACTCTTGACATGACGGTTGGTGATAACCTCGAAGGCTGGAAAGTAATAGTTTAATGGTACGTGGAAGCTTGGATGCGTGCTTGTTTTGGATACTGAATTCTTGGTATATTCAACCATATATATACACATTCTGGCAAAATGAGAAGGAGGTTACATCGGTGATGGTTAGTTGGCTGCATGGGGGGGGGGGTTGGAAGGGCACCTGGGTATTATACAACTGGGAGGGAGTGCTGCAAACTCCAGTACATGACACGGCAGGCTGAACAAGTGTCATAAACACATCTCGGATCAGAACCAAATCCCACATCAACCGCGGAGTACCGAGCAAAATCCATCCAATATTACAGCTTTCAATTATATTTACAGGAGCAACATCTGGGGTATTTAGTCAAGTACAACACAACACAATCACGGCTCAGTCAGTACCCAACATTTCTTCTTTCCCAATGGCGCAACGCTCATTCGTCATGTACCAGGATAAGGCTGTGGGCCAGGTGTGGCATGGTTCCCAGCATGTCCATATCCATTCATGGGTGCCGGTTCTGGTCCCGTTCCCGTTTCTGACGTCGGATTTTTGCTGGTAGGCAGATCCATTGAAGTCTCCTTGCCGTTCCCGTAGCCCACTGCAAAAGGGCCGTGTGCATCGTTATGCTGAATGGATTTCCACATGATGTATGCACTGCCAATTAATTAACTATTAGTCTGACCGATCATCATGTATATATGTGTATATGTATCACTATTTCGAACTTTGGAGTTGACTGACCTTGCAAACGAAGCTATGACACCAGGCCATAGCAGAACCACCGATGCAACGCAGTCTGGGTTCTTCCTGTATATCGGATTCGGCTTGCCGTTCGCTTTAAACCAGTATTCGGCGTCTGCGTCCGAGAATCCTCTGATATGCGCGCGGTGTGTCGCCACGATCACCTGTTCGAGCAGTACCGTGATCAGCATGCATTCATGCATTAGATCCAATGAACCTGGAACGCGCGGGAGGGGTTTGAAAGTAACGTACCGTCATTGCCAGTGCATCTGCAAGAGCCATGATGGATACCACAATGGAGCTAATCTTCCACGCCAACTTGACGGCCGCGCTCTCGTATCTTTCGGGCCAGAAGAGGTCGAAGAAGAAACCGGAGCCGAAGATCGTGGCTACGGCTATGCCGATGAATACGTTGTATGAAGCGACACCGATGAAATCGTTGTTTTGAACGAGAGCTTTGCCATTGCTTCGATGGGAGATTCCGTCTTGTTGGTCAACGTAATCTGTGGATAAGAAGGATATATTGTTAGTTAAAACGCATTACTTGGTACTGGAGAAAGGTAGATATTGTGTTTATCTTTTTATGGAGAGGGGATGTACCAGATAATGCTGCGGTGCCGACGGATTCAGAAATGACGCATAAGAGCATGGCGATTTGGTATACAATCATCTTCGTCTTCTGCAGATGGAAGGTGGGGGCAAACATGTAGGAGCCCTTGAACTTCCCCCATTGCATGTCCTTCAGATCCAAGCCCCAGATGACCGGCGCCATGATGCTTCCTGATGTTATTGTCTCTTGTGGTGACTGGCACGGAGTGGGGGTATTGAACAATAAAGAGACAGTAAGTAATAATATCCTATACCAATAATCGTCAGGTGAACAGAGGAAGAGGTGGATGGGTAATGACTGCGTGCGGAATGCAGCGGCAGAGTTATATATCATGCCATACTCGTACCTGCCCTGTCCTGTCCTGTCCTACCTAAGGTACACGCAAACAAGCAAGCCTTCTGACCAAGCAGCACTGACTCGGCGCTGTCAAGGAAGGGACGGACGGGACTATCTTAAGTTTGCGATATTAGGTACGAATAGTTACTTCGAATACCATCTGCCATTGGTTGTGTTTTATTTTCTTGATGCCATTTGATGTCATCGAAGATCTTGTTCCGCATGCCAGCTAGTGATTGCCATTGCCGAGGGAGATCCGACGCCACTTAATAAATAGCAGGCCGTGCTTCCCGCTGATAGTCGTTTGTTTTGCCTGGGATCGTGATTGATGTAAATTTACGATGCACTTGGTGGTGTGGCACTTTGTCTGCGGTGAGGCTTGACGGGTATGACGTATAGTATAGGTGCTTACTAACCGGTCACGTTGGCACCACTGCTGGATGGTCGAAATGTTGATTTGGTAGATAGAGCCGCATAGGTTGGTTCTCATACTCCAGAATTGGGTTATTGGTAATGCAGTAAATATCAAGATATATAGCTGGCATGATCGGTTGTTATTGTAATTATCTATCTCGAACTTATAGGGGTAGATCGAATGGATTCTAGAAAACCGAGAAATATACGCGGTCATTCTTATATAAAGCAAATCTGATAGTGTATCCCTTATTCATGTCTTGGGGTTTACAGTAGAACCATACAATTATATCTTTTTCTCGTCTCGGATGAGATGGGATGGACTAGGACTTCAAAAAACAACACTCGCTTAAATACCAAACATCGAATGCCTCGGAAACTAGGCACACACACTAACGAAACCTCCACTGCAAAAGAAAAGCCATCTCGAACATTCTAATCCTCGAGCCTGACAACCTCGATAAATAAACAGGTACCCAACTGTTCGACATTTAGCTTTCATGAAGACACAATAGTATCCGCACAGAGGAAGGTATGTCAATTTTTCTTCGATTCCATTTCTCAGCCGTGCAAAATTCTCCAGCAGAGAATTTAAAGCACAAAGTGCTGCTGAAATCACCCCACCTGTCCCTACCCTTTTTTGAAATGATGATAGTCAAGCTGGCACCAGGCCTAGACAGATTTTGTACTCAAGTCTTTGAGGAGAATGCTATACCTTCGGGTTCCTTCTGATCTTTGAAAACAATTCCACACACAAATCTCACAGCTTCCAATATATCTTGCTGACAGATCAATAAATTCAGGTGAAGTTCCAGCTTAGATCATTCCACCCACCTCTATCTCACGATGCTCCACAATCCAAACAATTGGCACTGGGTGAACAAAGACGCCTCAGTATGGACCAAGGAGTGGCTAGAGGAGAACCTGCAGTCCAAGTATGAGGAAGATGGCGTTACAGCCCAGTTCAAGAAGCTAGTTAGCATGGACGGAGACGTCGATGTTAATCAGCGCAAGGGCAAGGTCATTACGATCTTCGATGTCAAGCTTGTCATCGAGTACGAAGGTATGCCTCAGTTCCGCAAAGTCTTTGAATTCCTGTTGACCAGTTAGGCAAAACCAAAGACGACGAAGAAGTCAGCGGCACGATTACCATTCCCGAGGTAGCCCATGACACTGAGCAAAACGAGTATGTTGTATGTCTTTTCGTCCCCTTTGGACGTCTGGTATGGCCCAACTAACCGTTCACAGTTCGACATAGATATCTATGCCGATGCCAACTCAAAGCAACCCGTCAAAGACCTTGTCCGGAAGAAGATGGTACCAGAACTGCGCAAGAAATTCGCAGAGCTGGCCCCTGCTCTGATCAAGGAGCACGGCAAAGACATCCAACACACAGCTGCCTCAAATCCCGCAAGCGGTTCAATCACCCCAAGAATACACAACCCAAGCGGTCCCGCCTCTACCACCACCGCCCCAGCCAAAACCAACTCTTCAGTCAACACCACCACGGTGACCGATACCGAAGAGTTCCGCGCCCCAGCTACCGATTGCTACGCAGTCTTCACGGACCCACAACGCATTGCAGCCTTCACGCGCTCTGCTCCCAAGCTCTTCGAGGGTGCCAAGGTAGGCGGCAAGTTTGAACTCTTTGGCGGCAACATCTCCGGCGAATATCTCGAGCTGGTTGAGCCGACGAAAATTGTACAGAGCTGGAGACTGGATCAGTGGCCCCCGGGACATTTCTCTCGTCTCGAGATCACCTTTGATCAGAACGATGTGAATAACATTACTGTTATGAGGGTTACCTGGAGTGGGGTTCCAATTGGTCAAGAAGAAGTTACGAAGAGGAACTGGCGCGAGTATTATGTTAGGAGCATTAAGCAAACTTTTGGGTAAGTCATTCTACCGTAATACGACAAGAATATCTACTAATATGCGCTTAGCTTTGGAACGATTCTATGAGATAAGATATGATAGATGAAGCAGCGGATGAACAGGATTAGACACGGGACAATGAATTTATGCGTGAACGTTTGGAGGTGGCTTGTTTCGTACTCTATAGATGAATCAATAGAAGAAAGAGCTCGTGAAACCAATTACTCGTTTCAGTAAAATCGTCATGCTCTCAAATGGGAGAATTATAGTGCGCTGTACTTTCTTACACCTACATCTCAATGGAGCAAAGCACATGAATCCAGTATGTATGAGACTAAAAGCAGTGAAGCAACGTCAAATATCCCATAGTATATCCAGTGATGGTCCAATATCCACATTGCACGCACCACTGGAACGTGTCAAATGGTTGACCTTGAAATAAAAATCCTACAAATTGCTTTCCCTATACTTACTCTTCGAAATTCCAAAACCATCCATCCGTTCGTATTCCTAAAACGCCATGGCGCCCTCCATTCCCTATCCTCCCTGTCCTAACCCCAAATATCCTTCCCATTGAGAACGAAAAGGCGCATCCAGTCGGTCCTTAATAGACACTCCTAGCCCCAGTCTTCTCATAACGCGGTGGTCTATCCTCATACTCATAACCCCTATTCCCATACCCTCTCTCCTCCTCATACCCATACGCCCTCCTCTCGCCGCCGCCCCTTACTTCATCATCATCATAATACCTAGTCTCCCTATGCCTCTTCCTCACTCTCCCATGCTCACGTCCACCGCCCCTCTCTCGTTCTCCTCTATTAGCCCGCGACTTCACACGCGATTTTACACGATGAGCTTTCTTGTGCAGTTTCTTCTCCCAGTCTTCTTGCTCGCCGTACGTGATTCCTTTGGGCCAGAAGTGGTGCGCGCAGACGACTGCGGCGAGTAGTTCGACGATGTGGAGGATGGTGTGTTGTCCGACCATTTTGAGTTTGTGAGTTGGGTTGGGTTGAGTTGAGTTGGTGTAGTAAAGGGGGGTTGAAATACAGGATAGTGTGTACTTCTTGCTTCTTTTCGATTTCTGCGACGCCGGAATTTTACTGAGGGAGAGAGGGGTGAGGTTGCAGGTCTAAAGACTCGGGCGTAATGTAAAAAGGTGGTGGGGGGTGTAAGGCTGAAGGCTTTAGGTAGGTGGAGTTTCACCGAGTAAGTCGATTGATTTGGATGATCGAAGGGTGAGTGATACAGATTGAGCAAACACAGTACTCTTGACAGATTCTAGACCAGAGGCCAAAGAGCGAGAGCATATGTGTGACCGTTGAAGCCGGGCTGGTCGTTTCGAAACTGCGGTGCCGCTGAGCCAACAATTATAGCTTAAATTGGCCATGGCTAATTACGGCTATAACACGCGGTTCAGAAATCAGGATGAGAAGGAACTTGGAAGGTGGTTTCGAGACCGAACACAGGATTCTCATTGGCGCTGATGGGCAACAAGGCTGAGGATGCTTGCAAGGATTGAACCACACCCATTTCCATTGAAATGATGGATTCGCGAGAAACAAGCTTCGGCAAACTCGGCCAAGCACACTTGTTTCTTTTGCGCCGGGATAATCGACGTAGAAAAGCTTATCTGAAAGAAGGATCAACGCGTGTAATGCTTCGAGAGTGGATACACACGTGTTGACAAGTCGCATCGGCAGATATAAATCTGTGGATATACATGCCTTACGGCGTACTTCACCGAAACTTTGACGTTGCGGAAACAGCCCTCAGTGGAGTTGGAAATGTACTTTCGAAAATGCTGCATTCTTTGTTACGCAATAGAAATGAATTGACCGTGCAAATAGTACGAGTATTGTCGATCTTGAAGTTGTTAAGAGAGGAAATCCTGACCTCTAGTTGATATTTGTGGGGACAATTCAGGTATTCAGACCAACTACTTTGTCTTGCGGACCCGTCTGGTTACATGCATGCATCGACGCCCGAGTGGTCTCACTACATGCAGATTTAGAAAAGCAACACAACAGAAGATCCACTTGGAGACAAAGTCTAACACAGGAGATCCTAGAGTTTGCTTGTGAAATGGCAGGCCAGCTAGAACAGCGATTCGTGAAATTGAGTATTTATAATAGGCCGACGAGAGATGGAAGGATAGAAGGACATCTTTACTTGAGAGCTACTGAGTCCCGAAATACATGTCTCTAATAAAAAGCTAGGAAACTTACTTGTACCTGAACCCGAACTGTCTAGGTAACATTCCGCAGACTGAGCTCTGTAAGGCTCGGGGGGGAAGAGAACTGAGCTAGCTAGTATGACTTGTCAAGGAGAGCAAAGTCAGAGATGTCTCTTTCCCGCATATCTAAGACCTAATTGTTTCATGGCAGCAGAAAAGAGAAGGAGCTCTTCAACTCAGGTTTGCTGCAATAACGCTACCACAGCAGCAACAGTTGCCTTCAGCACCATATTCAAGCAACGTACTGTACTATCATTTCTACCCAGCTACAAGAGAAAGATGTTGTCTAACCGTAGCTTCTTTCCCGACAGCTCATGTCAAGAAGCACTTGCTTCCATAGCAGTTGATATCCTGCGGTCCTGTTACAGCTTTGAATCGAGCATATTTACATGGGTAAAAGGATGCAATGGATGTAAACATGAAATGAGAGTGACAAATCTGTGGGAATGATCTCACAAAGAGAAACCATTAATCTTCAGCTCTAATCTAACGATGAACTAGTCTCCTCAAAGATTCAAATCAAATGAGTGTTTGCTGATATTCAGTGCAAATCTCTCTTTCACCTCGGCTGAAAGCGAGACCAAGAAAAGTTGGTGCCAAGCCTAACCTCAACAGAAGCTCAACATCAAGCTCCCAGCTCTCTCTCTCTTTCTCCCTCTCCTTCTTCCTCTTTTTCTTCCTCCAACAACAACAATTGTCCATCTCCCTTCCCCCCCAGCCACAATGTCGACCTCCACACCCTCCCCCCGCTCACGACGCGCCCACACAGTCAGCGGCACCAAAACGCCCGGCCCAAAAGTCCTGCAGTCCAACTCCCCCAAAAAGCAATACCTGATCCTCTACAATTTCGCCTCGGCGCTCTCATGGCTCGTCGTGCTCGGTCGCGTCGTGCTGCTTGTGCCGATGGTGGGCTTTGGACGTGTGTATCCGGCCGTGGGGTACTTTGCGAAATGGACGCAGACGGTTGCACTGTTGGAGGTTGTGCATGCTGCTACGGGTGCGTTGCGTTGCATTACTTTCCTTTCTTTTCATCTCTCGAGCACCCTATTCGAATTATATACGTATGACATACGTATACGAGCAATTAAAGGGCATCCTATATATGGACTGTGCTAATGGGAAACTGGGCATGGAATATAGGCATCGTTAGAGCGCCCATAAGCACAACAGCCATGCAAGTAGCCAGCCGTATCCTCCTCGTCTGGGGCATTGTGAACCCATTCCCCTCACTCGCAAAATCGGCCGCGTATTCCAGCATGCTACTCGCGTGGAGCGTCACCGAAGTGATCCGGTACTCCTTCTTTACGTTCAACCTGAGCGGGTATAGTCCGGGCTTCATCAGTTGGTTGCGGTATAATATGTTCTTTGTGCTGTATCCCCTTGGGATTAGCAGCGAGTGTTGGTTGATCTACAAGGCGATTGAGCCGGCGAGGGAGCTTAGGGTGGAGTATGCTTGGGTGTTGCAGTTTATTCTGGGTGTATATGTTCCAGGTATGTTATGTTGGATGGGGTTTTGGGAAAGTGAATTGGAGTGGAAGCAGGCTAATCTTTTGGTAGGGTCGTATATCCTGTTTACGCATATGATGGCTCAGAGGAGGAAAGTTATGAGGGGAAAACAGGCAGAGAAGAAACTGTAAATGGCTGATTCTGGCATACGGGGCTTGTATAATAGTGATATCACAACCCATCCTTTGCTGGAAGCGCCTATTCATGGGGCCACATTCTTAATGGCTAAGTCGGAGTTCTAGTAATCGTCTAGGGAAGTTTGACCAAGAGCTAAAATACTGGGTGTGTGAGTCGTTCATGAACTCAAGTGAGATAACATGAAAATCACCGTTAGTTAGATCTGCTAAAACGTCATTCGGTAAAGCCGAGGTCTTTCATTCTTCAAGTCAATTGAAAACGCAGACCTGGAGACAACAGAACGCTTGTCACAAGTTTAAAGCAATCAGCATTGCTTTCAGGTTTGCTAATTTTTAAAATCATTCCTTCATTTGGTCTATAAAAATGAAAGGAAATTCCATGCAAGTCCTGCTCGCACAAATCAATCTCCTCTACTCCCCAGCAATCAGCAAACTCCAATGCAAAATCCATTCTCCAGTATCTAATTAAGTAAAGTCTTGTGGGGAAAGAATACATCGTGAAGCAGCGCTGGTTGCAAAAAGAATTAAAAGAAATCGAAAGTCGTAGCTCCTATATCATTATAGTACAAGAATCAAACCAAAAATCGCTCGTCTAGCTGCTTTACTGCTCCTTCTCCTTTGCAGTCACAATCTTCTCGGGGTCCTTCTTGGCCTCGGCCTGCTAATTGTGGTCAGCGTTTAAATCAACGTAGAGTGGAGACACATACCGATTTATTCAATTCAGCCGGTGCCATCGGTTCAGCTCGAGCTGGCCCTGGTCCTCGAGCACCAGGAGTAACGTGAGAGGTTCGAGGAGTAGCTGGGTCCGGGCCAGCGTTGTGCGAGGTACGTGGACTAGCTTGCTCCGATCTTACAGTACTGGAAGCAGCGCTTCGAGCTCTGCGGATGCTCGGTTGGATAGGAGCCAGGCTTCGGGATGCTTGCGAGGAACGGGGCGGGAGTGGGAGGTTCTGCGAGATGCTAGGTGGCCCCACGTATCTTCGACGGGAAGAAGTGGTGGAAGATGAAGGGCGGTTCGCATGGTTTTGGGCTCTATCGCTATAGCTGAATCTTTGATCGCTCGGTCTTTGATCGACGGCGGCGAAACCTCCTTGCTCTACGGTACGTCCCCTGTTATTAGCATATGGACGGTGGTTGGCGTGCTCTGATGACAGATAGGTACTCCCTTCCGAAACCTGGAATTTGTTCATGCTAGCATATGGGTTGGCGTTCTCGGATGACAAATAGGAACGCCCGTCCGGAAGTTGGAATCTGCCCATGCCTGGATAAGTGCCGCTGAATTCCCTGGATCCGCGGTAAGGGGTGGTCGGTCCATATGAGCTTGTCGAGCTCGCCTGTCCATCTTTTAAGCGCTGCTTCTTCTCGGCACGTTCTGGAGGAAGGTCAAAGGCAGATGCGCTGATACCTTTACGGTACATCGACGAAGAGCTCCCTGCGTATCGGCCTGGATCACGGTCCCTACTGGGGTATTGATAACTTTGCTCGGTGCGATGCTCGTATCGTGCTTGACGTGGTTCATCGTGTCTAGATCTCGCTCCTTGGTTGGCGTAATAGCCTGATGAGGAAGCATATCGATCTCTCGACTGATATGAACTACGGTCGTCCTCGTCCTCATCGTCAGAGTCAATCATGATCAACCCATTTCTCTCCTCATATCTCGCCTTGCCAACTGGGATGGGTTTGTTGGGTTGACGGCCTCTAGGGCGAGGGTTTTTGCTTTGGATGGAAACTAACCGATCACCTATAGGTACGGCCAAAATTTCGTAGTCGTCATCGCTGTGTTCCCTCGGATGGACATTCCTGGGAAGTATCTGGCGCTTTCGGGGCACAAACTCCACATCTTTTTCATCCTTTATGGTGGGGTTTTGAGAACGGAAGTCACGCTTCTTTGAAGTTTTCTTGACTTCCTTCTTCCTTTCACCCTTCAGGAGCTGCGCAGCATCATACGCTACCTCAAATGCCAGGCCAGGAATGTCGTTCTCATAATCCATAAAGTCATCTTTGCCGAGCAGCAAGGATTCGTCATTCCGCAGCCGCTCCGCATGCCTGCCTTTGGCAGCTCCAGGAGCATCGGGCTTCGGAGTAAGACGGGAAGTGCTGGATCGAGCAGTAGGCAGACTTTGTAATTGTAAGGACGTGTTTTCCTCCACCTTTATTTCATCATCGGTATCTTCAACAAATAACGCAGGTCTCCCTGCCTTTGAGACAGATCTAGATGTGTTCTTTGTGAGAGATTGCCGGATTGAAGGGAGGTCAGGTGAGGGTGTACATTCTGGCGAGTCCCCATATTCATCTTCATCGTCCTCAGAATATCCACCATCAAAGTTCTGGCGTCTCGCAGACTGCGAGTGTGACATATTCCGAGTACCAGTTCGGGCGCGTTGTTGATGTTTCGAGATAGTCATGGTGTCTGCCTCTCCTCTTTGCTGGGCGCGGGAGCCAACTTTCTGGTAATAGTGTTGGAACAAGGATGTCTTTGTGTATATGCGATCACCTCCCTTCTTGTCCATTACTCTTTGCATTATAGGCACAAGCTCTTCCCAGTCCAACCTCTCTCCACTATCATTGTCTGGGAGAGCATAGCGAGAGCGAGGAAGAATGTCGTCTAGGAAGACCTGCTTCTCATCGGGAGTCCAGAATTTAGCACCCATCTTTGCTTGTCGAATACCTTCAAGTGTAGTTGCGTACGAAAGAGGTGCTTGTATTGGTTGTTCTTGTGGTTGTGCGTATTCGAGTGCCTTCTTTCTTGAGCCAAGCAGAATCGTAACGGCTAAAAGCCTTGCATGGGTGAATCCAAGTTGGAGGAGCTGTTGTGGTCTGTGATTCACAGAATATCTAGATTGCCTAGAAATATCGTCAGTGAATGGGTCAAGGAACATTATTACTCAGAAGAGATTTTCTAGCGTTGTGACAAGAGGCAAATGAGCCAGTGATTATAGACTGCTGTCTCTACCTCTGCCCAGCTTATATAATATATAAGAGCCCTTTTTCGAGTCTGTATGCTCAAAGGCCACCGAGCATTCACACCTGGGTAGTAGGCATCAGCCAAAGATAAAAATGCACACACCTAGGTAGGCAAGTCGACTAGAGGTCCCAGTACGCTCTAGAGGTGTTGTATAGGCCAGCACACAAGGGTAGGTTGATGTTGTTGACGTATATCTTGCTTGATTGGGCGGATGGTTCCAGAAGGAAGAAGGGAGCAGATGTTCAAGAAGAAAAAATGCACGGGAGGGATGTTGAGAGGATTACTGGAGGAAAGATTTCTTGCTAGGTCGGTGGCTTTGATTGGAGGGCATTGAAAGCAGAGAGAGGCTCTTTTATCGTTGGTGCTTGCTGTTGCGCAGGAAAAAACTTGCCGGCATTCACCGTGACTCGCCTGGTCTGGACAGTAATATAAAGGCTGGAGATTGACAATAAGAATGACAATGACTAGTCGGGTATTGTTGGAAATGAGAAAGGAGGGTCACCAGAAGATGCGTCGATGTATTGAAGATATGATGGTGAGAATGAGTTTTTTTGCAATTTGGAGGTGGTACTATAGAACGATTAATTGGACTACGTCAGTCATCGCTATCTACCTTACCTTCCTATTGCCACTTCTCTGAATCGTCAGTATGGTGAATTGATATGGTGGCACTTGGTATGTGCGAGAAGTATAATGCGCCACAGTTGTAGAACAAAAGGTGCAACACAGAAAACGTATTGTTGTTCCCTTAGTTGACTTCATGTAGCTTCCTCACTCAACAAGCCCATGAATAATCATCTTAAATTCATTCGTCTCACATACCGGAACCACTAGATCTTGGCCTTGAAGTTGCAGGAAGGGCCTTTCCACTACACAGGTGGGAGCTTATGAAGGTTTATAGAATCATCACTAGATGCAGATTGGGGGACAACGATGGCTACATTGTTTTCATTATATCGTTGACAGTCTTGGAAGCAAGTCTCTTTCTCTCTGCTTCTGGCAAATCGGCACCCATATCTACCTCTGTTAGCTAAATCTCGTTTGGTACCGGTTATGACTTACCTCTCACTGCCTGCAACTTCAGCATCATAGCTTGCATCTTTTCTACTTCATCATCTTCAGCTTTTTCATCTCCCCCGGAATCCTCACCCAGGCTACCACCATAGATAGCACGCTTCATTCCAGCCATCTCATCCGCCATCTCTGTAGGATCTATCCCAAACCCCATACTTCCCACGTCCTCGTCATCCTCTCCTTCGTCGAGATCACCAGGATCAATAACAGGATCAAGCTCATCTGCACCTTCCCAATCATTCGTCTCCAGCGCCTCCTTCAGCCTCTCAAGTCCCATCGGCTCTGCGCAAGTCAGCTTCAATGACTGACCCTTTTTCCAAGTCCAGATTTGATTAACACATACCAGAAAACTCATTTCTGCCCTTACTCTCAAAATCCACAAACTCAAAACCGTGATCCTGACACAGCTCCTCCCACTCCTCAAAGCTCTTCTCCAGAAACGGCGTCGTAGACTGCGGCATCGCCACAGCCAAGCACGCGCCATCCCACGCATACCCACAGCCTTCCTTCACAACTTCGGCCACATGTTGCAGCAGCTCATTAATGCCCCTGAGCGAGGACTCATCTACAGGTTTCCGAAAACACACAACGAACGCACCCAGCACCGTGAGCACTTCCCTTGCCTCTGGGGCGAGGAACTCAGCTGACCATGTTTTGGGGTTGGAGATTTCGTCGAGCCAGATGGGGATGTTGGCTGTGTAGTAGTTTGTTTTGGTTGGCCAGTTGTGCGTTGTGCCTGCTATTGAGTCTGTTGGGAGAGAGGGCACTGTTCCCGTGAGACCTGGGTGGGGTTGGATGTGAGATTAGAGGTTTATGATGTGAATGAATGGGGAATCATTACCTTTTACTAGTTCGAGGAGGCCGGAATCGGGTGGGCTTACGGCGAGGATACGACGGGGGTGTGAGATTTCCATGTTTTCGGTTTCTGGATTTGGGTTGTAGTTGGAAGAGCGAGGCTGACGGGAGGGGTTGACTATCGAAGGTGGTCATGGGATACACGTGACGAGGCTGATTCCTGGCAAATACGGTACAACTTCAGGTCGGAATTAAGGTAAGATCGATGAACAAGATATCAATATACAGCTAGACAGATGTGCAATAGCGAATTTGTCACAAGCAACTGAATTCGATGGCATTGGGAGAAACTTTAGATCCTGGATTTGGCACATATTCTCAAAGTAGGTAAACCCATAATCTAGCCAGAATACGCTCGACTTTTCCTATAACGCCGTATCAAAAGAACCCATGTCTCTATGAAGCTTTATCCATTCTTGGTATCACGTCCTTCAACCCCTTGGTGCTCCTCGCCCACTAGCTCTTGCTCTGCTGACCGTAGCTCTTCCTCTTGCCAATCCAACACCTCTACCCTTTACGCCTCGGCTTCTAAACATAGGTGCGTTTCTGTAAGAGCAAAGTTAGTTACTTGTTGGCTTTTTCTAGCTATAATTTATAGTATATCTATCCGCTTAGGGATTAAGAGGAAATCTTGGGACTGACCGAAGCATATCGGGGACGATGAAAAATCGAACGTGCGAGCCGCGAATATAGACCTGGTCGAGATGGCTGACACGTCCGTCGCGCGCAGTAACCGTAATATCTTTCAGTTGGACGTTCATGTTGTCCTCAGCTATGATTCGTGCCACGTCAGCGCCTCTGTTCCCATTTGTAAATCAGGAGAATAATGTATTGTGGAATATGCATAGACGGACCTTCGAGGAGCTTGCCGCGATAGACCTGACCGGAGGTGATCTCGAGGGTGACAACATGGCCCTGTGCAAGAATAAGAATTAGCCATAGCTCATGCTGGTACTTCTTGGGGATCAAAGGAGGGCGGGGCAGGGTGAAGGAGGAGGGGTTGGAAGGAATCAATACTGACTTGCGCCTCGTTCAGCAACTTGATCGGGATGCCAATAGTACTCGTCATTGTGTCGCCTTTGAATAATTCTGGACCTGCTGAAGTTTACAGTCGGAGGCAGGTAATAATGTCGGTGTGAGGTTGAGGTTGAGGTGGGGGTGGAGTCCGTTGCAGTGCGCAGGCAAGGCAAAGCTCGAAAAGTCGCGCTAGGATTTTTGAAGCTCTTCGGCTACTGCACTAGCTTCAATAGGAAATCCATCACCAAGCCAAGCTTCACTTCAGTCCCCAACTACCTCACCATATCATATCTTCAAAGCAAAATCAATGGATATGAGCGCTTTTAATGTTTCAGCCACGTTAAATGTCTTCCGCCTCATAGCAAGACCGACCCTATGCTTGCCACATGCTACCGTCTCGACTTTCGCCCAGCTCCCTATACCACTCAATCAAGCCTTCGGAAAGTACAAGAATCTCGATATCAGGGCCGTCGTGCTGGATAAAGATAACTGCTTTGCCTATCCTCATTCAAACGAAGTGCACAAGCCATATCAGGTGAGCTATCTCTTTTTCAATATAGCCAACGTGGCCTGCAATTGCAAGCTTGCAACATCCGCGTTTTCGTCTGGCTTGAAAATAAATAAACAATATTTCCAATGTTACACATGACATTACACATTTCTAGCTATCTTCAGTGAAGCTCCCGTAACATCTCTAACTCCATCCAGGACCATTTCCAGCGCTTGAAAGAAGCATATCCCGGCCGCCGCCTTCTGATAGTCTCCAACACAGCAGGCGCATCATCCGTCGACCCGGTCCTCAATATTGCTGCAGAAGTCGAGAAGTCTACAGGAGTGCCTGTGCTTCCGCACAGTACCAAGAAGCCAGGATGCGGACCCGAGATCATGGAGTATTTTCGAAAGTATCCCGAGACGGGTGTCACGAGACCAGAGCACATTGCAGTAGTGGGCGATCGACTGACTACTGATGTGATGCTGGCGAATATGATGGGCAGCTATGCTGTTTGGGTCACAGATGGCGTTGTGCCTTTGGAACAAGCAAGTATTGTGAGTTTTCGTCTCTGGCGACTGGTCATGTAGAATCTACTAAGTGTTTTCAATAGTTTGCACGCATGGAGCACAGATTTGCAGCATTCTTGCAGAAAAGGGGGTATGAAGCTCCGGAACCTATGAGCCAGTTTGAGAGATAATCTTGATATGAGTTTACTCCCATCTTGATCACGTGTTGCGGGAAGAATTATAAGTGGACACAACTCAATGTCCCCAAAATACTTCAAGCGTCAGTCCGTCTGATCTTTTCGGGACATCCCTTGTTAGCGTTCTCCCGGTATGTGGGATGGATGCCCATTTTATATGATGTGCATAGGCGGCGAAGTCTTTGCGTGCAGAGACGCAATTTCGCGTACAGTACGGGTCCTTCCAGAACGTGTGGCGCCTGGGGGTACGAAACCGAAACCCCTGAAGCTCGTGGGTGAAGAATTACTGGCCTGGATAAGAGCATGGAGGGTCACAATCGGGTGGCTTGAGAAGGATATATTCAGATTCTGCAAAGCGACGTCGCTGCATTTTGCCTAAAGTAGTCAATGGGAATGAATGAATCCGTGATACACAACGTATTTGCTGGTCATTGGAAAACCTTGCCAAACTCGCCGCGCAAATGTTGAGGTCAAGCTGTTCTTGTAAGTCGCCGAAACCTGTTAAGACTCAAAGATTGGACAAATGTGTTGTTTATTCAAAAGGGGTGTAAATCTCATCAAGAACTTGAAATCTATATGGTTTAAATCCTCTCTCCTCATGAGTGCGTTTCTTTCAGGCATATCCTCTTATCAAAGCTTGCAAGTTATCACAAGTATGAGGTTCAAAGCCAAAATGAACCACGTGCAACTTGCGAGATACTTTTCACGTTTTGGCATTTCTCCTCTATGGTAAGTTTTCAACTCTTTTCCATGTTCTCCCAGTATCGCACGCCCCGCTTTATTCGTTCATTGCTTCCCATTTTCCTAATCTTGCTTCCTCTTGTGGCCTCGAGGCGGACGCGTAGTTCAGTCAGGGCACGCTCCAACCACGCCCGTTTCTTAGTTGATGTGTATAATTACCTTGATGAGAAGCTCTCCAGACCGCTTCACAGTCAGACTGTAAAGAGTAATTCGAGCGAGATCGGTTCCTACTTTCCAATGCTTTGGTGGGAGAACAATGTTAGGGTTAGCTGTATACTTTATACCGTGCCGTATCATCTAGAGGCACGACTCCGGGAGTCAACGAGGGTTTCTGGGACGAAGAGTCAGCAGGGTAGCAAGGAGTTCCCGAGGGTCAGGAAACACTGATTATGTACCTGAAGAAGCCTGGGAAAGTTTTGGGGAGCAATAAGCTGGAATGGCTATCACTAACGCCGGTACATTGCGGCGTGCTTCCCGTATTCCTCAACCATGCGCCATGGGCTTGATATGTATAGACGTGACAGTACTTTGCATCAGGAGTAAGTTTTCAAGAAGCAAAATGATGCGGAAAACGCGCGATGTGGGAAGGAAACGAGACGTCGATATCCATGTTGAAGGGCTCGATAGATCAAGAAAGAGAGGTTCCAAGATGAAGCAACTCGGTGGAGTATACTCGCGATGAAGCGTCAAGTGGATGCACTCCAATCAGGCGGATTCAGTGGCCCACTGGTTTCAAAATATAGAAACCTTCAGACAGCGCTAGGAAATTTTCTTGGTAAGGCCAGTGTTTGAATAACACATCAGGCGATAAAAATACGCACTTGGTACTGTACAATACCGAAAGAGGAGATGCATAATAATAGCGGAGATCTTTTCCACGAGCCACTACTACTGCATCGGACAGATATGCATGAATAGCCATAGATCAGCCTCTTGCAACGTCCATATCTGTGGGGAATTTCATGCTGGCTTTACTCTTTTTAGTACATCGTTGCCGAAGCTGGCGATGTGTGCGACTCGCGCAGGGAGGAATATCAAACGCCTATGCTCCGAGTCTGGAAATACAAATGCACTGGGGCCTCCCCGGATGGAGTCATGGGACTCGGAGAAATGCTGCGGGTTTCCGATGCTTTAATGATTGCCGATGGTATTTGACAGGTTCTCTTGAGACGTAGACACGGCATTGCATGCTGCGCAGAAGTATTGAGTTGTGCAAACCTTAAGTAGGGCATAAATAGGGTTCAGCTTGCGGAGTGTGTGACATACCTCCGTAGGGGTGAAAAGGGGCTCTTTTTCAGCCCCCACTGGGCGATATCGACCTTGGCCTGGAATCATGACACCACATGGCTGCATGGACTTGTTGCGAACTTGCGAGAGCGGCGTCTTTCTGAGGTCGAGCATGAGGATTTCAAGGCACAGGGGTTGATTTACCCGTGCGCCTTCATTCTTTCATAGGGCAGACGAATCCCCTGTCCCGACTTCAAGGAACAGGGTTTATGAGTGGGTATTCGAAACAGGGCGCAACGCAACAAATGCCTCCGAAAACTTTCCTTTTGGGAAATGGTTTTTTTTGGCCGAGACAGATGGTTTTGAGTCTCTGCTTGTTTGGAAAGGAGTGGTACTGTACGCGCAGGTTCTGATCGACGGTGTTTCCTCTCGAACTTGGAGGAGGTCACGATTGACTCTTACCCCTTTTTTTTTCTGGGCCCATGATGCGTTATCGCAAGCTGCCTTCGAGACGTTCCTGGAGCTAAACTGCATGTAGTGTGATGCATCTCGTCCGGCCAAACACAAGTGTCTTACGGCTCGGCGAGTGTTAGAACTGATGCAGGTACGAGGGGCAGAAGCGCGGGAGCACCTTCTTTGATGGTGTGTTGCATCGGGGAGCACCAGGAGGGGAGGGTCTTGAAAAGGGTAAAAAGGACCTACATTACTAATAGCATATGACATTGGATGGATTTACGCCGCCGGGCCATCCATCCATATGGAGGCGTTCACGTTCAATCGTTGACGCGATGCTGCTGGCCGCTGCTGATCTATTTTGGACTCGGCAGAAGGTTTATGCTTTGGCAGGGTATCATTATAGGCGCGTTTCATTGGCCGCTGAAACTTGCGCGACAAGAGGCATCAATCCTCATCACCAGATCTTTGTTCTGTCACCGGTAGCTGCGGGAAGAGAGAGAGAGGCAGACAGGCAGACAGGCAGACAGAGAGCAAAAGGTGGGGAGGGAATAGATGGCGCGCTTAGGGAGACCCGTCCAAAACAAAACCAGGTGTATGGGCCGGCTGGTTGCATCTGCGACTGTGCAACAGGAGCGAGTGTGGAAAAATACTTCGTACAGAGTGAGTACTGACTGTAACATGCACGAAGTCAGAAGATGGAATCGGTTGGTCGAGAAGTGCTTCAAAGTGGCAGCCGCCTGTTCGACTCCTCCAGAATCCAGGCGGTTGAATGGGTAGCCCAGCCGCCATTAATTGACGATTGGGGGGGTTGCGGTGCGGCGGTCGGTCCCATGCCATGTCTGGTTAAGCAATGAGCATGCACCCACCGAGCTTACGCGCGAGGTCTCCCCCTTTTTTCTCTTGACCGCGACTTCTACAGTCAGCATGACAATGGTGGGATATACTTGGTAAATAATACGGTAGCTACCGTAGGATACTGTAGAGCAATTGTTACAGTACCGTGCCTCCTGCTCTTGGAAGGTGGAGACATCAGGTAGCTGCTTCGCTGTCGCCGCAGCCCTGATCCTTCGTTCTGTCCATCCAGAAGATGCCAATAGGCAGTTCTATACGGAGGTATTATACGTACGTAGCTTGGCTTGGCTTCCTTGTTCTGGAGTTTTGCGAGTCCGAGGTCAGAATAATAGGAGTGGTATAGGTATGGCACTACAAATTGATAGCTACATACGATCAAATGATTGATTTATCGTTCAACTCTACACTCCAAGAATCCAAAAGTCCAAGTCCATGAGTCCACCATGTGTACCCTCCGTAAGCCTCTCACCGATCGCCCCCCCTCCTCGCCAAACGGAGCAGTTCTGAGGTTCCTCGTCCGTATCCGTCCTCGTCTCGCCCCCCCTCACAGACCTCAGAGTGCTCCTCTCTCTCACACCACCAAAATCAGTATCCCAGACCACGCTAGGTGCCCATCTAGGCTTAGCGGCCCCTTCCTTCCCACTCACCCACTCCACCTGCACTTGACTGCCCGGCGCCCACGTCTCGCTTCTGACCTTTCCTTTCCCCTTCTCTTCCATCTATCTCTGCCTCATCCGAGTCACCGTCGCCATCTTGTGATATTTTTCTCCCCGTCGCTCCTTTTTTTTCTTGTTCCCTTTCGGTTCAGTCGTCACTCCTTCCGGCGAACCCATACACTCCTTAGGAACATCGTCTTTTCGACCAACTTCACACTCCTTGAATCCAACTTGCCATTTTTGTCCCGAATCTTCGAGTCCAGAGCCTACTTCAAACCCAAATACCTTTCTATTTCCTGCCAGCTACAGTGAAGCATTTACACCACACTTACACCATAACTTTTGATTCTCGACTTCTCGACTTTTCGATCCGACTTACTCGGTCCCACAACGCATTCGCGGCTATTCACCCTCCCACTATTCTCGATACGATCAACGGCAGGGCAACTACGCTATTTAGAAGCTTAGAAGTATATATTGGGAGGAAACAGGCGCAAACCCGCTCGACCACGGTCTAATCCCCCAATATGTCCGACATATCTCACGAAGACGCTGCGATCAAGATGTCCTCGACACCCAGCCCAACCGCGTCGAATGCTGCGAGCAGCACCTCGGCATCCCGAAGACCCGCTCGTAAGAGCACTTTAACCCAACAACAAAAGAACCAGAAGCGACAACGTGCTACTCAAGACCAATTGGTTACATTGGAGATGGAATTTAACAAAAACCCAACGCCAACCGCCACGGTCAGGGAGCGGATTGCGGACGATATCAACATGACAGAGCGATCTGTGCAAATTTGGTTTCAGAATCGGTGGGTTTCATGCGTAGTTGAGTCGATCATACAACAGACTAACATACTTTAGACGAGCCAAGATAAAGCTCTTGGCCAAGAAGAGCATAGAGACTGGTGAGGATTGCGATGCCATCCCGGAATCCATGCGCCAGTATCTCGCAATTCAAGCTATGGAGTCGGGGAAGTCCTTGGGAGGCAACTTTCTTGGTCGTTCGGGACTGATGCCTTATGGAAGTGGTAGTATGCTAATGGGCGGCGATCAAGGTCCCCAGGGCAAAGTCGGTGCGTAGTGTTATTTCCAAGTTTTACTCATTATTTTCGCTGACATGCTTTAAGTCATCCACCACCTTTCGTGCCGGTCGTTGAGCGTGGGTTCATGGAGACGGGTAGGGCAAAACGCCATGGATCTGATCATCTTCTACTCCCCCGACAAAGCGACGATGACATATTACATCAACAACGACCAAGCAGGCTATAAGATCGAATACCCATTTGCTTTCATCAAAAATATCTTCCTGGAAAATGGGGATAATGAGTCAGGAAAACCGGGCGGTCTTGTGGTGGAGCTTAACCGCCCGCCGAACTTCTTCATGGACTCCTCCGGATCAGGTGGTTTCTTTCAATGCGGTGATTTCACCGAGGACCAACAAGCCTCGCAGGTGATGATCCATCAGCTTGGAGGACACCCGAAGGTTCTCAGTGGCCAATTGGCCAAGCTCGTTTCTCTCGAGTCTTTCATGACTCGACACAGCCCATTCGACCACCAGCAGCAAGTGTTGTCGGTGTCAGCACCTGTATCCCCGACCGGACACCGCCCAGCGTCTCAACCGAACTACAACACTCAAGCTCATGTTGGCATGTACCAAGAGGGATGGGGTGTAAATGTAGTTCCAGGCCCCCGCGGTCCAGGTCATAAGAGACAGAGGAGTCGCTCAGTTCCCATGGCAGTCGATTTCTCCATGTTCAACAATCCTATGCCGTCGTTCCTCATCCAGCATCCCAATGAGACTCAGTCGCAGGCTCACAACCCAAACATCTTCGCTCCCGTTGCACAGCAGCCTAATACCTTGGGCCAACTCGGAAACAATCTGCGAATCGATACCTCAACTGGGTATGGCAGCATGGAATTTAGACAGTACCCAATGTCTGCTGCGACAACCGCATCTCCATCGGATTTTGCCAGCCCAGGCTTCTTTTCTCAAGCCCCAGACTCCTCAGCGATTCCTGCTTCTTACGGCAACAATAACCCAAACTATAGTACGCCATACCTCTCGCCCAATAATATGGCCGACCACTCGGGAGGGATGATCCCCCCTTCTGTGTCCCCGCTTTCATTTATGAATCACGGAGACCCAGCAATTGTTGATCAATCCCCACCTCTCTCGATGATGCACCGGAGCTCCTCTGCGGATGTATACACTATGTCACATGAACACCCGTCAAACATATCGGATGATGGCACCTCACTTAATGAGATGTATTCGAAACACACTCTAAATCTTCCTATGCATTCCCACTCCCCAGCTTTCACTGAGCAATCATCAGCAGATATGGATATGAATCAGCTGGTCTCATTCGATGAGAACCCTGCTAGTTTGTCCCCCGAAAATATTTCCCAGTAGAGACCAAGTTCAGATGATAAGGACTGGTACAAAGCCTATACTTCAGGTTCTCTCGCGCCCGGGGTATGGCTGCATTTGAGCGGGAGGTTGAGCTGATGCCTGGAGCTAAATTGTGTGCATTGGAAAATATGGGAGGCGTTCATGGATGGTTTTCTTTTGTTCGGATGAGTTGGTAAATACACACATGACGGCCTGAGATTTTGTCCTATTCTTGTTTAACTTTCGATGTTCTAATTCTCGTTTCTGGTCGACTCGGGGTTCTCTTTCCTTATACCTGTCTCCTTGCTATTTGTCTTTAGCCACGAACTTGCATGACCACTTCCACCTTCAATCATGCGTGTCTGGCACAGCAATCTCCATTTGTTCTTGTTATTTACCGGCGTGCTGTTTTGTGTCTACAACTTTCCAAGGCACTTCTTTGACTTATTTGGCTGTCTCCTGAGGAGCTAGCACTAGTGGGGGATATAAATGGAGAGTGAAAAGCGGATAGTAGTATATGGGACATTCTGAAGAGGGAATGGCAGAATGTGATTTTGTCTGGATTTGCTGCATTGTGCGTCTGATGATATTAAGGCGGGCTTAATAATGGAACCATTATATACATCTTCTGCATCTCTCAATTTCGCTCTAACCCGTGAGACTTTGATGATGAGCCTGAACTCGGTATAGTCCAAGTATCCCAGTTAAAGAGTACCCTGACAGATGTTGATCTAATCGTGGTTCCCAAAGCCTACTAAACACCACCGGTCTGGCCCCACCCCATTATTTTAGTTCAGACATTTGTACGAAATAGGGTAGACCAAAGAAGCATCAACAGGGCAGAGATGAGGAAATACCTCTTCGTTGTCTGCCTAGTAATTATTGAAGGTTATCTACTCTTCTTGAATAAGCTGCATATAAATGGACGTTTTGTTTGGCGCTCTAAAAACAGATACGCCGGGCAACTTCTAAGCCTCGGACTGCGCCGTAAGGTACGGATGTACCTAGGTAGGCATACAGGGGTTCACTCCGCCATCCAGCGCTACGTAATACCCAAGCAAGCGGCGAACCTCCGTGACCGACCCCCACCAAGAAGAGAAAGTTCCACAAATACCACACTCACACTCACTCTCACTCTCACTCTCGCTATTCACTAGGTAGGTATTCGTTGCCGATATACTCCTGTCGCTATCCCATGACGAATCTTCGCATCTTTTCTCCCACCACCCGGTGACATATAGTACCTCGTTGGTTCGCGGCTAAGAAGTAGCCACCTACTTGGCTTGGGTGTTTAAGCCAGCCTTGGAAAGCAATTCTCCAGAAAGCAAGCAGGCTATCGAATGGAGCCCAACGCAAAGAAATCCACATGGCGGACAATATAGGAGGATCGGGTTCGCCTTCTTCCAAAAGACGAAGTGCGCCAGACCCAATGCATTCTGTCGCAATGGAGGGGCGCGCATTGTCAGACAGAGAGGGACCACGAGTACGCTTCTCCCAGGATCTCGACAGGGCCACGGCGCCTGCATCTACGTCTGCCGGGGAACGACCTGGAACTCCAAATCTAACGATTGATACCTCTACGGCGTCTAGAGGCCAGCATGATACCCCCAGGTCTCCTCTTTCCAGCCTTCAACCCAGGGAGGGCCTGAGTACTCTGTCGCCTACTTCGCCGCGTCATAGGGACAGAGGATACTCTCTGCGCAGATCTTTATTTGCTAGGAGCATAAACGATCATTCAGATAATAGTCCAGTTGAGCTTGTGGAAGCAGGATCATCAGCGCAATCTGAGGGCAGTGCTCGCAGGACAAAGGGGAAAGAACCGCGGTTATCAGTTACTATATCTCCAGCAATTGATAATGAGTTAGAGAATTCTAGAACGAGAGTCAGTGAGCGGTCTTTCGGTTCCGAACCCCCAAAATACCAGAAAAAGAAGGCCTCCGGAACTATAAGCCTCCCAAACTACGATGCCTGGGCAAGGAAACAGACGCGGGATAACGTACTGCTGAAGAAGGGGAAAGCTTTTTACAAGAAAGCGCAGACGTTTCTGGGACCGAAGCAGATTCCTCCTTCTAAAGATGGTCGCCATATTATTCTGGATGTCTCGAGGAGGCAGGCACTCATCGATGAAAGGACGGGGAAAGAATACATATGGAACACAATCAGGTCTAGCCGGTATACCCTCTGGAACTTCATACCCCGCCAGCTGTTCTTCCAGTTCTCAAAACTTGCGAATGCCTACTTTCTTCTAATTTCAATCATGCAAATGATCCCGGGTTTGAGTACGACTGGGACTTACACAACCATCATACCACTTCTTTGTTTTGTGGCTATAAGTATGGGGAAAGAAGGCTGGGATGATGTTCGTCGGTACAAGTTGGATAAAGTGGAGAATAATAAAACAGCCTTTGTGCTTCACGCCTACCGGCCAATCCAAGAAGAGGTGCCGAAATCTAGGACGAAAAGTCTCAAGGAGTGGAGAACCTCCCAAGGGAAGCCCAAATCATCCATTCGGCGGAATCCTTCTCTCGGTCATGATCATATCATTGAAATTCCCCTCGAAGAGATCGCGGAAAAACCAAAGAACTGGGCAACTCTGAAGTGGAAAGATGTCAAGGTTGGGGATGTGATCAAGCTCGAAAGGGACATGAACGTTCCAGCGGACATGGTGCTTCTTCATTCTGACGGTCCCAATGGCATTGCTTACATTGAAACCATGGCTCTAGATGGCGAAACCAACCTCAAAAGCAAACAAGCACCACCTGCCTTGGCTAAACGATGCGGAAGTCCGAATGCAATTGCCGCTTGCCATGCTGAAATTGTCGTCGAGGATCCAAACCTTGACCTCTACAATTTTGATGGAAGGGTTACTATTGACGGAGAAACGAAGCCCCTGACTACAAACGAGATTATCTACCGTGGAAGCACCTTGAGGAACACTACCAGTGCCATTGGGATGGTCATCAATACCGGTGAAGACTGCAAAATTCGAATGAACGCCAACAAGAACCCTCGAATCAAAGCGCCAGCAATTCAAGCGATTACGAATAAAATTGTCGCCATGCTTGTGATCTTTGTCATACTCCTTGCCCTGTTTTGCACTGTTGCATATCAAATCTGGGCTCAGAACGTGGAAGAAGATTCGTGGTATCTGGACCATGCTCACGTTCCTTTTAGTCAGATCATAATCGGCTTCATCATTCTCTACAACACCTTGATTCCGCTTTCGCTATATGTCAGTCTCGAGATTATCAAGGTCGGACAGCTTATTCTTATGGCCGACGTGGAAATGTACGACCCTGTTTCTGATACTCCAATGGTCTGCAACACAACCACGATTCTGGAGAATCTGGGGCAAGTCGACTATATATTCTCAGATAAGACAGGAACCTTGACAGACAACATTATGAAGTTTCGTAAACTGAGTGTTGCTGGTTATGCTTGGCTTCATGACTTCGATTTACAGAAAGAAGCTGCCGAGAAACTCGAGCGTGATAGTGGCAACTTGGACACGAAGAAAACAAAAGGCAAAGGAGTTGCGACGCGATTTGCCAAGAAGAAGGTATCACGGCCGCCGCTTGATCGCCGAAATGACTCTGAGGCCACAACTTCAACATTTCAGTATGGAGCTTCTGGCTCTATACGAAGGTCAGGATCCCTGTGGAGGTCAACGGCTCGGCCAACCAAAGCCCAGCCCGAAGCTCGTACGGAAGACTTGTTGAGATACATGCAAGCCAAACCACACAGCATGTTCACAAAAAAAGCCAAGTTCTTTCTCCTCTCTCTGGCGCTCTGCCACACTTGCCTACCGGAAGTACAAGAGAACGGAGATATCGAGTTCCAAGCCGCATCGCCCGATGAGTTGGCCCTCGTTAAAGCTGCCCAGGAGCTTGGATATCTTGTCATTGATCGTCCCGCCCGATCTATAACACTCACATATCCAGGTGGTCCGGACTCCTCTGAGTCGATCACGGAAACCTACGACGTCCTTGATGTGATAGAATTCTCTAGTAAGAGGAAGCGCATGTCAATAATCGTGAGATTTCCCAATGGAAAGATTTGTATCTTCTGCAAAGGTGCCGACTCCGCTCTTTTACCTAGACTGAAACTAGCTTCGCTTGCTATCGAAAAGGTATCAGAGGTTGTACGTCGGTCCAGCAAGAGAAAGAGTTTGGAGGCTGAACAAGCCCTGCGGAGAATGAGCGAGCAAACGAGCGAGCATAGTCCAAGAACAAGCTTTAGCCGACATAGCATGAATCTTGGAAGGCCGAGCATAAGTCGCAAGATTACAGAGCATGGAAGATCAAGTATGGCCAGCGTGAGACTTCAGCCCATTCGGGATGAGCTTGATGGCTGGCTTAGACAACGGGAAAGCGACGTCGAGATGGCATCAGACGATATCAGCGCATATCAATCGCCGAGAGCGTCAATGAGTGCAGCAGCGAGAATGTCTTTCGCATCGACCATGGATCTTGATTTTGAGGATCTCGTTGATGACTCCCTTGTTATGGATGACTCGGCAGTATTTGAACGCTGCTTCCAACACATGAATGACTTTGCCTCCGAGGGACTTCGAACGCTCCTCTTTGGGTATAGGTTCTTGGATGAGCAAGAGTATCATGGTGAGTTTGATAAGTTATATCTCGAGGCCGCAATTGCTAACTTTCTCTAGGCTGGAAGAAAATCTACCTCGAAGCTACGACCAGTCTCGTCGACCGTCAAAATTTGATTGAAGGCGCCGGAGAAATGATCGAACAAAACTTTGATCTTGCTGGCGCTACTGCAATCGAAGACAAGCTTCAGAAAGGGGTTCCTGAGACAATCGATAAACTTCGCCGAGCTAACATCAAGATCTGGATGTTGACTGGAGACAAACGAGAGACTGCAATTAACATTGCTCATTCAGCCAGGCTCGCGAAGTCGTACTCCGAGGTTATCATTTTAGACCACACAACTGGCGAGGTTGAGCAGCGCATGGCTACAGCATTACTTGATATAGGGAAAGGGAACATTGCGCATTCCGTCGTCGTCGTGGATGGACAAACGCTGAGCGAGATTGATGATAACGAGACCTTAAAACTTCTCTTCTTCGACTTGGCCATCGTTGTGGATTCTGTTATTTGCTGTCGCGCAAGCCCTAGCCAGAAAGCTTCACTTGTCAAGAAGATTCGGACAAAGGTCAACAAGTCGATTACTTTGGCAATTGGTGACGGTGCCAATGACATCGCCATGATACAAGAGGCCCATGTCGGTATTGGAATTAGTGGCAAGGAAGGTCTTCAAGCAGCCCGGATCTCAGATTACTCAATTGCTCAATTCCGGTTCTTGCAAAGGCTCTTATTCGTTCACGGCCGCTGGAACTACGTCCGAACCGGAAAATACATCCTCTCAACTTTCTGGAAAGAGCTAATGTTCTACCTAATTCAAGCACTCTACCAAAAATGGACCGGCTACACCGGCACATCCCTCTTTGAATCAACCTCTCTCACAGTCTTCAACACGCTCTTCACGTCCCTCTGCGTCATCTTCCTCGGCATCTTCGAGCAAGACCTGAACGCCTCGACGCTCCTCGCTGTCCCCGAACTCTACACACAAGGCCAGCGAAACCTCGGCTTCAACATCAAGAAATACATTGGTTGGATGTTCCTCGCTGCCTCGGAAGCAGTGATTATATATTTCTGCATGTTCGGCCTCTTTGGGCAAGCGGCGGCCTTCACAAAAGATGATAATCTGCTCAGTATGGGACAACTATGCTTTAGTGCCGCGGTAGTATTCATCAACACCAAGATGCTGATCTTGGAAATGCATAACAAAACCTTGATCACAGCTTTCGGATGGGTGATTAGCGTGGGCGGCTGGTTCATGTGGAATATTCTCCTCAGTCTCACGATGAAGATCAAGGGGAATAAGAACTACCTGCTCTATCCCGTCGCCAAGGGCTTCCTGACACGCTTCGGCAGCAATCTACTCTGGTGGCTTGTGTTTTTCCTTACGCTTACGGCGGTCATCGTGCTAGAGTTGGGCATGAGTAGTGTGAGGAAGGCGTTCTGGCCGACGGATACGGATGTTTTTCAGGAGTTGCAGAAAGATGCGTTGATCAAGAAGAGGTTCGAGGAGACAGCTAGAGGGGAGGGCGATGTCGAGATGGGGAAAGAAGAGAGGGAGAGGGAGAAGAATAATGTTGATGCTGAGCGAGAGGGGGAGATTCAGGAGTTGTTGGAGAGGCCGAGGGTTATGGATGATCATGGGGGGTTGGTGAAGAGTCCTGTTGATCCTGAAGAGAGCACTAAGAAGGGCAGTGTGAAGAGGAGGAAGTTTTCTGTTGATGCTGAAAGGAAGTTCGGTGGTGGGTCTGGGACGGTCAGTCCTCGGATGAGGCATTCGGTTGATATTGGCGAGATTTTGGGAGGGAGGTGATTGATTGATTTATGATTATGGTGATGGAGGACTTGTGTATTAAGGGTTGGAAAGAGATAGGAATGGCTGGAAAGGAACCAAAAAATGAAGGTGATACCAGATGACTGACTTACTTATACGAACGGACCGACCGAACGAAAAATAGATACCCTTAAAATCAGGCGGGCGGGCGGGCTCGGACATATATTGTGGGCTGGGCTGGGCCGGATGGCATACTTACGGTACATGGGATTGGGTCAGGATCTCGGCGTCCTGAATATCTTTGGTCAGAGAGTTACTCATGCATGTATGCTGTATGAATTGAATGAATAAGCTTTCCTCCGTACCTCACGCATCTCCATCGATCTATCACTCGGCAGAATTTTCCGGTCAGGCGTTCTTTCATTCATCCACTCATGAACTAAATAATATGCTCATCTACTTACTCACTAACACTCGTACGTAGGATACGAACGAGCATTGAACAAGCCTTTCTCTCTCGGCTTTGCAGATAGATGACTTCTAGAAGAGAATACCGTACCATACTGTGCTATGCTATGCTATGCTATGCTATGCTATATATGTTGGAACTTCAGAAACATCAAAATCACCTCCATGCATGTCCATATCCCCCTCCCCCCATGTCGAGCATAGAGGTATCCAAGCTGTTTGTTTATATTCATTGTAAAGTAGTAGATTGCAACCCCGTGAACGAACTATCCACAGCACAAATACTTGAAAGATTTCATTCTTTACAAGGACCTTAGTAGCATGCGTGGCATGTGGGAATGTAGTTTCCGGGCACGTTGATTGCTGTTTCTAAGCAAGGACACCCACCACGTGGGATCCAAGATGCAAGGGATAAAGCCTCAAGGGCACTCAAAGAAAAGAAAAATCCTGATTGTCTATACTAAACGAACTGCACTCAAGCCTTTCATTGAACACTACTGATATCTAACTGAATATACCGTCTTGACAGTTTTCCTGTCTGTCCAAACCCGTATACGCCATACTCCGTTTGATAATACAAAAATATGCCTGCCTATACTGACTGAGCATCGAGCCCAAATTGTTAAGATTACATACCAAACCAATCATTATAGTATTTGTATAAAACATGCACATCTTTCTTTTCACCCCTGAATTATCATTTGTCACCATACCAGCAAGACACCAGCCCACGCAACGGCGCCCAATACACCAAGTATCGAACACCCCACTCCGTTTGCGCTGTTGCTCGATATGTCGAAAGGACTTCCGCCGCCTCCCCCATCATTTTTCGGTGCGGCTTTTGTTGAGGCGGCAGCATCGGTCTCGGAAGTTGACGCTACTGTTCCCTGTTTGGATGTCGCTGTAATGAGTATTGGAGTGGTCGTTGTGGCTACTGATACCACCTGGGTCGAAGTTGGAGGTGTTGATATCACGGATGACACTGCAGTTGTTGACTCCGCTGTGCTGCTAGTTTCTGGGGTGCTACTGACTTGCAATGTGCTACTAACTTCCGGTGTGCTGCTGACTTCCGGTGTGGAGGTTCTTGCTTCGGCTGTACTTGAGCGAGTCGTAGGGATGGTGACTTGCACTTGTGAAGTCGCTGCGCTGGATGTCCTTCCCCCTCCTCCTGTCACTCCAGGGCTTCCAGTAGGGATTGTCACCGAAACCTCCGCAGAACTCGCTGCCACAGGCGTAGTAGTTTTCGCTATCGTCGTTGTAGTCGCCCTTTCCACCGCAGGACATAAAGCTGGTATAATGCCGCCATCTATGACAATACCCAGTAAAGCATTTGAATTTACAATAACGTTTGCACAACCGCTTTGTACATTCTTCGCCACTTGGTTTAATCCCAATTGACATGACAGTGAGCATTGTTGCTCAAAATCTGTTTGCGTGCAGGACAGTATCTGGGCGTTGTATGCCGATAAACATGCACTCGGTAATAGTATTGCGGTTATTTGCTGAAAGTTCGCTAGAGAAAGCGCATCCGTCGAGCGCAGCGCAAGTAGTATAGGAAGGTAACGCCGCCGCATCTTTGAGGTTGTTATTCGTTATGTCAGACCGATCTTGAAAACTAAAAGCCGACCAGCCCTTTCAAAAAACCTGATGACCGTTGTTGGAGAAATAGTGAAGTTCTGCAATGACCATAAAATCTGGAATTATGGCAAGGAGTATCCCAATACTATCGCGTGAAAGAACTGGTGGAGGATGGTACGTTTAAATTTTCAAAACGCTGTAGGTTTGAGGCGGTCGTTAAGGACTTTGATCGCCTTCCTCCCGCGAGTGCCCTTGTGTTTGCGACGGGAGATGTCGGATATAGAGACCGAGCGCGGAGTGAAGATACCGAAGTACAGAATTGAACGTCGTTCGTTGCACCCGAAGGCTTCCTGTTACTTTCTTTGAATGACGTAGAGAGGGTTTGAATATATTCAATACGGAGGCAGCTCGGATGAGAATCTGGGCCCAACAATATATGCAATATCGTTGAATCTGCGGAGAAGTTGGGTGTTGGAGTTGGATATTTGACAGTACGTATGGCTGGAAAGGAAGGAGAGAAAGAGAGTTCCGGCCTCTCGTAGTTCTAACAGAAAGGAAGGAAGGAAGACTTGACTCGGGAAACCCTTGATAGAAGGAAGATAGGAAGGAAGGATAGTGAAGCTTTTCGGGAGATACGGTACCACACCACGGAAAGATGGTCTTTCACGCGCACATCACCTTTAGTTCCACGAGGTGAGCCATTCTGGAAACCCTCTCAGCCTGTCCGTTTGATGAAGAGCCGGAAGACATATGGATTGGGTGAGAGGAGAGCGAATAGCCTCAATGACAGCCACTGGGCGGCCAATCAAGACGATGAAGTGGGAGTGAAAACAGTTCCTGGAGGTTGCTTGAAACCTGGGGGTCGCTACGTTGTTTCAGTGTGGGAGGAGGGTTGGACGTTTAGGATTTGATTGGAGAGGTGATAATTCGACGGCAGGGATTTATAATTGCACTCTAATCTCGCTGCGACACGTGCAGACTTGTCTGCGATTATCAACGACTCGATGAGATCTAGAAAGCTCTTACATAGAGACGAAGCGCTCGCTTTAACTTCAAGAACGTCCCGTCCCGTTCCTCTTAGGACCTTTCCTTCCTCACTAGAGGACAATGAATCAGAATGCCATACGTTCAGAATTGGTGATATGATACCACGAACGCTTATTTCCACGTCCAATGTTGAAGAGCTTTCTTTGGTGCATAAAATGCAATTTCCAACTGCATTTTGCCTACTGTTGTGAAAAGCCAGAGAGGTCTTCCTTCCTTCTTCTTCTGTCAGTGAGACCAACCCAACCTCCGGACGCAGACAAACTAAGGCATATCTCCTGATAAACCGCCATTAGAAGTTTACCATGGTCGCCAAGATGCTTCGCACCCTGAGGCTTTATCCGAAGCTGGGGACAACAGCCTGTTGTATTTTTAAGATTTTGAAATTGGAGTCCTGTAGATGGTATTGCATCAAATATAATTCAGTAACAGGACCCTCAGTAGTTCTCACTCCTAGGGACTAGGCACAGTTGGGATGGGGTGTCCATTCTGATAGCTTGAAATCTTCAAACAGTTGGATCAACCAATGCCCTTTTGAGTCCTCTCATAGAAATCAACAAAATATAATATTGAGTGAAAATTTATAGTTATTAAAACTTACCAAACAACTATGAAGACTTAATAGTCGTTTCGAATATCAAACACTATATATCAGCTAGCAAATAACGATGAAAGCCACTCATTTAGTATACCCCCCCTCTGATTGGCCAGCCTAAATCGGCAGCCTTTGAAGCACACAGCCTCGTCTGATCCGGCTACCTACCTTCCTCAACTCAATAAAGAACCCAACCCAACCCAACACAATACAATACAATACAACAACACATTAATCAATTCACTACAACCCTTCAGCTCTCGCCATTGCAATACCACGAACGTTCTAGAGAACAAATATTTGCCACAACACAAGTGGGACCTAGCTACAGTATTTACAACACAACACCACTTTACATCACCAACAAAACAAAAGAACACAAAACAAAATACACAATGGCAGCAGAACCCACAACCCCAATCCGCGTCCCAAAAGCAGCAGCTACATATACGCCCTCGACGCAAGATCCTGATCTAAGACATCAGATAAACACCATTTTATTAAAAGACGGGCATATTTCAAAGTAACCCCCCTCCCCCTCATTCCCACACCACCCTACCATACCCAAGCACCCTAACTAACAAACCCCCTCCCCGCCCCTAGAATCCAAGAAACGCTCCTCCACATCCTCAACACGTCCCCCACAAACTGGCCGACGCTAATCCAGACACACGCCCTCGCCCTACTGCGCTCCGGCGATATAACAACCTTCCCCCAGCTGATGAGCCGTGTGCTGGAGGATATCAAGAAAGATGTCAAGGTGGAGGATGGCAATGGGAGTGCGGGCTTGGGGGTTCCGAAGGGGGTCGTAGAGGAGGGACTGAGGATTACGAGGGAGTGTCTGGATGGGGTTGTTGAGGTTGGGGAATAAGGGGGGCTGAGCTATCTGAGGTATGGGGAGGAGGAGAGAAGGGGAGCTGGGCAGAATAGGGTTGAAGGGTTTAATGGACTTTGAGGTGGATGGAGTATGTGTTTGGGTAGCATTCATTGTCGCCTGCGAGCTAGGGGAACTGGCTGGGAGAAAGGCATCGATCGAGCGTGTGAAGTGGTTTTGATTATACAAGCGGGGGAAAATAAGAATCGTTGACTTCGGAATGGGCTTGTTTAGGAGCATTGATGACTTGCATATCCAAGGGTCAGCATAACATATGAAGGCGTTAAGGGATAAACACTACTTTGCACTAAATTCACTTATTAAATTGCAAGCCAGCTTTTGTAGGAAAAATTCTTGGACTATCTATGATGAGGCACACCGAAGATAAATGCAATCTCTTAACTGAGAAATCCCCGCATCGCTGCAAGCAAGCGAGCGGCAAAATGATCTTGAACCACCACACAAGACCTTTCCGACTCCGAAGCCGAAGTTGTTCCAGATGGCAACTATTTCCATCCAGGCTCTATGATTCTCAATGTGCATGCATGAGGTGTGAGAAAGGAAAATAAATTACAGATTTAGTCATAAAGACTATCATCATTTCCGGCCTCTCCAAATCCACCAGCTCCACCAGCTGCCTCGGCTGCTGTCTCGCCCGCCTCGGGGAATTTGAAGAAAGCACCGGGTCCAGAGTTCTTCATGCTTTGAGAAAAGGCCTCATATCGGCGAATTTCAACGTCAGTGACTGATCGTCTGGCAGAGGACATAGCCTCTTCGAAATGAGCCTTGGTAAGCTGAGGAACTGGGTCCTCAGCATCATCATCCTCCATATCAACATCCTCACCAGCAGCCTCACGAGCCTTGCGTCGCTCGATGTCGGTGGAAATGGCCTCCTTAATGGCGAGCTTGACCGCACGTTGAGTGATGAAGCCCAAATCGGCACCAGAGAAACCGTGGGTGCGGGAAGCGATGAAGTCAAGGTCGACATCATCGGCAACTGGTGTCTTTCGGAGTTGCGCCTTGAGGATACCGGCACGAGATGACTCGTTGGGAAGAGGAACGTAGACGAGGGTGTCAAGACGTCCAGGTCTGCAAAGAGCATTGTCGAGTTGCTCAGGTCTGTTGGTGGCACCAATAACGAAGACATTCTTCTTGGATGTCATACCGTCCATTTCTACAACAAGTTAGTATCGATTAAAGATAGAACTCGGGCAAAGTTAGCTTACCAGTCAAAAGTTGGTTGACAACACGATCTGAAGCGCCACCAGCATCTCCATTTGATCCACCTCGTGACTTGGCAATAGAATCTAATTCATCCAAGAACACAACACAAGGAGCAGCGGCTCTAGCTTTGTCGAAGATATCTCTAATGTTGCTCTCGGACTCACCGAACCACATGCTCAACAACTCAGGACCCTTGATGGAAATAAAATTGGCCGAGCACTCATTGGCAACTGCCTTGGCGAGTAAAGTCTTACCAGTACCTGGTGGACCATAGAAGAGTACACCACGGGATGGAGAGAGACCAAACTTGAGGAACTTCTCGGGGTGGTCGACGGGGTACTGCACGCTCTCGATAAGCTCGCGCTTGACATCTTCGAGTCCTCCAATATCATCCCAGCGAACGTTGGGAGTCTCGACAACTGCAACCTCGCGAAGAGCAGATGGGTTGGAGACACCAAGGGCAAAGCGGAAATTTTCCATGGTAACACCCAAAGAGTCCAAAACCTCGGCGTCAATAGTATCCTCATCGAGATCAATGAGATCCATCTTCTCACGAATTTGTTGCATAGCGGCTTCAGAACAGAGGGACGCAACATCAGAACCGACATAACCGTGGGTCTCCGATGCAATTTGCTCGAGATCGACATCCTCACCCAACTTCATGTTCTTGGTGTGGATTTGGAGGATCTCAAGACGGCCAGTTGGGTCAGGAATACCGATATCAACCTCACGATCGAAACGGCCAAAACGACGAAGGGCAGGGTCGATAGAGTTAGGTCTATTGGTAGCAGCCATGACAACGACATTTGATCTAGACTTCATGCCGTCCATGAGGGTAAGAAGTTGCGAAACGACACGGCGCTCAACCTCTCCGTTCGTCTTGTCACGCTTGGGGGCGATGGAATCGATCTCATCGATGAAAATGATGGCGGGGGAATTCTTCTCCGCTTCCTCGAATGCCTTTCGGAGATTCGATTCAGACTCACCAGCCATCTTCGACATGATTTCGGGACCGTTGATCAGGAAGAAGAATGCACCAGTCTCATTTGCCACAGCCCTAGCCATGAGTGTCTTACCGGTACCCGGGGGACCGAACATGAGAACACCACGGGGAGGCTTGATACCGATGGACTTGAAGAGTTGAGGATGTCTCAAAGGAAGCTCAACCATCTCTCGGATCTGTGCCATCTGTTTCCGACATCCTCCAATATCATCGTAGCCAACTTCGTTGAGGTTACCCTCCTCGTCCTCACGCTGGATCGGTTCTCCTTCGCAGTGAATGACGGTATCTTGAGCAACGATTCCGTACTCTGGGGGGTCTACCTCAACAACTTTGAATTCAACTTGTCTCATACCACCACGGACTGTGAAAAGGTCGCCTTGTCGAACAGGTCGGTAGGCTTCACGGAAATATGGGGCGAGGAAAACATCAAAGAGGGAGCCGGTGAGACCCTCGACGGTATCGGCAATAGGAAGGACTGCGATGCGCTTGGCCTATATAGCTTGTCAGCACATGTCGTATCGTATGTGAAAATGGTTTTACTTACATATTTGATGTCAGGGCATGCGTGAACAGTTATGATATCTCCGTGCTTGACGCGGAGGTTATGTCTAACCACACGGTTCATACGTGCACTTCCATCATCCAATTCATCATCAGCAAGGACGATGAGAACTGTGTCCTTGCGCTTCTTTCCCTTAACCAAGACTGTATCTCCACGGAAAAGCTGTAATGTCTCCATGGTATTGTTCGAGAGGGCGATAACGGAGTTGTCATCATTAACGGCATCCGTAACCCTATTGCCACCTGGTCAGTTTGTGAAGTTGCGGATATTGAATGTACTCACATCAACGAATTTGGCTTCTTCTTCTTCTTTAGGATCGCAGTCGCCGTGTCATCAGCCTTGATGGGACGTTAGTATTCAAGCTGCGAGGCTTGGAATCAGTGGCGATGGAACTTACTGCCTTGTGCTCAGCACCAGAAGCATCACTGCAAGATCTGTCAGTGACCATATCGGAGGGAAGCTTGTGGAGATGAGGGTATAGCTTACTTGAGGTTGACCTTCTTCTTGTGCTCGACATGGTCCGGCTCAGCAGACATTTTGAGTACTATTCGGTTCTGGGGTCTCAAGGACAGACGTTATGCTGGGGCGTTTGCTCGTCAGTTATGGCTGCCAGGAGATGGCAGTATTTGTAGAGGAGTGTCTCCGCGTGTATCTACGAGGAGAAAAGTGTTATGTAGAAAGGGATTATTTGATGAGGAGGAAGTTCTTCAATGGAGATGGACGTGGAGGTTGTAGTTTGGAAATGTCGAGTTGAGCAGCTCAGGAACCGAACAGCATGGAAGCTGGACGTTTTAGCGTGGATTTGTGTTTAGCGCAGAACCTTATCGAAAGATTGCAGTCATCATCAGGCAGAACAGGCGACACGAATACTTCCACCAACGTTACTAGAAACGTCTAAAGAATGAATGTACCTAGATACGGAGTAATATTCTGACACAGCAATAACCATCTCAGTGGCACATCATTTACCATCGTCAGAACGACAAATTTATGTTTTTTTTAATTCTACCTGTATTTATTTTTTCAATCCATTGCGTCAGTCGCAACTTCCTCAACAGCGAGTCATGGGACTTGTTCAAATCAATAACCGCAATGCTATATGTTCTACAATGTCTATAGTGTCTATAATGTAACCTTGTTCCCTCAAAAGTTGGCCCGTCACAAACACGGAGAACTATGTGGCGATATATCAACCGCACCTTGTCTAACAAAGGTGGCAAGTCAGGAGCCTCGTTCAAATGATTGTATATGTCGCAGACCTCTCATCCTGCACTTCAATTCCAAAGGCCTATCCATATCCTAGTCGACCTAACACAAATTGAGATCAAATGTTCCCCTCTTCTGCCACCCCAAGCTTCCGTCCAAAGGTAAAAAACCGAAACCAACCCAGTCCAGTTCCAACTTCTCTGACAAGGAGACCGTAGCTTTACGCTCTGCATGTGGTATATAAAAAGCGGGTTTCTAAAATCGAGAATAGTCCGACAGTCCGAAAAGGAAGAGCAAGTGCTATTTCCTGAAAACCTCCAGTCATCCTCCCCTCTTTCGAATATATTCCTATCCCAAAACAGCATAGGAAAAGCTGGGTTGGGTGTCCAACGTCCGTTATGTCGTTGCAAACCGCTTCGCCACCAATCCCTCGAGCCGTCTGCGAAGTCGGCATCCGGCTGGATATGGCGTTGTCAAATTACAATGTAGCAGAAGCTTTACACTGTTGGCCACGTCCCAAGCTTTTGTCTCCACCCAACAAAACCATTGCCTGACTTATCAGCCACGGGCAAGCAATCCAGCATGCCACGCATATCCGGCGCCTGCTGAATATGCATCTCCATCATCTCCCTGGTCAGAACCGCCATGCCCGTAGAAATGGTAGCCGTGGCAATGCGCTCGTGGCGGTGGTTGTGGGGTAGCCAGGTGGTATTGAGCCACGATGACAGGTTCTGGATTGAGTGGAAGGAGGAGAGGATGTGATTGTGAGATGAGCTATCGATAGAGCTGTGGGAAGTATTAGGAGAGGTCCTTGGGGTGGTAGAAGGTGAACGTACCTTGAGGTTGAAGTAGATAATTGAGAGCCAGTTCTGACAATCCGTGACATGTTGCTAGCCATTCCGATGTTGACTCGAGCAGAAAGTTCGGTCTTTGTGTGAGGTATTGTTGATTCGAGCTTCAAGTAGCGAACGTGAGTCTTTAGTACGAGGCTGAGGATGAGGATGAGGTTTAAGATCTGTGCTGAACTGCTATGAGCTCGACAGGTGAGTTAGGTAGCAAATGAAGAGGGGTAGCAAATCTTGTTGCTTTTAAGCAATGAACCCTTTGAACCCAGAGTGGATCTCGTACGCCTATGGTGTAGTTCCTTCATCCAACCTGGCGTAGAGACAGGCTGAATTGCACAGCCTGCGACCAGCACTTCAGCGCTGGCTACATCGTGAGTCGCTCAGCGGCACGAATAGCGAAAGCCGGTGGCTTAGAAATTGTGATTGAAACCTCTGCTTTGCAGCCGGCTTTCTTCTCTTACCATAACTGCGATTGTGTTGCTTCATCACAGTCGGGTTTGCATTGCTGTTGGACATCACCAGGAGAGAGCAGTGGTAAGGAGTGCCAGTGGAGTGGAGTGGTGCGCTGACTTGCGGGAATTACTCTAGCGGCCAGCCGCATGAAAACGTCAGCAAAAGGGCATATAAAAGGTCTTCTTTATTTTGTCACAGAACCTTGCCTTCTGCCCCCACGCTGGTGTGCCTTAGCTAGCTAACATGAGTTGAAGTATCAAACGAAGCTCTTCACAGCCTCGCTTCAAATACTGAGTTTTTAACTCCGTATTGCTTAGTAAAGAGCAAGCAGTAAGTAATAGCGAAGCTCCATGTCAGAACTTAGTGACAACTATAATATCCATCGCTTAAAGCGCAAGTTCATCAAAGCTGCTCTTTGCTAGTGTATATCTCATACGGAGGTAGCGTACTGATATTGTGTTCCAAAGTCTAGTTGGCTATTCCCTGGTACTCCGGATTAAGATGCGGTTCCTTTCTACGAATGAATCTAAGAGTTTCTTGGGAATCCTTCTCTGCCAACTCCATAACTGTTGCTCTATTGTTCGTTATTCTTGTTGCGGAAGGGGAAGAAGCTTGCAGTATACGGAGACTTTGAGGTATGGAGCAAGCCTCGCCATGATGGCCGAGTTAAATGCCGGCTTTCGAAAGCTTTCTTAACGCATGAGGCATTCGAATTGGTGTCACACTCAAGCAAAGATAAATCCGACATTACAAGACTGTACTGTCCCTGTGGGTTGTGGCACACTCTCATATCCAGCACTACGAGTATCCATTGACCAACTATGTCAAAAAACACGAACCATTCAAAAGTGCTAACCTTCCCATTATCCCCTCCCAATTAGAATGACTGCACAACAGAAGAAATGAAAAAGCAAACACTCATCCCATACTCTCTCTCTACATGCATCACACAGCCACACACAACCACGAATATGCAGTGCTCTGGGATGCAAGGGGGTTGAAAAAGGGCGTTCACATCGCGATTTGCAACAAAGTCTTGAAAAGGAAATGTGGATACATGTGATTGGTGTTAAAGTGTTGGGTCATGTGTAGGGCGTGAATTACATCGAATCAGATCGTACTGGGGCTCGCCTTAGATAGATTGATTATACTGACTGAGAAATGTCATGATAATATCTACTAAGTAATATTATCCCAGATGATAAGAACATCTACCAAGTAACTTATTATTATGCCCAGAAATCGAGCCTCAAGAACTGATGTAAATAACTACCTACCCATTTACGGAATGCGGCAAAGCAAACAGGATCGATAGCGCGTTTTAGCCTCCAGGCTCCCAACCTCTACCTCTTCCCGTAACACGGACTCCGCATCCTTTTTCTGTTTCCGATTGTATTTCTTCTCCTTCTGAGCTCACGTATAACATCGGCGTCTGAAGCATCAATCGGAAGATGGCAACAAGAAGGAGTACCCGGGGTCAAAATCTTCCAACTCGAGAAGACGTTAATGATAAGAAAGATGCACCGGCCAAAGCTGTTGTAAGTAGAAAGGAGAAACCCCAAAAACCAGCAGGGAAAATGACAGGACCAAAACCAACTACCCTCAAGGGTAGAGAATCAAAATCACAGCCTCAATCCAACTTGATCAACCCCAAAGTCATGAAATCGGCTCTGCCAGTGCCGCCAGAAGTCTTAAGCATGATCCTGGACAATCTCAAAGACCCATCAACTATAAGTAAATTAGGCCGAGTCAACAAGAGCTTCTATACTCTCATGATGCCCCGACTCTACCACCGCATCGCCGTCGCGGCCATGTTCCACGCGCACATTCCCAAGCTCATTCGTGCACTGGAGCCGCATCTTTCCATAGCGCAGAAGAAGCAGTTGAAGAAGGAAGGCAAGTACAAAGGCCAGCAGGAGCGGTACTCAACCGGCCTTGATGAGAAGGCAAAGCCCATCTGTGCAGGCTATGTAAGGCAAATGGTTGTTGGCGCCGCGGATCCGGGGAGAAAGCACAAATATATTGTTGTCAGATACGTCGAGGAGGCGTTTAAGAATATGCATAATTTAGAGATTGTGGAAACTAGGGTGTTGACCAAGTAAGTGCTTTCTTACAAGTATTGCCTTGTCGCATCTACCCTCATTGGATACATGTACTGTAGGTGAGCTTCACTAATGCTACTTGTAGGTCCATCAGCCAGAGCCTAGCCTCATTTGCACACTTAAAAGCCCTAAGTCTGCTCACAGATGATGCCGAGCCAGAAGGCATAAAACCACTGGCTCAGATCAAGAATTTGAAGCATTTCTACTTGCGATACTATGGCTACCATACTCTGGAGCACATTTTTATTCAGTCCATGCTCTGGAACTCGAGGTCAACACTTCAAAGTCTGGCGATCGAGACGAACGCGTACGCCTGCCAATTCTTGAGAGATTGGGAGAAGAATGGTGAAGGCATAAGTGAACAGGGACATGACTTCACCGCCTTGAAGTCTTTGACTCTTTCCGGCGTGCAAATCGATGAGTATTTCATCAAGGGGTTCCAAAAGGCCATTGACTTTACCGGGCTGCGAGAGCTTAACCTCGGAAGTTTGTGTGACACCAGTTGCCTCTTTTATCCTCATCTCACCAGCATAACCACCTCATATCAAGGCACAAAAGATACCCCGCTAAGCCTGCGAAGTCTGAGCCTCCGCATGTCAGAAAATCCCTCTCAACACAATAGCGCCACATTCGCAGCCAAATGCCGCTTCCTTTCCTCCTTCGACACCCTGACGACTCTGGATCTCCCAAATTATGGACAATACCCATCCAACACCATCGCCAACCCAGGACTCACAGACACGTTACTGCATGCAATTCTCAAACACAAGAACCTGACGACTCTAAAGATATCTTACACGGGCCGAAATAGCGGTTTCGAGACTCCGTACCTAAGCGCGAAGACCGTGGGGGCCATTATAGACGGCTTGCCTCTTTTACGGGAATTTGAATTCGCGCCAGATGAAGCTCAGATGGCTGCAATCAGCCAAGTCCTCCTCCGCGGCAGCAATCTACAATCCATAACCTGCTTCCCGCACGCCAGCTGGGGGATCTACCCCCCGCCAGCCGACCCCGGTGCCAACATGATCTCCATCATTCTGCAAACTTTCTTATCAAACACCAAGTTCAACCTCATCTCACCTTCTCCTTCTGCAAACGGCAAATTTGTCTGGGAAAACCACTATAAGCTTACGCGCGTCTCGGTGATATACAAGGTGTGGGAGGTGGCGTCGGGATTCGGGAAACGAGCGAAAGGAGAGCAGCGTCCGGAAAAGATTCAAGCGGATTCAGCTGATGGACCGCGTGAAGTCTGGTATCGCAGTGTCACGGGGCCGCAGCGTATTCATGTTGGGTTTGATCCGGAGTTTGAGTGGGCAGACAAAGTCGATAGGGAGATGCAGTAGAGCATTCGAGAGGAGTACATGTTTGTGTTTGTTACATATGGGTAGGGCAAGGGTGCAAGCAATTATGGGATGTTACAATAGACGAAGGTTTTTGTTCGGGAAAAGATAAAAGTATTTGGTATTGTGATTATAGAGGGCAGGAAGAAACTAAATACAGCATTATCGTGTGAATTGTCTTATATCCCACGAGAAATCTAGGAGTCAGTATCCAAAAACCAATACATTGGCCCATTCGTACACTCCAAGCCTGTACTTATTTTATGAGAATACTGTAATCTTTAAATGTACCACCTGAAGATGTCTCTTACGCGATGAGGAGATGGAAGCAAAAGCTTGAGGCTGAAAAGTAGGACAGTCACGTGTATCATATTGATTGCGATTCCGGGTCTATCATCCGGAATCGGATCATGGAAAAGGAAAATATCACCCGCTTTTAAGTACCGAGGGTCACATATATGTGTATGTCTTCGGTATGTTTTCGGTATAAATGTGCACCATTGCCCACTTCTTCATTTCAGCTTGAAAGGACTATGTACATACAGAGCCACGACCCAATCTATCCCTATCGTTTCATTATTAGGAAAAACAGTGTTGTGTTACATAGGTCACCCCTCTTTATGCGCCAGCCATCTTCCGTTCTTCTATCCCACGTAACCAAGCCCCTCTTTATTTACTCCCGGGAGACATCACGACCGAAAGCCTTGGACTTTAGCCAGTCGAGAACGACTAAGACGCGGTTGCGTGCTGCTGGGTGGTGAGTAAAATGAAATGTGAAATGCGAGGGGGATGAGGATGAGGGAAACTTACTGCTGAAACACATGCTCAAATACGCGCTTCTCCAGAACAGATATGTCAGTCCACCACCCGTAGCAAAGTTTCCATTTAACCAGCTGACATCAGCCACAGCTCTCTCACTGCCGATATAAGCCAAAGATCCTTGATGTGTGTAATGGAAAGGCTTTATATCCTTGATTCTCCGCAATTTCTTCTCGTGGGACTCAATCTCAACCGCAATCTCTCCGGAATTACCAGGCTTCAAGTTGAGGCTAGAGCTCAAATCATGGATCTGATGCTCAATAGCCTCGCTCTTCGCCATGGTGTTGAAGAGGCGTGCAAGGAAAGCCCCTTCTTGCGAAGCTACTTGAGCCGTTGGCGCGTAACCGGCAACGGCGCAGTCACCAGTTGCCCAGATATCCTTAGTACCTTGGACGACAAGGTATTCGTTGACGGCAAGACCTCTCCGCGAGTCCTTTTGCGCTGGGATTTGGGTCATGAGGTCCTTGACCACAGGACGGACCGCATTTCCGGTTGCCCAGACTAGCAAGCCGTATGGCATGACCTCAATGCTCTTCTTTCCATCAGGACCAGTGGCCTCTGCTTCTACGGTCTTATCGGTCACTTTCTTCACAGCTGTCTTGGTCTTGATTGTGATCTTCTCTTCCTTGAAGGTCGATTCGGTATAATCGATCAACTGCTTGGAGAACATGGGCAAAACGTTCGGGAGAGCCTCAATGAGAGTCACCTTGAACTTGTCGCTGATTTCAGGAACCCACTTCTTAATGTCCTGGTCGAAGAAATCCTGGAGCTCGCCGGCGAATTCGACACCAGTTGGGCCACCACCGACAACAACCATATGAAGCAGGCGCTCAACTTCTTCTGGGGTTTGGTCCTTGAAAGTTGCAGTCTCTACGCAGTCCATGATCTTCTTTCGGATTTGTTGGGCATCTCCAATCTCCTTCAAGAAGCAAGAGTGCTCTTTTACACCAGGGATACCGAAAGTAGCATTCTCAGCACCCACGCTGACAACAAGCATATCGTAAGAAACTTCCGTCTTGTTCGAAGCACCCTTGATGTCAGAATTATCATCTATCATTATTGTCTTCCTCTCCGGGTCAATCTTAGTCGCTTCCGCTTCATAGAACTTGACCGCGGCTTTCTTATGTCTCGTTATACTTCGGATGGGCTCCATAATGGATCGATGCTCGACTGTTCCAGTTGTACATGACGGCAAGAGAGGTGTGAAGAGGAAGTAATTTCGGGGAGAGATAACAATGACATTGTAGTTTTCCGTGTCGAGTTTTTTGAGGAGTGAGACCGCACCCCACCCAGTACCTGCGAAAGCTATTAGAAAAACTCACAAGATATCCAATAAGTATATCTACCTAGAATGACAAGGTTTTTCTTCGATGGATCTGGTGCAAATTGCTCATCGGGATGGCGAAGCTCCCAAACACCGTAAGCTAGATAAGCACTCCCCCCAATAACTGAGAGGTATGTAAGGCGCCAGAGGTATGTAAAGTAGCGAAATCTTCGAGGCTTCTTTGCAGGGGCAGGCGCAATATCAGCGTATGTGCGGCGGAACATCTGCTGGACTTTGCTCTTGTCGAGGGTGACTCTGGAGCTCGGCCGGGCGGCCCGAGTAAGTAAAGACCGCGAAGATGTCGCAAAGGCTCTGCGAGTGGCAGCAGTTGCTGTGCGCATGCCAATTGATGAGGCTGGGAGCCTCATAATTGCTCTAGTTGTTACCGCCATGCTCCAGACTGGAGTGAGGATGAGGGAAGAGGTAGGAATGGAGAGGAGAGAAAGTGTTGATGAGGCTTTTCAAAATTTCTACAACTGAAGCTTAGCTCGGGGTAGGGAGCTGGCCGATTGGCCTTTTAGATAAGAAATTTGGGGCGGCAAAATGCCGTCAGCCTCCAAAACAGGCAACTTGCGCGTGTGATTTACTGTAATAATTGGTTACCAAGATAATTGGCCAATGCCCGACGCCGACGATACTGATGAAATTACCCACATGAATTAGATAGGTAATTTATATATCTTATGCTGGTATACTCGGGGATATACGCTCCATAAAAGGTAAGTGAGCTCGAGTCAGTACATCTATAACTTTACCTCTGAGAATTACCGGGAATTAGCCGATAATCACAGTAACAGTGCAGTGCCTCCTTTCAAGCTGCGAGAGATTTGCTTTATGAGCCTCTTGACCTGATCCCATTCCCAAGTCTTTGTTGACTCTTACATTTCCATATGCGCCGCAAGGATGACAATTATGCTGTACCCGGATTGGGACTGGCAAATATTGCCAAAAGCTCCTTTGCTCCGTGGCATCTCTCTGCTTTATTAGCTCAGCCCGGGCCTTCCCGCTGGACCTTCACGCAGCAATCCAGCGGGCTACCTAGGTAAACCTATGGACAGAAGTACGAATAAGACGTTCCTTTCACCCAGAAATTATCAAAAGTAAGGAGCTGCTATGATCACGCTCTGATGAAGCTTTCTAGGAAACAATATTTGGCGCTTTGCCTATTCCGCATCTCCCGAGGACACTATCTGTGGCTCTCTTACCATACAATAGAGTCTGCATACCTCTCCCCCATCATCACAATCCATCTGCTTCACAAAATGAAAGCCCATGGCTTCATATATCTTCGTGTTAGGGACATCCCTGCTGGACTCTAAATAGCACCTCTTCCCTTCTTCATCGGCGAGTTTCGTCACCTCTCGAGCCAATGCTTTCCCTATTCCTTTGCCTTGCTGTCCTGGAAGTACGACCATGATATTCAGGAAGTAATAACCGCTAGGATCTGTCCAGATTTCAGACTGGGCTTCTGTTTGTTTTTCCTTCCATATGTAATATCGCTAGGTTGTATTAGCAATATTCTCAGAGCAGATAAACGATGAAAAACACGCCTTCAATTTCCAAACAGGGACGACTTGTGAAGGAAAGCGCAACCCATTGGCCCATATTTCGCAAATGTACCTTGTTACGAGTGAACCAGAAAGGAAAGAATGATCCAAGGCCAGTGGAGAGACGTGCACTATTCCTTCCCTCTTTGCCGATGAAAAAGAAGTCGTACGTAATTTCACGTTGGCCACGCGTGAGTGCCATCTTCCCATCAACACATTTCCAGGAAACACTCAGCGATGTGACAAGTTCAACGGAAGTATGCCTTGCGTGTTAATGCGAAATGCGCCTCGGACACAGCCCCGGGTTCGTCTATATTTTGTTTCAACAGACAATGAAACAAATACACGTACCTTCACATTAAGTCCACCTCTACCATACCAAATATTCATCCTCACTTGTTGGGCCCACATTTTCCACCCTTCAAACCACTCTCCCCACGTCTCCTTCTGTGCAGACGGCCTTGGAGGCATCCACATTGCTATTCCGAGCACCTCATCATTGGCATTGGTGTCTTTTGCTACGTAGAAGAGAGCATTACGAACCCCCCATCGACACCGAATGCCAAGAGAGACCCGATTCCTGTTCAGATCAAGCTTTCGGCCACGTCAGTTGAAACCAAATCCAGGATAATCTATTATGAGCAAGATTCGCCGCCAATAGATTTTCAGAGAATGTGCTTCTACTAGAAACGACCGCCTTCTCAATCAATGGCCTCAGGAATGAGGCGGATAGAGAGCACCGGCAAAGGCTGTGCTAACGCGGGGAGGCCCCCGGGGCATCTCAAGGACACCCATGAGGCATCAATCAGAGACATGAAGTGCGAATTACTCACCTTGGCACGATCGTTGTAAACCCAGTTGTTATACGGATCATCTTTGAAGGCTTCTTGGATTGCAGTCACAGCGCCTGGTATGTCGGACTCTGTAAGGGGGGTAATCTCGATTGGCATCTTGATATCAATTGCTCTCGGTCGGACACAGTCACACAGATCTCGTTCCGTTCCAGTTTGAGCCAGAACACTGAGATAGATCTATTCGCAACAAGGCTCGAGGAGGTTCAGAGCCTGAAATTACGGCAGCGGTTATATCAAACTTGCTCACAGCATTGACAGCGTGATAAGAAGATTATTATTCATGGCCGACCTCAAGACATGAGGAATGCACCAGCACTGGCTTGGCTGAGGAAGCTTTGGCGTGAGGTTTTGGCTGAAGGATGGAGTACCACCCAGGAATTGTATTTTGCTATGAAGCTATTCCGGCCTCTGAGGCTCTGACAACAATAAAGAATCGTCAAAATCTGCCCCAAACAACCAAGATGGTGGTTCGAATTGGCGCCTTGTGTTCGTGAGCCGCACCCGAATGTTCCGAAAATAAGGGTGCGGAGTACAGTACAGGAGGCGCACTGACGCGGATCCTGTAACAGGGGCTTCACCTTCGAAACACGATGTCTGTCCCAGACAACGGCAGATAATCCTCCACTCCATCCACATCACCATACAGTACGGAGGTAATGCCTTGCAGTTCTGGCTCATCGCCTCACGAGCCTCCTTGTGTTCGCCTAGCAGCTACTACAGTACTGTGTCTGAGTCTAGCTCTGCATTTGCTTGTGCTTCTAGGTCTCATGTCTACGAAACTGGTTAGTAGATGGCCTCCTCACGCGGTCTGCGACTGCAGCTGTGGGGAAATGGGCCACTGGATCAGCCTGAGGAGTGGTAAATGGTGAGAGCCAGACTTTGGTAACGCCTCCTTAGGCCTGGCGTGCCATGTTGAAGCAGAGACGAGTCCTGCGTGCTCGTATGGGGCCTTCAATATGTGAACCGGCTGCAAGTGTAACCCAAAGACCCCCTCTATGCACCAACAGACGTTCCGTCCCACTGGTGCATCAATCCTCCGCGTTCTCTACCTGAGAATGCGCCGTGACTTTTCATCTACTAGTACTGTACCCCTCTGCCATCTTATGATCTTGGCCCCACCCATCACCATGTCCTAAAGATCTTCAACCCTGATACACCCTCTCTTTTCCATCCTTTCTTCGTTCGCTTTTCCCCCAACTTTTGTTCTTCATACGGCTGGCTCGTGATTTCTATTCTCACGGTGCTTGTTTTTGGTGCTTTTCAGTTCAGCGACTACTATATTATTTTCTCCCATTTGAGAGCATCGGCGTATGCTTGATTGTTTCATCATTCTGGCGTACCACGAGAAGGGGCTGCGATTATTGTGCAGAGGATGAACACGACGATGGCGCCAATAGATCCAAATCAACTCTCTTTGGAAGATTTAAGACGGCGGCATGGTTTAGTTGAGGACATATCTTTAAAACAGAAGAGGGCAGGTGATGGTGAAAAAAGAGATGGAGGAATTGGCGAGGGTACAGGCAATAGCAAGCCGAAAGATCCGAGTCCGAACGTCAGTCCAGGCGAAAAGGGTGGAGATACCAGCAAAAATAAGGGCAAAGGAGATGATGGAGAGGCTGACAACAATGGCAGCAGTCCAACTGCGAGCCCCGGAACCGTCCCTCTACCCCTCCTCCTCCTCCTCCTCCCCCTCCCCCTTCAACTCAACAAGTCAGTACTGGAGTCACATCTCCGACAACATTTCTGGCTCCTGCAGCAGTGACGACTGCTCCAACCACGATTATCATAATCTCAACACCCACTCCATCGCCAGCAGTAATTTCTTCCAGCCCAACCTTACCATCATCAAATACAGTAAGTAAGCAGCTATACATCAAGAGCGAAATATTAACTCTAGACAGATTTTCACTTCATTAATTCCCACTACGTCTTCTTTGTATATTCAACCTGCCTTGCCGTCGGTCACGGCTACACAAAGCGAGCCACGAGATGGGGTAAATACAGATAGACCTCCTAATTTTCCGAGCGTGGAGGCTACTTCAAGTCCCAGCATAGTCGGATCTACGCCGACCGGTTTGCCTCCCAGTGCGGTGCCAGAAGTTGCGGGGTCTTTTTCAACAACACTTGCTGTACCCAGCCATACGCCAGAGCCAGGGCGACACGGTGGTAAACTTAACGGTATAAGGAAACAAAAAGGCAATGGCTTATCTCCCACGGCTGAGGGTCTCTTGATTGCCGTTGGGGCAATTGGTACGTTCTACTCTATCACTAATATTCAAAGTCCGAAACTAATAGCCAAATATAGGCGCTATTATCATCATTGTAGCGGGAATACTACTCATTCTGCGTATGAAGAAGATCGATGCCTTTTCAAAGTTCAGAAACCGGAAAATACGCAAAGGAGGAAACCGTGATTTATATGGCTGGCGAAGGGACGACCAATACTCCACCGATGCTCCCCCAAAGTACCCCGGTGAAGCAGAAGTAGAACCCTATAGCTATCCCCACGATGAGAAGTCCATTCCAGCAGAACGACAAATGAATGGCTTCTTCTCCCCGGTTTCCCTACCACCTTTATCAATACCCGCCGCAACACTATCACGTGGAGCGCAGGAGCCGACCCAGAGCCCGAGAGCGCTCCCAAACAACCCAAGTCCATCAACATATATACCATCTCCTCAAGAAGGACCAATTTCCACCACGCAAGCCTTCTACAACATCAGCCCACTAACCCAAAACGAGCTATCACGGCAAATTTCTGACGCCAACCAGACGATGCGCTCCCAAAATACATTCGCCTCGCACCAAACCTCAAACATCCATGAGCCGAGCCAAAACCAGGTCGGCCATATGAGTTACCTCTCATCTCTGTCGTCCGGGTTCGGCGACGGTCTCATCATGCTTGAAGGGTCCACGAACCCCAACTCCCGGCAAACATACCGGCAATCTCAATCCCAATTCCAGAACCCAGCTACCGCAAATCGATTCTCGTGGGCACGCAGTCAAATTCAAGGACAAGGACAACGAGATACAGTCTACACGACGACTTCGGAAGAGTCCGCGCCGCGCTTCCGATCAGTGACGTCCTGGGTAGCGCAACAGACTGGACGTGTACAAGTGGAGAAACAGCAAAAGGTCCAAGGCCAAGTCCCTGATGTACCAGCGATGCCTGTACAAGTACATGCTGGGCTGAATCACCAACGGAATATCAGCGAAGATCCTGTGTTTAAGTTTCATCCTGGTGAGGAGATACAGATCTCGCGTGGCTCGAGAGTTCCGAGCGTGGTTTTGAATAAGAAGACGGGTCTCAGATGAGATTATATGAGATGTTTTGATATATTGTATTGTATAAGGGATAGGGACGGGGATTCAAGTGTATATATAACTATGGTTTGATCCATCATTCGTTTGAGCCTGGTGCTCACTCAGTTCGTATTGAATTTCGACGACGAGTTAGCTGGTTGGATTGCATAGCATAGCATAGCATAGCATAGCGGAAGGGGCATGCATGGAAGGAAGGAAGGGAAGGTTATAGTACGAACTACTTCTAATAATCACTTGTATGGAATCGTGTAGTCACTCACGTATTCAAAAAGAAAAACAGAGGAGGATTAGAATGAACAAATGAATAAATGAATGAATGTAGCGTGTAGCCGACTACTTTTGATTGAGATAATATAAATGCATGTCTTGATATCATAGTCATTATTTTTGAGTGAGTGGGTGGGTGAGTAGAGATGTATATATATATGTATGTATGTATTTGAAAAAGTAATTCTTGAGACAAAGACGTTACGCATGAGATGAGGAAGGAAGCAGGAAGATGCGGACCGTAGGAAGGGGATGTAATGTATATACATACATACCACAGGTCTGATAGTGAAAGAAGGAGTCCTGGGCACATTGGAAGTCATGTTCATGGATGGGAGAAAGAGCAAAAGATTCATCCATCCATCCATTGATGCCAAGTATCCGAGTAATAAGAAGATCTTTCCAGACGCTGTCAAAGAGGAGAACGCAAGAGTAAATATGGAATAGGGATGAGGGATGAGGACGAGGGACGAGGAATGAAGGAGATGGCATCTTGGTCTTCTCGAGAAGGAATGCAAATGCAAGAGAGGCATGATGTTGAGATTGATTTGCATCGAATTATCTAAACTCTTTTTAGAGCCTTACCGCCGCCGTAAACGCACTTTGTTCACCGCTGTTCTTTTGTATACACCGCTGCCAACCCCACCCCCACCCCTCTACCCCCGGTTGGGGGACATTAAAAAAGCAAAAAGGTCAAAAGCAACGCTAACCGCCAAACCATGCTCCATTTTATATCTCGTAAAGCCATTCCTCATTTGCCCACCCCGTCCCCTCCATTCATTAATAAGTAAACACAAGAAATAAAAACGCTCTTCTTTGCCTCGCCGTGGCGAGGTATGCTATGCTCACTTGATCTTAAAAAGATCCGCTGTCTTTGTTTTTTTTTGTCAGGCTCCAAAATGCCCTATTAATTCCTCCGCACGTGGCCAAAATCCCTCAGCTTACGAGATGTCCTTTGTCTACGAGATGCCTAGTTCCGGGTGGATGAGTTCCGCCTTTCTGTCGGAAGGCTGCGGGTTGGGTCCACATCACCAGCTTCGCCATCCGAAGACGTGTTCTCGTCACCTCTCTCATCAACCAGTGTGTCGACGTTGGAGCCAGTGACGGATGGCGTGCTATCCCGCATGTTCTCTGCGGCTCGGACAAGGGCTCTAGAGGCTAAACTTGGTGCTCCTAGACCATTGCCACTGGTGCGTGGATCGGCTTCACTTTCGCTGACATCCTCGCTTGGGCTTCCCTCATTACCAGAAGACCCAGGTCGATCCATAGCAGCTTCTCTGAGAGCATTCGCCTTCGCTACTGCTCGTGATGCTTGCTCCGCTGCCTGTTCGGCTCGAATTTGCTTTCGCCACATATTGTGATAGCGGCCTTTCATAGCTAGGAGTTCTTGATGGGTGCCTGACTCTGCAACTTTTCCAGCATGCAGGACGAGGATTTGATCAGCCGTCGTGATAGTTGATAATCGATGCCTTTCGAGATGTTAGTAAACGAGATGAGAGATTCCGGGAAAGAGACTTACGCGATGACAAGCATAGTTCTCCCCTCAGACAAGGTACTGAGAGCATTTTGTATGTTTTGCTCGGTGTCGGAGTCCAATGCAGCGGTCGCTTCATCAAGCATAATGATACGGGGGTTCTTGATGATCGTTCTGGCAATCGCAACTCGTTGCTTCTCACCACCGCTCAGACGAAGACCACGTTCGCCAACCTTGGTATTGTAGCCATCTGGGAAAGCCAGAATCTTGTCGTGAATCGAGGCCGCTCGGCACGCAGCGAAAATGTCTTCGTCAGTGGCGTTCTGGTTGGCGTACTTCAAGTTGTACATTAGTGTTTCGTTGAACAGAACCGTGTCTTGAGGTACCACTCCTATGTGGCGTCTCAGCGAATCAATAGTGATGTTATTAATATCACTTCCATCTAACTGAATACTGCCGTCTTGCGCATTGTAGAAGCGGAATAGAAGCCTGAATACTGTGGACTTCCCACCTCCCGACTCGCCAACGAAGGCAGTTGTGGTGCCAGGTCGACAAGTGAAGCTTAGGTCTTCCAATGCCGGCTTGCGCGTGTCGTACGAGAATTTTACATTCTGGAAACGTATTTGGCCTTCGCACGTTGGCATAGCCACGGCATTACAATAATCGACAACGGACGGCTGCTCTTTGAAAAGCTCTAGAAGACGCTCGCCGCTGATCATGGCGCTTTGAACGGAGCGATAGAATGATCCAAAAAAGTTCAAAGGCTGTTGGAGCTGGCCCATGTATGTCAAAAGAGTGACGAAATCACCAACTTGACGAATGCCGGTGGTGACCTGATACGCTGATATAAAGGAGGTGATGAGGAGGCCTGCCATAAACACTGTGTTTTGAGAGATATTAAGTATATTGAGCGAGGTGATGACCTTGTACTCCATCTTCTGGAAAGCGGTAACGGCTTGTCGATATCGATCGAATTCATATTCCTCGGCGTTGAAGTACTTTACGGTTTCGTACGAAGTCAGTGAATCGTTCTTCACTGCGTCTTCTTCTCTGCTCAGGTTCGTCATCTGCCGTCGTTGTTCGGACCGCCATCGTGCCATGCGAATGGTTAAGTATAAGTAAGAAAAGGTGATAATGGCGACAACAAGGGCATAGTAGGCATCGAACGCTATTCCAAAGTAGATGATTGCTACCCCGAGGTCGAATACCATGGGGACTACTTGAAATGTAACTTGCTCGAGGAAATTGTTGATTGCGTTGCCTTTACTAAGGGCAGACAGAACCTCCCCAGTTCGTTTGCCTAGGTGGAAGTCGAGGCTGAGACCGTGGACATGCTCGAAGGATGCTGTAGTCAAGGCCTTGTATGAATATTGCGAAATTGGAATCCAGAGGACCGATCGAAGAGCACCTAGAATGCCAGACGTGCCCTGGAGAAATTTGAAGACAATCAGAAGGGATATCGATTTCCACGGCATTCCTCCACCATCCTTTCTCGACAATTCATTCGTAACAGTCCCTATCTGCAGGGGCACAGCAATATTCACAAGTCTCTGCAAGACCACGAGGATGAAGCAAAGTAGAACAACAACTTTGAGCCGGAGAGATTTGCTGGGCCATAAGTAGGGGAAGAAAAGAGAATAGCCTCTGAGGTACTCCCACCATGTCTTATTCGGCGCAGTCGTGGGTTTGTAGAAAGCTGGGTTTTCATCTAGGCTTTGACGGCTACCACTTTCATTCCCATTCTCTGATGGTGCGCGCGTACTCCCATTCGCAGTCCTGCAGCCTTCCGAGCCCGTGTCACCATGACCGTTTGGAATGGATCCATTTCCATGCACATGGCCGTTGCCGTTAGCATGGCCATTGATAAGGAGAGGTGCATGCTCGTCAAGATAACTGTTGGGTCGACTTGGATATCTACTTTTGTAAAGGCGTTCGAGGGAGAATAAAGTGTAGAATCCGATCTGGAAAATGATAAGCATCACCCGCACAGCGTCCACAACGACTTCGAAGATTTCCCACTCGTCAAACGACCTCTGTATTTCGTGGTTTTTTCTCGGCAGAGAGTTGACTTCTTCGTGCGGGGTGGAATAGAGCGCGGTTGTGCCTGCTAACAGTATGATTTCCCCGATGAGGGCCACCACCCAGGTAAGCTGATGTGCAATACTTGGCGAAGGCGTTGTATCAACCAGGGAGATGAGGAATATGCTGTAAAAGAAGGCAGAAGCGCAAACGTATATCTGCATTCACTGTGTGATTAGCAGAAGCAATTTGGCAGGGTTTGGTTTGGATGCAGCTTACGGCGGTTGCTTGACCGCACCACCAGCCTTCCTCACGCTTGGTGAGGGCATGTATAACAATGTTGGCGCCATTGGCAATGAAGGTGGCAAGCACTCCAGCAGATAGGCAGAGGAAGAGGTTCTTGCGGGAGGGACTGAAGTCCGTGAGCTTCTTCTTTCTTTGCAATTCCTCCTTGTACTTGCGAGCGGAGCGTGGTAATGGCTTTCCTCCAGGTCCTGTAAGAATGCGTTCTTTGGATTCGGCAGAGGGTTCAGCAGTAAGCACAGTATTGGTAACGAATGATGCCAAGAAGACGATGAATAGCACCCATGCATAATGGAAGTGAACGACATCGAGAAGTTCTGCGCTTGTCGAGGTTCCATTATTCCAAGGGTGCGAGCTCAGCTCGACCCGTTCTCCAGCCATGACAGCTTATTATTATGATCGGTACCCTCCTTCCCACATCAGATATCCGTTTCGTGAAGAGATCGTGAGCTGCTCATGACCCCATTCGATTGGGACAGGACAGAGAGAGGTAACAGTAGTAGAAGAAGCGTGGCGCTTCCCGAGGTGTTAAATAAGGCTGTTGCCACTACGAGAGTCACCAGATCGTCAGCGTTGTGGCTTGTATTGTGCTTGTACAGTAGGACAATTGGAAGGGCCATGTGACGTATACTTACCTCAGAGAAGTAGAAAGTGGATGGTACGGAGTAATGGGCGGGGGAGAATACCTTAAGATATTTGGTGGGCGTGGCTGTGAGTTATCTGATCTACTCTGTTGGGGAGGGACCACCAGGACTGGCGTGGAAGATCAACCTAAGGAGGGGCTCGATAGATTTACAGTATTTGCCCGGACCGCAAACACCGCAAGGCAAGGACGAACGAAAGTGAAATTGAAGTCTGGACCAGGCAGGACAGGTGGAGCAAACGACCCACGGGGCAGAAAGAACAGGAGGGCAGTGAATTAGGAGCAGGGGGACTAAGCAATGGACGGCTATCGGGTGGTATGTATTATTTGCTTGCTTGCTGCGGAACGGCTCCACGCCAAAGAGAAGAGAAGTTGAAGCACCAAAGATTTTAGATAGAAACGGACGGCAGTACTAGTAGTAAGTTGGGTGTACCTCGAAACGTGAGTGGTCGCGGTCGATTGCTGTCGAGTCGAGTAGTCGAGTCAAGATCAATGCAGCTGTTTTTGGCAGATCCGATCGAGTATGGAATCTCACCGCCTTGCGCTCGGGGAATATCGAAACTACGGTGCGGACGGTATAGGTGAATATGTTATCGAATGGGACAATAATAAGAAGAGGTTCCAGTGTTTTGTCTGATCATGAGAAGCCTCCAAGTGGGGATGGGAGGTTCTAGATGGCCACAGAGCAGAGAGTGGGTGGATTTGATCAGCGTTGTTTCCAAAGGGTTTCTGGATCTGGCTTGAGTCCCAGCAGAAACAGATTAGTTATATATCGATATATACATATATACATATACATGTACATGTACATAGGTATACCTATATTGGTCTATATTATATGACTAGCATGGTATGATATACTTGGATTTTATACAGTACAGCACCTGCTGGAATATTATTAACACGCCCTGTACTGTAACTCTGTATATGCAACACATAGCAGAACCAAACAGAGCAGGCGCCATCCCACTAGTTCTCGACTTTTCAGGGCTGCGGAAGGGGCTCGGAAGGCACTTGCCTAAATGCAGCGTATAGGGGTAGACCCAGTTCCAATGCCCAGTGCCAGTACCAGTTCCAGCCAGTAGTCAGTAGTAGCCAATAGCCAATACCAATAGCCAATAGCCAGTAGCCAGTCCCACCGTACTCTTATTCCATGGTTCAGGGTTCATAAAGCCCAGTGACCCCAATGATCCCGTTGAGCATGGCTTGCTTGTACTGCTGTACCGCCGTACTGCACTGTACTGTATGGCGGATAATTGCAATCCCTCCCATTCGTGTAGGTTCGGTACCTGCCCTGCCCTGCCCTGCCCTGCCCTGCTCGAGGCCAGGTGCCAGGTGCCAGTTGCCAGGTGGTACCTTAAGATAGGCAAGGTGATCCTCAGCCCTCTCATCTCATTTTTACGGAGGATGCCTCCCCCTTTCCCCTTCATCTCCAACTTCGCTTCCCTTCGAACCCCTCCATCCTCCCCCTCCATCCCCTCAATGTTCGATACGTCAAGTGCCACAAGCCCAACAGGGGTTCAAGTGAGCCACCTACCATCCGTCCAGCCGTCGCCTAGTAGTTTGCCAGTCAGCAATTTGTCTCAGCGCTTGCCCCGGTCCGCGGGCCAGTCAGCACGCAGCCTTGCACAACAGCCGCGCCTCGTCCAGAACCAAGCGGATAGAGAAACAGGGGAGCGGTTGGGGAGGGGCGGGCGGCAGAGAGTACTCCGTAAAACTAAATGCTCTGAGCCAGCCTGCCCGCCTGCCTGTCTGTCTGTCTGTCTGTCTGTTCTGTTTGCACTGTTGGTTACCTTCCTTTCTACAACTTGTGTTGGGGCGCCTGCTCCTGTGAGGTATGTAATGTAATGTGACTCGTAGCTTGGGTACGCCACGTACAGGCTTCTTGCTGTACCTTCTGATGTACCTCTGATGTGTATAGCCTGACGAAGCCTTTTGACATGTGGTTCTTGCAGCACCCACCACCCCATCGTCCTAGGCCTAGAGCTCCACAAGCATATTGATGCAGCAGGGTAGGTGCAAGTTGCAAGCTGCAAGCTGCAAAACGAACAAACGTCGGTACGGTACGGCACAGCATCCGCTTCCGTATCATTTCTTCCGTGCATGCATACCAGTTTTCCGGGTAGGAGACGGCCTCTTCCCCGTCCAGCGCTCCCATCACCGATCAGCCTCCAGCCCCCCTCCACAAGATATCTATCTATCTTACCACTGGATGCTTTCTTTCGTGCCTCATCTGCGTCATGCGCAGGCGCCCATAAGTGTGGCTGCCCAATATACACTGCTATGGGTAGGTATTCCATCAGTTGTCTCAACGCGTATATACCCAATCCACCACCCCCAGATCAAGGTGTAGAGCATTTTTTATCAGATCAAAGCAACGATGAGAGACGCTCCTATGCTGTTGATCCGAGGTCGCACACGGTCGCATGTGTATCCTGTGTGACGACGTAGCTACGTTCCATAAAAGCAGCTGTCATTGGCATGTATCTCCGAGTACAGATATCCATCATTGAAGCGGTGTGCAGGAACCTTCCTCCCGCCTTCCGTGCCTTCTCCTTTCTCCTTTTCCGACTAAACGATCATCTCAGACGTCTTGTGGCAATCGAATTAAGAGTATCTGATCCACTGAGCCCTGCATCGACTATCGTGTTCGGTGCAACAGCCAGCGTGGTACGTACAAAAGAGAGACCCACGTACTTGTTCTCCTGCCTTTAAGCCATACATGTCCAAGAAAGCTATCAGGCTTCAATCATAGGTCTTTTGGCGACGGCAGTGACCTGTCTTGTTCAGATGATGAGAACATCGACGAATCTCAACCCCGGTGCCTTGTACTCTCTCGTATATATTCTTGCCCAATGTCGTACTGCAGACTGGGATCCCGGGTAGATGGATAGCTTCCCCAGAAATTATCGCGGATCTAAGCGGTTGACAAGATGATCATTGGCAGCAAGTAACCTTTGCCAAGCCGGTCTCGAAGAAAGAAGGCTTGTCTACGGCTCTCAACAGCAAGAGCTGCTGAAAAGCCACGATGGCAATTCCTCCAGATGGGGTAGAGACTTCAAGTTGGGAAGTGGAGGCCAGCGAGTATTGGGCATCGACCCATTGCCGATCGGAGCTCCCGTTGGACTGCCTGTATATAGAATATGAGGATATGGCCCTGTCAGCAAGGCGGCGGGTCGCTGGGGGCCAATTATGCTTTTGGGTGCTGACGAATTTGATGGACGATTATGCGCTCCAATGCAGCACTTCGGCGAGGCTCATTCCGCCGCTCGAGAGGAGGGAAACTGCTGTCTTTGCATGCAGTTGAAGATGTTTCATTGTTGTACAATGAACGTCTTGCGAGTTGTGGTGCATGTCTCAACGCGACGTTGACAGCCTGATGAGCCTGCAGAGTTGCAAGCGGGAAAGGCTATCTGATCGAGACAACTGCTTGCTGCCTGTTATTCCTTGCTTTGACACTTCTCTTTTTGTCCAAGTAGGACGATCAGAAAAGTGTGTTTTGCGTTGAACTCTGGGTGGTCCTCAATTGATCTCAGGGGTAGGTCGCGTATCCTGCCTCTATGATAGAGGGAGGTTCCTTATAAGCCACTGCCAGTGACGTGTCTAGGAAGAAGAAGAACCTCTGTGTAGCAGCGGGCGTTCTCCTCCGCACCACTCGAAAGTTTGGATGCGGGCTGGCATGAGAGTTATAAGCTGTAAAGCAGAGTACTTAATCCCAGTTAGCCAGGAAATTTGCGGGTTGGGTGAAGCTACTAACCGCCTGGTTTTTTTTTATTCATTGGCTTTGACGAAAGTACAGGACCATGACCCAGAGCAGAGCACAACAGCTTTCGATTTTTGGCCTTGCAAGGCACGGCAAAACAAGCTACTCATCCTGTGCTGTAACCTATCCCATGCCAGTGCATTTCCTTTCACATGCGGGATGTGTAAGGACTATGGACGCAAAGAGTTCGAAAGTCTTTCCCAAACTTGCCATTCTCCACGTCAAGTATACGTGACATGGAGAACTATATACACAAAGTCCGGTATATAGATGGAACTAAAGCACATTGGCATCTGCTTCATTGCCCCACAAGCCACGTCAATGAACTTGCGGTCAACAGAAATCCTTTTGTTGGGCATGTTCATTGCAGTAAAACCCCGTTGTGTTCTACAAAGCGGGCAAGGCGAGTGCACCTTTTTTGACAGGTGCATGTCCCCGCCCTGGGCATCAGGAGTTCACGCTTGGAAGTCATGCAGTGCGAAGCGAGTTGTCTCCTCGTATGTTATCTTTGCTTAGAGGATTCCCTAGTGTACGCAAAATTGAAATTGTATGATACATTGTTGAGCTGTGCATTGAACTTCTTTAGGCAGTCTCCATTATGGGTTGGCCAAGTGTCACCGTATCACTCAAGTACTGGCACCACATACTGATATAGATTATCCGCCTTCCATCTGCCTCCTCCCTCGAAGTCACAGTACCCTCCATCCTCCTAGTTGTTGTTCTAAATGCTTGTGCTTGCTTCCTTGTAAGCTTGATTCCTTGGCTAAAGCAGGCCGAGGACAGACATGTATCACATGTTTAGAACAATTAGACTCTGATTTATACTCGTCGGCCCCTGTAATCCATAGACGGCTACGAAATCCTTTTACATAGTCGTTACTTGCTTGATATACAATACTGGCTTAGAGCCATTAGACGGAGTATCAGTCCAAGCTACATGCTATTTATTTGCAGGGAAGACACTTTCATTGTGTACTCAAGGTCACAGATATATAGTTGATCATTGAGATTAGGACTGTAATGATCCCTTGGTTAGTAGCAAAATAGACTATCGAGGAGGGTGTTGTATCAACAACCAAACTCTCCAGATTTTAAAATATTCAACGGGGGATTGAATCTATCTTGCACATCTACAATCAACAAGGCACTATCGCGGGGACCATAAAACAATATTCATTCTAGTAGTTATATGCTACTCGGCCTGGTAAATTCGTCAAGACGTTTTCTTTCCCCAAACCCGTGTTTACTTGTTACTAAGCCCATTCTTAATAGTTTACACAGTGTCCGTCTCGCCTTTGTCAAGAAGGCTTGTAGTTGCAACTTTCTCTGACAGAAATCCAACTGGCTGCTTTGCTTCTTGACTCCTATGGTGCTTTATGGCCGTGATCATCCTTCATTATCTTCTTTATACTAGACTTCCAAAGCGAGCGATATTTATTATCATCGACTTTTAAAATCCCACACCGCCTGGGATATTACTAGTTAGTGCTGCTTCTTTCTGTCTATCTACTGCAAGGCTTCCTTACGTAGCAACTTCAATAGAGGAAGCTGCAACACAGGGTGGGAGTTAAAATGGACCTTCTGAATTACTCGGGGTGGGAGAGTGAAGCGAGAAGGAAAGGGGTTCTTCGCTAGAGCAGGCTGAATGTCAAAAAAGCGCCCGGATCAAATGCACAAATCAATGGTATGGTTCTCTATAGTTTTATCAGTTTCTATTATATTTATTAATGAGCCATAATCAATACAGGAAACGAATGATGTACAGATTTCCGAGATCCTCTATTCTATTAGGACCAACCCCAAGCAGTGCTAACATGGCTTCGTAACGACAGTCACAGACCAGCAGCACCAGTCTCTCATACCCTCTCAAGCGGACTTCACTACATCACATCGTTCATGTCGTCCAGCATCGGAGCCTCAAAAGTCGGCATCCGCAAGTCCCTTCTCCAATCGATCGTAATAGATCTTGCTACCGAGAAGCCCCCGCATCCAAACGGATTCTCTCATACTTCCGAGAGGGCGTTTCACGCTTTCCGCGCAGCTTTCCGCGTGGTAGTCTTCCGATTCGTCAAGCCGTCCGTTCGGACCTTAGTCGTGCCGTTCGCCTTGCCATTGGCATTCCCATTAGCTTTGCCGTTCTCCTTGCCGTTCTCCTGCACTGGCGATCCGTTAAGCAGAACTTTCGGCCCGGCTACAGCATCCACGCCCGAGCGTGACAGGGCGTCCAATCTCTGCTCTTCCGCCAGCTCATTCTCATCATTATCTGATCTGTCATCTTCGGCCACATTGTAGAACAAGAAGCGGTATGCGATGCGCAGAATGTAGTACAGCCAGAATATGTTCAGGCCTTGCAGACTTGCAAGCAGGAAGGTGGATATCCAATGTGAGAGATCACATTTATATTGTTCTGTCTCCCAGTCTAGCTCGTATGGTCCTACGGTCTTGAATTCGTTGAATTCTGACCAGAGGATGCGGAGATTAAGGTAATGCCGGAGGTAACACCAGGCGACAATGAAGAATCCGAAATAGGGTCCGACCAATGGATGGTCGAGGTAGTTCAGGGTTTTGGAGGTCTAGAGTATGTATGTTAGCAGGCATTGCTTATACACGGTTGTAGAGGTGCTTACAGCCAGGAAGAAATCACTGATATCATGCGTGGTGTACACTGCGAGGCCCATATACGTGAAATGGCATCTGTAACTTAGTCCAATGAGGAAGAGGGTCGTGATGTGATGCCCAACCAATTCCTTGTAATCCTTCCTAGGCTTCTCCATCCCTAGACTTAGAACTAGCGCCTGCTGAGCCCAATAGGCCGCTTGGAATAGGTAGTAGAACTTGAAATCCGCCTCGTGCGTTTTATGCGGGAATCCTTCATACATCCCCCTCGTATTGAAATACCAGACCGGCGTCCGGCTCATGACATATAGTCCGCAGGGTCCTAGGACTCCAAAGTAGATCGCAGTATACATCTGCTCCATGAACCGGGACTGTTTTGCCCGGCTCTTTAGCCCGCTGCGTCGTGCCATGGGTCGTAGCCATTGCTGCATAATGAACTCTCGTGTGAAGGACAGGACGATAATGTAGAACGTCACAAACGCAAAGTCCCACCATCCCTTCCCATAATGGACCGGTGCCCCCGGCTCAGCAGGCAGCTTATAGGAGAGGAAGATGAAGTGATGTATAGGATTCGACTCGGTCGGATTGATGGCAAACAGGGCGAAGAAAACTCCAATGAGGGCTAGGGGAGTAACCCAAGTATGCTTTAACGCGTATCTCTTCCACTTCACAAAGAGTGATTTCGCTTTCCGCCGTTTCGAGAAGGGTTTCCTGCGATAGCTTTCATTTTGCGCCTGCTTATCATTAGTCCTGGTGAACAGATTGCACCAAGATCGCGCCCGACTCACCTTGATTGTCCCCGGAGACGGCGGCCTCACATCTAGTGTTGCTAATGCGGGCACTCTGGTATCTCCCGCTCTAATCTCTCCACCAAGTCCGCTGGAGCGCCGCCGAACTCGCGGTACTTCGACGCTGTGTTGAAGGGGTGCTAGTTTGTCGGTGGTAGAGAGCAGCGGAAAGGCCTCAGTGGAGGGCATACTGGAAGTGCGAGGGCCGAATAAGGCAAGAAGTTATTACAAGAGATAAAATATGAAAGGGGCGGTCGAGAGAAGAGAACGCGCGCCACAAGTCTTCTATTGGAGGTATGTGGGAATCAGAAGGGGGAGAATGACATGAATTTTATTATATGGAAATTGCAGTCGGCCCAATTTCCTAAACCCCGATCCTTGCGTGTACAGTAATAGAGTACGCACAGTAAGGCTTAGCGTTGACTTCAACACAGAGGGATAATTAGGATAAGTAGTTTCTCAATGATATGCGGTAATAAGTATTAACTAATTAGTGAGATGTGGTTAATAATTATAATTATACTCAAAGAGTCCTATGACGTGCCTATAGTCAGTACTGTATTTGGACATGGCTGCGCAAGCTAGTGCATGTATGTGGATAGGGGCCAAAAATCCGAGTATCCGAGTATCCATATCCCCGGATTTCTCGGATACACAATAGCTCACATGTTCACAAGATCCTTCCTTATGGGACGACAACTATTTTCACTTCCCATTATTCGAGGCTACCAAGTAGATACAGTAGCCCCTTGAGAATTATTAGTTAGATATAAGACCCTCCCTCCCGTGGTATCTTCATTACGTATGATGATGTATATGCGTATATGCAATATATGCAATACAGTCCTCCAAAGCCCTTATCCAAATGCACCTTGACGGGCCCTTCCGCAACCGTCTAGTCTTGTCCCAGTTCCATCCACCACTTTATGCTTCAAACGCCATGCTTCCCAATAAATACCCCATACGCTTTTTGCCAATTCATATACAGAAAAATACACACCCAAGTGACGCCACGCTGAAAAGAGATATCCATCAAAACTAATCTTCGTCATTCGATCTTGGCTTTCGAGGGGGCGCTGGAATGCTGTGGACCGGTAAACTAGTTGTCGAAGCAGCTGTTCGAACGAGGTTGTTGCTGCTCTGAGAATTGATAGTTGCAGCCTTGTCTCGCGAGTCAGCTCTTATAGATGATGGCGACACTGGCGAAGTAGGCTTGTTTCGACTACTGGCGAGTCGTTCCTTGTCTTGTTGGCCCGCCGAAACGAAAGACACAGTTCCTCGCTGATGAGTTGAAAGTCGACTGAGGTCATCTGGTGTATATGGATCACTCAATCTCTGGGATCGCGAATGTGACCGCTGAGAAGGATCTGGATCATCAGAAACAGGCGGTGTACGTGACGTCCTCTTGGGCCAAGGCTTCGGAGCTGTAGAACTTGCGAGCGGCTGTTCATGCCTGTCGGCACTCTCAAGTTCTTCCAGTGTAGCTTGCAAATCCCGTCTTCGAACTGGGGCTGGGATGACTGTGACTGGAGGAGAAGCGGCATCAACAACCGGTCGAGTTTTCTCACGGAGCTTCTCGGCCTGGGTTGCTACGAACCCTTCAAGTTTCGCACGAACATTCCACCGATCAGAAGACCCGTGTATGCTGGTAGGGTTCTGCACCTTCATCGCATGAGCAGAAACTTCCGGTGGAGGGTTTTGCAGTTTCCTCCGGAAAGGGTTTAATGCCTGCCATGATGCTTCCACACGATTCTCAGTTGATTCCTCAGATCCTGCTTCCATTTGCTCCATTGCTACGTCCTTCCTAACCTGGTCGTTCAAATCTCCATACGTACTGATCGCATTACTAGCATCCGCACTACTACTTCTCGAAATTCCAGGTCTGATCGGTGGTGTGGCTTCACTAATCGGGTGATATCGAACAGCATACACCGTACTCTCAGCGCTGGCCGTATCGGTTCTGCTAATAGGCGTTGCGGCTGGAGCAGGCCGTCCTGGCCAAAGAGGGGGACGAGGGCGTGGTACTCGTCTAGCTGCCTGCTGTGGTCTTTCAGGACCATGGATACTGCCTTCATCGTCATGGTGAGCAACCATGCGCGACCTATAACGATTTGCGAGGCTAGACATGCCAGGCCATACTCGTCCATTTGAGCTTGTTGTGGCCCCTCCTCCACTTCCCTCCTCTTCATCATCTTTCCGCCTTGCATTTCTCCGAGCCCAGACCTCATCCGATGAAGGAGTAATATCGATCATTTCGTCGCCATCAAAGACTTCTCTCCCTAAAACCCCGTCCTTCTTTTCATTTCTCTCCAAAGCTTCAATCCTTTCTACCCATTCCCAGACCACCACACTCGCTGCTGCTGCACCAACCCATCGTACATAATCGCCCCAGCCTGCCAGGGTTGGTTTTGAGATGTCCAGTACAAAAAAGACTGTCGGGACTAGCACTGCTACCAACGATAGCAATGCTACAAGACAGATGTTCTTCATCTCTGAATGATAGAAAGCGTATCGTCTCTTTGTAATAGAATAATATATGACCCAAGCAGAGTAAAGAAGGCTTAGGGCAAGCTGAAACAAATAAGCCAAAGCAGGAACCGCATCCACGAAGCTGCGGGGCCGCGAGTTCCCATTGTAAACCCAGGTGTTGAGGATGCTGAACAATACGTCGAGTGAAATGAGCGCAAAGGCAGTCCACTTGATGATAATCTTCTCTCTTTGGCGGGGAAATAATCGTATCAGGGTCTGCGCTTGAGCTAGCCAGAGAAAGGTATCTGATATCACCCGGATAACCTTGAGTTCAGTGCCATCCTCTACTTCTAATTGCAATGCCCCCGCATCCATGATTCCCATATTATACTGGCGTTCGGCGACTCGAAATGTATCCGCCGTAGCAATGGTGAGCGATATTGCCACAGTCATCGCCGCCACCTTTTGCAACCAAGGCCGTCCCCCAATTCCAATTCCGGCATCGCTCCCAGATGGACCATTCGTGAAGCCCCGCCGGCCCAGGACTACAATTCCATCATGCAAGAATGTGCGCGGTGTGATGAAGAGCATGATCACGAGCATGTAGGCAATTACCGTCGCTGACGCCAGCGCGTAGCACTCGGGTATGGTCGAAGCATAGAAGGGATCGCGGAGGTCGAATAGCGTCGAGGGAGAGGATGGGTCCGTATTTGTGATAATAATATCGCCCGAAGTGCCTGTGCATTCTGGGCTGAAGACCGCGTCCGATGTGAGAGTGATGACCTCGGACAATCCCAAAGTCAGTACCCCGTTTGAAGGAAGCGTAAATGGTGTACAGTGTGGTCGGCTTGCAGTCGCCGAGATGACTGTTGGATGAGCCAGGTTGATTATCTGCCTTGCTTCCATTATCAGATCGTTGCGGCCCGGCCGCGGGTCTTTGATGGACTCCTCAGTGGTGAGAGTTCGACATGGTACGTGAAGGTGTAATCGGGTCTGAGTAGAGGCTGGGATTGAGGCTTTTCGCAGTACAATTCGATCGAAATGACATATGTCTCCTTGGCTGGTGGTAGTTTTCTATGCTTGATATCTGAGTATAGCTAGCACTTGAAACTCTTCCGGCGTGGTGTTTGATGTTTTGATGTTGTCTTGAGACCGGTAGTGCGGTTCCAGGCGCTGGGCTGGATGGACGGGGCGGGACTGGCGGGCTCCTGAAGTCCCGGTACAGGCTGCGATCTAGGTAAGTGGGGACTTCTGGCGCACCAGGCCAGTCCTCTGCTTAAAGCCAAAGCCTTGATGCGCGACACTTGTCAGAACCACGACCGCTGGATCAGTACTGTATGCGGTACTGTATGAGGTACGAGGAGCTGCAATTGAGATATCGGCACTCCCACGTACATTCCCGGAGATCAATTGCTAGTATCCTCTTGGGAGAATTTGCCAAGGCCGCCCACGTTTCTTGCGTGGATTGTGGACCCTTGGAAAAAGCTTGTCGGTGAAGATGGCTTACGGCTCCAGTAAGTACCTACAAAAACAAAGTATTTCGCAGACACGGTAGAAAGCGTCAATAGTTGTTTGGAGGATTTCCTGGAGGACATCTGAGAGCAAGTGCTCGCAGGACAGCACTGGAATTGATGCGAGTCATGCTTGCTTCTTCTCGCTTCTTTCCACACTACCACTTTCCTCTTTCTCTGGCGACGACTCGTGACAAGTCGGAACAAACAAGATAGGCCGTACAGGCTCAATCGAAATGCTGTACAAGTACCCAGCCCTTGATCATCTTTATACGAGCCTCAGTAGGGTCTTATAAAGCAACTCGCACTCTCGAAATGCCTCGAAACTGGCAAAATATGAAAAGGAGGTCGTTTTCTTTTGTACGCTGCATTCCTTCAATTGAGGGTTGAGTAGGTTTTGGTAGCACCCAACAAATAATTATCTTGAATTCGAGTTTTTAGCACCTTCCTAAAATGCCTTTAGCCTACGAGGGTAACATACACCGAGGAACTCACATCTTGCGTCGAGCCCAATGAACGAGAGGCTACCTCACATTGTGTCTTGACAATTTCGAGAGGGTGAAGTGCAAGACTACTTCTTTTGATAGACGCAGCCGTACAACACTATAAGAGCTAAACAGTAAGTGCTGGAATCCAGCCTCTCGTTCCTTCTCTTGACAGTAAGCAGTCCTATTAATGATGTAAAGATGCTAGTGCCCAATATTTGAGAAGCAGGCCCGGCTCTAAGATCAGGGCTTCTTCCTGCCACTTACGTGACCAAGTTTTAGCTTTTACCACTGGAGCATTATCACCGGGAGCACAGCCTTCAATCTATTCGATTGCCTGGACTTTCGATATGCACTTAGTGGATTAGTCATCGACAGGGCCTACGACCTCCCAAGTCTCACTCCCTTCATCAGCCCCTTTCCAGCTTCACGAGTCCAGCCATGCCTCACTTTCTATGACAGGTATACATATATCTATTCCGGGGTAGCACTTTATAAGTTTTTTGGATGACCACCACCAAGCAATCCTTTGAGCGACGGAGTGTGTTCCTTGGCTCATGGCCTTTATTAGTAATGTTCCAAAAAGGCACAACTTACCGATGACCTCGTTCTTGTTCCTACCACCTCGCGCTCGTCTTACCAGACCTAGCCGTCTTTGCCAAGCCCGCCAGCAATCCTGCAAGTTGCACAATTGCATGTCGTCAATAATTATGTGCATTGATGGCGGGGAATGGCATCCTGGAATTGGGTGATGATCTCCCGCACGGGAAAGACCCGCCTATCTCACGACATGAGAGCTATCCCATCATCCCAAAGACCTTCAGGCTTCAGCTGTATCTTCTCAACCACTGTTGTGTAAGTGCACAATCCGCGCAGTATTTTATAGTGTACATGCATTTTCGCCACGTGCTAGATCCTGCTCGCTTGAAATGTGTCCTTACTGTAGTAGGTAATAGTCCACGAGATAGGATCCTAGAGTACATTCTGTACGAGTATATGGAGTACTCGATCTCGGTAGAGGTTATCACTAGACTGGACTGGGTCCGAATCCCACCCCGCGTCGCTTTTACCCCTCGGGAATCGGGACACAATAAAGTTAACTTCTTATCTTTTCTATAATAAGACGATCAGGCGATGAAAATGTAATGGATTATCCAGTTTAATTACGTCTACTTTCACTTCTCCGGAGAAGTGGGTGTGCACTGATGGCCCTCTGAATAACCTAATAATCTACAAAATAATCTCAAGATTAAGTAGATAATCACCAAGAGACTATCCTATCCTCCTAAGTCTTTATATTTCCTGTGAGACTTGACTATGAGTGAATCGATAAATTCAAATTCAAATACTCGGGACAAAGCTAGGTGATTATGAACCACAGAAGTCCACTTTCCCGTAAAAGTACCGAAGTTTTTGGTTAACTTGTGCTGTACTGTATCGCCAAGGATATAAAACCCCATATTCCCTGTTTTGAAACCAGTGTTAGTGACCCTGATCCAGCTAAGCGTGCAGGACTAACTATTATTAAAGGCGGAAGCTAATCTTCAGGATCGATTTCAGGGTTCCACTCTCGGAGGATTACAGTAACTTCCCGTTGTACTAAGTATTGTCTGCTTCGTTTTTCTGTAACATATGTTAGACCTTTTGCCCTTAAAAGTTGGAGGGTTTTGACTTATTTCTCAAATGGATATAGTGCATTGCATAGCATATTATATGCACATGCAATGACGCACTCGCTCTCGCCATCAGAGTTAGCATACCAAGAAGCACATGTCTCTGAGAGTCTCCAAGCGAATGTAATTGCGGGAACTGCTATATGTTTAGCTGCTGCATATATCTCTGTGATTTTGCGGTTTGCGTCGAGATGGCTAGGTAACTATGCTTTTGGGAAAGATGAAATTGCTATTACGTTTAGCCTGGTATGTTTTATACACTCCTCGCTTTGATATAGCATTATTGATGTATGTATCTTATAGGTTACGGCAACAGCACTATCTGTACTTACCATTGTCCGTTAGTAGTGCTTTCCATCAGTTCCGTTACATATGAGCTATTCTAATACATTCTCAAGTTACTACCTATGGCCTTGGTAAACACCAAATCTCTCAAAAGCCAGGCGACATCGAGCCTTTTCAAAAGGTATTTACATGCAGTACTCCCCCCAGAAAATACCCCACAATTACTTACCAGCTCCCGTTGCGTAGATGACAATAGCAGCCAGAAACCTCACCTTCGTGTCCATCACCGCAACCAAAGTTTCCATCCTCTTTCTCTATCACCGCATCTTCCCGTCGCGCGCTTTCGCCAAATACCTACAGGGCGTCGGAGCCTTTGTTGCTGCCTTCACTATCGCAGGAATCTTGACTAACATCTTCGCTTGTGTGCCGATGAAGGCGCTGTGGGAGCCTGGCATTGATGCAAAATGCATAAATCTACATGCGTCCCTGACGGCGTTGAGCACTATTGATATTCTAACCGATGTCCTGATTCTGTGTTTGCCTCTGAATATGGTTTGGAGGCTGCAGATGAGCACCAAGAACAAGTGGCAGGTCACAGGCATGTTTCTGGTTGGGAGCTTGTATGTAGAGACATTCTTGAGTGAAGATTCGAGCTAATCGATGTAGGGTTTGTGTGGGCGGGGTTGTGAGGACGGTGTATTCGAGTGAAGTTTCTCGGACAGATGCAACTTGTACGTCAGCTGCTTTCAGAGAGTCTCGAGGTTGATACTTACTTTATCGCAGGGGACAACGCAATGCCAGGTATGTGGGCGACTATTCAGAGCAACATTGGTATTGTAAGTGCTTGCTTGCCTACTTTACGGCCTGTGGTAAGGTTTTTCCTTGGCAAGAGGCCCGCGGCTTCCACCACGATCAACACACATTCGCAGTCGGGCAATGGCTTCTCGCGCTCGGGCTTTTCTCAGAGGATGGAGTTTGTGAAAATGGACTCTGATATGGAAATGGAGAGACTTCCTCATGGGGAGAGTAGTAAGACGGGTAGTGAGGATATGATAGCGCCGGCTCATGACGGGAAGGCGTCTATGAGGGGTTTTGTGGAGAATATCAGCAATTGATGCTAGGGACACCCTTATGTATTTGAACGATTAATGAATATACCTCGTTTACAACCAGTCGTTTGCACGCCACGGACGGCCTGATGTTGAAAGAAGAAAGAAGGCTGTCTAAAACTCCAAGTGCGAGAAGGAATACATGGTCCACTGCAATATTTAGACTAGAGATGCTTAATGCTCTTTCTGTACTACTCAAAAGCACATAGTGCACGGAGAAACCAAGTGATATAGAATTTATCTTTCGATTCAAAATAAAATCATCACGATACAGTACACATTAAAGCAAGGGGTATCAGCAAGGACATTTGGAGTTGCCGCACAGACTGAAACAAATAACTGATAGGCTGATAATAAAAGGGGGTTTAGAAACAACATGGAGCTTATCAAGGCTTGAGTAACCGCCCCCCTCAGGGACCCACGGGACCGGTAAGAGGGGATGTCTTGATCTAAGGTCTTGACTTCACTTAAATATGACTGCCCGGTGTGTAAGTGAGATATATTTATAGGCTTTGCGGGGTGGCGTGGCTTATATAAGTAGTGAGAAATAAAGTTCAGCTGAGGGAGCTAACTCTCGGGTTCGGATTAGGGTTGGGGGCACCAACTCGGCAAAAGGGGTAGAGAGTTGGGCTTCGATGCGAGTGATTTTATCCGCGGCACTGACACGACATACACGGAGGAGAAGCATCTGTCATTCCTGGTATGCACCCACACGTGGTTCATGATTACCATTGTTGCATTGTGCATGTATGAAGATTTCGTGATTGTCAGGTGCGAGTCGGCCGTTCTGCGAGTGAGTTCATAGATTTGGGTTGTTCAACCAGAAAGGGGTTAGTGCATAACTTGGTGTGGATCCTTCCCTTACAGGGGGAGGGGAATAACTTGAAACGGCAACGGCTCTTAATCGCGGACTGGAATTTCTTCAGATTCAACACCTCGTCAACTGCTCCGACGCCCATTCCTTACTTCCTTTCTCATCGGACGTTTACTCTACACTGCGGGTTGGACTGCGACTACGCCGGCCATAGTCAACTCTCTCCGATTTGCACGAATATACCCACGGTCCGTAGCCGGAGGCTGGGAAGACCCCGACGATCCCTTGATTTCTCTCGAACCACCTGCGCCCGTTTCGTAACGACGCCGTTCCCTTCATTCCTTTGTATTGCGAAGTTCGACTAGAGGGCACAGAGTTCAAATAGCATCGGTACCGGGTACCATTGACAGCGTAGATTGCAACGGTCGCGGATTCGTGCATCGTCGCGCGCCCTGTTACCGCGCTCCATTACCATATTCGAATTCGCAGGCCCCATGCTGTTAGGAGACAATGACGCGACCAGAAATTATACGCGCAGGTAAATATGCTTGCACTTTGAACCAATCTTCCTAGACTGAATTGCTAATTGTCGTAGACTCGATTGATCTGCAAGATCAAAATGCCCCGTCCGCGCAGGAACACCTACGAGCCAATCCAAATCCTCTAGGTGGTGGCCATGCAGCTCATCAAGCAGAGACGTTGCGCGAAGTAGCAGCGGAGACAGCAGATCAGAAGCACCGAAGCCCCAGGGTATCGAAGGAATGGTCCAATAGCGAGGTGCAGCAATTAGAACAATACGGGGACGATGAATTGGCTGCCGGCGTCACCTCCAAATTGAACGAGTCCAATCTTCAGCAACAAGATAATTTAGCAGTTGCACAGAACGGCGGTATGACAGGGTCGACTGCTGAAGATGCAGAAATGGCAGATGCCGAAGGCGACGATGATATGGATGATGATGATATGATGGACAAGATCTCAAGCTCTCCGTCAATCGACGATGGTGGGTGGCCCCTTCTACCTCTTTGGCCTCAAAGGTCTACTTCTCTCGCGAACACTCCAACTCCAACTCCAACAAAGTCTCGGTCATTTCTACAAGCGTGCGTTGAAAGTTCATCACCATTTGTGGAGACTCCTGAGCATTTCCCAATACAGCTATGGCTTTTGCCGCGCGACACTAGCCTGACTCAAGGTAGTCAGGCCCTGCATACTCATCATCTTCTGGGTAAGTATCTGGACGACGACGCAGCCGATACCAGATTCAGCGACGCTTCACAGTATCCGGATCCCTTCATCACCCCGGATTCCTCGTTTGATCTGGCCTACTACTCTGAGGGACCTTATGACAGTGGTCTTGAATTCCCGTCTCATGTCTACGACATAGAGTCTCCCAAGGAGCCCCGTGAAAACAGCTTGAGTTGCCAGAGCCAACCAACAATACCATACGAAGACGGGTTGACATTCCCCTACGAGGAAGACTCTGAAGAAGATGATGATTATGAAATTCCTGATTTGACTGACTCTAGACTTATTGACTCGGGATGGGGTGGAGAATGCTTACAAATTTCAGAGGACATCGATTTCGAATTCGTTTACGCGCTCCACACATTCGTTGCGACGGTCGAGGGACAAGCAAATGCTACAAAGGGCGATACGATGGTGCTTCTAGACGATAGTAACAGCTATTGGTGGCTTGTGAGGGTGGTGAAGGACAGCAGTATTGGTGCGTTAAACTGTGGAATCTCTCAAATCGCAGCAACCTAATGAACTTCTGTAGGATACTTACCAGCAGAACACATCGAAACACCAACAGAACGGTTAGCACGTCTGAATAAACATAGGAACATTGATGTATGTTAATTTGCTGCTTGTGTCGCGATCTGAAGCTAATTTTCAAAGCTCACATCTACGATGTTGGGAGACCAAGCCGACAAGCCTAAAAATCCCCTGAAAAAGGCCATCAAGAGACGAAACGCCAAGACGGTCACATTCACAGCACCTACCTATGTAGAAGCCTCAGATATCGATTACTCAACTGAAGAGGAAGACGGAGAAGATAACTACTTTGCTCAGAACGGTCAACAGGAACATGACGAAGAGAAGCGAGATTTAGAAGAGGAACAAGACGAAATCACCGCAATCGAACCTTTGAAGCCACGCGCTGAACTACGAGAAGTTAAACCTGACTCCGACGATCCTGAGACTGCACGTGCAGACCAGGCTGCTAATGGTGCTCTGGATGGCGTGCGTACCAGCGATGAAATCTTTGATGCAAATGGAAAACCGGAGAGCAAGTCTAGAAATGGCACAGTAAGAAACACCGATTCATTCTTCAAGGATGATTCGGTAGAGACGAGAAAAATAACACTTACGCCGAATTTGCTTCGCGACGATTCCAGTACATCAACAGTGCGAACATCTAATGATTCTAAGGAGTTGAAACCGCGGCCTAGTCTGGACAAGCTAGAAAAGGACTCTAGCGCGGACAAGGTCAAAGACAAGAAGGACAAGAAGGAGAAGAAGGAGAAAGAAAAGAAACCTGGCATGCTAAGCGGTCTGTTCAAAAGGAAGGAAAGGAAGTCAAAAACCTCCATCGATGAGGAAGTTGACGAATTGATGGCCAGTAAACGGTCGGGAGAGAACCCACGGGGATCTCCTGTTCCGAGCAAAGACTCGGATGATGTGGTCTCTATCGAGGAGCCGAGTCAAGCGCCAGAAGCGCAAAGGAACCATAGTAAGCTGCAAAAGCAACCGCGGGTGGAAATGTCGCCAAATCGGAAAGCAAGCCCCGGGAAAGAGCCACGGGCTATGGGGCCGCAACAAGCTCCTGCACCCGATCGAGCGCCGCCTGCTGAATCTGTCGAAGCCCCTTCAATGCGACTGGTACAAGCTGAACCGGCTGCAGCGCCCAAACAGCAAGTTCGGATGATAACTCCCGAACTCAACAGGAGTCCTGCGCCTATCCTTGCTGCGCCCAAGGAGCAGAAAGCCCCGAGCACCATCTCGAAGATGCTTAGGTCCGCAGGTTCAAGCAATTCGGAGCCCAAACCTATCAAAACGAAGAAGGCCAAATCTCGTGTTGAATTAGATGATTTCGACTCGTCCCCAGAAGATTCGGCTACTGACGAACCTGCCTCCGCACCGAGCAGACAAGCTCCCCAGCGTCCAATTCCAGGCAGCTTCCCGGATAGCTACATAGCAACTCCCGCGAGTGAGAGACCTGATCCAGTGGAAGAGAGGTTATCAGAGTCGCCTGTACAGGTGTCACCGATTACACCAGTGCAGTCATATCCACCGCCTCTTATGGTCGATACCTCGAGTCAAGAGGAGGCACCGTCACCACAGTCTTCGCCTTCGCCAGAGCTCATCGATGCCGATGATGCTCAGGAAAAGAAGGGTGGAAGCTCTACAACCTCCGCATCAACTTCAACGTGGAGTGATGCACACCTTCGAACCTTCTTTGACGACGATGCGGATATCAAAGATCTGCTGGTTGTCGTATATGACAAGTCAGGTGTGGCCCCTGCTGGTCCGGATCATCCAATTACTGGAAATCTATTCAGAGATGAGAACGCCAAATTGGCGGATATAACAAACGTGAGTTCTGCCTATGGTAGCGCGTTAGGTATTATGCTAATGTTGACCGATAGCGTCTGGATGGTATGCTTGGGGACTGGTTGGCCCGCAAGATGAGGGCCCAGGGCTCGTCAAGGTAGAAGGTATTTCCATGGCAGAGGAATTGTAAATGATGCAAATGATAATGAAGTTTGAAAGGGGCGTTCTTACTCTGTCTTACTTCTGGCGTACTGGCTTGAGCAGAAAGGGAGTCGATGGCTTGGAGTCCGTATATATACCATCGGGGATGTTTTAGGCTGCTGGACATGGCACATGTACATTCTTCGAAAGTTCACTTAGTAGTTACCAGATTTTACTAGAGCTAGGCATCCTCATAGGAGCATTGGGTCCTGTCCAGACGTTCAGCGAGAACTTTATTGCTCGTAGAAAGAATATGAAAAATGATAGTTTACATGGTTACAAATTCAACATTACCGTGTACTCTCGACAAATGACTATAAAATTGGAGAAAAGAGGTTCTGGCCAATATACCCCTGTTGTTGAATACGGGGATGACCCCCGGTGTGGAGCCGCTGGGACCCATTTCAGCCTCAGGAGTCGAAGGCAAGCCAAGCCCAAGTCTCGCGAAGGGGTTGAACAAGCGTGGCGTGCAACATCCTGCGATCTGCATCATTCAGTGCAGGACTCGGATTTGGCACCTCAACCTTCACCTCAGCGCAATCCCATTCTTTCTTGCACCAGCATGGCATTCGAGTCGGGCACTGCTTATGCTGAATCCGATGCGGACGACGAGTACGAGCGCAGCGTTCACGACAGCTCGCCCGTCCTGGCCACCGATTCCGAAGCCTCACCTACAGACTCGGAAGGGCTATCTTCGAACGAACACACACCCACCACATATGGCGCTCATAGCAGCGGGGACAGGTTGCCAGAGACTATCATAACGGAGTGGACTGCCGACGAGTGCGCTGACTTTGTCGGCAGCCTGGGCTTGCGACAGTACGGGGACCAATTCTTAGGTATGCAGGGCTGCCCTCGAGCGGATAGTTGGGCCAGGGCTGATGCAAAGCAGAAAACGAGATAGTTGGTGAGGCACTGGTAGCATTACAGCATGACGACCTGAAGCAGATGGGAGTTGCGAGTGTGGGCCATCGACTTACGATCTTGAAAAGTGTGTACGATATCAAGATCAAGCAGGATATACCCTTGGAGAGCGATCACTATGTTCCTTTATGTGAGTGTCTGCCTAGAAGGAGGTATGCCTTCGGCCATTACTAATGCAATGAATAGCGGCAGATGCTGAGGCTCAATATGCGACGGCGACGCTTAAGGATATCAAGCATTTAGTAGAACAATTGCGGTTACGAGATGAAAGAATGAGCATGGCCGAGATGGAACTACGGAGGATAACTCAAGAGTACACCCGGCTAAGAGAAGACTTGCTACCTGTATTTCGAATGGCAAAAGAAGGACAACCGCTTCCCTATCCATCGACGGAATCGAATAGCCAAAACTCATACAACTACGATACCTCGAATGCAATTTCGCCGCCTGCACCTACCTCTTCATCAAACCAATCGGGGGGCTTGTCCAGAAAGGTTTCGACGAAAATGTATTTTGAGCCACCGAAAAATGCTTCTCCGACTTATAATTTCGCATCCGGCCAAGAGAGGTCTTTAATGGAACAAACGCTGGATCCAGCCAATGCCGCAGAACGAGCTGTTGCGTCGTCTTCGTACCTAGCAGCATCTCAGCCTTCTTTATCTCCCGGACATCCATCACCAAACCAACCGTCACCCACATCACCACCAACCCTCGGCGGCTCTACCCTTGCATCTCGATCTTATCGCTCAGACCTAGCCACTCCTGCTCGTAGTACTTTCCCAAGCGACGAGCAATACCAACCCTCCACATACTCCCGTGACAGCACAAAACCTGCGCCTTCACGGCGAGCCCCAACTCCCGCGCTCGACACACCCTCTGGTGGACGCGATGCCTCCGTGGAGATTTTCAAATCTTTCCGCGTCAGTATGGAAGATCCTTGCTACAAGGTCCTCCCTGCCGCTCTTAAAAAATACAATATCAACGCTCCCTGGGAACAATACGCATTATATATCGTATATGGCGACAAAGAACGATGTCTGGGCATGGAAGAAAAGCCTCTTATCCTATTCAAACAACTAGATAAAGAGGGCAAGAAGCCCATGTTCATGTTGCGAAAATTAGCTGCGGGTATGGAACAGCAGATACCTGATGGTCCCGGGAGCGCAGGGTTGGATAGGAATACTGGGCGTTCGCACCCGAATCAATCTTATGATCCACCTGGCGGCATCATATGATTTGATCTACTGATGACTTGATTTTTGAAAAGGGTTGCTCTTTTACGGAGTTTGTGTGCTGAATTATTGCATAGCGGAAGCGAGTCTAGACGGCATATATGTCTGCGGTCAAAATCTCTCCGGTGTATCTGTATTGAAAATTTGGGAACACGAAATCCTTGGGCGGAGGAGCTTGTTGGGCGATATTATCTTTTTTAGTTGAAAGCCTCGGGCTAGCTTAGGTTCTGGGCGAAGTATTAAGTTCTTTTATTGATGTGGTGGAAAAATTATTGCATGGTTGGCTACTTATTAGTTTCCTGATGTAGGAGTTTTGGGGATCATGTGTAGAGGGAGATGTTGGTGGGAAGCAAGCGGCATGATGTCGATGAAGCCAATGAATGATTCTGATTCCTGTTAAGTTAGGTCGGAGCAAGTGAGAATATCATGCATGTGGTAAATATATGAAATCCGAGGTATGTAGCTCGAATCCAACCTATAGCCGAAACCCTCGTTCCTACCTTCCAGTCATCAATTTGCATACTTCGTATCCGTTCGCAGGTAACTCAACTGCTGATATCTAGAGTCCATGTAAACTCCATTCGAAATAAGCATTAATTAAAAGGTGTCTTGATTTCTACGTGATGTTTTATTTATTTAGCAATCCTACCTCAACAATCAATCAATCTAAGCTTTCATGCAAACAAGAATAAGATATAGAAGTCTTCTGTTATTCAAAATGACATCTCCATCCCCCAAAGTCTGGCTCATAACAGGCTGCTCCACAGGCCTCGGCGCCTCGCTCGCCATCCACGCCCTCAAAGCAGGTCACACCGTCGTCGCCCCAGCGCGGAACCAGTCCTCAGCGCCCTCATACGCCCAAATCACCTCCCTAGGCGGCAGATGGCTAACCCTAGATGTAAACTCGCCAACCGCAGGAGATATCGTGCAAGAAGGTGTGAAACTGGCCGGTGGCAGAAGCGATGTGCTAGTCAATAATGCCGGGTACTCCATATTAGGAGCCATGGATGATATCTCGTTCGTCCCCACTTCCACTTTCCCCATCATCAAGATCATATATTAGTTTTGCTTGCAACTAACATAAGAGCGTAAACCAAACAGGTATGTCCGAAGGCCTCGCTCGCCAAGTCTCCCCCCTCGGAATTCGTGTCCTGATTGTCGAGCCTAGCGCCTTCTGCACTCAATTCCTGGTCTCGTTCTAATCCCCACGTTCCGGAATGCATGCGGCCTATGAGAACATACCGACCGGCAATACGCTGAAATATTTGGCTGGCTTGGATGGGACGTAGAAAGGGGATGCGGAGAAAGGTGTAAGTGTGATTTTCGAGGTTGTGATGAAGAGTGGAGTTGCAGCTGGGATAGGGGAGAGGGAGGTGCTGAGGCTTCCGCTGGGAAGTGATTGTGTGGGCAGGTACGGGTAGAAGGTTGATGCGATGATTGCGGATTTGGAGGCTGTGAGGGGGTTTGTTACTAGTTTGGACATCGAGTGAGGGAATAAGGGCTACACACCCCCATCCCACTTTTGTGCGGATCGCGATCTTTGCTTCAAGGACTTCGTTGATATGTAAGCTCTTCATGCTGTAGACATTAAATTTAATCGAATCCATTGCAACCCATCTAGAGAGATCAATGGTTACTTGCCATTCATACAGTCAACAGTAAACCGTGGTACATTACAGAGTTCAAACAGTCTTCGCCTCCTTCTTCATCTCCCTCCTCCTCCTAACATCATCCCTCATCTTCTCCGTAATATCCGGCGCCCCCAAACTTTCCATCGGTTCGTACTTGGTCCCTTCTGGCGCAACCCGCTCATAGATCCTCCTAAAAACATCTCCGCTCGTCTTATCCCGCCCTCCCATATCCGACAGGTGCAATTCCCTCAGCTTCTCCCCTATGCTAAACCAGAGCATCGCCTTCCTTCTCCTCTCTATCTTCTTTAGGATCTCGTCGTCGATGGAGTCGAACACCTCGTCGTCTTCGTCTTGACCCGCCCCGTCGCGATATACGTTCATGTCGGCGTTCCACAGCCGCCAGTTGGAATTGGGATCCGTGATGCCGTTGCCGCGGAGCTTGCAGACATGGCAGGGCATGTTCCCGACTGTGCCCATATATTTTGTGGATGAGGTTGGCTTTATGTCGTTCAAGGTTTTGTGTTTGGCAGGCATGTTGTAGATTTGTACTGCGGATGGTGGGATTTGGGGCCTTTAAGATGTTGAAGTTCTGTGGAAGTGTAGATGGTTTGCTTGGGGTTTGGTTATAATATGAGATATGTAGAAGCAATCAGAGTTGATTATAATAAAGAGATGGAGATTCAGTTATAAGGTAGTGAGGCTGGTTGTTGCTGCTTTCATGTCATTTTTAGTGGGGCATTGAACATGCATTACCCCTGCCCTGTCCTGCCCTACATGGTTTGAGTGCCGAAGCCGGTGCCGGTCTTTGTCCCATTTAATCCGACGCCGTAACCCCATATCGTAGTGCGCATTTGGGAATAGCTTCAAAATTATACAATCACAGACAAAGACAAAGACAAAGCATATCATCATAATCGTAGCCATATAGAAGTGGAGACAACATAGCTTCATCTATGATTAGATTTTCTTTTCAAATTGTTGTTTGCGTGCGTGCATGTTTGCCTTGGTTGTTGGCGCTTTGAGACGAACTTACAGGACAAACCTGGGTTGCATCTATGTTATCAACATCGCTATACTAATTTCCGAGGACGTATTGCTCTCTTTTATCATCTCCCAAGTGCTTTCCATATCAAACTTTACCAGGTTCCTTTCCTTGTCGAACGTCTCTGCTTCTACAGACGCCAAGATATCACACATCTTTACGTGGGTAATCACTAGATCGTTGCTGGAGCAAGACATAAAGATACCTGTCTTATGTTAGCGTAATACTGGCCGTTGCATTATCTGGCCACAAACCAAGCTGGCCCATTGCTTTGAGCACCACCCGCAAAACTATTCCGTTTTCATTGGCACCTATCGATGAATGCCTTACCGCAGCCGCCCCTGTCATTTTGTCTAGCAGACCAAGAACAGATATATCTACTGCTACCTTTTTGATCGGGTGCAGTATCGTCTGCAGCGGATACGCCGTCAATATTTCATATCCTTTCACGTCCAGGCTAAGTAGATGACGGGTCTTAGAGCCGGCAAGACTCAATGGCGTGCTGATCTTATTCGAACTATGAGCCCGAATGATATACGTTTCGGCTAGTGAAACGTCAATGAAGTCTTCGAGCGTGACGATCTCAGCAAGTGGTTGATCGTTGACATTGAAAATACCCAACATTGGTACACCTGTGTCTATAGTCGAGGTCCCTATTCGGAGGAGTCTCTTTTCTTTGTTGCTGGCGTAAACATAAGTAGTCTTCGCGACTTTCGGTCTGAGGATTATTGTCTCATTCATGCTGCGTGCAGTCATTTGCTTGATAAGATTTATATCGTGTTCACCAGGCTTGTCAGTGAGATAGATAGGGCCTCCACTGATACACCTAGCTGCCCCATGGAAAGCCGAGTATTCATGGCTGGTCTGGAACATGTCCCAATCTGGAAGCACGTTCAAGTGCTGTGTGAAGACATTCGTGTGCGCATTACAAAATATGTGCCATGGATGACTATCAGGCTCACTCGGAAAGAAATCTTCTGAATTCCGGACCATGAGTTTCGGCAGAGAGTCTAGAAGTTGAGAATGGAAGAGGATTTGTGGTGTTTGAGACATGCAAGAGATAGTTTTTGCAGAGAAGTGATGGAGGGCGGCCATGGCCCACGCATCCTGATAAGTCGAGATACAATGCGATCGATCCGGTGCATCCTCTAATTGGTCTAGGATGAATTGTGTGTCTGTCTTCACGGAATCAATACCACAATCGGCAATAAACCTACATAAAGTTAGCGGAACCAAACAAATCATTTTCCAATACGTACTGGTAGAAGTCTTCATAGAACCTATGAACGTCACCTGCATCAATTGCAACCAGCGATCCTCCACCAAAGAAGCCGTTATCTTGTTTCTTCATGGTCTGTGTCTTGTAGCATTTTGCTATGTGTCCATCAGGCGCAATCCCATTCCAATATCCCATGATGCCATGCCAAACAGCAATGTGCTTAACGGATGGATGCCGTCCTCTAATCGTCGATACTGTATGCTTGAGGCCCCGAGGGAAAGTCTTGCGGTCTGCTTCAAATTCCATCCAACGGTGATGAAAGTTATTGGGACCATGTCGATCGATTGACTGCCAATTGTCATCTATGATTATTGTTGAAAAGAAAATTCCAGCATTGGACATAATGTCCAGAGCATCGTAGATTTTCTCATCGGTGAGGCTCTGGCCAAGGCCATTCCATGTACAGTACGCAAAGCTATCGTACCACCCCTCAAGGCTCTTGGGTGAAATGGTACTCGCTAGTGATTCGATTTCAAGTCTTGTATCCTTGGTTTTTGCTGCCACTATGCTTTTGGCTTGAAAAAATGCTGCCTCGTTTGCACGTTCAAATGTCCTACCAGTAGCAGCTACAATGTATGCCGTTCCAGGATGAGGGGCTTCGTTTCGGGAAACAGCAATCAAGGTTCCGTCTCCACCGGGCTTAATGACAGTCAGATTATCATCCAGACTGACGGCAAGGAGCACAAAATGGAGACCGTCTCGGCGTAGGAAAGACACCAGAATGGAATCCTCTTCAGGAGAGAAGTTGCCGCGACCCTGTCTGGGACATAACCAAGGCCGAGACTCTCGAGCAAGACAGAACCACCGTACGGTACTCACTGGTAGGCCCAGGTTGGTATTCACAAATGACGAGTGTTCGGTTGCGGCTGGAACAGAATAGGAGATAGACCACGCGCGTTCCTCGGAACCAGGGCCCCCACTGAAGGCAGTGTCGAAAGTTTCCACGGACAAAGACTGATCCGAATTGTGTAGATAGTGAGATATCGAGTCAGGAATTGTTGCATTTTGCGAGAACAAGAGCTCAGCATCTCCGCTGCCCGACTGGTCGTGGGCCCACCTCCATTCCTGCCCCGCAGTCCTGTATTTGATGGTGAAATAGACGACATGACTTTTTGACGAAGGTCGATTCACAGATCCTATGTACAGCATCCCTACTTTGCCCTTTCCCACGTCTTGACCTAGCTAGGAGATATCAGGAAAAATGTTTTTGTATACTGCAATGGATGCATACTGTCTGCACTTGTTCTCCTGTATTTTTGAGGTCGGTCTGAGACCAGCTTCCGGATTCTGAACTGTTGTGCCATATTGCAGCTTCCAAAAGAATACCTGGCTGATTGGACACCAATACAACTGTAATTATAGCCTGCCACTTTGTAAGAATCGGAGCACTGGGAATATTGGAGGACCTTGTTGGACTTACTGTTTGGCCAGATACGATTGTTGTCTGGCCTAAAAGCGGCTCACAAATTATTTGGGCCGACATAGTTGCTGTTTGCAAGTTCTAATCACATTTGAGACGCATGCTGCGAGGATCCAGAAGGCCTTATGCTGAAGCCTTAAAGTTGCCATTCCAAGGAAGTGGAGGTGGGGCTTGACGGGACGGTGCTCGAGACAGTCCGTATACCGACAGCAAACTCAACCCCTAGGTCGGCAGTAAGTTGGAGGAGTGATGTATCTGAGGACGTATTTTATGATGCGCTGCAGCATCTATCATTTGAGGCTATTTCCGACTTGGCCGAAAAGGGTGCAGTAAAATATTCGACGTGCTAGAAACAACTGAATAGAGGCAGCCGCTTTATCTATCTAGATATATGGTGCAGAAGTGTTGGCAAATGCTTCAAGGTAGGTTTCAACTCAGCGTGGAAGTAGAAAGATAATAGACAACTGTGGTACTAATCTCCGCCATATTTTAGAAGTTGATATGTAGTTACTAGTATACTGAGCTCTACAAGAGTTGCTCATATGTAATGCTAATATCACTTTGGTTTTTGCCGCAGAGCAATATATCGAGATTTACATTTCCTTTCCTTCAAGCCCCAAGTTATCATACTCTTTGAATAATAAAACAATGAATGAATCCATTCCCCAAACGCCAATCCCATGCAGTACAATCATAAAGTCATCATGGTATCATTTGATCACTAGAAGAAAACACTTCTCTTCTTCTGCACCTTCTTTCCCCCACCCAGCCCAAAGAACCCACTATGGCTCGCACTCGCATTGTTTCCCGGCGCTTGTAAATATGGACCTGACTGCTGCGGACGATTATTACTTCCAAACCAACTCCCCTGTGTAGCAGGCTGCTGCTGTTGCTGAGGAGCAAGCGGCGTGCTAACTGGCCGTTGATAAGGGACCGGTTGCGAATGCGGTGCGCTCTGATATTGCGAGAATTGCTGCGGCTGGCCTAGAGAGTTTGAATGTGGACGTATGTGAGAAGACTGTTGGCGGGGAGGAAGAGCGGGTTGCTGGAAGGATACGTGATTAGGTGGCGAGGCGGCTGCAGGGACACCATATTGTTTCCGTAGACGTTCTGTCTCTTTGGCTACTTCTGCGTCTCTCCTTTTTGCCTCCATCTCCTCTTCCTCTAGCATCTTTTTGATCATCTTCTGTTCTTTCCGTTCTATTTTCTCCCTTTCTTTTTTCTCGGCTTCGAATTCGGCCTTTAGACGAGCAGTCTCGGCGTCAATCTCCCATTGCGTGCGGGGATTTGCTGGGGGCGGCCTAGATGTCTGTTGTCGTGGTGACATATGTTGCTGTTGTTGCTGGGGTTTATATGCCTGTTGAGGTGGTGCTTGTGACGCCGAAGGTGGTTGGGAAAATACCGCTCCAGACATGACTGGTGGTGATGCAGCTTTACCACCTATCACAGGACCACTGTTCTTGCGTAATGGGTTCGTGTTTGCCCTGGGCTTCGGTGAACTGATGTTGAATAACTCTCTGCTGGCATTGAAGAATATATCCTTGATAACAGCCGCACTTAACAGAAACACCACCTCCAAGCCCTTGGCATCTTCGACGTCTACCCGGTGCATATTTGGCTGGTATATAGTCAAATTGTTCTGCTCCTTGCCCGAATTATACATAGCAACTGGAATGTCCGGTTCCTTGCTCTTCCTGCCGTCTACAGTCTTGCCAGATAAGTAGCATGATATGTCTTTTGACAACTTTCCATCCTTCTTCCACTTAAACGCAACTTTTGGTGTAATATCCAAAGCCGCGGGATCACTTTGGCTTCTATCGAGTGCCGAGGCAGAGGGCAGCTTGAAGCTGTTCTGAGGCATATCGAACTCCCAATAAGCAGAGCTATTCCAAGACCCAGCAACCTGCCTAATTTTGACCTGCTGATCTGGATTGTACAGCTGAATCGTAAAGTTATCTGGCACTATCGGCACCGGAGCAGGCGGGACCCCATTCTGGGCTCGTATCTCAGCTTGGGAAAGAGTTGGTTGTGTCCATTCCGGCTGCACCAGCACCTCTGCGTATAGCACATCTGGGTTGTAGGAATCGTACAAGGCTACCGCGTAGCAGTTCTTCGAGGCTGGTGTATTTGGATCGGGTCGCCGTAGCGTATATTCAGCCTGCGGCTCTGAGCCATTCTGAGTGAGGAAGATGGTATTAGAGAGAGGGTTGTCGGAGGAGGAGGGCCTGATGTAGAAGGTGGGGAGGTTCTCGTCTAGCATCTTTGCTATAGCTGCCGGTACAGCAGATTCAGGTTGTGTGGGCTTTGGAGGGGTAGAAATGTAGAGTTTGTTCAAGTTGGTGTTGGTGTTGTATGTAAAGACTGGTTTAGAGAGCTCATGGACATGATATAAGAAGGTAGATCTGGGACCGGAATTTGGGAAACTAGAATGCGCAGCAAAGCTCGTCGTGGGGCTGACGAGTCAAGCTGACTATGGGTGAGGCTGAGCTTGTGATACAAGTCTTAGATTTACGACGGCAACATGTGATTGGCTGGTATTCGTGCATGGCCATTAATCATCCCGAAATGGCAAATCAGCTATTACCTTCAACAACTAAAAGTGTTTCAGAGTTTGTATTTAACACTAGACATTTTGATCCATGCAGTATTTCGTTAGTCTATACAGGCTCGTTTATGTATTTCACTTGGATTATCTGAAGAATCTAAGTCGTCTTGAACATGACTATCGTCAATCCTGCCACAGCATGATTTTATTGATTGCTGGAAAACCTAATGCACAATTACTATCTGTAGTCACTTCATCTCTTTCTGTTAGGGTGTTTCTCTTTCGCATCTCCTTAGAGATATGCATAAATACCAGACTGTCCCGCTATAAATTCATTCATTAAGATATTAAGTGCCGCCAGCCAGCACGCTGAAGTTACTAAGAGAAGAACTGCATTCCAAAATGACTGTATAGAACAAGAATGAGCCGAGCTGAATATCTGGGGAGAAATACCTGATAGTAATAGAGGGGAGGGCAGAAAGAAGTAGGTGTATGGTGCAATTACTGAGGAAAAGCCAGCCAAATGCATAGTCAACTACCAAAGGCTTACTAGGCCAGGGAAAATGAGTGTATCTTCCTGTTGGCCATTCATTTCCCCACACATCCTGAGATATAGTGCTCGTCTATCATAGAAATGCCAGTAGGTTGAGATCGCACGGGAGTTTTCAGGTAATTGGACATCTTCCATAACGACTATGCTACACTTCTTCCCCATTCCTCAAGCCCCTCACCTTCATTATAAAACAACCCATCTATCTATATTCAGGCTTAACGAAATCAGCGAAAGTCTTCGGCTCCTCATAGTTGTGGGCTCCGTCTCCATGGGCATCATGGCCATGGCTGTGGTCATGAGGATCATCTTGAGGACCGACATATTCCATCTTCAGCACATTGCCACATTCACGGCAGCGTTCAACAGGGCGATCACGAGACATCTACATAAAACACGTTAGCCAATCCCTAATCCGTGTAGATGAAGAAAGCATACCGTGAGCCAAATGGTAACGTGGGAATCAGCAGGGTAGCCAGTGCAACCAGCGTACTGCTCATCACCAAACGACTTCACAATAATGGGGTTATCAAGCGTGCCTGCACATCCCCATCAGCGAATCCTTCCCGAAGCTTTATGACCTGATTTCGAAATACCTTTGCGAGACGCGTCCAAGGGCTTCATATCGAAGACATCGATACCCTGCATCTTTCCCAGAATCTCCAATCGCTCCAAACCGGTCGCTTGCTCGAGATCCGTGGGTATGGCTCCGGGTGCTGCTCCGGGGGGGAGGAGGTCGGATTCATCCTTGATGTCTGTGTTTACCATCAGCACAATCCGTACACGCTTCGTTATCATCAATCCGCGAGCATACCTTGGATCTTCTTGATCTTGGTCCCATTGGTGTCGCTGGCTGGGGTAGGAGCTGCTTCTCCTGCAAATCGATTAGTGGTGTGAGAGCTATAGGGTGATGGGGGAATCTCGTACTGCGGACGAAGGAGGTCGTGAAGCTGCGTCTAACAGCTGGGCTCACTGCAGCCCGACGTGCGGAAGTGAAAACCAGGCGTTGGAGGGACATGGTGGGTTTCAATTGAGTTGTGGTTTCTTGGTGGTTCGATTTTCGAGAGGTTGACATTAGAAGTTGCCGACCGGGAAACCCCTGCTTAGTCATATATTTGTCATGTTATCATAAACGTCAGGAGATGCATGTCAAATTCTCTTTGGCCTTTGACAATCCGCGAAGTTCTCCTTCTACTCCGGTCTTACCAGGACACTATGATATACCTATATCATATGTCCTGCGTCAAACAAAATTGGCAGTATGCTAGAGGTCGTCGCAGTTTGCAAGACTCAAAGCAGTTCCATTGACCGCAAGGAGTCTTACCTTTTGAGTTTCGAATCATCCTTCCTTTGAGAACTTCTCCAAGACAACAAAAGTGGATTGTATATATGCTCGTTCCTGCTGCCTTCAGATCATGCGACTGCGTTTCAGCGACGGCCTTTAAAAATGATAATGATGTCAGATCAAAGACTGTGGACTCGTTGGCTTTAAGTTCTATCTGTCGCCTCTTTTCTTTGCGTATTTGTATGTTCTCAACTATTCGTGCTATCTTAATTTATTCAAAACTAAAGAATGTACGCGTCGAGCATTCAGCCGGTTGAAGTGGGATGACGACCATTTAGTTGGCGTAAAATATTATTGTCTTGTTTGTATTCTACTCTTTTGTCTCGTCTTGGCTGTTATAACAAGCAAGTACTATGTCAGGGAAGCAAGGACGCTCGTGTCCACAGAGAATCATTGGGTAGACGTTGCTGGCACGTCGGGAGGGGCTCTTTCCTCAATGAAAAGAACGCTGAGGATTTAGGTCCCTCATGCCTTCCCTTTTGCTTGTTGCGATCATTGGAAGGGCCATGGAGTTTTGTGCGCATCAACTAGAGAAGCGAGCATTTACAAATCTGTGTTTTCTTTCCTCGTCCTCCTAGAGGAGAAGAGAGGTTCTTCTTTCGCTGTCAACTTCTGCCCATGTGATATCAGAGTACGGAATTTCTACGAGATTTGAGAGTCCAAATATTTTCGAATAATGACTAGGGAAATTGCGAGTGTGAGTACCCAATACCTGCAACTAGTTGATGGTTTCTTCCCTCCTGTACATATACCAGTCGGTTTAGGCGCTAAATATTAGTAGTTGACTTCTATTTAAGAGAAGCCAAAAACAGAAGTGGAAACTCGTACCTGATATTCTCTACGGGCCTAAAATACACAGACCTACAGACTTCGCACCACATAAAAAGTGCGTTTAGAGAGCGAGAGGGTTTTCGGACAGTATATCTCCCTCTAGGCTGTGGAACGAGGAGCAATCAAAGTCACCGTCGCCGACTTCTTCATGACTGCTTTATATGTCGATACTAATAACACACTTGCAACGGCAATGGACAAATTGAAATTCTAGACTTTCAATTATGGCAAAGCCCTCTGATGATCAGAACTCGCAACCCTCGAGATTATGGGGTTGGACGGAGCAACGACATTCATCGTGGTTTATCCCACTGCAATACCACATTGCCTATACTGCCAAACTTCGTTTCATTCTGATCATGGATTGGAAATATTCAACGTATACCATGCTATTCTAGTACTGCTGCTTTGGCATAAGACTGGCTTGGATTTTCCACACGTACTGGCCAGCGTCACATGCACCATGAGCAAAAAGACCTCGTAGCCAGAAAATCTACAATCATAGGCAACTCCGTCTTCCCCGTCTTCCCCCTCACGGCAAACGGCACCCAGGTAACGACTTATATTTTGGAGAGGTCTATAACTACAACCGGGGCTAACTCGGAGCACTCATTATTTCGAACATCTTTTTAACTGAACGAGTTGTAAGCACGGCAATGCACGGCATAAAGTCTAAACGTCTTGGGTCTGCGAGCAGCTTGGTAACACTTAACACCTATCCATCCTTCAAAGCAGACGTGGGAGCAACCTGGGTAGTGTATGGCCGGGAGAGCACAAGAGTTGTGCACAGCACACGAGATAGGTCGGATGATATTGACAGAAAGGGAGCAAGCAAGATGGTCATCTTCCCGTCACTTGCATTCGACGACGAGATAATCTGCCGAGGCACCGAAGCCTACTCAGCAGTACACAGACGGCCTATCATCTTGGTTTTTAATACCCTTGCTTACCTACCTATGGAAAGAAACAAAACGCTAATAAACGAAAAGGTTGTTCTGATACTCGTACTAGTCCTATGTTCTGCTTATATCTCAATGTAAATTTACACCGTTTAACCAAATTCAGCAGGTTCGTTCGATACATGCGTGTTCTAGAAAGACCGACACAATCTCCGGAATTGAGGCTGATCTCGAGATATGTACGTACTTGTACTATAGTACCCCATGGCCATTGATGCATTCCATGCACAACACCAACACCACGCGTCGAATACCCATCATTACGGGAGCGGGAACTTCAATCTCAAGGCTGCGCATCCCAGTCAATCAGTCAGTCAGTCAGTCGGCCAGTCAGTACTTTTGCATGAACACGCGTGGATTTGTTATTTCCTCTGTTAAGATACGATACCATGGTTCAATTTCAATAGCGCGGCGCGTTCCCCTGGGCCGTTCGTTTATCGATCGTAATCTAATCTATCAATAGCTTAAATTATGCCATGCCATGCCGTGGAAGCTTTGGAAGATTGATTTTCCTCTACCCTACCCTACCCTACCCGAGAAGCCAGGAGTAGAAACAAATGTCCGTTGCAAAATGCAAAATGCCGTCATATTGAATATTCGCGCCTGTTCCGTACAGTACTGTAAATAGTTAAAATGGGAGATGGTGAAACGCCACAACGCCATGCCACGCCACGCCGTATTCTCTTGTACCGAGTACGAACTCTCCGAGAGCACCTACCCTACTTGCACCTGCCCCTGCACTCCACTCTTGAACGTTAAAGCGGGGTGCCGTGCCGTGCCGTGCACGTGTCTAATGCATGCGTCCACTTGCCTTGCCTGCTTGCTTAGCCTGCCCCCTGCCTAGAGTCGAACTGAGGTCAGGTCTTCACTTGATAATTACCTACGGAGTAGGAGTATAGGACCTTGCCGGATAAGCTGAAGGTCTGCATGCATGATGCATATAAAACAGCTGTTATGAAAGTATACTTCCGTCGATCAAAAAAGAAACTCTGAAACGCCACCACCCTCCCTCCACGTTTAATAGCCGAGCCAATATCTACTATACTGTACATTACAGTGCGACCAGTCTCAGTCTCAGCCTCTTCCTCTTGCGGACCTCTCATGTCTTGACACGTCTTGGAGGGGAGGAGACGGGACGAAGGTCGTCCTATGCACATCAGTTACTCCACGATGTAACCAAGTTTGTGTTGCACAGTGTGCTGAGAGAAAACCAACGATAGAGGCCTGTGAGCTGAGCTGAAAGGGAAATTAGTGTATATGATACTAGAAACTAAGCACTATCTATCCACTTCCTCCTACCATTTGTTTCCTTCCATTTTCCCCATCCATGCCATCAGTTGCTACTATATAGCTAAAGGAAAAATCGACACCGTTAGATTATATATGTATTGCAGAAGAAAAGAAATAAGTGCCGCCGGGACAAACAACGCTTTGCAAATCGGGGGTATAGTTCTTTTTGAGAGTTGATAAACATGTGAAAGGAAACAAACAAAAGAGATCTGATGTCTTTGCCGCACCGCGCCCAATGCGATGCAGATTGATTGATGACCCCCTGTGTATATACCTCCAAGCAATCTACCCATATTTCCGATTTCGCCAGCATATGCTTGCATTCATTACATGCCAATCCTACCGTTCCTCGGCGTTCCATGGCTATTCCATCCAGTACATAAGAAATCAAACAAAGTCATTATTCCTAGGTCGTTGCCGAGCTGAGTGTAGAAGAATATTACAGTGTGGGTGTTCGTGAGCGCGATCCAGTCGCGTGTGAAGGGGTGTGAAGAATAGGAGATGTTGTCGTGTGCGTGTGTGTTCTATATATAAGAAATGGGTTTTGATGTTTCTCGTTCGAATTGTCGTACGGTTGTGAGGTTTAGGTGTGGATTTCGGGTGTGGAGGAAAATGTCCGTGCGAATTCGAGACATTCAGGAACATCTGAAATGTCTTTGTGCTGCTTTGAGCTAATATTCTGTGTCCCCAAGATCAGAAGCTGGTTCTTCTGCTGGAGACACTGAATGCTATAACTCGCTAGCTTTCTCTTTACAAGCAGCAGATGTGAAGCCCGTGCCTACTTTCTGTGCTACAATGCGCCACTTCTCTTGTTCGTAGTCATGAAGCGCTGTCCGAAGTTTTTGAATCTAGTCCGTGGGTTAGAAACTTGCAAATAAAATTTAGGGTGTTTCAACTTACTGTCTCCTCCGTCCATTGGGTCGTTTTGGCCTTCAACTTCGTACAATAACGGACCTGCAATGTCCCAGAAGATCGGCCTGGGAAAAATTCTGCAATTTGTTTCCAGGTCAAGTTCTTGTTCTCCTTTAGATCCACAAGCAGTTGATCATCCTCTGGTGTGAATTTCAGCTTAGGCCCGCGAGGTCTTGGAGCAGGGTCAGGCATTCCCGCTACTCCAACAACACTAGGTGCTCCACCACTTTGAGACATCATACTCGAATTTGGATCATCAGAACGTTGTCGCTTCGGTTGATGCGCTGAAGGTGGTAGTGGATGGCTGTGGTATGATTGTACGGACGAACTAGGATAATCCACCATCGACGGCTGTTGCATATGAGGAGGTAGACCCGGTATAGCGCTGCCTCCCATCTGCGGTTCCATTGGCAAGCCACTCATATCCATCTCCTCATCATCCCGCGACCTTTTTGTGCCAGACGCCGGCTGCATCTGGCGCGGATACATCAGCCCTTGCCCACCACCAAATTGAGGGGACTGATGGTGGGCCATGCCGCCCTGGGGATGCGGGCCAGTATACACTTGGTGTTGAGGTTGGTGATGTGGCGGCGGCTGCTGCTGTTGAGGATGTTGTTGTGGATGCGCTCCAAAGTGTTCGTGTGTACTGAGACCTGGACCGCCACCGTGCTGTATATCTTGGACATGCGATCCGAAAACGCGCTCCTCAGGATGAGGTTCGGATTGAGCAGCATAGTCGATATATGGATTTGCATCGTGGCCCGGTCTATACGACATGCAGGCATAGGGCTTCCGCCACAGCTCACTGCTCTCGCAGGTCGCCGGGGGCAGGACTACTACGTGCTGGATCACTGCTGGGTCGCGTTATGTTTTCAAGAGGCTCGTGGATTGAGGTCGCTTGTTTGTTGTTAGGTGCAAATGTGACTGTGCGCGTTTCGAATGGGTATATGTGGGATATTAAGACCTGGTTCTAGTAGAGCGGCCGAGTAACGCATTTGATAGGAACGGATGAGATGAGAGTAGGAGAGCAAAAGATTTAAGCTTCTTTCAGTGAGGGACTCTGGCCCGCGATCTTGCGGTAAAGCGGATAATGGGAATTAAGGAATAAACAGATCAAAATCCAGGCCAGCAAGAAGGAGGAGGAGGGCAGGCCTTTGCTTTATTTCGATCTATCGTCTGATCTTTTGAGTTTATCAGGCATTGATAGGCATTGATACCAGCGATGTACTGTGTGTAGCTCAGTAATTAAAGGCACAGACGTTTGTCTTGATAGGCAATCCAAGCACACCATTGATTCGTCATGGACGAGACGTAGAGTGTTGAGGAGACAAGGTGGTGAGTGATGCATGAAGACAAGAAGCATCAACCTCCTCGATCAATGCACTCGAGTAGCGGCCGAATCCAGCACTGGACAAGGAAATCCCGAACCCGGCAGGCAGCATGCAGCATGCACCGAACATTTGACAGTCAAGGATATGGCAGGAGGCGGTTCAATAGTCAGCTAAAATATTCTGTACGGAGTGTACGGAGTACTGTAGCCAACTCCACTCGCATGAGATCTGGAAGACTGCATGGAAGCTTTTTTGAAGCTTTGGCGCAGACTGAAACCAGCCTGGGTCAGCCTGAACTCGACAGCGCCAACAGGGAGTGCATTTCTGGAAGCATAGCATGGTTGTCATGGTTGAGGGGCGGGGATCATGGGATGTGTGTGAGGGTAGGGGTTATAGGGCCGGGGAGGGTCAGGCAAGGATGCTTGTGCCACAGACAGGGCCGACGACCCTAACCAGCAGCACAGACATAATAAGACAGCACTTCTGTAAAGGCTTGGAACCGAGAAACTCTTCACTTCGGCCTGTTAATGCGTATGGGTAAAAATAGCAATACGCACTTCCTGATTGGTCAAAGCAGCGCGCCGCCGGTATCGTGGGAGATGAACAGCAATGCAGACAATAGACGAATGACGAAAAGAAAGAATAATATCAAGTGCAAATATAAATGAAATTGCTCTGCCGAGGCAAAAGTCCGATGTGGAATCCTTTGAGCCCCAAAATAGCTAGACAGCATATACTTGTATATTAATCTCATGTAGACTCGGAAAAAGACCACGTCAGAGGGGCTGAAGGTGCTCAAAACGACGACTCATCGCATCTTCTATTAGATGTCAGATCGCTGATCATCGTCAACATCAGCCGCAAGATCAAAATTTGGTAGCTTCCCTGTAGCTTCCCTATGCTGATTGTGGATGCCAATAATTGTTCGTCTTATTACCTTTCAATGCTTTCTGCTGGTGCCGAAGGGGCGGGCGGGGAGAAGAGAGTGACCGACGGACGGTAGAGTCTACAGTATGGCCACACACGTAATTCCTGTAAGGCGTAGGGGATCGTCATCCAGGGAAAGTAAAGAGATGGTAATATAATAAGATGTTCGATCAACAAGGAAACCCCAGCACGAAGTACCTGCGGCGCGTCTCTTAGCTAAAGAAGTACTCCGGAGGCGTGGGGTACAGTGACTGCAAGTTGCAATTGGTAGAAGTGGCATTCCTTACTGGTAGATGTTTGCTCATGAGATCTTCAATGTAAATGTAAATGGTTGCAAAGGAAAGAAAATGTCGAAAAATCAAAATTGTCATGGTATGCGTGTATGTATGTATGGATGTATGGATGGTATTCTTATTATCAATATTCCAAATTAGGATGTCTACGTACTACTTTCCGCTGTGTACCCGCTATGCAGCTCTTACCTTCCGGCCTGCTGTAAACCTGCTGTAGCGAAGCTGCAGACAGTCGTTCCTGCATTAGAACTCCTTAGGTAAGACACGGATAACCTCGTCATCTCAGAAGAAAATAAATATCCGGAAATATGATGGTTAATATATTTATTCCTTGCACCTAGAGGTCAACTCGATAGCCTCGTGCAGCGTGGCACATCTTGACCAGCGTGTCGGCAAACCTGCTTGAAACTACTATGTAATTATTGACCCAATGTAGTACCGTCCCGTCGTACATTACCAGTCGCATGAGAGACATTGATTCTCCGGCAGGTCTCAATTCCCTGGTCACGGGGCATTTGTTGGCGGAAAGAGTTAAGAAATAGTGCGAGCGTCGCTCATGCAGCCACGCAGACATCAGTGAGGGATTGGACTATGGGAATATATTTTTCTTATACAGGTTGTTACATTACACGCCTCCGATCAAACGCCCGCTACCCAAGTGGTACAATTTTCAGATGATTTAACCACAGAAAACCCTTCCCGTGCAATCTCCCTAATCAATCGCCGATCCAGCCAAGAAACCACGTTGCACAACGTAAAGAGCCTCTACGCAAAATTATCATCTCGGTCAGCCCAAAGATCCTCTAATTGGGCGAAATTCTGGAAATGGAGAGGTCGGTGCTGGTCATTGTAGAACGGTAGTGGCGTGTCGATCTTAACATGAACCGGCTTCTTCTCGATTCCTCCAAACGTGCTTCCCATGAAGCTATAGTTCCAGGAGTTATTCTCGGGAACTAGGAAATATCCGCGGATCTTGTCGCTTAGTAGAAGCTGGCACTTCTCCCCCATACTCGTGCTGAACCCTTGAGGCTGATCGCTTCCCATGTCCTTGTTTTCTGCGCCCCATTTGTATCCTTGAGGTGTTAGAGCCCATGATGCGAGAGACACGCTTCCAGGAGTAAAGGAAACTGTCATTGAAATGGTCTTGTTGTTCCATGAGCTGTGTGCATTCATTAGACGTGAGTGCTGTGTGACATCCATCGCGGTCATGTATGGCGGTTCGTTTCCAGAGACGGTATGGATTATTCCGAGGGGTTCCAACTGATCCAAGTACTCGTGTTGTGGCAATTGCTGAGGCAGTTGGATATCGCGTGTGCTTCCGATTTGGGGAACCATGACTATGCATCGGATTTCTTTGACTTGATCGTTATCTGGAGGCGACGACCCATACAAGTATCCGGCTACTTGCACACGAAGATCTGCAATTGTGATAAATCGCTTGAGAATGTTCTTTGGCATGATGTAGGTGAAATGATCATCTTCTTTGATGTCATCCGACGAAATGTAGATGTTATTCGCTCGTGTCCGAAGATTCGAGGTTGCGATTGCCCTAGTTCTCCATTCGGTCTTGGAAGCAAACGTCTGTTGCTCGAACTGAGAGGTTGTGGTCACAATGATGTCTTCGCCATGGACATTCTGGGTTTTGGTGGTCACAGCAGTCAATTGCTGTTGCTCCTGCTGCTGCTTCTCAATTTCAGCAGCTTGCTGGCGCTGCATTGACGGTGCACTGATTTCCATTCCAAGAATGATATCCCGGACTTCGCTGCTAGTCAAACTTGAAGTATTGACATTGTTCTTCTTGCCGTAGTCATTCAAGATGAGGTCTCGTAATTGTGTTTCAACCTTGATCCAATCATCTTCCGACAGAGATGGCCAAATGTGATGATCTTGAGTGATGACTGTCTTGTCGGGTCGCAGAAGCAACTTTGTTCTATCCTGGTTCACATGAAGAGCCCGCAGAATCAAGATGAGACGAGAGAAGGCCGTGTAAGACGAAATGGACTTCAACCATTCATCATAAAGATTGAACAGTACCATTTGGGGTTCAGTGGCTCGTAGAATCATATCACCAAGTTTCTCAACCTTCATAGCAGCCTGGAAAGGTAGCTGAAGCTCAGATGCACGAATCGATATGTTCGGGAAATCAAGTAAATGGACTTCGAGAGGATCGAGAAGACCTTTACGGGTCACAATCAGTTGCTTAGGTTGCTCCTCAATTGGCAGTGATCGAATCAGAGCAGCGACCTCTTCAGCGGTCTTCCATTTAGCCAATTGTCCTAGACGCTTCTGGCCAGCCCAGACACTAGTGTGAATGATTTTCAGGAACAGCTGACCAGTTCGAGGGTTGAATATGAAAATGGCGCCATTGATAGGTTTGGTGGTCAAGTTGCCCTCGAATGTCTTATGGATCGTAACACGATAGACATTGGTATCGTCGATGAACAATTGGATTTGATTGCTGAAAAGCTCTGAGTAATTTTGGGAGTTCAGAAATTCTTGGTTGCTCTCAGAAGCATACAGCTGAAGACCCTTGCGAATACGCTCTCGAAGGACATATAGAGCAGGATTTGCCTTCATAATCTTGGCCATAGCTTGCTGGATGAGCGTTTTCAGACCGGGGAAATACTGACCATAGGCCGAATAAAGATTGTAAGCAAGATCAATACCAATCATGAGACCGGTAGCAGACGGGTAGATACTCATGCTGTCGGTAGTGTAGTCAAGATATTTGGCCCGAACGTATCGTTCTATGTCATGAGAATCGTAATCGCCATAACGCAGCTGAACATCCACCCAGAACTTGTTCGTCGTGGTAGGCTCAATTACATCTTTGGTATCGAATAGAATTGAAGGTCGTGTCACGTTCCACTTGTGACTTGCGAATAGCAAAATGTCTGCACAGGAGCTATTCATCTTGTACGACTTTCTGGGATGGATGGTTTCTTTTTGCACAGTCTCAATGCCTAACTGCTCGAGTTCTAACAAAAAAAATTAGCACCACTTCTTCTGTAGAGAGCGAGCGGGAACGAACCTTGATCGAGCACTTGACAAATATCCATGACGACAGACTCATGGATCTTTTGCCACAAATGAGCTCTGAAAATTTGAATGAGAGAAATCTTCAAAGTCGGGATCTTGCCATGCAAGAAGATTCCAGTCAGATCCAACTGAACCTGGAAACCAACATAAACATTCGCCCTGTTTATAGTAGGGGACCACCAGAGGGTGAAACGACGATTCGGAATCTGGTTGAGACCGGATCTTTGAGCGTTGGTCAGCTTCTTGAATTTCATCGACTCCTCGAAACCTGGATGATAGAAGTCAGTTCTTTCTCTTAAGCGAGAATAATGTCTCACAGCTGAGGCATTATAGGACAGGGAATCTTACCTGATGCTTTCTCCCAGAACAAACCCTCCCAGGATGGGAAAGCGGTAGCTTTGAATAAGGTGTGCTCAAGAATTGTCTCGACTCCGCCCAGCGCTTGTATCACATCTAAGGATCCCAAAGTTAGTGCACTATTTACGCCATAATGCCAAGAAATTGGCTTACCTGTCCGGTAGGCGTTCAAATTCCATAGCTTTCCGTCGTGCCGCTGACTTGTCCACCAGAAGGGATTGCTCTTCATCAGCTGGTAAGTTTTGAACTCAGTACGTGCTCGGAAACCCTTGTCAAAACTCAAGGTGCTTCGATCCTTCTGGAATAGAGTATTAATACGAGGTAGACCGCGATCCCAACTATCCTCAAGATCTTCGAGTGTGAGTCTTCTGTTCTGCTGATTGGCTTCTTGACGCTTTTGAGAGTACTCTGTCCACACCCGTTGAGAGTCGATGAATTCAGCCTCCCAAGGAATAATGTATCTGAAGATATTCGGAATCAGTGTGTCCTCATTGTGGCTCATACCAGCCCGGTAATGAGTGACGCCAACATCTGTTTGCTTCGACCAACGTTTGTCGCTCGTTGGAATGAGGATGTGGGAGCCAGATATCATACCGAGACCTCCAAGTTCCTTCGGGGTATAGAAGACAGCAGGCGGAAATCGAGAAGGCATCTTCGAGTTAAGTCCAATCTTGACTCGGGTCTGGATCTTCGTTTCACATTTGACGATAGTATCGAGAAGATTGACGGTTGAAACGGCTGCTTCACGGTAATACGTAAACAATGCAATCAAACTCGTGTTCCACTTGTTGGCAATCTTGGTGAAGGTGGTGGAGCCCGAGGACATCAAAATTTGGCGAATACGATTGTTGAACTTTGCAATATCCTCCTCCGTAACTTGAAGGAAAGCATGAGCTGTTCTTTCCTTGCTTGTGTTATCAACTAAAGACCAGACACTGTCCTTCACCGGGAATTCGTCATTCTGATTGCGAATCTTTGGTAAAATTCGGACTTCAAAGCCGCACATGGCGAACAACAGATTCGGATTGTCTCTGCTGTACACGCTGGAGAAGGTGTCGTCCCATTCGATCGTAGTAACAGATCTTGGCAACCGATTCTTCAAGTCCCAGAACACAGCGCGCCCAAGGTTGACATCGTGTCTCATGAGGCGCATACGCGAATCTCGTGGCCAGCACTTCTTATTCTTGTAACCAATGACATTCTCGAAGTTGGGATCCGGCTGTTCAGTGAGGAAACGTTGGATCAAATCACGGGACTCGTCGGCAGTAAATCGGAAGAAGACCCAGATGCGATCAATATATCTGGTATATAATCTGATAGGATGTCTTGTCTCTGTCTCGCGATCTCGGAACTGCAAGAAGTCATTGGGACTTTGCGGTGGACCAGCAATCTCGCTTGCACGTTGCAGACCAAGAAGCAGCAAGTCAAGAACAAGGCCATAGTATTGGAAGACGAAGGCAGAGAATTGAAGACCACGGATCATACCATAACTATTGACGTGGTTCATGTCTTTGTATGTCAACTGAACATTGTTCTTTGATGAGATATAATCAGCAAGATTGTGATCCATGATGAGTCTAAGCAGTCGGTTGAGGAGTGTAAGATCGATTTTTTCGTAAACTTTTGATAGTTGCGTCTCGATCATAACGTTACACTCTCCATCGGCAGATTCCCAAACTTTGTCGAGATTGTTAATACCTTGTGCCCATTTATACGTGAGCAATGGAGGGACTTCTGAATCAGAGGGCTTGATCCACGCGGGGAAGAGGTGGCGCTGATCTGCTTGATACCACAAATACTGATCCAAATAGGCATCGCTGATTTTTTCGACTGGCTCGATGTCATAGACCGGATTGATCGTGCTGTAATTGTCATTCATATCAATGCCAACTTCCTTGAAAGCTCTTTGGGTAAGAAGGAAACGTTTAATTCTCTCAAGTGTTGTTCCAGGGCTGTCGTATGCCTGTTCAATCAACGCCAATTCCTCACGCTGGCTCTGATTCAGTCTGCCCTTAACTGAGTATGCCTCTCGAAGTCGCTCAAGAGCGAGAATCAGAATCTTCGTGTCATGCTTGTAGGAGACACTAGGAAAGGGAATAGGTGAGAATTTTCGAGACTCGAGCCAGTGCACAGTAGTAGTGTATATAGCCACAGCTTCCTCGGAAGACACATATGGACCATCCTTCATGTAATTATGTTGTCGTTCTTGCTCTGCCTTCAGCCAGAGCCGGGTAAGGCGACCTAAATTCTTCTTCGCAACGGTCTTGTCAACAGTTGCACCTCGCCGAATGCGCTCTCTGTTGTAATGAGCCACAGAAATCCACCAATCAGCCTTGCTCTTGACGTAACGAAGGATGATGTTCTCGATGGGCGCTGGCAGACCGGGTACCTTCCAAGGAATGTTACTCTTCCAACATCTCCAGGCTTCGGAAAGATGCTGCAGGACAGTGTTGACTTTGTTTTGCTTGATTCCCTCTGGCATCATGTCCATCAAATCAGCCATGACAGAGGCACGGAGCTCAAGATCATAGTGAGACTCCACACGTTGCTTCGTGACTGTCTTTGCAACTCCCTTGCTATGTCTGCCCTCGAATTGTCTTGACAAAAGATTTCCCAGCCATCGCTCAAGTAGAGGAATGATACCTCGCATGAAGAATAACCAGACTCTCCAAGCTGGAGCCCAGAATCCACACCCAGGACCCTTGCCTACTGGACCAGAGTTAAATCGATAGTAGATTAGATGCTTCAAGTCTTTGCACGAGCGGATTTGATGCATGAGCTTGTACTTGTAACGATACATCCCCGTAAGCTGACCAACGTGGTTGAAGGCGTATAAGATGCCATCAGCGAGTTGGAAGGCATCAATGTTGCCAAGTCTGTATTGAACCTGTGCGTCAACAATCAATTTTGTCAATTTCAGAATCTCGCGCATTAGATGGAAAGCATTGCCAAAACGGGACTTTTTTCTCTCCTTGGTAGTCAACGTCTTTACGGGCTTCAGGTTGAAGTTGTAGTCAAGATGTAGATATGTGAGGTTCTTGCGATGGATGAGGAGGTTGAGCATGTTGAAACCTTGACGGCAGACTTGGAGGCCAGCCTCAACCCAGTCTATGCTTGTTTGCTGGAAAAACTTTGTCTGTTTCAAAGACTTCATCAAGCTTTGCTTATTCTGGGACTTTGGCTTCCTCTTGTGGAGCTCGTTCAATACGAACGTCTTCAGAAGTTTTTGATACGACACACGGACCTTGACCGGTTGCTCCCGAGAGACGTGTTCAAGATACCATTGTTTGACCAGGGGAACATCCTGTGCTCGAACCATACGTCCTGAGCGTCTATCGAAGGGAAATGGAGCCCACCACAACGCAATAGCAGAAGTAGTGTCATCTGTGTAGACTTCCTCGTCCGCAAAGAAAGGTTCAACTTCAGCAGGAAGTTCGAATGCATCATCTTCCGGCTCTTCATTGCTGCCGTGCCCAAATATCTCATCTTCGTGGCTGACAGTTATGTTTTGTGGTGCGACCGATCTTGACGAAATAGGATTGATTGCAGGATCGAAGTAGAAAGCTGGCAGACCGGGGTCTTCAGCACGAATATACACCACCTGTGGATGTGAATACCAAGACAGCTTTACGCTGCGTGGAAGGGAATTGTACAAGAATGGAAAAGCGACTCGGTACTCGGTTCGAATGGGAGCGCGGAAAATAATACGGTCAATGGCGTTGAACTCGCCGAAGTCCTCGTCGTTGGGATCAACATCTTTGTATAACGGTTCGAATCTTGGACCTCCTGGAACTGCCAAATTCAAAGCCTTGGCTGTGAGGAAACTGTTGAGGTCGAACATATGGAAGTAGTTCTTGTCCACCAGGTCACTTAGCAGTTGGTGACTGAGTCGATAGAGAGTCGCCATCTGCGGCAGTGAGAGGTTCCATTCTTTGTAACTTGGTCCGTTGACATGAGGTGTATCCAGAAGCGGCCTGTTTTCATAGAACCACTCATACACTGCTCCATCTTCCGTATCGTCCAGCTCCATCTGAATTGGTTCTAAAGGCTCGACGTCTTCGATGTTCTCTGACCAAGATAGAGGCGGCTCTTCGTCATCAAAAGGAGGGAATCGCATCCGCTTGAAATGTCTTCGATCGCTCTTCTCCCTCCTCATGCATACCCACATCGTAGCCCATTGTGCGTGGAAAACAGGTTCGATGACTCTCGGGGTCTCGTTGACCAAAGTTAGACATCCGTTGACGTGGTAGAGGACCTTAACCTCCCTCGCTGACTCCCAAGGCATGGGCATATTCTCTAGTAGTTTCATAACGGCGTGAGGCATAAATTTCAGCGCACCAAGGTAACTTCTCTTGTCGCTGCTGAACTTCTTCTGCGAAACATCTCCAATATCCTTCACAATCTTTCGTAGATGCGCGGGAGGCATATCAGCCTTCTGCGTCTCGACAAATCCTCCCTTCCGTTTCTCTCCAAATCGATTCCGTTGCGATCGTAACCATTCTTTCTTCTTCTGCGCAAATTTGGCCACCTGTGGATCTGCTGGAGGTCGATAGCCAGGAGGCGCTGCAGAGGCAGGTGGCGCGCCCAGAGGCAGAGAAGGAGGAGCTGAAGAGCTCCATCCGGGAGGAGGTGGAGGAGGTATGGACGACATGCTAATGAATGTCACACACACAATCTCCCAACTCCTGTTGATGGTTGATGGTGGAGGGGGTTTGAAGATCGAACGTGATGCATTGAATTCGAGGCGCAAAAATATCGTCGGTCGCGACTTTACCGCGCTAACAAGCCAATCCACGCTAGTCTAGTTACAGCTTAGCACATAATTCGGTCACGGGCATTCCTTCCTCGCTTAGCCCACAGAGGGCGTCGTCTATTGAAAAGATAAATTTTTCGACATCAAACGCGAGCTTCCCCCACGACGAAGCACAAACACCGCCAAAATGACGTCCAACAGATTGACATACAGACGCCGTAACCCGTGAGCATTTGCCAATGCGTTAGAAGTTGAGCGCCAGTAAACTGACCGCGAGCAGATACAACACCAAGTCGAACAAGGTCCGCGTTGTCAAGACCCCCGGCGGCGAGCTTCGATACCTTCACATCAAGAAGGCCGGTACAGCGCCCAAGTGCGGAGATTGTGGAATCAAATTGCCAGGAGTAAGTTTCTCAATGCGCATATGTTGGAGAAGGAAGTCAAATGGGAAATGGAAACGGGCGAAACCCAGATAGAGCGCATAAGTTCACCACAACCAGGGCGCCTATCTACAACGCTTTTGGATGGTTGAATTAGTTGGGACTGGTGGTGTAGCAGGGGCTACGAATTCTGGATCGGAGTCTTTGAAAATAAAACTGTTGGATGCCTACGACCTATGCTAACACTTTCTCTCTTTTCAGATCCCAGCTCTCCGACCTCGCGAATACTCCCAGATCTCCCGCCCAAAGAAGACCGTCCAGCGTGCCTACGGAGGATCAAGATGTGCCAACTGCGTTCGGGATCGTATTGTTCGGGCTTTCTTGATTGAGGAGCAGAAGATTGTCAAGAAGGTGCTCAAGGAGTCTCAAGCACAAACGAAGAAGCATTAAAGGGTTTTTGGTATGGTTTCTTAGGGGTGTTTGATGGCGGGACTTGCAGGAATTGGCAAGAATTGGCTGTACCTATCTCAGAGCTTCTATGAATCATGAGATGCAATTGCCTGTGAACCTTAGGGTTTCTTCAACAATCACAGCGATCAGTGTTGTCCTCCTAATGTGCATTTTATACCTCGGACAGAAGCTAGAGACGAAGCTGTACCCATTCTCCTTCAGCCTGCTGGCTTTATTCTCAGAGATTCTTACCATAGAAGCTGCAGCCAAAACTCGAATTAAGTCGCAAACCAACAAGACAGTACTTGTAGTTCAAAAGCCTCGAAGAGGGCAATAGCGAAGTGTTGAGTCCAGGTTGAGACAAACCTTAATACTGAAAATTACTCCTCTTCAAAGGCCATGTTAAAGACGCATGAAAAGTGTAGAACATTATTGCACAGTGATTTGTGCCAATCATTGTGATTCTGATAGGACTGATTGCTGAGCATGCAGATTATGATTGGAGCATGCCACGCTACGAGACCCCACATCAAAGCAAGGCTGACCAAATGACCTCCAGCTAAGCCTGACCTCGTGGACCTCTCTACATGTATGAATCCCGAGTCATTATAAGTCCACAAAACATGTCTTAAACCTCGAACACAGTTTCCCTCCTCTTTCTCCTCCCGCGTCCCAACTTGCAACTCAATTTCTGGAACTCTACTACTCTTTGGTTTTATGAAATTGCTTTATCATTCACGATGCCCTCAGATCGACCCTTGCTTGCCTCTGATAGAAGAGAGTCCTCGACTCATTCTGATGAACGAGCCGCCGAAGAAGATACAGCTCTGCTTGGAAGCCAGCGCAAGGATGCACCAAAACCTCAAAGTCGTGCTAGATCCTGGCGAGAGCTGGGTCTGTTTACTTGGGCTGTAGTTGCAACAGCGGCCGTTATCGTTCTTGCCGTTGTCTCTCAACACCAAGCTTCCAAGAATGGCAAGAAAGCAATACCCGCCGGAAAGCGTAACTTGATTTTCATGGTTTCGGATGGCATGGGACCTGCAAGTCTGTCCCTGACTCGAAGCTTTCGTCAATTTGAAGGTAACTTTCCGTTCCGAGCCATCTAGACATCCACTAACCATCTAGGCGGCCTTCCACACGATGATGTTCTTTTCCTCGATCAGCACTTTATAGGCTCCTCCCGAACTAGATCAAGCAGCAGTCTTGTTACCGACTCAGCTGCCGGAGCTACAGCCTTCTCATGCGGAATGAAAAGCTATAATGGAGCTATATCCATCCTGCCCGACCATACCCCCTGCGGGACCGTTCTTGAAGCCGCAAAAAGAGCAGGCTACACAACAGGCCTCGTTGTGACAACTTCACTTACGGATGCTACACCAGCATGCTTTGCATCACATGCCAATGTTCGATCAGAGGAAGACTTGATTGCACAGCAGGAAGTGGGCGAACATCCTCTCGGACGTGTTGTTGACCTTATGATGGGAGGAGGTCGTTGCCATTTCCTGCCAAATACGACTTCTGGAAGTTGTCGGGGAGATGATAGGGATATTACCAAACTGGCCCAAGAGAAATATGGCTGGAATTATATCGATAATAGGGAAGATTTCGACGGCTTGAAGCTTGGGAGTGCTGTGAAGCTCCCATTACTAGGCCTATTTGCTGGCTACAACATTCCATACGAGGTAGGTAGGGGCCCGGCGACCCTTCAATCTGACACAGATTTCTCTACTTGATTTAAAAATCATTTCTGACATTTCCGCAGCTTGACCGACGAAACATGAACGACATATATCCTTCACTGGACGAAATGGCACGAACCGCTCTCAAAGCTCTAGAAGCTGCCACTCGAGACAGTGACAAGGGTTTCTTTCTCATGATCGAAGGTAGTCGAATCGATCACGCTGGTCACGGCAATGACCCTGCGGCTCAAGTCCGTGAAGTCTTAGCCTATGATAAAGCATTTGGAAGTGTTCTTGAGTTCCTCGACGAGTCATCCACGGATGGAGTACTTGTAGCTACAAGCGATCACGAGACTGGAGGATTAGCGGTCGCACGGCGTAAGAATTCTTGTCATGTTGTACCGTTTTCAACTAATTGTTCGTAGAACTCCACCCGACATACCCCCATTATGCCTGGTACCCGGAAGTACTCCACAACGCCTCAAGCTCAGCGGAACACTCATCCCGACGCTTGAGATCCCACATATTCAACGGTGGAGACAACCTCAAGGACTTCATTAGCGAGGAACTTGTAAAAAAAGGCCTGGGGATCTGGAATGCTAAAGACTCCGAGATTCAACTTGTCGTTGATAACCCTGCCCTTAGTTCCTATTACTTCTCAGACATGATCAGTCGGAGAGCGCGCATCGGCTGGTCAACCCATGGCCACACGGCTGTCGACGTAAACATTTATGGCTCCGCTGGCTCGGAAGCGCTACGCGGAAATCATGAGAATGTTGAGGTTGGAAAGTTCCTTCGGGACTACCTTGATGTTGACATTGAGTCCGTCACAGAAGAGCTTGTTGAGAAGTCCAAGTCTTTCAAAATCGCCGGCGCAGCCCAAACTAGCTGGACTGGAAAAATTCCTAGTGGGGAAGATTTGCAGTCTGCAGAGAGAAAACACGAGAAGGAATACGGAATGGCACCTTGAGATCCGTCGCATTTATAGGCATTGCACTTGGCGTTCATTTAAATCTGGAAATACCCCTATCCTTTTTGCCATTTCTTCTTCTGGGTCTTGTGCAAAGTTCGCGTCCGGGGTCCTGAGTTGGTAACTCGCTGAAACGTGATCACGAACAAACGAGCCCTCCGAGTGTTGCACAATCTGCTGTCAAACACAAGTCATCTCCAAGTGGAGCAGAAGTTAGGGTCTAGCTGCTCTTCGACGGTTTGCACATTTGTATGCCAGGAAGTTTGTCCTGTGATGAAGTATGACAATACCTGATTTGTTGGCATGCTGATATTTCAATTGCTTGACATTCGCATTTTGGCCAAGTAATTACAATCACTTGGTGGGCAATCACATTCGATGGGGAAAACAAGTCACGGCCTCGCCGTCAGGGCCAACGCTTTCATCGGAAAGTTTTGATGTTGATACCTTGGCTGCCTCGACGTTTGGGAACAAGTAGAAAGATCAGACGAAGAACATAAGTGTGATTGAGAACCAACTCCGATGCTCCTTTAATGACTCTGAAAGGAACCGCTCGCTACGCCGTGCTTTCCTCTGGCATCTTGTTTCTTCCTATCCTATTTCATGCATTCTTACAGACTCCTAATATCAACCGTACACTCAACTCAAAGAGGTCTAGACAAGGGCCAGCAAGGCTTTCCTCGAAATCAACGTCAAGTTCGATTTCAAAGAGCCCATCGTCTCGAATCCTTAGTTCACCTCCATCTCCCATTCGCGCAAGATCCCGTCAAAAATGTGCAACTACTGGTCCATCGAGCCCCTCTGCGGCCACCGGACCCTCTTCGCCGGCTCAAACTGTTACCTCCTCTTCGACCAACTACAACGAATCAACCACCCCACCGAACGCGCCCGTCCGGGTCTCCCGTTCGAGGTCCCGCGGCAGTGTCTACCCCATCGCGCGAATACGACGAGGAGGTATGTGAGTGAGTACTGTTCGTGGGAGTGTAGGAATACTGCGCTTTATGCGCCGAGGTGTGGAACTAGGGATGCGAGGTATGGACCGGGAAGTGAGAGGATTGGTGTTGGATGGCGGTAATTGGTGAGGCGGATTGGAAGGTGTAATAATTGGGAATTTTGCTTGGCTTTGGTTTTGGAGTTGGAGTTCTTGAACTGTTTCTGTGGGCGGGGCATGCAGACTTTCAACAGTTGGGAGTCACCATATTTTGATATTACATCGGAAAAGAAAAGTCAACTTTAATATTTCAAGGCACAGTGAGAATATCCAGAGTGTGTTTGGACTAGGCTGCAACGTCAGTCTGGTGGCTAGCTACTTCTACATCAGCTCATAGCCTATATTTCGAAAATATGAGAGACTACCACGTCCGGGGCTCACATGAAGACCTATCCATGTGGAAATGCTGCAAATAGAGACTTCTCTTCCTGGGGAGGGGGGAGGGGGGTTATATGAGCCTTGGCTGATTACTTAGGTCAGACAATAAGTTACATGTGAACACCGGTATGAAGTTATCAATTTTCACTTAGCTGGGCTAGACAATTGAATCATTCTTGTACACCGAATTCGAGATGTCTTTTGTTGGGCAGGCCAATAGAGGGCGAAGAGAAATTGGATCGGATGAATATGGCGATGGAGCTTATGGACTTGTTAGATAAGGAAGGCTTGACGGATTATTTGCCTCTGGCGTACCGGACTATGAAAGAACAAAGTCTGGCTCTTGGCGACATGATGAAGATGCGGGAATGGGAGCAGTTGGAGCAGGATATTGAAGAAGTGCTGCATGGACGAGATGATGATGTTAACTTGCACCATTAAGAGGACTGGTGGATTTTCAAGTTTGGCTGATCTGTGGAAAACATTGTATGAGGTCTTGGAGGTTCGGTAATTACTTCATCATGGGGATTTCAGCACTCCAAGTTGTTACATTTTGGCTTTCAAAAACATCTGAACCACTGATAAGCAAGGAAGATTTCAAGAAAATAAGGCATGTATGTAACTTCTTCATAAAGTTCGCCTAGAGTATGCCCAATAGGACTTCCAAGGCAATCTCCAGTCTCTAGCTCGCAACTCAGGTCTGAAAATGTCAAAGTCATGCTTCTCCAACTTCTCCAGCCATAACCTTGTTGGCACAGCTGGCATAAGAACTCCAAATCCTCTCTCAATATCATCAACCTGTGAGCGACTAGTGGAGCTCTGCTCGGCGTACTCATGACCTTCTTCTCCCTCGTGCTCGAAATCATGACCCGCATCTTTGCCCTGCTGCAGATTCTTCAGCATCTCCTTAGCCGTAATCAGATGATCGTTGGCCCTCGTAGCAATTGTGAAGATCGCATCTTTCAATCCTGGTGCTTCAGCTCCTTGCCGGAATACCTCCTCTTCCTTGACTCCAGCTTCGGCCATTACATCTAAGGGCAATACCACAGCTCCTTGGCGACCGCCTCCGAACGCTGAATTATTGTTGTGGTGATTCGGTGGTGGCGGAAACGCAATCAGTGGCAAGCCTCTAAGAACAGCAGTAATTCCGACAGCTTTCCCAATATGGCTTGCTACATGGTCCGTTGCCATTGAGTTTAGAGGGAGAGCTGCTAGCGTCAAGTACATCAAGGTTGAATATGTATTCTCCGCATACGTCTCCAACGCCTCCATGTTCGTATATGGACGATTGTCGATATACTGCTCTCTTGTATTGATGACTTTCATGAACCATCCTTTCATGACATTCGTGCTGATACCAGGATGCCTACTTTTGAGGGATGTAAGAGCATTATGGAGGAGGATGGCAACAGGTTCTTTTGGTGGGGTATCGGCGAATGTGCGAGTTATATTGTCCCGCCAGAATTGCATACGAAGAGCTCCAACTCTTTGATTTGATACTAGATCTGGTATTCTGGCAAGCTCGATATTCAGAGCTCGAATGGAGAGGTATGCATCGCGGGCTTGAGGAGGGACGAAGGTTTGGAGAACATGGGAGGGAGAATCGAACTTTCTGAAGACTGTTAACTATTTGAAGGGCTGGTAGAGGATCATGGAACTTACTGTACAAGATTGGAGCAGTATGACCTAGCTCCATCAACATCTGCTTCTGTTATTCGAGAGGCATGAGGTGCTGGGGTACTGTAAGGAGTCGTCGCATATGTACACCTCAATCGTGGCCTGGATATGGTCTGTATGCGCAGCCGTAGGCTCAACTGTTCAGCATACATCACATTATATTACAAATAAAACAGAGGCAAAGCATTGAACGGCGATTGTTCCAAATGTTCTAAAAGTTTTACGTCTGGCTCGTCAGGGATCTTTTTTCTCATTTACGCGACTTTGCGACCTCCAAAACGCGTCTCCTCTCCAACTTATGTTTAAGAGAAATGCCAGAACCGCAACCACCAACGCCAGTATGAGTTTTGCAGAGTCAGAGGGTCCTCCAACAAAGAAGAGGAGGTTCTTTACAGATAAAACGGATATTCTTGACTCTTCCCTCGGAGCTGAGCCATCGTTACCGGATGAAATCGACGCGTTCCCTACTGCGGCGGTTGTAGAACCATATGAGCCAAATGGATTCGACTTACCAAATTCAGGAATTATCCCAGGAACTGGGGGGCCATCGAATAGTGAAGAGCCGCAATTGAATGATCATATACCTGGCTTTGACTCGGAGACATTTGAGAGTTTCGTCGGAGACAAAGTCTCGCCAGATGCACTGAAGCAGTTACGGGAGGCGTCTGGGGATAATCTGGAAAAAGCTGTCAATATGTACTTCGATGGATCATGGAAGCAGAATGCTGCAGCAGTACCCGTTCGCAGTATTGGAGGGGGATCAGCACCCAAAGCAATGACAATCAACTCTTTCGCAAGGTCGGGAACAAGTGGCGGACACGAAGCCAATGGGACGCACGAGAAAGCCGAGAGCCCCGCCATCGAAGTTTCTTTGAAGGATACGATGCCAGAATATCGATATGTTGGTGCTTTTGGGGTCGGGGCCTGGGCAACGAGGAGTGGAACTACATTACTCAAGCACGGAGAATCCGTTCGCATTGAGAGGCAAAAGATACAACCGCCAAAAGCCCCCGTGGGCAAGGGCAAAGGGAGGCCCGCTGTAACACCATTGAAACCGAATAGTGCCGCAGCCAAACGAGTCGATGTCATTGTACGCTTCACAAATCCGAATGGGGAAGAGGTCGGGAGACTTCCTAGAGAGACCGCAAACTGGGTATCTACGTTGATCGATCAGAAAGTCTGCAGGTTTGAGGGAACTTGTGTTTATGCACCGGAGAGAGTCAGGACAAACGACACCATATTCTTGCAATTACGGTGCTCGCTACTCAGAACTGCGTTCGACAATAGAGGCTTCAAGCCGTCCGAGAACCGTAAGACCGGCATCTTTGAGGAGAAGGAATCATCGGAAGAAAAGGAGTTGCGCTTGCGTCAAGTGGCGCTTGTAAAGCTTTTTGAGGAAGTCAGCCTTCTTCCTTCTAAGACTTCGGAAACCACGGCAAAACACAAGCGTGAAGGATTGCTACAAGCAGCTGAGGTTGCAGAACAGTACGAGAATTCTAAACCAAAGAAGTCGAGCTCTGCTGAGAACGTTGGATCTTCTCCGTCCGCCGAGGAGGCCGAGGACGGAAAGGAGCTCGAACAAGATCAGCTGGATACGCTGTACAAGAAAGCACAATCCTTCGACTTTGACGCCCAAGCTGCAGAGCCCGCTGAAACATTCGCTATGGATCTGAGGCATTACCAGAAACAAGCCCTGCATTGGATGATGTCCAAGGAAAAGGACGAGAAGGACGAGAGTAAAGAAGCTTCTATGCATCCCCTGTGGGAGGAATATGCTTGGCCCACACGGGATATGGAGGACAAGGATTTACCTCAATTTAAGGATCAAGCCAATTTCTATGTCAACCCTTATAGTGGCGAGCTCTCGCTAAAGTTCCCGGTACAGGAGCAACATTGCCTTGGTGGCATTTTGGCAGACGAGATGGGCTTGGGCAAGACGATTGAGATGATGAGTCTGATTCATTCTCACAAGTCAGATGTCGCCATGAGACTTGACGGAGCAACCCCCCTGCCGCAATCAGTCAACAGTCTGCCAAGGTTACCGGCAGCTTCCACGAATGTAGAACGGGCACCATGTACCACGCTTGTTGTGGCTCCAATGTCACTTCTAGCACAGTGGCAAAGTGAAGCCGAAAATGCTTCAAAGGATGGTACGCTGAGGAGCATGGTCTACTACGGAAATGAGAAGACCGCAAATCTTCAGGCTCTTTGCCGTGAAGCAAATGCCGCGTCTGCTCCAAATGTCATCATCACAAGTTATGGTGTTGTGCTCTCTGAATTCAACCAAGTTGCTGCGAGGAATGGAGACAGAGCTACGCATGGAGGCCTATTTTCTCTAAACTATTTCCGGATTATCCTAGACGAGGCCCATCACATCAAAAACAGGATGAGTAAGACCGCTAAAGCTTGCTACGAGCTTGATGCTGAGCATCGATGGGTATTGACGGGCACTCCTATTGTTAATCGACTTGAAGATCTCTTCAGTTTAGTTCGGTTCTTGAGAGTTGAGCCTTGGAGCAATTTTTCGTTCTGGAAAACTTTCATTACCATGCCTTTCGAGTCCAAGGACTTTATGCGGGCATTAGATGTTGTTCAAACTGTTCTCGAGCCACTAGTATTGCGCAGAACAAAGGATATGAAAACACCAACTGGCGAGGCACTTGTACCCCTTCCACCTAAGTCTATGGATATTGTCGATATCGAGCTGTCGAAACCAGAACGTGAAGTTTACGACCACATATTCACTCGCGCCAAACGCACATTTACAGCTAATGTTGAAGCTGGAACGGTACTCAAAGCTTATACGAGTATCTTTGCCCAAATTCTTCGGTTGAGACAATCTTGTTGCCATCCAATTTTGACTCGGAATCAAAACCTCGTCGCAGACGAGGAAGACGCCGCTGAACTGGCGAATACTGCTAGTGGACTGGCCGATGATATGGATTTGCAGTCTTTAATTGAACGCTTCACAGCCGTTACAGATGATGCAGCAGATACGAATGTTTTCGGTGCTCATGTTCTGGCACAGATTCGCGATGAATCTGATAACGAATGTCCAATCTGCTCCGAGGAACCAATGATTGAGCAGACAGTGACAGGATGCTGGCATTCCGCATGCAAGAAATGCCTACTTGACTATATCAACCACCAAACAGACAAGGGCGAGCTTCCTCGCTGCATCAGCTGTCGGGAGATCCTCAACACTCACGATATATTCGAGGTAGTGAAGGACGAAGGCCACCCGGATACGAAATGGAGCCTGCAGAGACTTGGTTCCAACTCCTCTGCAAAGATAGGGGCATTGATGGCGCATCTCAAGGCACTGAGAAACGAGCAAGCCGGTACAAAATCCGTCGTTTTCAGCCAATTTACATCATTTCTTTCCCTGATTGAACCGGCTCTTACCCGAGCCGCTATACCCTTTCTCCGACTCGACGGTTCCATGGCTCAAAAGGCCCGTGCTGCGGTTCTTACAGAATTCGCTGCTAGTAAAAAAGGTGTTGTACTTCTATTGAGTTTGAGAGCTGGTGGAGTAGGCCTGAATCTGACGATGGCGAAACGAGTGTTCATGATGGATCCATGGTGGAGTTTTGCTGTCGAGGCACAAGCTATTGACCGCGTACATCGTATGGGACAGGCAGACGAGGTTAAGGTTTACAGATTTATCGTGAAGGAAAGTGTGGAGGAGAGGATGCTGAAGATTCAGGACCGGAAAAAGTTTATGTGAGTGCCTCTTTTTGCTTCTTGACGCAATTACTAATAGAGGTAATAGTGCAAGCTCCCTAGGCATGATGAGTGACGAGGAGAAGAAACTACAACGCATTGAGGATATCAAGCAATTGCTAAGCTAGACTGGTGTTTGTATCATATATTGCGGCGTTTTGGCACTGTACATAAGCATAGCCTACGGGTGTTGATAAACTGGTTTTCATGAATGTTGGTTTACTGTGACCGAGTACTCGTACTGTACAGAGTAAAGGAAACATGGCACACTGGTCGTCGCGTAAGTTTTTCACCCCCTTTTCCCCATTCACCTTAAATCGCCGCCAAGCCAACTTACTCCTCTAATCTAATTCACCGCCGGCGACAGCAAAGACCTCTTTGTTGCACGTCGCACTTTTCAACTCGACACGAGCTCCTCTCTACAGACATAATTTCGCATCGAGACGCCCTTCTCAGGGGCTCGACTCGCTTAATGTTACCGCCCCCCTTTCGTAAGTAAAAGTACCTACCATTCAAGTACTTAGGCAAAGCAGGACTGCTTGACACTATTCGTTCGTTACATACTCCTGTTTACACGGCCGGTCATAGATGGAAGCTTCAGATCTCGACCTTTGTATCGCAAGCTTCTGATTAAGCTGTACTCTCATCCTGTTCGCTTGATAGAGATGGTGAAGACTTTCTTTCGAGATGGCAAAAGTACTTGGGTGTATTGAGATAGTGGGCCGGTTGACTGCCTTTGCCGCAATTGAGAAAGGACTATATTTGGCAATGAATTTGGGGTGTCTTCAACTAGGACTATAAGCTTTTAGTGACCAAAGTGGCGTTTCGTTGTGTTAATCTTACAATGGTAGAATCAAAAGCTATAAATAGTTTTCATCGCATTCTGTGGTCAGAACTACAGCTTTTACAATTGAATCAAACTAGGACTTATTCCAGATTTGGCACTGGACTGGTGTATGGAGGATTTAGGTTTGTATATAGGTATTTTACGGATTCGGGCGGCTTTGTCTCTTGGAATCCCTCTTTGCCAATTTTTCTTTTCTACACATGTTTCTTGGATGTGCCTAATTCCTTGATACTGTATATTTAGTATGCCGTCTCTAATTAAAACGAGATTGGCTGGCACAAAAGTAGGACATTGCATGTCATGAATTTGAGGACCGTCTTGACACAAATCACGTATGTTTATCAGGTCATTGGAGAAAGCGACCTCGGCCACGCGTATATATGTCACGAGCGTGACGAAGAATCGTATAAATTTTGCAAGGTTTGATTAAAATGCAAGAAGGATGCCAGTGTACTCATTGGAATCGCATATTATGAGATCAACGAACCTTGGGCAAATGGTATATATGCAAGGAGTAAATTCCGATTTTCAGGAAGGCTGAAGATCATGCCGGTTCCCAGCCACCTATTTTTGGTTTCAGCCGCATTTGTGCCACATCCCTTTTAATTTCACTAACTACGAAGTACCGGCGTATTGAAAACTGGGGAAGCGCCGTTGACGCGCGTAACAAGAGACTTGAGGGTCGAGAGATAGAATTGATGAGAGAAGATAGAAGATATAGAAGATATTGCAGCATTTCGAGTGAAGAAGAGGATGAGCCATTGCTCCGATATTTGTATAGTAGGGTGGCTTGTGTTGGTTGTATTGGATGAACCTTTCCTCGGCCTGCGAGGACTCGGGAGTTTTGCGAAAACGAATCCTATAGTGCAAGTGCCCCCCCGCTGCCGACATTAAAGCGGCATTCGATTCTGCAGATTTTCGTATTGGAAAACCGTTGCACTACATCGGAAACATTAATAAGTGGTGCCGCTTTCCACAGCCTGATGAATCCCAGCAGTCGCTTGACCTCGCCGCATTCTTCCAACGACTGAAGCTGATGAACAGCCTTTCTCTTCTCTTCTTCCCCTTGCTCTCCTCTGTTTTGATGATTGAAACATGATTGAACGACCATGTATTCTTCCTTTCGTTCTCTGTTTATTTCCTTCCTCGTAGCCGTCGCCTCGGCCCAATACCCGCCGGCTTCCAATTTGACTACCATCAAGTCGCCCGTTGATGGCAACATAACCATCTCCTACAAACAGCCGCCCGTAGGAACGTGCAAAACAGCCTTCGAAACACAGCAGCAATATACGGGGTGGGTTAATATACCCGGCAACTACTCGACAAACACATTCTTTTGGTTCTTTGGAGCGCGCCAACCCACCGACTCGCTCACAATATGGCTCAATGGAGGACCAGGCTCCAGCTCCATGCTAGGCCTTTTCACTGAGAATGGCCCATGCGAAGTGGTTGAGCTTGCACAGGGGAAATTTGGGACAATAGCTCGGGAATATGGATGGGATCGAGGGTCCAATATTCTCTACATCGATCAGGTATGCGCGAAGCTTTCATACCCCACCCGGGTGTTCCGTACGGGAATCTGGCGAATATGGCAGATTTAAAAGTCAAAACCAAGATGTTGATGCCAGAGGAGCATCTTATGGGTGTGCGAAGCCGTCCAAGTGGTCAATTGCAAAATACCCCGATCGTTCTTAGACAATGAAACAAATTTGTTTGTAGAATTAGCTAACCTCCTCCAGCCTAATCAAGTCGGCTTCTCCTACGATACGCCTACCAATGGCTCCCTCGATCTTCTAACGTCGGACTTATATACCCCACCTCAAGTTCTCCCGAACTCGCAGCCTACGGATACGTTCATGAATGGAACCTTCAACACACTGAACCTGAACAACACCGCGAATACTACCGAGATAGCTGCCATGGCGATTTGGCATATGCTTCAAGGGTTTCTTGGCGCATTTCCTCAATATATGCCAAATAGTACATCTGTTGGTGTTCATTTGTTCGCAGAAAGTTATGGCGGCAAGTACGGACCTGCTTTCGCAACTCTCTGGGAACAACAGAACAATAGACGTTCGAATGGGACCATATCTAGGAACGGGACTCTCAACATCAACCTCGCCTCTCTAGGGCTAATCAATGGCTGTGTGGATGACCTTGTTCAAGCCCCGTACTACCCCACGATGGCTATTAATAATACGTTTGGTTTGACATCCATCAATCCAACCAGAGCCAAGCTAGCAAGTGCAAGTTTCACTTCAAATGGGGGTTGTCGGGATCTTATAAATCAATGTCGAGCTGCCGTGGGTGTCCAAGATCCGAATAATGAAGGCGATGTAGGTGTTGTCAACAGCTTATGCTCGAATGCGTATACTTTTTGTAACACCAATATCGTGGAGCCCTACACGGATGCTGGAAGAAGCATCTACGACATAGCTCACCTTCTTCCGGACTCTTTTCCTCCCAGTACTTACCTGGAATACTTAAACAACGCGGATTTCCTCGCTGCTATAGGCTCACCAGTCAACTATACCGAAACGAATACGCAAGTCGTCAAGGCCTTTACTTCTACCGGAGACTATGAAAGGCAAGGCTATGTTCCTGATATTGCAGCCCTTCTCAACGCTGGGATCCGCGTGGGCTTCATGTATGGAGATCGAGACTATATTTGCAATTGGCTCGGTGGAGAAGCCATCTCCCTCGCCGTCGCCGCACAAGCAGGTGGTCTCTACCCAACACTCTTCCCCTCCGCAGGTTACGCTCCCATAATCACCAACACCTCCTATATCGGCGGCGTAGTGCGCCAATATGGCAATCTCTCTTTCAGCCGCATATATGACGCTGGCCACAGCGTCCCCGCCTACCAACCAGAAACAGCCTTTGAAGTCTTCGCACGCATCATGTCCGGGACCTCCGTCTCAACAGGCGAGATCATCGATCCCTCCGTATACAACACCACCGGCCCCTCAAACGCAACACACACCGCGTCCCTCCCCCTTTCACCTACAAATACTTGCTGGCTACGCAATATTTTGGAGACATGTAACGACGACCAGAAGAATAAGATAATTGCCAACGAAGGCGCGATCATCAACGGCGTGCTCTACGACGCGGCATCAGACTGGAGTTCGCCTGGCTCTTCTGCTACAGTAGATGTAGTTCCTAATCCTTCCGGCACTGGCTCCGTGTCCGTCACGACCACGACAGAAGTCCTCACTGGCCTCTTCACCGCAACCAGCACACCGAGTCCGACGAAGAAGAAATCGCTCGCTACTCACCTATCGGCACTCAATGGATTATTACTCTTAATGCTAATCCCATTCCTGCTTTGAACCCAAGCGCGCCTCGCATATAGAAACGGCGGCCCATAGCCCCTTTTATTTTCTTTTGGGATGAAATGAACTGGGAATACCTAAACTAAAGGTCGGTTAAAACATAATACGCGGCGTTGGCATTTTCTTCTCCGACATTCATTCGCTTATTGTTTTGTACACATCATTGACCATTCAGAAATTTTGGTCCATGGAGTTTGTTGTTTTGCTTGTTTGATTCTTGTTTGATTCATTGGTTTGTATATACCCTGACTGGCGAAAATCGAGATGAGAGATTATGGGGCTGGCGCAGCTGGCTTGACTTTTTGGGCGAGGCGTACAGTAATACACATGCATGGGAGGGAGGGAAGGAAGGAAGGAAGGAAGGAAGAGAAGGGGAAGATTATAGATTTGAGTTGTATAGATAAATGAAAAGAAAAGTTCTGCTTGAAGTGTTTTGAAGACGACAGTTGTGCTTTTTCTCATGGGGATTTTCATGTCCTGCTCAGCGTGAGACCTTGACCTTTTCTCTGTCTGTCTAGCGCGATAAAACAGGGAAGCCGAGTAGTAGCGCGTTCAAGCTGGGGAGTGTGAGTGGGTACTGTCATAGGCTGTGATAAAAATTTGGAACATCACTGTCAAGATTCAAAGCAAGGGTCACATTTTCAAAACTATGCAGGTATGGAGATTGAACTTTCTTTTAATTCGACGACGATGCACCGGGACCTTTTAACTACTCCTCCAGCGCACCGGCTTTCAAACTAATCTGTTTGAAAGTCAGCGAGTCATTCATTTCATGCCGGAGGTATAAAAATAGAATGACTAGAAAGAAATATCAGATCTAAGCCTTGTCACAGGCATTATCATCAATACCAACGTGTGGCTTATGTTGACCGTCGTGATAAATTGATCATCATGTAAAGGAGGAGAGGGTGAAGAACATATATGAACGTACCAGGAAGTCGGGTGTTACTCTTACTCAAAGACCTTTGACTCATTGACTGAGTCGGGTTGAACCTGATATTGTTAGCGAGATTCGGGGAGAACATCGCCATATCAATTAAAGGGTGAAAGCATTTTCAGTCAAGACAGTCTCGTCAACGCCAAGGCTTGGACATATGCTTGTCATTTGTCGGTCAAGATCATCATAATGCTTGACATCTTGTAGAAACATAGAGAAGGGGTATAGGTGATTCTAACCTTTGACAGGCTGGGTCAGCCCAACTCCAGGTGGAGAGCCAATTAAGGCCTCTACACAGATCCCTGAGAATGATTCTGCTGCTGTGGGACAACGAAGCGAGTTCAAGCTAAAAGTTGAAGGTCAGCATATCGCTTCATGCAAAAGACATGTGACAGTATAATGATTGGAAACGGATCAGAAGGCATGAATGGTTTAATTTGATTTGTGTCAGCATCGGTTGCCCGAATCAGACTCGTCATCTAAAATGCTCATCATAGTAGGCGATGGTAGAGATGAAGTAAAAAGAGCACATACCCTCACATCCTCAGTCAAGAATGAGTGCAACTATTGAACGGACTAGCAGTAGCTACATATGATCAGCATCTTTTCCCAACAAAAAGCGAAACCAATTGTGGGAACAGATAAATCTGAAATCAGTGGGCGAGGTTTTCTAGGCCTGCCACGAAGGGGCATCTCCAATCATAAACCAGTCTCTTTTGAGATCTGTCGGAGCCCAGTGCCATTCATCCTTTGACAGATGTAAAGAAACGTTGGAACGCAGAAAATATTCCTGTCGTACCTTTGGGGATGGTCCTTATTCACAACAGCGCAACTTATTTCCTGAATTGAGCATCGTCAGCAATGAATCTTACAGAAGATATCGTGTTCAATAAAGAAGATTGAAAGCAGCTCAGTATCAGCCTTTTTTGACTTCAAAGACTTGTGGTCTCAGTCGGTAATTTCCAGCGTGCAAAGCACTCTGATCATCATCGCCATATGTGTTCGGGTGGGAAGTGGGAGAGGTACGTACTGGGCAGGTATCTAAGGCATGGTGCCGTGGTAGAGTATCTGAGGTCATTGGTTAGCAAGATGCTGCAAGAAAACTCGGTAATTATAAAATTGCTTCGAATTCCTTCATTCAGACTGACGTGCAGGTTATTCTCATCGCCAAATTCCTCGTCAAAGGAACAGGCTGCGAAGACTCTAGAATGCGTTTACTCATCTTGTAAGGTCCTGCCGTGATAGCTATGTGCCACCCCGGTAGGTAGGACATACCTACCACGCGGGTCGGGCAGAAGAGAGGTGGTGTATTCTTACCATTGAAAAGGGACCCCCGAGAACATCGAGTGCTTTACAGTAGCAATTGGTGCTTTCAATCTCCACGACGGTAAGACTGGGAGTGAGGTATGAAGGAATGTGCAAGCTGCATGGAGCAGCTGTTGGTTCTTGTTCACATGTTGGATGATGGATATGGTTGGAAAGCAAGTCTTCGAAGCTTTCGCGAAATCTTTTTTCAAGTGGGTTCGTCGCGCTAGCGGGAGACCTGTCTAACCCTATGTAGACAAAGCCTATCACATGACTGCCCCTCGATTTCCGAGGAAACTGAGCCGACCCCTCAACGGAAAAGCAGATTGCCATAGCTTACTTCCTGGCCTTGCGGAAAAGGTTCGCGACAAAGGATAGATACATAATCCGGGATCGCCCGTCATTGCAAACGGAGAAATTGTCCCCAATCGAGCCAATCCAATCCAAAGTGTCCCAAATCCCAAATCTTCCTATCGTAAACTCCAGCCCCAATGCTGCTCCACCCGGCAAATCCTCGTCCCTGAGGCTGTTTCCCCTGGTTTTCCCATTTCTCCGTCCATGGTCAATATGCGGGGCTGTGACATAACGCTCGGCGATTACGAAGTACAGTACTTGCTTGCTACTGACGATCCCACAGCCGCGGGTCAAGGAATGATAAGGCATCGTGTCTACTACATAGAGAAGTCCATTTCCTCTTTCCAACAAACCCTCCTTTGTAACTCCCATCAAGTCTTGTGCTGCAGCTCTCCCATACAGACTTCGTTGTCCTGCCCCGCTCCCGCTCTACCTACCTAGTGCCGCCTCCACCCGAGGTACTCTACCTCTACTACCTATTCAACCTTATAAACAACCTTCCTACTGTCTTCTCCTCCCTGACCTTCAATTTCATTGCATAACTCTTCTGTCAAAATGGCTAGCAACGGAAACTCGCAAGGATCGGCGGAGAAGATCAACACCGACATCGTGAGAAGCTCTTGAATGCCCCACCATGCATGAAGAAATTTTGACCCAAAGATCTAGGTAACCCTCACTCGGTTTTTGACTGAGGAGCAAGCAAAGCACAAGGAGGCCACGGGAGATTTCACGTTTGTCTCCATATTCCAAACCACCCTGATCAAGAACTGACAGCACAACAGACTCCTCTGTCACGCCCTCCAATTCTCCTTCAAATCGATAGCCTACTACATCCGACGAGCCACCCTCATCAACCTCACCGGCCTCGCAGGCTCAAGCAATACTACAGGTGACGACCAAAAGAAGCTTGATGTCATCGGGAATGACCTTTTTATCGCGGCCATGCGATCCTCCGGGAAATGCGCCGTCCTCGTCTCCGAGGAGGAGGAAGAGGCTATTTACTTCCCCGAACACAAGGGTGCGAGATATGCGGTAGCATGCGATCCCATTGATGGCTCTTCCAACTTAGATGCCGGTGTGTCTGTCGGTACAATTTTTGGAATTCATAAATTGCCCGAGGGATCAACGGGGAAGAAAGAGGATCTATTAAAGCCCGGGACCGAGCTGATTGCTGCGGGTTTCACTATGTATGGTGCTTCTGCTCAGTTGGTCATCACGATGAAGGGAGGAAGCGTAAATGGCTTCACAATGGATAACGCGCTTGGAGAGTTCATTCTCACGCATCCTGATATGCGCATTCCCAAGTCGAGATCCATCTACTCGGTCAATGAGGGAAACTCCCTGTACTGGGAAGAACCTGTCAAGGCGTACTTCAACTCGTTAAAGTACCCTGCTGAGGAGGGTGGTAAGCCATACTCCGCGAGATATATCGGGAGTATGGTTGCTGATGCGTACCGAACGCTACTTTACGGTGGCATTTTCGCATATCCTGCGGATAAGAAGACTCCCAAGGGAAAGCTACGCATTCTTTATGAATGTGCCCCTATGGCTATGGTTTTCGAGAATGGTAAGTCATGTCATGCTTCTCCCTATGTCATTTATACATACTAACACCTTTTTAGCTGGTGGTCAAGCACTGAACAGCAAGATGGACCGAATGATGGAGGTTGTGCCGGAAAATATCCATGATAGATCAGGTATCTTCATGGGCAGTTACGATGAGATGGAACAAGTCAAGAAGTTCCATAAGTGATGCAAATGCATGAGATGATGACCTTGGATGATTCGTTTGAGAAACTTCACAGATTGTGCATGCATAGCAGGAGTCTATAGGCAAAATCTTTTGATAAGACAAGCATTTGCCTTTTGTGCAAGTATAAGTGTTGTTCTTTTCTATCCCTTTAGCTACCGGTACTGTCCAAGCCGGCGAATATAAGCCGAAGAAAGTGCGATATCTTTATTTTTAGTTTCGGTTATAGTTTACTGCGTCTGTTATCGGGCTTCACAACCACAAGACTTCTACGGTAATTTGGTAGAACAGATGAGAGACGGATCATAAAAGCAGCAAGTGTTTGTTTAGAGAACCCATCAAAACAGTGTTCCAAATTCCAACACCAACGCCGTTTCTTTGACCCTTTACAGTACCTAGAATTTGGGAAAGAACATCGGCGTGTTCTTCTTCCACTCCTGATAATCCTTACGGTCACCATACTTCTCATCATACTTATTCTCGCTCAGCGGAATACCCGAGACTTTGAAAAGCAAGAACGTCACAAAGGCAGGGGACACAGCAGCCATTCCCAGACCCAATATTCCGCCGTAGCTGGTGCTGGCGAGACCCATGCCAAGTTGGCCTGCGTTGCTCATGAGGACACCTGCTGCCGTGGTAGCGATTCCTGTCCATAGCGTGCTCTCTCCCTAGTAGACTATCAGTATGTTGTTGCTTTTCGCTTTTAGATTAGAGCATGGGTGGAAGATTTGGCTTACAAAGTAGTTCGGATGACGGCTTTTACCCCACAACCCACGCGTCAAGAAATCCTCATCATGCTCCTTGTTTTTCTTCGCTTGTACCCAAGCGTTCTTTTGTCTATCGGCTGTAACCTCAAATGTCAGACCACCTGCGAAAAGCAGGAGGCCGATGATATCGGTTACGCCGATTACAGGCAGGGCGGAAAGAGCTACGTGAGGAATCGAGTTCAGGGCTAGGACGGGCATCAGACACAGGGAGACCCAGGTTGCTGGTTTTTGTGAGAAATGAATGCATAAAGAGGGAACGAGGGAAAAGTACCTTGGACCATGAAAGCCCCGAAGAACTTTGGTGGGGACTTTTTGATTTCATCGAATCTTTGGAATGTTAGTTCTCTTTCCTGTACTAGTGAAATATGCTTAATACCTAGAATCCTTTCCATCCGAGATAACTCGCTGAAAGAGATAAGTTCCCACTGCATCCACATTAGTTACAAAACTCTTTCAGAACAACAACAAGTCCTCACTCACATCTTGTGGCCCACTGCATCATAAACATTTAGCATGTGATACCCTTGGTTGAAGATTTAGAAGGAGCACTAACCACAGCGACCGCAGTACTTATAACAACCTGCCTCCAATTAAGCCCATTGGGCCCTCCCTTGCCAGTCAAAGCATCCAGCAAACTCGGCAACGCAGGCTGCGCTTTCCCCGCCAGCGACGCAGCCGCTCTAGCTCTCAAAGCCGGAAGATACAAGCTCAACGCAGTCACAGAAATATAAGTCAACGACCCAGAAAGGTCGTAGAAACGCTCGGATTGTGCAAGGATGGATGGGACGGCTACTGCTGCTTGGACAGCAAAGGCTGCGCTGATGGAGGGGACAAGCGTGCGGATGAAGGGATTGCGGAAGTTGGTAACGTGAAGGAGGGAATTGAGGAGTGCCATAATTGTAGATGAATGATGGAAGGAATTGAGTTGTTTCGGTCTGACAAATATTAGAAGTAGACTTCTACATAGGTACGTTTCAGTTGTATATGTGCTGTCTGGAAACGTTTAGTAGCCTTGCAGGATCATGACGACATGGATTTCGGACGCGGGTCTCACATTCGTCCGCAAGCTCAGCCTTGTGTTATTTCAAAGGGAAGTAAGAGTTTTGAGTTGTCCAGGTTGCATCAATTTGTCATTCTGGAGAAAGGTTGGAGATCAATTGCTCCGCAAGAATGCTGCGAGGACTGGGTTGGCACGTGACGTGTCCGATATTGATTGACTTCGAGCTGTAGTCTCAACCATGTTTCCGACTTGGTGTCTTTCTTTGTCACCCTATGGATGGATAAACGCAGGTATCATTGCCAATCATAGGAAGCCCGAGTGAAAGATATAGTGCCATCAACTCTCAGGGATATGACCAGCCGTAGCAACCTCCAGAATCTCTTCTTCCATCCCTTCCACCAACACGACTTCTATGCCAGCGTCTTCCAACTGTTTCCTGCCGGAGTTCTCACCAACAAACTTCTCAGGCTCTTTAACTCCAACATAAACTGTCTTGATAGCCTTCCCTAACCTTAATATCCTTTGGACGCAGGGTAGATTCCCACTCAATCTTTTGAAGCATGGCTCAACTGTCGTATAGAGGACCGTCTCTTTCGGTAGAATATCTCCCAACTGTTCTTCGGTAACATTGTGCTCTTTAGCAAGTTTTATGAAGCAAGACTGTTCCGCGTGCGTATTGCCCTCGCATTCAAGCGTATATCCTGTCGCGAGGACAGTATTCGTCTTCCCATCAATGAGGAGAGCCCCGACTCGGTAATTTGTAGGCTTTGGAGGTGACTTTCGGGCCAGATTCAAAGCTTGCTGCATGTAATCAACATGAATTTTAGGCGCCATGGCGGTGGTGACGCTCTGCTTGTTTTGTTGCACCTTAGGATTGGTGATTGATGTGAAATGGCGTCTAGTAGATGTGGAAGCCTCTATAACATCGTTTTCCTGTGCATAATCGTATTGCTTGTTTTAGCTTGAGGTTGAGTAGTAAGAGTAGGTAGGTAGGTAGGTATATGATAGGAGTACCTACTACCTAGTGCGATAGGTAGATATCAAGTCAAATGAGTAGGTGTAGGTACGTACCTGGCGCCTGGGCTAGGCCTAGGTACACGGGGAACCGGGAGCTAAAATAGGCGCTAGTTTGGCTACAGTACTTGACTAGAGTGGAGCTACGTCACGTCACGGAAATCCTGCGAACAGTTACCGTTCGTTCACTCTGAATCTATTTGACGGTCATGCGACTTCTCCCCCTTACTGCACTGTATGGATAACCTCGCTCGCCAAACCTACTTGTAAACCCACCCAACTCACCTCTGTCCAATTACACTCTCTCCTTGCGCGCCGCGAACCTTTCCTTCATTCCACAACGACTACCTCAAGCTCTGTTCTCCGGAATCCGCGGCGCAGATAGAAGGGCACGCGCCGCCCATTTTATCAACATCAACGGACACATGGAACTTGCTGGGTTGTGGTCATGTCTTCTGAGGTCGCACTGCCGAAGATCAGGGTGATCGATACACATAATCTGGCTGGGAGCGCTACTGGCACAAATGGCACATCCGGCTTGGAGTCTCCCTCGAATACCACGGATGGCGGTACTGCTGGAAGGCCGAGGTCTGCAACCTCTTCAGAAGGTGTGTTTTCTTTGGTTCATATATGATTTTCTTATTCTTTAGAGTCTATGCCAGGTCTACTAAATATGTGCAAATGCTGCTACTGTGCTTCCCTCATCGTTGTTGCGCTTACGCTAACCTGTCTTGCTGCTACCTTAGGCAATGCACAGCCAAATACCAAGAAATCACCAATCAAATTGGTAAGGAATACTGGATCAAGCAAAGATATAAACGGAGGGAAATCGTCTGCAGCGGCAGGACGGGCTCCAACAGCTATCGATCCGCTCTCACATGTATGTCTCATATGATTCGATCAACGAACAATGGAGTTGGCGATAATGCTCTAAGAGACTAGAAAAGGGCACACGCTGATGATATGGCATAGCACATCCTCAAACGTACCAACACCGAGAATACCATCCCTCCAAAGCTACGCAATGCTGCCGCCATAGACAGCACCAACGTCGAAGTTGGGACTCCCAGTAGCCCTGAAATAGGAACACCTGGAAGGCAAAATACACCTGAGATTATTCGAAGTGATAGTAATCCCGTAAAAGAGAAGAAGTGAGTAACGTGACCCAGTATTTGATAAGCCGGCGGATTTAGTAGGGCTGCTTACTGAGCGCTTGAAACTGTGGGTTGCTTATGATACCAAACATCTCACAACATCTTTGTACACGTCACAGAATCTGATAGTAAACTTACAGAAAAGGCGTCTCGTTCCTCAGTCGGTTTAGCATCATCGGCGGAAAGAAAAAGGATCAATCCTTCGATGGCGATGATGATGAATCGGAGCCGGGCGACGCGCGTACGGAAGGGATGAACGCGCATGTTTTCTCTTCTTCAATAGGTGCGAACGGGTACATGCCGCAGCATAAAGAGCCGCCAAGGTACATCAAGGTTCGAGCACATAATAAGAAGTCCAGGGAGTTCGATCGCATGTTTCTGGCACAAGAATTGAGTGGTACCAAGCATGATTCCTCAGACGATAAGGTTCCGGGTCTCACAACTACAACGGAAGTACACTCTGGTGGAGGTAAGCTATCAAAAGCACATAAGTCGAGTGGAGCTATATGGGCCACGGAGTTTAGCAAAGATGGCAAATACCTAGCAGCAGCCGGTCGAGACCAGGTCGTAAGGGTATGGGCAGTAATCTCAACGCCGGACGAGAGACATGCTCATGAAGGTGAGGAGGATATGTCTTCAAGTGCTTCCGGGGTCGAACGCTTAAGTACTCCTGTTTTCAGGTCAAAACCGATTCAAGAATTCGGTGGCCACACAGGAGATATCCTTGATTTAAGTTGGAGCAAAAATAATTTTCTGCTGTCCTCATCTATGGATAAAACAGTGCGGTTATGGCACATCAGTAGAAAAGAATGCCTCTGTACTTTCAAACACAAAGATTTTGTTACTTCGATCGCATTTCATCCCACGGACGACAGATTCTTCCTTGCTGGATCACTGGACTCGGTCCTGCGATTATGGAGTATTCCTGATAAGACAGTGGCATTTTGGAACCAACTGCCCGATCTGATTACTGCCGTAGCATTCACTCCGGATGGCAAGACAGCGATGGCTGGAGTACTGAGCGGACTTTGTCTCTTTTACGAGACAGAAGGGTTGAAATACCAGGCACAGATCCACGTGAGATCTTCTAGGGGAAAGAATGCGAAGGGAAGCAAGATCACGGGGATCCGAACAGCAACACGGCCTGGAGATCCAGAAGGTGACATCAAAGTCTTGATAACGAGCAACGACTCCCGAGTTCGAATGTATAATCTCAAGGACAAGAGCTTGGAAATGAAGTTCAGGGGCCACGAAAATATCTGCAGCCAGATCAATGCTAGTTTTAGTGACGACTTTCAATATGTCATTTGTGGCAGTGAGGACCGGAAAGCCTACATCTGGAACACCGCAGCGATTGAGGGCGAAAATAAGGACAAGAGACCGGTGGAGTACTTTGAAGCTCACGCAGACATGGTCACAACTGCAGTGATCGCTCCAATTAGAACGAGACAGCTCCTAAGTGCCTCTGGTGATCCTATTTACGATCTCTGCAACCCGCCTCCAATTAGGTTATTGAGCAGAGAGGAGTCGAATGCGTCATCTATGCCTCGACAAGATTCGGAAAAACGGCTTTCCGACGCTGTCAGTGAGCCTCCGTCGAAGAAGCCTGAGGAATCCCCTGCATATCTTGCCCGATGTACGCATCTGGACGGTAATATCATTATCACTGCCGACTATCTAGGTAGGATTAAAGTGTTTCGTCAAGACTGGTATGCATTTGCCCAAACTTCTAACCGATTCTCCTATGCATTGCTAATTTTATCTTTCAAGTGCTTACCAAAAGCGTCGTAATGACCATTGGGAGACAAGCTCGGCGTTCTCCAAGAAAGTGTTGGGGCGTAGCAGCTCCATTATGACAAAAGCCTCCGTTGGCTCTCACTCTCGACGCAATTCCACCTCTCAGAACTCCTTGGCAGGGCTACCATCAGATCATATTCTATCTTGGCGGAATACTGTATTAGACAGCAGTCCTCGAAGTGCCGCCAAAACAATCGAAAGTGATCGCAGTGTTTCACCTGGAAAATTCAACAGAAGCTCTCAGTCTACTTCTAACTCTCAAAACAACCTGGCAAGCGCTGCTCGACAGCAGCCGTATGCCGGAACTCCTCTTACGCAAACAACCTCAAGTGTCGCTACAACGAGTCCGCCCCAAAGTCTATATAAAGCAACGACCAATAACCAACCACCCACCCCAAGTTTCAGCTTTCAAGGTGCAGATGATAATGGACTGAAACTGGACGCTTCTGGGAAGAGTTATCAATTCTGGAATCCGGCATCATGGAAAAACCCAAACCAGTCCGGTTCTAAGCTGGATGCGGATGGTTTGAGACCGCCAAATAACAGAGGAAATAGTGAGGTGAGCAAACTGAGTAGCGACGAAACAACATCAGGGGAGCTAGACGACGAAAGCGACAGCGAAGCTTTATCATGCAAGAAATGCGGCGGTAGAGATTTCAGGGCGCGGAAAGTGGTCGGGAAGGGACAGAGGCTGGTCTGTACAAAGTGCGGAATGACAGCGGATTAAATATGGGATGTGATGAATACACGTGATGTACGACTAATGGGGGAGTGGTTGTCTGTTATGAGCGACTTCTGAATGGCGTTGGATCGGTTGCCGGATGGGCTACCTACATGATAACTACGAGATCCTCTTGAAGAAAACTCTTCCAACTCAAAAGCACCTGATCCGCTAGCTCTGCCGCCTCAATTTTCGCTATTGTCTATTTCTTGTGGGAACTTCCAGCTTTCATTACTAATACGCAGCTGATGATTCCTCGTTTGGACCTGACATGTTCAGCCCCACATGCTGCTAACACTCTACATGTACGAAATAATCGTCGGAATAAGGCACTAAAACTCGCTTCATACTCCCGAGTACACGTAAAGTGACGCTCCCCTGTGTTAGGCGACGAACGGAAACTCTTCTCATTGGCCACTTTCAACATCAGATGATCAGACGAGGCACCCTGCCCTGTCAATGCCATGTATACAGCGGGACAATGCAAGGTGCTTACCATTTTCTACTTCACTTATCAATGCGCATCCCACCTCACGTCTCCCTTTCTCCGTCACATCTCCTTGGAGTTTGTATTTCTGCCGTCAAAGTCAAGGTCAAAATCGAACGATGTTGAATTTTCTTCGAGTATAAATAAAAGTAGGTGGATCGAAGTCGATTGCTTTTACTCTTCTCTTGTCATAGGATATATAACTTTGATATATCTATCTATCTATCCAGATTTACTTGATCATTACTGCCGTTTAATCATTGAAATCTTCTGTTCTACTTATTTAGTAAGAGCTCAAGTCTAGTAACTATCTCCTACAAAGATCACCTGCGTACCTACCTTTGCACTCCAAATTCCCCCAATTCAACAAATAAACACACAAATAGCAGCATCATGCAACACATCTCCCCCTCCTCCCTCGAGACCGACCTCCCCTCCCGCATCGCCTACCTCTCCTCCTTCCTCAGCCTAACCCCCTCGGACGGCGAAGCCCTCCTGGCCGCCAAACCCCTCATCGCGCCCCTCATACCCGCCATCCTCGACGCCGTCTACTCCAAGCTACTCAGCTACGATATCACGGCGCAGGTCTTCGTGCCGAAGAATACGGATTATGAGGGCGAGGTGGTGGGGAGCGTGCAAGAGTTGACGTTGGAGCATCCGCAGATTGCGTTGAGAAAGGATTTCTTAAAGGTATGTTTGTGTTTGAAGCATATCTTTCTCCTTGATTCGAAAAAAAAATAATTAATTTTTTGGGTACTTTTTGAAATGGCATGCAAAAGTGGAGGGAGGTGGAAGTGGAAGTGGAGTGGGACATAATTATTGACTCAATTACCACAGAACTACCTCGTCCGCCTCGTCTCAACCCCCGACCTGACCCCCACCTCGCCCCTCTGGTCCTACCTAAACAACGTCGGCATAATGCACACGGGGCTCCCGGGCTTCAAGCACCGCGAACACAAGCCCGAGCTGCGCGTCGAGTACATACACATGGGCGCGCTGCTGGGCTACGTCGAGGATATCGTGGTAGGCGCCGTCATGGAGATGGAGGGCGTGGATGCGGTGGTGAAAATGAAGGTCATGCGCGCGTTTAACAAGGTGCTGTGGATCCAGAACGATCTGTTTGCGAGGCATTATATTGGGGCCGAGGGCGTGGGCATGAGTTCTGGGAAGGCGGTTGGGGGAGGGGAGGGGTTGAGTGGGGTTGCGAAATGCCCGTTTTCTGGTTGAGTTGAGTGAGCAGGTAGTTGCATTTGTGGTTTGTAGGTGATGTTATGGCGTTGGAGCATTTGTGGGCGTGTTTCGGTTTTCAATCAAGTAGACCGTGGTCATATTGGGCGTTGCGTTGACTCGATACCAATTACCCTATCCGTAAATACAGAGATTAATTAGATCTTTTCAACTTTATAAACTCGAACCTGCATGCATCATTGATATTTCGTACAATTCCAACTAATGGACCCATAACCAAGAAAATTTCTTCCGGTTAGCATATGTATGCTCATATACAGTATCATGCCTGTCCTGCTTAATTACTCCGTACCTCGTTAGGATTTACCTACCGTTAGTAAGATAGATAGATACCTAGCTTAGAATCGCGCTAATGCCACCTTTCAGCTAATGTAGAAGCAAACCAGTATAGTAAGAATATGGAAGTCGCAAGACATGATAAGAAGAGAAAAGAAAAGAATGTGAAGCTTTTAGATACAGTGCTGGTACTTTCAATATGCGACACAAAAATGGTTGATGGGGCTCTTTCGAACTGTCTTTATCACTGGTACCAAGACCCACAAGCGGGTTCTTCCTTGCCGAGTAATTTCAAGCAATGTATAGAAAACTCGGTATAGGATATAAATGATGGATATCTAGCATTCTTGAATCCACATTCTATATAGTTAGCCCCAGGCATGCCACGCATCGAACATCTGGTACTACAATAGAGTACGTCCCCTGATATAACCTTCTTCGCACCTTGCCGATCCCAGAAAGTCTCGCTGTCCTTGAAGCGGCTTCTTCGATTCCCTTCTATAGGCATCCAGTATGTCTACGCTAGCCCAGCTCATTTTGAACAAAATTTCTATCCTTTCTATGGTCTTTCACGCCCCTATAAAAAACGAGTTAGCATTGCTTCCTGCTTTGGTTTTGGTCAATGTGCCAGGATAATCTTAGAGTAGAACCAAGACTATACCATGATACATGACTGCAGCCACCACGATAGTACTTGCATTTTCCAAGTAACGCCATGAGTCCAGCTCCAACGCACATGCAAAAGAATGCAAAGAGCATCATCTTAATAGAGCTCTTCCGCATCTCAGGGTTGAACATAAATTCGTGGGCCATAAGTTCCACGAGTCCAGTGTATATCAGGATACCTGCTGATATAGCATCGAATACACCATTGACAACTCGTGTCTTTTGACTGTTGGGTGTGAAAGTCTGTCGAACACCAAGCCCGATAGCGATAGCAAGAGGTGTAGCCATGCCATATGCGAAACCAAGAGCCCATGGCATCCAGAGTTTCTTCTTCGGCCACTCGGCAGTGGCTAGTCTGGAACCGAGACCGAGGCCTTCAAAGGTTTGATGGAAGGCAAGAACAATATATAGAACGTTGAACTCATCTCCAGTAACGGCTAGGGTAAGACCGATGAAGACTGAATGAAAAATGACCCCGAATTCGAGGATGAAGATCGCAGTCATTTGCGCTGCAAAATGGTCGTGGTCTACCATGTGTTCTCTTTGGTGTCCAAGATGATCTTCACCTCCAGGCGGATATGATAAATCATTTACTCGTCCTGGAATGCTACTACGAGTTCTGAGCGGTTCCACTGGCACAGGGCTTGGAGATCTACTTGGGCCTGCAATGGTAGGGATAATACCAAGCTCGCGATCTGTGTTAATCGAATCCGGCGAGGATCCGAGTGTGCCGTTGCTATGGCTATGAGTATTTGTAAATACCTTGTGGACATTGGCTCCCCCATCCTTAGGCTTCTCAGATGCTTTGATAAGATCCTTTGCCGGGTCGGTCGCCTCCAGGTCATGTGCATGCGCTCCAAAGACATCAAAACGTGCGGCCATGAGTTCGATGAAAAACATAAGGAATATTGTCATCAGAGCAGTTCCTGCCGCCCAGTCATAGTTTGTTATTAGGCCAGTGTTACATGGTGAGTTGAGGGCTTTGTTGGCGGGCGAGAGCAGCTACGAAAGTTATGTCAGCCAATGATCTATATTTCCCCGAGCACATATAATGCTTGAATTTGAGATCAAGCTGATATTACTCAGGCCAAAATCGCGTGCTATTAGCGGACTTACGTGTATGAATGCTGTTGCAATGATGACTCCCGAACCGAAGTATTTGGTTATGAAAAAAGCCAAGGGTGGGACTCTCATTCTCTTTGTTCGAGCCGCGGCAATAGGCAGTAGAGCACCTGCACACAGCGGTTAGCTGTAATGTCCAGATGGTTGGCCAGCAAAGGAGGTTATTGTACCTAACATTGACCCCAACCCGATGACGAAGATGGAGGATATTCGCACTCCTATCCGGCCATCATACCCATTGCCATTGTCGCAATCGATTGTGACTGTGTAAGGCATTATACCGTGCTGCGCAATCGAAGCCGGCTTCGCGAGGGGTTCTTCCGCCGTGTCGTCTTTACAGTATCGCAACCCCTCCAGCCCCTACTATTCCCCTTCCACCCGGTAGTCCAATATATAGTTCCTGCGTCGGCTAGTGTTTGTGGAGAGTGGTTTTGACGTGTTGTTGGAAACGGGACGTGCGGTTCTTTGGGTCCGAGTTCTTCGGGCGCAAACCAAGGGTCTTGGTCGCAGGGTCGCTCTGTTCGGTGTGGAGGGAGAAGAGTGTAGTGTGAAAGTATAGAAATGAAGAAGAATATTTGGGGTGCGCGGGACAGGAAAGGCTAGATATTGACGGTGTCTGTTAGTGGTATATTTTAAGAAGAAAAAGAAGAGTAGGTAGGACCCAAAGACGAAAGAAAAATGAGTACCTTGTGAGGTAGCTGCCTGCTTGGTATGCTTTGCTGACTGTGATTGATGCAGCGCAAGACTACAATTAGACAAGCAGAGTAAGGAGGATGAGGAGGGGGATGAGGATGTCTGGTGACTGCACATTGGTAAATGAAATCACAATGTGTTCATCATATGATATGCTTAATATGTTCTGCGGCAGCGCAGGGTGAGAAAGTAAGTGGGTAGGAGGGGCGGAGTGAGAAAGGTAATACAAAAGCATCAATTGGGCGGCATTGCATCTTTGGAGGGGCGGACCCTGAGGTGAAGCTGCGATGAGTACCCGGATGGATACCTGCCCTTTTTTTGCGAAGAGTGTTGGACCCCACCTACTTACTTGTACAGTAAGCGAATAAGACAAGCTCAGTACTGTACGGAGTGACGACGATGATGCATGTGGAAAGATCAGACAGATGAAACAAAGGGAATCTGATGACCATGAGTGAGAGTAATAATACCTGCAGACATATAATATGTCTTTCTCTACTGTACCTGACCCATCGCACCCTATGCAACGGCAAAGAACCATCCATCTCTCTGTCGACCATTGTCCCGCTTGCGTCAGAATTTCCGACCATAAAACAAAAACCTTTGCATCGGGCCTAGTGGCCTTGGTTATCAGTCATCTTTCCCCTTGGCTTGGAATCCTTTCTCGGCGACCGCATACTGATCTGCGACGGATGGGCGTTGATGTCTGGGCGAGAATAAGAAGAGAAGAAGTTCATCAAGACGTGTCGTTCGATTTGTCGCCAGCCTTCGTCCTACCTTATGTCCGTCTTCGCGACCAATCGGTCTTTAGTCACGTGTAGGGTAATATACCGAAGTCAACATTAGATTACTGCAAGTACAAGTACAAGCTGTTGAATGCTATGGCTTGTGTATACGTTCGTCAGTTATCCTATTGGTACACGGGTTGTGTTGTTATTTTAGTTAGCTTCTAAAGGCTTACAGGCCACAATATCAACTAATGCATCTTGTTTCTATTCTCACACATACATAAGCTTTTTGTCTTGATGGTTTAAGTCATCGATATCGTGCCTCGAGGGAGCTCACACATGGTCCATTCGAGTAGCGTGCCAGAGGCCGAGTATCTGACATGCCATCTTTCCAACGCCAAGTTCTCCATGGAAGACTCTCTTCGGCTTTGTCCAGCCCAACCCTTGGGATTCAGAAGGCTCAGGACTTGATCCAAGATGCATGTGCATCCCATGTGGTGCGGCACTCGGAGAATTGTATATAGCCTCCCAATTGTCTCGGGCACAAGACTGTGCTGTGCGATGTGTCTTGGATCCAGATTATGGTATTCGAACCTTGGTGAGAAGAGCTTAAGACGAGTACTGAACTTCCAATCCCACAGCCCTGAATGGCTGATCCGGCCTATTCATATCAATCGACGACGCCAGCGTGAAAAGCAACTCTTTGATCCTGCCCTCCCACAACAAGCCAATCCTCCAATTCTGATCGACTCGCGCCTTCAGGACTCCAGTAACTTCCTCCGGTTCAGGCGAAGGATTTTTTTCTACCTCGTCAAGTCTCCATTCGAGCTTCGCAGCCATACTTCGCTCCTGGATTTTCTTAGCCTTGGCCTTCATCCTCCACAGCTCACATCCAAGCATCAGATCGCTCTCGTAGCTGTAGACATTGAAATCAAACTTCGAGCACAGCGCCAAGTTCTTCCCAGCCTTCACAGCATACGTCGTACTGAAATTTCCCATCAGCGGATTCAGCGTCAAGGTGGCCGTCAACGGCACACCCTTATGAGCCGGTAGTGTCGCGAACCTCCCCCCGAAACTAACACCGCCAGATTTATTCAAAGCCCCATAATACATCTCAGCACCCGCACTGAATCGACCATAAAACCGATCTTCCGTCCTCGGTGGCTCTGTAATCCCTTTCCGCGGATCAGGACCAAAATTGTATAATCCCCTCACACCAACCAGTCCCCCATCCGTCGAATAAAGAGTCTCCGTACTATATTTCCCAGTATCATACTGATGCAACGCCAAAATCGTCCCGCCGTTCTTCAGCCGGCTATCGCTAACCGCCGATAACTTCAGCTGCTGTGTTGGGCTCAAACGTCGTAGGTATAGCGCTTCGAGTGTACTTTGGGGCAAATACAGCCGTCCGTAGAAAAGTGTATTGCGTTTATCAATCCGCTTCCCACCCTGCCATTCTTCCCACATCCATGACTCCTCTTGCTTGCGCAGCTCCTGTATCTGCCTATACCCCCGTATCACATCGTGCAGGTCTATGTCTCCGCTCTGCGAAACCGGGAAGAGGGGCAAAGAGGTATAGAGGTATGAGAGCGCGCCATCGACTAGGCCGACACTGCCGAGTGCGTACGAGGTCGCGAAGTTGGGAGAGGAGAGTGAGGAGAGATTCAGGCGTAGGCCGCGAGGGGTATCGAATTCGAGAAGCTCTAGAGGAGATGTATATTAGAAATCACCGACGGGTAATAGTAAGCAGGTTTTGGGTTTGCTGTTTGTTTACCTCGAGCTGTAGCTGTCAACTGCGAGTAAGAATTCTCAGTATTCCAATGAGAGGCCTTATAGAACGAATGTTGGACATAATCCATAAACTCCAACATATCTGCCTCGAGTCGTAATCTTCAAGTAGTCTTTCTGACGCCAAAAGCGTTGTTGCATTAAATCCAAGCCAAGGCAACTCTTCCCCTGTCACTCGGAGGTAAACGGCCGCTAGCTCCAACTTTAAAAGTTAATCCGCTCCCGCTATCTATCAAAAAATATCCTCAAATCCTCGATGCGATAAAAACTCCCCTCCCCCACACCTCCCCACATCCCACCGCAAAAATGCCCAAATCCAAGCGCGCGAAGATCGTCCACCTCACCAAAGTCGACAAGAAAGGCAAGGAACTCTCACTGAAGCTTTTCTCCAACGTCCGAGAATGTCTGGATGAGTACCAGCACTGCTTTGTGTTTTCTGTAGAGAATATGCGGAATACGTATTTGAAGGATGTGAGGAACGAGTTGAGCGATTGCAGGTACGTGATAACCTCCGCAATATAATACATACATACAAACATACATATATGCATATATATAAAAGAAAGTACGAGCAGGGACTTTGGATTAACATATTGGGTAGATTATTCTTCGGCAAGACCAAAGTAATGGCCAAAGCCCTAGGAAGCACCCCCGAAGACGAATACCAACCCAACACGCGCCTGCTGGCCCCCCACCTTGTCGGCAACGTCGGGCTGCTATTCACGAACCGCGAGCCAGACTCCATCATTGAGTACTTTGCCGCGATCGCCAAGACGGACTATGCGCGCGCGGGTACGGAGGCGACGCGGACGTTTACTGTTCCTGCGGGCACGGTGTATAGTCGGGGTGGTGATATCGCTGAGGAGCAGGATGTGCCCATGGCGCATAGTTTGGAGCCTGAGTTGCGGAAGCTGAATATGCCGACTAGTTTGGTCAAGGGGAAGATTACCCTGCAGAATGAGTATACCGTGTGTAAGGAGGGGGGCGCGTTGGATAGTAGGCAGACGAGGTTGTTAAAGCTGTTTGGAGTTGCGACGGCGGACTTTACAGTGCAGTTGCTTGCGTAAGTTGGGAGTTTGACGACAAGAGTTGTGAAATGAGGAATTGGCTGACCATTTACAGATACTGGAGTGCGGCGACGAACGAGGTCACTAAAATTGGGGCAATGGAGGAATAAAAGGGGAGAAATAGAGCAGGACAAAACTAGTTACTGCATTGTGATTGCTTTCGTATCATACAAGTCAGGGACAAAACCGGCGTTAAGCGGCGCTGTCTTATTACGAGGGAATAAAAGAAAATTCCGTTGCTTGAGCCAGCCCTTCTTACCACCCTCTTCCTTTTTCATTCTCTGATAATACAAACAAGAATCCGTCGAGACTAAATGTCGAGTGGTCAGATGGTACAAAGCCTTACCTCTGACCTTACCTCCAAGATCAAAGTGTATGGAAAGTCGCCCAGGAAGATAAAATGGCGAGTGAAGAGCCATAAACTTTCGTGACCAAGCCAGTGTGATCAAAACGTCATGTCGAGAAAGATTGGCATTACCATGAAATAGCTGTTGTTTCCAGAGAGCATAGATAGTCGACACGGGCAAGTATTAGGCGAGGGCAAATACTACCTTGGTGATGACTTTATGTATCGAAGAACCGCTTACCCCTGGTGTTGAAGGGAAGAAAGATTGAAGATCGAGAAACCCACCGCAAGACAAACCGAATGATGCCTCGCTGCACCTAGTACCTTCGAATTTTGCGAGGATCCTCTTCGTAGCCATTGCTTTCATACTGTCTCTTCCGTGAATCGTCATCGCGTGGGCGACCTCCATATCCGCCATCTCGTCCATCTCGGTCTCTGTCGCGGTATCCGCCGTCTCGTCCACCGTCTCTTGGTCTTACCGGCTCCATATTGCTGCCACTTCCACGAGCTCCATCGCGATCGTTGAAGCCTCGACTGCCACGGTATCCGCCAGATCTGTCATCATATGAGCGGCCGCCACCACGCGAATCATACCCACCAGCTGGCGCTGACGTGCCAGAGCCATTGCGTTCTGGAGAACCGGAGCCACCAAAGCCTCCTCTGCTGTAGCCACCCCCACCTCGACCACCTGGACCGGCTGGAGCATTTGGGGGAGCATAGCCGTTGGAGCCTCCATTGGATCCTCCATACCCACCGCGATCTCCTCCACCTCCCCTGGATGAAAACCCACCACCTCCCTGGTACCCAATACCTCCCCTACCACCACCATAGCCTCCTCGGTCCTGGAAGCCACCCCCGCCGCCTCTGAATCCGCCTCGTCCCCTGCCGCCATCGAACCCACCACGGAAACCACCTCTGAAACCACCACCACCACCAGGTCCACCAGGAGGTCCAAATCCACCGGGTCCCATTGGGCGAGGAGGGGCTGTCTTTGTGTATCCACGTCCACCGAGGCCACCTCCGAATCGGCGAGGCTTCCAACCTTTGACGGTTCTGCCGCGTTCAACGTCTACCTTGATACGGCGGTCCTTGATTCGAATACCATCACAAGCATCTAAAGCAGCTGTTCACGAAGCGCGAGCAAGGCGCATTTGTCAGTCATTTTGACCATACTTAATATACCTTGCGCCGGGCGAACAAATAATAAAAGGGGAAGATAGGCAGCTTGAGGGCCATATCTTTACAAATGAATCATGTCTCGCTCCGCTGTATAAGGTAATGGGTGATGGGGGATGTGATCTTTTACCTCTCATGTCTTTCTCTCGCTCGTAGACAACAAATGCATATCCGCGGTGATTCTTCTTCTTCTTATTTGGCTTCTCGTGGGCATGAGTATCAGTAACAATCCGGATCTGATGGTCGCATATGTTAGCAGGGGACAATTACGGCGGGGGTAGATGACTTGCTCTTTCAATAGGACCAAAGCGACCAAATTCGCTCTCGAGATCTTTCTCTGTAGCATCGTAGGCTAGTCTTGCCACGATCAGGGTCTTGAAGGCGTCTCCTCGAATGTTCGGGTCCTCCTGGGGCTTGTCTGTGAAACGCCAAAATGTTAGCAAACGCTGGAAATCAAAAGACACATGGCCAGAAGTCGGACAAGTGTAGATAAAAGGTGATCGAAACATGTGGGGTCTCCCTCACAGGATACAGGGCCGTCCTTCAAAAGCTTTTCTTGTTGTTGCTTTTTCTCCAGCTTAAGACGGTCCTTCCGCTGCAGCCAGCTCTCTGTGGGTTCATATACATCGGTCGCCTTGTAGTCCTGTAGCTGGGGAAGGAAAGCAGCGAGACTACTGATATTTGCGGTCTTTCGCTCTCCTGGCGCGTGGTCGGAAGGTGGTATAAACCGCAGGGGAGGGCGAGGCGCAAAGAGAGCGAGGAGGTTGGGGGGAGCTTGTCCGTCATCGTAGATAACAGGTAGGAACCGAGTTAGATGATGGAAACGAGAGAATTCAGCTCCAGAGCTGTTGTTGATGGCCTCAAGCTCGTCGTTCAAATGGAGGTAGGTAGAAATCTGTCGCGTCGCAAAGGGAATTTAGCTCATTAAAGGTCCGTGCCCTTGTTCTACCTTACTCAGCAGGAGGTCACCATTTCACCAACACCAACGTCGGGAATATCACTTTTTTCATATTCGTACCTAATTCATCATGTTTCTATATCTATTTCCATTTCTATTCCTTTGTACACAATCCAAGTCTAACGCCAATACACACTGGGCGTGGAGAATTCAGAAACAAACATCTGCAGATGCATCTCCTAAGAAGACGGCGTGCTTTCACAAATATTCGAATACTTCACCGGTAGGTCCTGGCGTTGTAAGGGGTTGAAGCTAGCTGAGGTCGTCAGTAATAGATACTGTGAAATAATGACTTTAGGCACAGCGCAGGTGAGTAAGGGAGCTTATACTGTAGCACCAGGTAGCATTCTTCCACGCATCACATCATAATTTCGACCTCTTTCGAGTTTTCTTCTTACTTCGACCTTGAGATTTTACAATTTGATATTTTGGTCACTAGAAGAGTTTTTCTGAATAGCCAGCGGTGACTCAATGTGACGGGCCCGTTCACTACCGCTAAGCTACCATCAGTCCATTTCATATTTTTCTCTGGCATATTTATTCAACCACAATGCCCATATTTTCTACATTTGGATATTTCCCTCATCTCTGAGATATTTCTCGAATCTTCATTTCCAAACCAAAATATATCAGCTCCGCAGTACTTCAGCATGTCGAACTCTGTAGAGAGACAATCGAAGTCCACCCCCCTGACCGAGGGAGCTCCACAGAGTGCACTTTCCGCCAATGAAAGAAAGCGCGAGAAAGTCCGTGAAATGGTGAGCCGCGGTTTCGTCGGCGACATCATCATTGATCAAGATCCAGAGGCAGCTCTTGCCTTTGCGAAGCAAGAATACGACGAGGAATGCCCCATCAATAATGGCTCCCGCTTGGTGTTCTGGACTCATGCCCTCTCTACATCCAAAACACCTGGTGTTGGCGTTGTGTACAAGTCGAGCAAGTCGCAATGGATACAGAGACAATACCACGTAACTTTTTTTGTCAAGTCGGATGCCGCCAAGATTATAGCAATTGAGAAAGCTCTCCAGAATGCGAGGGACATATGTGCCGATAGGAAAGGCAAACCATCGACTGTGGTGGTTTACTTAGACTCAAAAGCGGCCCTTATCGGACTTCGAGAACATGATTTGAAGCCATTTGGGGCAAGAACTAGCCGCTGTGTCGTTTCCTCAAATGGCCTCAACCACTTAGATGTCGCCGTCGAACTACGTTGGTTACCGGCGGATTCAGAGTTGGAAGGATTTAAGCTATCTCAAGGAGCAGCTAGACTTGCGCGGAGAAAAAGGTATCCTGGATTAGGTGGCGTTGTCGAGGTTGAAATGAAGAAGAAGATAAAACTCAAAATCAAGAAACGGATGGCCTACATGGCGGGCAGGCTATCAGCACCGGAAACCCATACGCCAGCACCGGAAGCCGCGCCGCTCATCTCCGGTGAACCATCTACATTACCTAGGGGCTCGACAATCTTATCGAACCCAGATTGGACCTTTACCCTTCCTATACGATCTATGGCCAAATAGATATCCCTCATTTTTTCAACGAGTCAACCAATATATATTGCAGCATCCACGTACAACACAAAGTATAGGGCAGGTACTACCGAGGGGGATCGGACGAGCGACTCCTTTTCCCGGAAACAATTCCTACGGGGAAGGAGCCGACAGGATATGGGCAGGGAATTCTGCAAAAAAGCAGTCAGAAGGTCAAATCCATTGGCAACAGGGAGCGAATTTAATTAGAGAAGCTAGTTGGTATTGGGTTATCCATGCTCAAAGGCGTTGTTGGATGGTGAGGGTGGAATGAAAAAAAGATGTAGTTGAGAAGAAGAGGAAATGGGAAGCAGCAGCTTGTATACTCGTTAGCTACGAGCTATTGTTTACGTTTTCTGGGAGAAGTCGCTCTGGGCGTTGCTCCTTCTCTTGTGAGAGAGTGCTGGTAACGGAAGACAGCCGTCGGGAAGGAGCTATCTTGGTCCTGAACCCAAACCCACCTTGAGTAAATTGACATGAGATCACTCAAAGTTTCAAGTTTTCCAAAAATTCGAGCTACTTATAACTTCAACAGCTACACAATTGCTACACCTTTCTCATTTGAACCCCCGTGATGTCACATTCAAAGCTCCGAATGACCCCATTGGTTTATGTATTTAGCCCTTCCAAATGCCCCCTTGGCCTTATTTTTGAACTTAACAAACCCTTGTGTATCAATGACTACATATTCTGAGCAAAGGCATAACTTCAGAGCTCGAGGTTGAAGCTACGACTTCAAAGAGGTTTCCCCGTAGGAATAAGTACCGCCTGAATGGCATGGAGGGAAAGAGAGTTCTAAGCACGTGTCACGAAGAAAGACAGATTGAGAATACTAAGCTAAATATCAATTTCAATTGCTTTGCTCCAAAAGTACTTCGCAATCTGAGTGTTCTTACAGAAAGGAGGGAACAAAAATTACTACTTCGAGCTTAGCCTCAATTCCCGATTACACGTGATGTTAATATTTGTCGGTCCCGAACTTCAGAAGTTTGGAGGAGCATTTAAAGCTCAGAGCCAGCAAAATCGCAATGGTCGTGCAAGGAATAAGGAAGGCCACAGTCGGCCAGGTATGTCTCATAAGCATCAAACAATTCTACAACCCTACTGACTCACCCTCAGAATGGCGTCGGAGCCTTCATCCTGCAATGCAAACGCCTCGATTTCCATTACTGCGACTGGGCCGGTAGCTCTAAAGGCATGAAGTACGTCCTCCCTCCAAATCCAAATCCGAAGAGTAATGTCTGATAGCATATACAGTTCCTTCCTCCGCAACAGCCTCACCAAATTCGCAGCCCTGAACCCACAAGTCGAAATCACCGTCTCGCCGCGACCGCGCCGACACCCGGTCATTAAAGGAACGTACATCAACGGGCGCGAAAAGGCGATCTGTGTACGCAACTTGACGAAAGAGCAGGTGCTGCAGAAGGCGGAGCTGTTGAGGGATGCGAATGGGGAGAAGTTGAAGAAGGTTACGAAGCCTGTCAAGAGTATCAATGAGAGTGTGAGAGGTGTGTGGAGTCCTTATCACGATGGCGGCATACATGTTTGAGGAGGATGTGGAGGACGAAGTATATTATATGAGATGTGTAGAACTGCATTGGTGATGGCGTTTGGAAGAACGGGAGAGCGAATGACTGTATTTGTATATTGAAGGATGTACGCATACATATTTTGAACTATGGAATTGTTAGAAAGCATTGTGATATGTTACTGGATCTCATACGGGAATGCTACATTTCTGCTATAAATTGCCATCATCCCAACTGTCTAGGCGATTGAGTTCATAAAATCTCCCTGTCCCGACGGGTCGTCTCCGTGGTTCCAGACGAAGAACTCGGCTCTAATCAGACATACCAGGGTAACCACTATGGTTAACCGTAAGAGACTGATGATGTATGAGAAGAACAGCTCAAGGATTGAAAGGGTGGCATGCGTAAGAGGTGTGATACGAATGCCGTATGATCTCAGTACTGGCTCTGAGAGCTGTTGAGCCTATGGTAGAACAAGTCTTCAAAAGCCTCATAATCGAATTGCCAAAAGAGCCAGAGAGATGCAAGCATGGTGGCTCTGTAGAGAAGTAGGTATTTAAGGCTCCAAAGTGGTTTACAAAGGGTAGTGAATGCTTTTTATAAACAGAAACAAGAGACATTTCCTAGTTGAAGCTGCATCTGAACATTCACAACTTTCAGCATATTTAGGGTTATCAAAGGATGGTTGAGTGGCCGGCTATCTACAGACAGCTACTATTCCAAGCCTAAAGAATCACATCGCCTCGTTCTACAATCGTGAATCTCCCGATTTACTTTCATGCAGTCAAAGGTGGCTGTTGATGATATCGACGACTAGCGAATGTTAGACAAACTCCAATAGTAATAGGACCAGAATACTCACATGCAGGCTTCAAGGAAGCTCCACCGACCAAGAAGCCATCAATATCAGGCTGTTTGCTCAACTCCTTGCAGTTCTTCTCGCTGACACTGCCACCGTAGATGATTCTTGTCTCTTCCGCAGCCTTGTCACTAACCTCCTTCTTCAACCATGCTCTGAGAGCTGCATGAACCTCCTGTGCCTGCTCAGTGCTAGCTACCTTTCCAGTTCCGATAGCCCAGATAGGCTCATAGGCAACAACGATCTTGGACCAATCTGAAATCTTCTCCTTGACAGCCTGCAACTGCGCCGTAACAACTTCGATGGTCTGGTTGCTCTCCCTCTGCTCCAAGCTCTCGCCGCAGCAGAATATGACGTTAATACCGCCATCGATGGCAGCCTTAGTCTTGGACGCAACGAACGTGTTATCTTCCTGGAGGATCACGCGACGCTCGGAGTGCCCGAGGAGAGTCCAGGTGATGTTGCTGTCTCGGAGTTGGTCAACGGAGATCTCGCCGGTGAAGGCACCATTGGGCTTGTCGAAGACGTTCTGGGCTGCGACTTCGATGCCGGAATTGAGGTGCTCGCGGGTGAGGAGGAGGTAGAGGGATGGTGGTGCAATAACGACCTCTAATTGTAAAGATTGTTAGCAACATATCATTTGATTGTAGCAGAGATTGGGATTGTAGGCTTGAGTTCAGAGAAGGTGTCGTTTCCCATGATGTGAGAAGGAGACTCACCAGTCTTTGGGTCCAACTTTGCCTCATTGAGGTAGGAAATGATCTTCTTGATGGTCTCAACAGAGCCATTCATCTTGAAGTTGCCACCAACTGTGTTGTCAAAAAGTCAGCAAGGCTATAAAGGGTTGAAAGAGTATCCAATGCCAAGTATAGAAAGAGTATAAAACCGAAAGCCGAGCTCCCAAGACAGCCCCGAGGCCATGGATTAAGAGCTCTGCTCTTGGAATGATGCGAAATCAAGAGGATTGTGTGACGGACCAAAGAATTGACGCGCCATCTTTGCGTAGTTATATTGCTTCGTGGGTTTGGATTGTAAAGTTGTGGTCTTGAAGTCCGAGATGATCGCAAGTCTTGATAAACGAGACTATAGCAGTGTATTTGGCAGATGTTTCCTATTCAATTTGACTAGCTTGGGAGCTCCGAGTCGAGATAATGAAGTGGTACGTTTTCGTAAGATATGTAGGGTGATTTAATGTAGGCAGTTGTTTTCAGAGGCTTCAAAGTGCAGCTTTGGTGGGGGTTATAAAATGCCCCACCATTGCCTGTAGAATGATGCTAGTCGGCAGCCGAGCTGGGCGACCCGGACCTTTCCTTTGTGCCGCACTCCACGTGAGAAGCGATACCGCCATTTATAACGGAAAAGGGCATAGATAGTCTTATTGCAGCTTCGTAGGAAATCTATAGCCATCAAGTCGGCCCGAAGTATTCCGAATGGGCACACTGGCGATTTGCGTCCGCTTCAAGGAGTGAGATGCATACGTAGGTAGGCAATTAGTTACCAATATGTGGTTGGGCACTAATTGCAAAGCCCCAAGGGATATCCCGATATCCTACCTAGCCCTTCTTGACAAGTCACTCATATAAGACCAAAGTCATTCCACTTTCTTTTTCTTGAGGCATTCATATACAAGTTGTAAGTCGAACAGTCAAGTTTTGTATTGGTATCGTACAATAAAGACAAATCACAGTGGTATCAAGTCGTCAAGTCATAAATCCCCCCATCAGATTCCCAAAATTGAACCACCCTTCAAAGACCCAAATCAACAAGTATGGCTAATTGAAATACCAGATCCAATCAAGCCAAGCTCTATACTCCAAAGACATTACACCTAACGGCAAGCAAGACTTTTCTTTTGCGGCTCCAGTCTATAAAAGTATAGAAGGCGATGCCGTTCACCAGCCACGACTACTATCCTGGCTAAGAGGCCTTGGATACCGACGAGGAAGTTGCTGGAAGGGGTGTACGTCCGCCCTGAAGACTGGAACTATTCTTGGTTCGGGTGCCCTTCGCTCTCGATATGGCTGATCTTCCATATATGCCTCAGCTTCTCGCTCCTGCCTCCCGTAATCATTGCGCGGTTGATATTCTCGTTCTTGTCGGAAACCTCCCTCCTGCCGGAAATCCCGTTCTTGTCGAAAACCTCGCTCTTCGGGCCATCTATCTTCGTACCTTGGAGACAAAGATGGCTCCGGGTATCGAGGGTCGTACCGGTCTCGCGCACCGTATGACACCACGGCCCTTGGCTCCCTTAGCTCTCTTGACTCTCTTGGTTCGTTAATTACGATCGGAGCCATCCTCTCGGGTATCATAGGTCTTGGAGGTGGATGAGGATATCGCTCGCGCTCTGTGAGACCAAATCTTTCTGCATCGGCATCGATTTTACCGGCCTGGTACGCGGCAGCAACTGGATCGATGGCAGGGGCTGCTCGTGGAACCTCGGGGACATATGGAACCCTTCCATTAATTGCGGGTGGGCCAACGTCAAACACCTCGTGTATCCGACGTGGCGAAGTAGGACGATCTTCGATATAGTATTTCTTGTGGTGCTCGCGACGACGGCTTTGGTTTCGCTGAGGTGCGCGATTGAAGCTCAAGCGTCGATGGTCACGCCCTTTCGATCTGGAACTTCGTGTGTATATTGTGTTCTCAGAGCTAAGATCTGAATCACTTCCTGTGTCCGACCCAAAACTGTCCGAGTCATACCCTGACGACGAACTTGAACTCTTGCCGTGGCGTTTCTTGGACGCGCGCCGCGACAAGGGTCTTGAGATTGGCTTTATCTTTGGTTTACCGGTATCTTTCGGTCTTTGAGGTAACTTGATGATTCCGTCACCTCCCCCTCCCCCTCCCCCTCCTCTTCCTAGTCCTCCTAGTCCTCCTGGTCCACCTGGCCCTCCTGGTCCTAGGCCTGGTCCTCCTCCTGATGGTTTGTCTTCTTGTGGCGGTGGCCGTAGAGCCGCCGCTCGATTCCTCTCAATGTTCTGGAACAAGACTATGGGGTTCAAGCCATCCATGGGTGCACGCACGAGATACACCGTCATGGTAGTAGTCTCTCTCTTTCCATTCTTAAGATCCTTCTGTCTCAAATCGATTTGTGCGAGGGACCATGTAAAATTTGGATCTTGCTCATTCGTGGCTTGGTGATCCAAACGCTTCGTGATTTGGCCTGACTGGAAGAACGCCAGCTCAGCTTTCTTTTCGGCTGCTGTTACAATCTTTCCACGAGCGTCATTGAGCTTCTTGATTTGTTGCAAAATATCCCCCTGGGCTAATCTCTCTTCCACGACTTCGGCCCTCGCCCATGTTGCCTTTTCCTTCGGATCCACGGGAATGGCCTTCTTGATAGTAAAGGCACAATACGAGGTGAGTTTCTTCTTGCATGCTTTCTCGTCTAGCTGTGGACGGGGTGAGATATCGACAATTTGCGTGGAGTTGAGTTGTGGTCGCATCATTGGAGGTGGGGGGCCACCTTGAGGGCGGAAGCCTCCTGGCGGTGGGGGACGGAAACCTCCTGGCGGGGGAGGAGGACCATTTCTCCCCGGCGGAGGAGGTGGTGGCGGAGGACCTCCTGGAGGTGGGCCTGGCATAGCTTGTAAGTGTTGCAAGGTGAAAGGTTTAGGTAAAGTGCGATATGGGGCACGTGAAGTGTCAGTTGACGATGATTCGGGCGAAGATGGAGGGGATCCCAAAAGATATACACGGTTCCCTGGGCGAAATGTTTTCAGAGCCGCACTACGGTCAAAGGATTGCAGTGTTCGATTTCCTAAAAGAAAGGAAATATGCTGATCATTAGGAGTGAGGCGGACGAAGTATTTAGGTAGGTGAGGGGACAGGTTGTGGGATATGCATAGCTGTGGCTTCATGAACCGCTGCCTTCGGGGCGCAATGCAATGCAGCAATGCACTAGGGTTTTATGCCGTTGGTCTGCAGGCTCACCGAGTAGCTGCATCAATCGACGACAGTAAAAAGGCCCCCCAATGAACAGTAAGGGCTACTTCATTAATTGCAACGTCCGTTCAGAAAAGAAGCCACGGAGTCTTCTCCTGCTGTGAAGACACGCTTTTCAAACAATGCGAAAGCTCACTATTCTCTATCATCATGTATAGTAACAGCGGGTATTTCCTCTAACCCCCGCTCAAGAGTCGAGGCTGTGCTGTGCTTTGCTCCTAGGCAACGACTCACATTGCGGGACAGGTTTTGAGGCTCCCATCTTCCTCGCCTTGCTATTGGGGAATGGCTTCATGTCCTTCACAAGGCAAAACATCGATATCAGCACTAGCGGGAAGCAGCAACTTCAGCTCGCCCCGGTGGCTTATGCAGACTTCTTTGAAAAACCTGTAGGAATGCATACGGAGGTACAGACATTACGAAAAGAGAAGACCAGAAAAGCCGAATCGTTCACTCGGGCACGCTCCTCAAAATGCAGGTATGATTCGACTTGCGAGGTCCTATGCACAGATAGGATACTGTAGTTCACCTCACTTCGTGCATGTACGATGGATGTCGTTGGATTTAACGCACGTCGCTACTGTGATGTTGCAGTCATGTGATGCCGGAATCGCGCATCACAGAGTGCAACTTCTTTATCTGTATTTCCCTTTCATTGTTCTCTCAATTCCGACCTTATTGCATGAAGTATCAATGTGTTTCGAGGCTGCCTCTTGTATTCGAAAAATATAGTCTCCTGAAAGTGGGCTATGCTGAACACCCTCTCGCCAAAACGAGGCAAATGCGAACTGTTTTCCGAACCACACGTCAAAACCGGACGCCCGGCTACAACAACCCACAAGACATTATGGCATCAATATCATCGGGCCATTTCTTGATCCCCTCAAATTCATCAATCGAGTTTCTAGCAAGCTTCAACTCGGTCACAGCATCACGCACAGTCGGGCGTCGTTTGCTGACAGAAGGAAGTAATAAACAAATCAATAAGTTTGATGTTTAATATCAGAAGACAAGCGCTGGACCCGCCAAATGATCACAGGATTTGAAAGCCGGCAAGTATTTGTCAGGCAGACGCAAATTTGATGAGCGACTGCCACCTGCATGTGTGATATGCATCTGTTTGGCCTACATCATCTTCTGCATCTTTCTCGATCTTCACTTACGTGTACAGGAAAGAGTATACGTAAGCGGAGAATGCTACAGTATCATCGCGACAGCTCTCTGTGTCTACCAGGCTGTGCTTTACTGCTTTGATTCATTGCAAGCCTGATATTTGGTTGTCTCTTACAGCCAGCCTCGTATGAATCGCACCATCTTCAGATCCTCCTCAAACCTATGGTGCGAAGTCAAACATCAACAGTGCTTTGTACCTCCATGTGAACTGTCAGAGGCTCATACGTATTCTGCCTGATGAGGTGCAGCAGCTTCATCACAATACGTGGGGGACAATACGATCGATGGGATCGATACAAACCTACGACACACATGCAGGAATAGATCTTTCATTGCATGGGGAAGAAAGAGGATTACGAAAGCTTCAATTGCAACCTTATGTATGGTTATGTCAATCCAAGGTCCCATCCCACCTTTCGCCAACCGACCCCGCATGATCCATCCTCCACACACCTTCGCTTTCTCCCGAAACCCATCTTACAACCAGCCATACAGAGCATCGATCCAGCTACTCGGCGCCCAGTTTTGCAGCTGATGTCAGTTACGCCCAGGGCCAGTGACAAGGATAGGTACTCGGGTTTCTTCACCCACCCACACTTTTGTCGCAACCTGTCGTTTGTACGGGTACGGTAGGGCTTTCGACGTTACACAAGGGCGGTTTCACAGCGTGTCAACGCATTGATCTTCCCGAGGGCATGCCAGACAATATATTGCAATATATTGTAATGTGATAGCTGGCGTTGTGCTAGATGTGTGAAGATCAGCCCATGGTTGTGCTTGTGTTATGTTCTATTGTTTGTTTGCGGATGTTTTTCTGGGGAGAATTCATGTCGTGAGACGCAACGTTGTGGCGGAATCAGCAGCGCATTGCTTGTATTCGCTTCTTGGTTTGCCGGGCAAACTTTGCCATGCTTGTTGTTTGGAATCTAATTCAGAAGCGTGTCACTTTCCCTCTCTATGCTTGTCCTGTCTTTTTACAGTCACCGACTATAAGCCTGCGGTGAAGGATGAGGTTATATTTCCATATCTGGCAGGCCCTACCCCTTTCCGAGTTGGGCAGCAACGCAGAACTTCGAAGTGCGGCAATGCAAGCGCCCGTGTTCTTGGGAACGGATTAATGCCACATCACATTTTCAGAACACACCGTGTATTCTCGGTCCAGGAACCGATCGAGATGTGTTGAGCCGTCGTTTCAGAGCCGCATTATCATTATGCAGGCTCTCAATCTCAAGGACTGTTTTTATGTACTTTTGGTGCCAATCAGTCTGCCATGTGCCTTCTTTCCACTCAATACCAAGCAGTCAGACGTAATATGCAGGAAGTACCTCATCACAGGTGAGATTCTTCATCTACACTTCACGATCCAATAGAATACTAAGCGTAGGAAGGTATCCAAGCCTCGCTGCAAGTCATGCAAGTAGGAAAGCCATCCTGGGTAACTACCAGTTTGCATCATAAACACCCCTTCACTATCTATCACCATCACCATCACCTTCCATATTTACCTACTACCTACCTTCCTTCCCCCACAAACAATAATCCAGCCAAAAAAAAAAAAAAAAAAAAGCTAGCCAGTCAGTCAGTAAGAGAGTGAGTAATTGCCGGCTTAGTTATTATCAAGAACGTCCATACGTCACGTGAAGAACTCAAACTGTCTGTATTTATGTATATATCTATCTATCGGAAGCGAGCGAGCGAGGCTGGAGGAAAACGGAAAGGAATGGAAAGTGAAGTAATTGGTTGATTGATTGGTTGATAATAAAGTGGTTCATTATTAGATATCAATTAGGTCCTATTGTGGTCTGGTCAGGTCTGTGTAGTCGCCATGTCGTCTTTGATTTTGCTACTTGACTCACTTCACAAATACCAAAGATAAAAGATGGAAAGAAAACCAGTTTCTTATTTTTTCTATCTACATCCCCTTCACACACCACCAACACTATCGTACTTCACTCCTTTCCACCCTATCATTCCATTCTGAGACCAAAGCTCATCAAGACAGCCGTCAGCATCAGTCTATATACATTCCAACACCACCATCATCCTAATCCCAACACTCCATCACTCATACAAGTGGATTAAAATTAATAATTACTCCATTCAACACTCATTCCCCATTTCAAAAGGAAAACAAACAGGGGAAATTCTCTTTCAAAGCGAGTGTGGAGCTACCCTTCAGATCAGCCGTCTCTTGATTAACGCCATCCCATCCCACAAAAAGTGATTTTCAACAAGCCTTGAAATCATCCCCAGGTGAAAGGCACAAATGTAAAAAGGGTATCTTGTCGCGTTCTGCGCAAAATAAACGAAAGTCGACAAATTGCAAGAGCAAAAATGCCTCAGGTCAGAGAAAGGTCGAGGGTGTGGTGTGAACAGTGGGTAGCCAAGTCTATATCCGAGACAAATGCCTGGCGATACAAACGAGAAACGCAAGGCTGTCGCAGGCCCTACGCTTTCACCAGCCTCGTTGAGGCTTCACACGACAAAGATTACCGTAAAGGCTGCTTGACGTCCGCCACACCATTTGCAATGACCTCTCTAAGTGTCCAGCGGGGTGGGGTGACGATCCCTTGCAGACCGTTTGCCTTCTGCCACTCCTTTTCCATTTCTGGGGTCACACCATCTGGGAGGTGTTCCGCCCCGCCGGCTACACCGGTGGAGAACTTAAGCTGGAGGACGTTTCCGATCTCATCACATGCTGCGAGGACACGGTCCATGTCATCCTTGTTGTGAGCAGCAGAGACACAGAAACGAGCGCGGGAAGAGACGAGTGGAGTAGCGGGGTATCCGACAATGACGACGGAGATCTTGCGGCGGAGCATTTCGTGGGAGAAGGCTGGCATCTTGGCAGGGTTGTACAGAACGATGGGGATAATCGGAGAGTCATCATGACCATACACAATGAATCCGAGACGCTTCAATCCCAGGCGGAGATATCTCGAGTTGAAAGTAATACGTTGGAGACGCTCTTCACCTTGTCCGGGAACAATATCGCCATTGATGATTTTGAGGGCACTAAGAATTTGCATGAGGACGGGAGGCGTAGGTGATTCTCCGTAAATGGTAGCTGCATTCGTAGCACGAAGCTTGTCGATGATGTGCTTGTCGGCAGCAACGTAACCGCCATTGGCGCCAAAGGACTTTGTCAATGTTCCCATAAGGATATCAATCTCTGCGGGATCAATGCCGAAGTAATCGCAGACACCGCGGCCACGAGGACCAAGCGCGCCAATAGAGTGGGCTTCGTCAACAAACAGATGGAACTTATATCTCTTCTTGAGCTTGAGTATGCCGGGCAGGTCACACATCGTTCCTTCCATAGAGTACAGACCCTCAACAACCAGGAGAATCTTCTTCCACGGGCGGTGAGTGCGAGGTTGTCCTTGGGAAATGGCCTCACGCAAGGTTTTCTCAAGATCAGCCATATCGTTGTGTTTGAATGAGGTAATCATTGCGCCTGACAGACGAGCTCCAACACGGATAGAGGCGTGGTTCAACTCATCAGAGATAATGAGCGATCCCTTGCTAACCAATGCAGGGAACGAGGAAGCATTTGTAGCGAATCCCATAGAGAAAACCATGGCCGATGGCTTACCAACAAACTTTGCAATCTTGTCTTCAACCTCCAAGGCCAGATCAGTAGTTCCACAATCAGCTCGAGGGCTTACGGCACTGATTCCATACTTCTTAATGGTTTCCTCGACAGCATCCGCACATGGACCCTCGGACTGAGCGAAACCAAGATAATTGTAGGAGCTCATATTTAACGTTTCGGTGTATGTGCCAGTGAATTGGTAGTTTCTGTTGAAGTCACTCGTTTTCCTGTCGATCAAAGTGATGTATCTACCCGGAACTCCTGTGATTGGTCGAGCGAAGCAGTCGTCGATACGTAACTTGAGCCTGCGGACATAGAAGTTGTCGAAATCGCTGTTCAAGGCTGCATAGCCATTGGCGTCCTTGAGGTGTCTGTAATGGTCTGGCTTGAAACGCTTTCCGAAGAAGTCTCTAACATGTCCAAAGACTATTAAGACAAGGTAGCTGATATAAGTTGTTAAGAGGTAGTAGTAGGGCGGTTCGTCGATAATGGGCTCCGCGAGCTCTCCTCCCATGTGCTTGCTAACATAGCGATGGCTTTGGGCTCCGAGAGGACCGAACTGTGCGTCTATTCTCGCCTGTTTGTTTGCCTCTGCGACAGAGGGTGGTTGAAAAAGCGTGGTAGGTGGTTCATCCATATTTGCTTCGCCGGCCTTTGCTGTTGAAAGAGAAATTGTCGGTAATGACAGTGAGGGAGCGCTGATATGGGGCGATGGGTTGTTGAGTAGGTATTGCTGTTGCGCCTGTACCGCAGATAGGAGAGCTGCTTGTGCAGACTGTTGCTCCTTGCCCTTGGGTGAGGTAGTAAAGAATTGTGCTAGTCTGTTACCCTTGGACGTAGATGGCCTCCTAGGCGCAGGTTTATCTGACGGCGTAGTAACCGTGGTGGTGGTAGAACTGGCAAACGGGTTTCGAGGAATTCTTTGAGGCATTGTGGTCATGAACTGATGACCTTGCTGTTCGAGCAGAGGTGAAAGATCGAGGCGTGGTGTTGAGAAACCTATTCGTACAACAAGAAGCGTTTATTAGGTGGAATGATGTCTGGGATATCGGTTCAAGAGGTATATCGAAGATTAATGAGGCGCGGGTTCGTTTGCACAACTGGGTGGTGAACGGTGGCTGAGTCTGTTGGAGAAAGCAGTGTTAGTGACGAGTTACCTGCATGGTCGTTTATGTAAATCATAGGATAGAAGAGGCCCTCTGCGCCTTGTGCATGGAGTGCTGAGCCAGGATGGAATTGCATCTTCACCGACCATTCTTCAGGTGGTCAAGTCAACACCAGGACCAAGTCTCGACCCCAAACAAAGGAATTGGGCCGTATCCGGGGTTGCATAGGATATAGAAAGATGATGCTTACCAAGGAATGCGATCGCGACCGTAGATTGACAATAGGAACGGGGGGAATGCGACGTTGGTTGTGAGGAAGGCGCGTGCTGTGAGTGAGACGGCAATGAAGCAGTTTCTGTACACAGGGCAACACCAACACCGACGACAGCGTTAGGATGCAACCAAGGCTCCTATCCTTTCCTTTCCTTTCGCACCGACCCGACCGTTTGTGTATTGTTGAGTTGTCCGACACGGTACGAGGTAAGGAGGGCAATGGGGGGGGGGAGGTTAAAAAAGGAAAGGTATCGACGGATGCAGAGGGGAGGAGGTGCAGGAGAGGTGCAAGAGAAGGAGGTTGGGTTAGGATTCTTCTTGGGAAGAGGAAGTCACGTCAAAGCGATATGCATGGGTCGGCTTGTAGTAATGACCGATTCTTCCGCTCGCACTCGCACTTTCACTCCCATTGGCTTTACTTCACTCCAATTGGCTAGCTGAGCAGGGGACAGCTCTTTCTCTCTTTTCGCACTGGAGGCTAGTTTGATATGTTCACTCCTGCCGGTTCATAAATGGCATGGGATAACGTTCATAACGTTCATAATCGGGGATCGAATCAGGATCAGCTTGTCATCAGTCATCAAATGCAAATTGCTATGGGTCAAGCGGGTCTCGAACAACCTTGAGCATCCCTGCCCCAGCAGTGCCACCACCTGTCATTTGCTCGGTAGAGGCGGGAGACTAAAGCTCTTACGGCCGGACTCTTCGGATCACAGACCTGCAATTTGGGTCAATTTGCCTGGGGAAAGGGGGCTCGGCAGTGTTTTGTGCATATGCATACCATCTTATGCTTTTTTTTGCACGGCATCATAGACTTGTGCGTACTGTACATACCTATGCACAAGTATTGTACTGTAGGTGATTTGGATACTTCCCTCCACCAGGTCCATCCCCTTCGTCATTTTACAAAATATTGTTTCTTGATGACGGTGAGAAATAATTGATGATTTAATCAAGTATCTTACCTTAAAGTACTAGGTGTGGGTAGGTCTTACTAAGTCTATGTGGTTTATGGCTAACAGAGTCATGAATTGCACCGAAGTTCGCATCCTCCCTCCGTACAGGACCATGGAAGTCTCTTCAAATCAATCAGCCTCGGCTGAAAATTCTTATTTTAGCTCTAAGCCTCATTGACAGCCACTGACGATGGGCCCCCTTATTTGGACTTCCCCAGGTACCGACTCAGTCCAGACTCCACAGTCGGTACACAGTCGGTACAGACTACCTCATCCTATTCTACCCTTCTATCTCATTCGATTCATACTCCGAACATGTTTCGGTTGTCGGCGACCGGTATCGCATGATTTCATCCTACAAAGATACAGTAACTTTCTCCGGCTCCGCATTGTTCCGCCTCGCGTCCCGCTCCTATCAAATTCCCTCGGCTCTCCTTTCCCTTTAAGCTTATCCTAAGAACCGTACCAAGGTACAAGTATACTGTAATCAATTGATCGTGTTACCAAAACTATCCCAACACCATCGCCACCTTTACTCAGACATGGCCGAGTCCAAAGAACCTCTTGAGTTATGGAGACATTCCTCTCCGGAGACCACCCAGATGTGGTTCTTCAAAGAGCGGGTCGAGAAGAATTACGGGGTCAAATTAGACGGTTATCAAGACCTTTATAATTGGTCAGTTGAGAATATTGAAGATTTTTGGAGGGAGACATGTCTCTTTACAGGTGTACATGCCAAAAAGGCGGGGACGCAGGGGGTAGTAGATGCTTCGTTTGATCAAGTGAGTGATGTCTTCCCCTTTACACGTGACATTGAGAGTGTTATTATCTTCAGAGCTCCATAAGTGTGGGATCACCGCTTGTGGATGGTGGTAACCGATGAGGGCTGCTTTTGATTTTATAATTCAACCTTGACCTTTGGGCAAACCTAATGTCTCTTATTATCGAGTTCATCAAGATCCCAAAAGCGCTTTCCCCAAGCTCTTCTCAATGTGCAGCAAATGCCACAATAGAACAGCTGACTTGAAATACATAAAACACCACTAACCAAGGCATCAGATCCTAGAAAAAGATGCCCCCATGTTCCCCCGCCCAGACTTCTTCCCTGGCACCGAACTCAACTTCGCCCAGAACCTGCTCTATCCACTTCACCCAGACAGCCAGCATCCCGTCAAAGACCAAGATATCGCCATCATAGCCGCAACAGAAACATCTCGCTCCGAAGTTACTTGGGCGGAACTGAGGAAACGGGTTGGAGAATGCTATAATGCACTTCGATATCAAGGGGTGAAGCCTCTGGATAGAGTTGCGGGGTTTGTGGGCAATCATACTAATGCTATTGTTGCTATGTTGGCTACTACTGCTTTAGGCGCTATTTGGACTGCTGTCAGTCCTGATACGGGAGTTGGGGCTGTATTGGATAGGTGAGTGACTTTTAAGATATTTATATTTTTCAACTTTCGCAATATTGTGTGTGTATTCGCGTTATCACTTAACTTATAGAAGACAAGAAGAAACCTTCGCCAACTGCTCTACCATCCTTCCTCTTATGTCGCTCGCTCGCCATCAGGTGACGCTCCGCTGGCCCTCCGGCGGCCACTGCCGTGGAGGCCAGGAAGGTTCCCTCTTTTATGTTTTGAACTCTTATATATTATGCCCTTCTCGGCCTCCACGGCAGTGGCCCCCGGAGGGCCAGCGGAGCGTCTCTGAAAAGGTCACGAAGCAGAGTAGTAATAGTTTTTCTTAATCTCATCACATCTTTCTTTTGAACCAGCCATGTTTAAATCCGTTTCAGCTCCTCTTTCTTATCATATCGATCGGTTCTGACAGGATCCAGATTGGTACAAATTGAGCCGGTGGTCTTGTTTGCCGACAATGCCTCATTCTACAACGGCAAGATACATGAAACAAGTGCCAAGATCAAAGAGATAATAGCTTCATTGCCAAAACTGCAAGCACTGGTTATATTCGAAGAAGTCTCGGCAGTCAAGATGAAAGAGCATATGGGCCATCTAACACCACCAACCGGTTCTTCATACACATACCAAGAGTTCCTCACACGGCAAGTAACAGAAACCCTCTCAACAGCATTCTACTAATCCCTCGACTAGACCACCCACACCTGACACAAGCATCACCCAAAACAGATTTACACTCTTTCCTCCATCCCACCCAGTCTACATCCTCTACAGCTCCGGCACAACGGGAAAGCCGAAATGCATCGTGCACTCCTCCTTCGGAACCCTCATCCAGCACAAAAAAGAACACATCCTCCACTGCGACATCCGCCCCCACGACCGCCTTTTCTACTTCACCACAACCACCTGGATGATGTGGCACTGGCTCGTCTCCGGCCTCGCCTCTGCCGCCACAATAATCCTCTACGATGGCTCCCCCTTTGCACCCCACGGCCCCTTCACCATGCCCCTCCTAATCGACGAACTATCCATAACACACTTCGGCACCTCGGCCAAATACCTCTCCCTCCTCGAACAGAAATCCCTCTTCCCCCACCAAAACAACTTGGCCCTCAAACAGCTAAAAGCCATCTACTCCACCGGCTCCCCCCTCGCACCAAGTACATTCCAATACGTATACGCCGCCTTCGGCCCGGACATCAATCTCGGCAGCATAACAGGCGGCACAGACATAATATCCCTCTTCGGCGCGCCCTCGCCCCTATCCCCCGTCTTCAGCGGCGAAATCCAGCAAAAAGCCCTCGGCATGGCCATCTCGGCCTTCTCGCCCTCAGGGCTTCCGCTCACGGATTCCTCGCCCGGCGACCTCATCTGCTCGCGGCCCTTCCCCTCGCAACCCGTCTCCTTCTACGGGGCTGCAGGTATGGATAAGTACCGGGAGAGCTATTTCGAGATGTTCCCCGGCGTGTGGCATCATGGGGATTTCGTGCGTTTCAATGAGCGCACGGGTGGTATGGTGATGTTGGGGCGTAGTGATGGGATTTTGAAACCGAGTGGTGTGCGCTTTGGAAGCGCGGAGATCTACAATATTCTGCTCAAGTATTTCGCGGCGGATGTTGAGGATGCGCTGTGTATTGGAAGGCGCAGGGAGGGCGATGATGATGAAGTCGTTGTGCTGTTTTTGAAAATGGCCGACGGGAAAAGCCTAAGCGAAGGATTGAGGGAGGGTATTCGGGCATGTGTTAGGAAAGAGTTGAGCGCTAGGCATGTGCCGGGTGTTATTGAGGAGTGTGTAGAGATCCCCATTACTACTAATGGGAAGAAGTGAGTTTCGTCCTGTCTACCTGTTGTGTTTATGTATTTAATGTGCTAACGAGAATATAGGGTCGAGGTTGCCGTTAAGCAGATTCTCTGTGGGATGAACGTCAAAACTAGCGCTAGTGTTGCGAATTCAGAGTGTTTAGAATGGTATAGGGAATGGGCTGCTAAGAATTAGATTAACATTTATCTATCACTGGGTTTTAGAGATTTACACTAAATAGAACGGTACTATCTATAGCTTCCGCCTTGATATTGACCCTCTGAAATCTATCTGCTTCACAAACCACCGGCTCTCTGTTTGCCACCCTCTGCCAAGCAAGCTTTCCTCGAGCTGAAAATCAAATGTACGGATGAGCTGGGGTATCAATTTCGACATCTCCAACAAGCTAATATTCTTCCCAATGCATGTCCGACTGCCCATCCCAAAAGATAACATGTGGCCCTCCATTTCTTTCCCACCATCTTCCAACCACCGTTCTGGACGCCATTCTTTTGCATCCGTGCCAAATGTGGCTTGGTTTCGATGAGATACCCACGCGTTGACGCCGACCGTCGTGCCGGGTGGGAATTTCTGTGCAGCGATATCCACACCACCTTCAGGTACTATACGTTGCAAGCCCAGCCCTACAGCTGGATGTAGGCGCAAGGCTTCTTTGATGACTGCTTGGAGGAAAGGTAGGTGTTCCTGTGCCTGCTTGAAGGTCACGGGATCAGAAACAAGTTTGTTTGTCGCAGCATCATCGATTTCCTTCCTCAAACGCCCGAGGGATTCAGGATGCTTCATCAAGAAGTACATGATGCTGCTCAGAGAGATAGCCGTAGTATCGCTCCCGGCTGCAATGTTAGATTGGCAGATCATTTGTATATCGGCCTTGGTGATCTTCTCTGGATCCTCCTCGTGCCGAGCGACAAGCTTGCTGACAAAATCAGGGGGTCCATCGGTACGACTGATTCTTGGATCTTTGAGGCTGGCCATCTTCTTGCTAATTTGATTCACGGCGAATTTAATCACGAAAGTAAAGCCACCTGATTTCGGCAAGTAAGGAAAGATCAGGTTGTTCAAGAAGGGATAGATCCCTACGAAGGTCCCATAGGCGTTACGACCATCAATGGCTGTGAATATACCAGCTTCATCCTTCCCCATATCTAGTAATCCAAATCGTACACCAAAGGTGATTTCACCGATAACATCGAAAGCATAGCATTGTAGCCAATGATACAAGTTGATAATATGGTGAGATTGTGCAAGTTCGTCGAATCTCTGGACGAGCAGGGCGGTACAATGGTCGACATATTGCTCATAAGAAACCAGGGTCGACATAGAGTATGCTGAAGCAAACTTACGCCGCTGGGAAGCATGACGATGGGGGTTCAGATCCGAGAAGAGGCCGGACTTGTTCGGATCTGCAGGTGACCAAGCATAGTACCAAGGCGCCTGGGACACTACGTTAGCTTTCTGTTACACCAGCTCTTCCCGTTTGAGAGAAGCGATAACTGAATACTTTTAAGAAAGAGTTGCCCTAAGAACGCATTAGTCTCTGCTGCGGCACTCGGACTCTAGCAATCAGGGGACCGCTTACATGGCCATATATAATCTTCGCAGCGTTCACGTCGTCAAGTGAGTATTCCCCGGGAGCGATGCGAACGATAGGCCCATACTTCTGATGCAGTGCGATGTTGACTTGCTCGAATCGGCCTTGGTAGATCTGATATAGATACCACAGTCGCGTGAAGCGAGCGATGCGGGGACCAGGCAGGTGGCGTAAAGGGTCGAGCAGGATAGAAATGAAGATATAGGAGATGGATAGAATGAGGGGCAACCCAAGAAGCACGGTCAAGCTACCTCCGGGCAGGAGGAGTATTCGTTCAATCATGCTTGCTATCACGTATTGTACGGAAGCAGAGGAGGAGGAGAGTAGAGGAGGAGGAGAGAACAGGAGGAGAAGAGGAGAAGAGGAAGATATAAATTTAATAGGTACAAAGGTACATAGGAGACGTGACATGACACTGGAACGGGTCAATGCGTCGTGCGGGGAATTACCGTAGCTCCGGTAGATCACACTAGGCCCATACATAAGGGGCCAATCAGATGTGACTAGAAGTACTTAGAGATGGGTTTTCCTTACCGACTCCGCTGTGATCATTAAGGGTTTCTGCGGGTTGAGAATACCTTGCCTTGCCGGCATCTGATTACGGTATTTGAGAAACGTGTCAACGCTAAGGTAGGTAACATCTGAGCCTCTTATCCCGGAAATTTTAGAAGATAAAAAAAGATTATGCTCTCTCGAATCAGCTTCGACGTTTGCATTAGTACTCCACATCTGCTTGACTTGCGCGCTTAATTTATTATCTCACGGATTGATCATGCCGCTCTCTGCTTCCTATTTCCTCTATCACTATAGAGCTTTCAGCTACAAACGATGTAGATGTGCCCAGCTGCCCTCCAGCACGCGGCTTTACACTATTTCGAAATACTAGAAGTATATCAGAAGTACAAGGGAGTCAGTACTTCCAGGTCTAAAATGCATTATAAGTTCAGATAAACTAGCATATAGGAAGCGAGATCGAAAACTTATTCAGAAGAGCCGTAAAGAGCATAGGTAACGGTGTCAAGGAGGGCGATTATAGTGGAAGGACATCTTCAAGCACGTGATCAACTCATATTCCAGGGGGTACCTCCTATTCTTTCAGAAGGAAGACTTCGTAATCAATATCAATAGCAAATGCTTATAGTTCAAAGTAGCCGAGTTTACTGTAATTAATTTTAACGTGCTACTCGTTATTGTCTGACAGAGGATTTTGCGATTGTCAAATTGCCACAGGTTATACAACAGACAAGAGATGCGCAACCTAGAATAAAGACAGCAAAGAACTAGATTCGGTGAAACGTTCTCTTTATTATACATAAAATAAAACTTGCACCTAGCAAATAAACTGTTTCGGTCAAGTTCGCCGTCTTTGGGATCGCGCACCATTTCCACTGACCGAAATTTGCGGCGAACAAGACAGTACAGAACAAGAGCGTGTAGCACGCTGGGGATGAGAGAAGAAAAGGCCTGTAGAATAGCTACTCTGGAGCTGCGAAAGCCTGAAGCTCTGCGGTAGGATTGCCCCACCAATCATTTACTTCATTGTACAGTACTACAGACCTTGATCCCAACGTAGGGTAGGTATACCTTTAAGAACAGCACTGAAGATACACATTCCCCATTGGAGAGTCTCGAAGAATTACTCTTTGAATGGATAATCTCATCCCCATAACCAAGGCGTGACTTGAAGCCGAGAAAGCAGCACCGCTTCCTCCCTCAGTATAAGAGCTCAGTCATTCCCTCCCAGCATCCCCAGAGCTCCATCTTCCTTTGCCTACAAAATCTACACACACATAAGAAAAATCACACCTCGCTTAAGAAATTTGAAGTTCTCCGGTCGCATTCCACCTCGTTGTCGCGATGTCCCACCTCAAAACAGTGATGCTCGACTTCGGCTCTGACGATGTCGCTTCGAGCACTGGCTCAATCACAACGCAGCCAGATGATCCTGTGAGCGCGCAGTTTCTAATCAAGTACAGGAATAAATTAATTGCTTGGAATAATTGTTTGTATGTTACTGACGCACTTGCGAAATGATAGTATTATGGGAAGTGATGGGTTTGGGTTGGTGGGTTGATGAGTATGGGGTTGGAACGGAAAGTGTTGTCGGTCTAGTAAACGCGGATTGCCGCTTCCTCACCGAAAAGGAAGTCTAAAGGGCACTCAGAGAAAAGAATCAGAAAAAAGACAGATAGGGCAGCATTACGCGCTCGCATTAAAAGTGGAGCGCTACGTTAGCCAGAAATAATGCAGTGCCTTTCATGATGTAAATGTTCTGGAAGTGAGAAGTGAGACCACTAATGTGAGTGTGGCTATAACGCCCACCGTATTCTCCACTGTTTTAATACTGTGGAGTATAGCTCTGCATTCTGTTGCATCGTGGTACTTGAGATTCCCTGAGTACGTCAGCTCGTACCATAAAACCCCAGAACTCTTTTCTCTCACTCCCCTCTGGTGAACATACTTTAATATTTATGCTATTAGATCCTTATGCTAGCGTCAAGCTATAACTCGATCATCTGCTATGACCACATAACCAAACTCCTCTCAAAAATCATGTGATCAACAAAGTCACATGTTATTCCCAGCGTCAACCTTGCTTTCCTTGCTTTCCATACGAGAGGGAGAATATATAGAAGTGTTTAAACTCGTATTGGGTTGAAAGCGAAAAGATTATAGGGCAGAAAATCTCAATTTATTTTTCGTAAGCACTTCGGCTTTCAACTTTCTTGCACTCTATAAACAGGCTCTACACCCTAAGCCTCCTTATACACTTTCGAAAACCCACGAGCACCTGGTCAGAGTATTTGTCACCTGCCTATGACATGATCTCCTATTCATACTTTTTTGACTTGCATAGCTGCACCATCAATCGCCTGACCTCTGCTAGTTGTTGCTCGTGATATACTACTACGATGGAAGGCTGTGCTGCAGGTGTCTGGGCTACCAAATAGAAAGCTTGATCTCCCAATATAGTATATAATTATAGCGTCTGCAACTCCAAAAACTGTTTGTCAATGAGTGAAAGTTAACAGTGTAGTATTAATAATTAGTTTTATAACAAACGAAGTACTGAGTTGAAAAACTCCATCTGAATCTGTGTCAGCCGTTTCTCAAAGACAAAGGCTCCTTCTGATTCTTATCCAATACTCGACATATCCAGTGTCTGTGATCCATACTCAAACTCTTGCCATACCAATCCGATACTTAAGCATCTTACGGCTGGCATCCCTGGCGATCTCTGCTGCAAGGCCTTTCCAATTTCTAGGAATCTCACATCCAAACTTCTCTCTAAACATATTCTTGACGTCCGTACTTCCCAAGCTCACATCATCGAGCTGTCTGACAGAACAATACATCATTTCGATCCATACCAATTGCTCGCGGGTACAATCCTCATATTTCTTTTGGGCCTTTGCACGGGTTTTTGATGGGGTAGCTGCGACCATTCGCCATGTCCGCCAGTCATCTCTTGTTTTCCAGTCTGGGTATTCGTAGAGACTAAGAGATCCGAGGGAAATCTCATCCGAATCAACTATCGCGGTCTCTTCTCCTGGACCATTGAGGAAATCTGCGTCTATGATGAACTGCGGAGGTGCCAGGATCATATCTTTATTTCGTTTCATTGTGTGGTGAGATTCAACGTCGAAGAGTTGTCCAAAATCCTTGTCGAGTGCCTTTCTATGCATCCATATGAGCGAATTCCTGTGGGTGTCTCCCGCCGTAGAAAACATGAAGCTATGAACTTCTTCCAGCTCCTTCTTGTCCTCAGGCTCATACCTCTGCTTCAAATCAAGAACCTGCACCAGGCGCTCAGTAGCCTCTTCTTCGGTAATCTGGTAAGGAGAAGGGTCCATTTCTCTACCGAAGTATTTCCAGAAGTACCTATGATCTGCGGGATCTGCGAGGCCCTTTGGAGGCTGCACCCTGGATCGTTTCACTGGAGATACATGTGCAACACTACCGCTTGTCGTAGTGACAGCGACGGAGTCAGGAAAAGGTGTTATGGGATGTTTATTCTCCCCGTTAAGTTTGGCGACATTGGGTGTTTGCCCTGCAGGATACTGTCTGGGGCGTGGTAGAATCCCCACGAGCTGGAATTTAGCGGGAGTGGGCGATTTGTTGGCCAGTCTTTCGCGTGGAATGATATCGCTGTTCGCGGTGCGTCGAAGTATCGACGTAGGCTGCGACTTCTTAGGAGCCATCTTTTCTGTTTGCAAAGAAAGCGCGTTCAAAGTATATCTCGTTTCCGTCTGCTTATATATTTCGATCGCTTTCGTCAACAGGTCTGGCAAAGCCGGGGCGCTGTCGTCTGAGGAGTTCTGTGCCCGAGTCTTGACAACTTGAGAACCTTCAACTTCGGGGAGATCTTTCGATTGTCCGTTCTGCTGCGGCGCTTGATGCTGCTCAAGCCCTTTTGCTCCCGAGAGCGTTGAATCAGATTGGCGAAATCGAATAGAAAGTGTTGGTTGAGGAGTGTTTGATTTTTGAAGCGAATCTGGCGTCGGAGGACATGCTTCTTGTGAATCCATATTTATACCCGAATTATTTTGCCGATGATGTGTGAATACGGGAATAGTGGGATTGAAGTGAGGTGAAGGGAAGTGAGTCTTGTAACGCGTTTGATCAAAGACATGTAGAGAAGGAACATAATTTAACGGCGTCGCCAACACCTCGAGGCAAGAGCAACTCGACACCCACAAGCTTTTAGGCTTTTGCAAGTCTGGGAAATAGAATAATGCAGGGACGCGATTAGAAGATTGAGTAGTTTCCACAGAGGAAGCTCAAAAGATAGAACGGTGGCTTGGTAATAGCTAGCTGAGCTACATTCCAATATTACCTCTCTTGCCACCTCTTTTACTCCTCTCAATATGACCCTTCAATACCCGCTTAGTCTGCGTCAAACTCCTCTTCTGCTTGTACTTTGCCTTGCCAAGTGTCATCAAGAAATTCTTCTTCCTTGACTTCTCCTTGTTCGTCGTACTCTTGCCTTCAGCTTCCTTCTTCGACTTCCTAATAGCCTGAGTACTCTTATGCTCATTCCTATCACCCTTGCCCTCCCGCGCCAACGCAATCATCTCCTCCTTCGTGCTCTTTCGAAGCTTCGCGAAGCCTTCAATTTGATCGGCTGTCAAAGGATCATCTGCGTGTCGGTCTGCGAGTTCTTTCAAGTATTGAGACTGTGACTTCTTGTTGCCGCCCATAGCCTTATTTAGACTTGCTTCTAACCGTAGCTCCTGAAGCTTGGCGAGATCGGCTGGGGTGAGGATCTTCGTGGTGGCGAGTTTGGAGATTTTTTGCTCGAGGACCTCATCCGCTTTTTCCTTTTCCCCATCTGTTTCGGATTTGGCAGCTGTGTCTAGTTTGGCCTTCTTAGTAGCAGGCTTTTCGTCTTCGCTGTCGCTAATCTCGATCTCGGCATCGCTTTCGACGTTGATCCAGCCACCGGAATCATTGCTGGCATCTGACTCCGCATCCCAATTATTCCACCCGGCTTGTTCTTCTGCTTCATCTTCCTCTTCGTCCTCATCAGAACCAGCTTCTTCGGGTAGTCCACGCTCAACTCGTTTACGCTTCCTCTCGTCTGCTTTCCATTGCTCTAGCAACTCCAATCCTTCAATGCCCCCTACTTCTTCCTCACCGAATCTCCTCTCTTTGATCGATCCACTCTTGATGCCCATCGTCGCCGTCTTTCCTCTGTCTCTCTTCTTGAGCAAATCAGCTCCGACTTCTCTGTATAGAGACAGAAGTCCCTTTGCAGCCATCATGACACCCTTGTCTTTACTCTTCCGGTACATGACCAAATCTTGTAAGAGGGTATCATTCATCGCCAATGGCTGGCGTACGCAGATCTCCCGAATGGCGTTGAGGCCAGCTGATGCAACTTCTGATGCAGATGCTTCTGAAACGAATTCATTGGCGATTTTCTGCACGAGTGGCTCGAGGGCATCCGGAGGAACGAGGTTGTGCGTTGCTTGAGCGAGACAGGCGAGGAACGACGTTACAGATGGCTGTCGTGGGGTGAGATATTTGATGAAGTAGGAGTATAATGAGATGACAGTCAACTTATGCAAGCCGACAAGTCGTGAAACTAGTGACAATACTAGCAACTTCTGCTCCAGGTTGAGTTTCGATTTGCCATTTTGTAAGTGCTTCGAAAACAGAGTCTCGGCGAAGCCCTGAGGATCGTGTAGTAAGTGTAGGGCGGAGAAGTTGAGCGGATGTGGCTGATTCTTTTTCTTTTCGTTCTTCTTGACTTTTTTCACGGCTTCCTCCACATGCTTCTTTTTCTTGTTACTTTTCTTGTTGATACCAGCTTGGTGCTTCAGCTTGCCAACATCAATTCCGCCTTCATCATCACTACTTTCATCATCAAGCTCTTCTCTCTCTTTGTCCCCTCCCAGGAAGAATCGTACACCGCCTCCAATCACCTTTTCGTTGTCCGCTAAACTAGCCTCCTTCATGATCTCAACAGCTTTCGTATCCGTCCATAATTGGCGCTTCCATAATTCTCTGGTGATTTTCACAGCCCAAATACCCTTCGGCGACGCTCGATCGGAAGTAAGCAGGTTGAAGAGCGCGGTTTGGATAGTTCGATTTAGGCGATGGTTTATGGTCTTGGAATTCGATGTCCGTAAATCCGAAAGTATCTTTTGGAACAACAAAGTCCTCAACGTCTTGCTCGGGGTAGCCACCAAAATTGGGAACAGCGAATTGAGGAGGTTCGAGGAGTCAATGATATCTTTCCGTCGCAAAAGAACTAAGCTGCCCACAATCTTCTCCCGCAGCTCGCTCTCCAATTGTGCGTGATGTAATGTGAGGATCGTCTTTAAGTCTTCGGCGAAATCTGCAGTGTCTTCCGGAAAACAGTCTGCAACATGCGCTACGAAATCAATGAGGTCGCGAAAGGAGATAATTCCTGACGAAGTTGCAGTTGTAGGAGAAGCAAGGAAGATGTCGCGCTGCGATTGGTATTGCCCGTATTGATTTAGGAAGTCCTCAGTATATGATCTAGACGGTGTGTTAAAACTAAAAATTCCCAGAAGATGGCGGGGACTTACTTTGGGTCTCTGCGAATTTTGTATTGAAGATTAGGGCTGCGAAAGTTAGTCTCTCGTGACATACAACTTGAATAGTAACACTAACAGATCTGCGTCAACCTTCTCAAGTGCGCCAACTCGTTTCTTTCCCATCGTGGCGGATTATGTGGTGTAGGCTTATCGTGCTGCTCCGCAGCATTGGAATTGAAGTTCTCAAAATATTTTGGAAAATTGCTATCAAGTATCTTAGCTCCGGATAAATCCCTACTAGCTTACCACAGCTTATGGAGGGGAGTGAAGCTATGCCATGTGATATAACACGTGATGCTTCCATATTTACAAGTAATGTTACTCATTTGAGCTATTCCCCTTAGTTAATAAAAAGGGAAAAAAATTATAGAAAACTAAAGAATTAATAAAAGACAGAAGCACATACGATAGAAGAACGAGGGGTTTTATAAGCATAGTAGCTATTTGACAGCTTTCTTAATGACTTTTCGGCTAAGAATAAATTTTCAATTTACACTAAACATAGCTTAAAATAGGGTATTTTCATCCACAAATCACAACAACGATGGCCCGTTGGCCCAATGGCAAGGCGTGAGACTTCGAATCTTGAGATTGCAGGTTCGACCCCTGCACGGGTCAGTTGAACTCTAGGGAGTACTCTTTTGCCATTTTAGGACATTTTTCTGAGTAAACTATATTTGTTAAATATATGTTTTCTAAGTTAAGGTTCTGTTTTAAGGTATATAGGAGTAAACTCGCCTAATTTACTCCCTCGCTTAATTCCCGCGACCCGAGGTTTTCCCGCAACCCGATATCAACCCACCACCCACTTGGAGTTTATGGAATCCTGCCTTATAAAATATGCTAGCGATTAACATATGCTCGGGAGGGCGATGCTTAATACCTATACGTGGTGCCCTCTCCAAACCTGGAGCAGTGGTGTGTTCCTAGTACTATACTGCTTCCAGGAATGTAGGCAGCTTGTCATTCTAGCTCTGCCCGCCGCTGCCCTAAGGAGTGAGACTATAGATAATACTCTCCTAGAGCCTAGATCAAGCCGGACGATACAATTACTATTTCTTCTTCTTTTGCGCAAATCTACAAATTTTTAGTAAAGCTGCATCCACCTCAAATCAATTGAAAGCACCTTACCTTTCTAGTCGAATTTAATGTTTTAAACACGACATGCCCGAAATTGCTTAGCGTCGAATACTAACTACTAAACGCGTGTCACGCTAGTATAGTGTAATCCTTCAATTGTAGCGTGCCTGAAAAGATCAGTTTGCAGCCAGAGCACGAGCGATATATGATTTCATCGTTGCTGGCTCACCGGAATCCAATTAGTAATGGCCGGATATTACCGTAGAAAGATGTTGCTGAAGGCTCCAAGTATTGGCTCAGTATTCCACCCGGCACGGGCGGAATTCCTTTCCAGCCGGTGCCTTACCATGAATGTCGGGCAAATTCAGCAGCAGAAAATCCTATAGGCATCATCTTCCATTGGAGTCTCGATCGCAAGAATCAAAGAAATTGCTCAGTAGCGCAGAGTATTACAAGGCGCCTCAAATCGTCTGAATCGACCAGCCCAACATGTGGGCCAATTGCAGCTTGAATACGCTCTTTGCTATATTTTGACAGAATAGTACTTAGGCAAGTCTCTCTTGATAGTGCTTCCGTTGTGGAGTGATCAGGGTCAGGCGAGGAATAGTTGACCCAAGGCTGATGGTTCTTCATTGCAAGTCTGCAATTTTCCTCTTCATATGCCATCCATACGGTCTGGCTACAGGGCAATGGCATGTTGAGAATGAGGTCATCGCTCAGCGGTTCATAGTAGGGTGAGGTCTTTCTTGTCTTAGGATCATAATTGTTTAGAAAATTGACCATGTTGACGATGAAAACTGTTCTACGCGTTGTTTCGGTGGTTCTCCACGACCCCATGTCGTTGTGGTCGGCGAACACGGTGTTGATTTGAAATCAGAGAAAGCAGCTATGTCAGGACTGCGAATCTGTAGGTATGGCACAATGTAGGTTCTTGTCATCTGCAGAGTATTAACAAGATTAGCCTGAGCTGGAGATAGGAACACTGCTATACCTTCAAAAGAAAGCCCATCTCTAGATTTTTCACAGGCATAACGAGTCTCCACGCTTCAGACTCATTACCAATGGTGTCCTTAATTTCCAAGCTCTCATAGATTAATATCGCGTGTATCGCATCCCACTGCTGCATACACTCGTACAACGGCTGACATATACCTCAGCATTTGATCAGAGCGGAGCTTAGCCTTAGTAGAACTTACGAAATTCCCAATCAGTCGATGCCGCGCTGCGTCTATGGCCTGCCGGAAAAACTGTTTGTCGGTTGAGAGATTCATGCCAGTACTGCTGCAAATGGCCATTGACGTGAATGGAAAAGACGCCAAGTCAGGTTCAACATTTTTGACTTTTGGCAAGTGAAGAAATGGAGAGAAACAAGAGCCTTTGATTAGCAAAGAAGCGTAATCGCCAAGCATACGGGTGAGAATGAGTGGTGTCGACAACGTTGGAGTATTTGAAGGGGACCTCGTGCTGTCATTTGAAGTTTGCGTAAGGGATGTAGCCGGTGAGTTGAGATGGGTTCTTGGCGATATATAAGAATTCTCAATTGAAGACCCAGGGTGTGGGATAGGAAGTACATTTGCAAAGTCTGATATGTTCACGTCGAAGGTATCCAGCGGAAACGGAGAGAGTGGGAAATTCCAAGTCAGGGGTTCAGGGACAGAAGACTGGCTATCCACCGTGGGACAGGACTGGAGATTTTGATTCCGGACACTTGAAGCTTCCTCTATGTGCTCGGGATGACTCAAGTCTTGGGCAGCTGATGGTGCGCTATACAGGCATCTCGTTCCTCTCTTGGCACAACGAGAGCAGGTGGGCTTTGTGTGACAGCACTTGGCCTTAGCCTGAACACACGCATTGCAGGCTGTGCGGCGATTCCTACTTTTTGCGGGACCTCTACAGCGCCTTCGATGACGCAAGAGCAAGTCGGCTGTGTTAATAGTGTCAGCGACAGAGAAAAACAGCGATATTAGAAAAGCTGGAAAATGAGGAAGGCCGACAAGCAGAAACCTACGCCGCTGGTAAGACTTAAAGCACGTCTCGCATTGCAATTGGTTGGATTCAGTACTGGCGATGTTCGACTCCATGGTCACCAGTACGTGGTCAAATCTGCTAAGGCTACCTGGATAGACTATTCAAGTGTAGATAGATGATGTGTTACAGAGCATCGCGGAGGGACATGGACGTCCGTGGTATAGCATTATTACTAATCTGGGGTGAGATCACGTGGCAGCCACAGATCTCCGATTTTCAAGCTGTTCCGGAGCGGAATGGTCTAGCGTACCCGGAATTGGCTGTTGATCGTCCAGTGCCTTCGGACCTTGAAGGTCGTCTTCACTGATTCCTACTCCGGAATACTGTCATATTGAACAGGACAGGGACAGATTAACTAATCGTCCGGAGAAGGCCTAACTTTCCGGGAGGGGACCGTACGGCCGTGCTCCTCCCCAAGTTATCAGTCCGGAGCTCATGGCTCTGTGATGTTATTATTAATAGGTAAATACCGGTAGTATGCTCTCCCTCGTCTCTTAAGCTCTTCACCCATCACGACCACCTCCTGCACGCTCTTGTCTGCTATGTCTGTATCTACAGAAGGTAAGGGCAATCCCGAACTGCCATTCAAGGAATCATCATCGTCACAAGGTGAGTGAGTACTGTACGAGTGGTTTCCGGAGATAGCTCTGAGACAGCCCCAAGGAGAACCTTCTTTTTTCCCCCTTTCTTTCTTTAAACCTCTTTGCTGACTTGTAGACTATTAGATTTCGAGGCTGCGCAGCCTTCGAAAGGAGATTATGTCTACCCCGCCGATGCCTACTCAATGCCACGGCAAATTCTATTCATCGGAACTGTATGTATGTCCATGTACACCAATCAGCTGGGCTTGTGCAACACCCTAACCACGCTCAAAATAATCGGAGACTCTTTTGGAATCAGTAATCCCGGTCAATTGTCATGGTTGATTGCTGGCTATAGCTTAACTATCGGCACGTTCATCCTACTTGGTGGACGCCTTGGCGATGAGTATGGCAACAAGAAAACGTTTGTGCTGGGCATGAGCTGGCTTTCCTTGTGGAGTTTGGTGGCAGGACTCTCCGTCTATTCCAATCATGTGCTCTTCATCTTTGCTCGCGTCTTCCAGGGTCTGGGTCCTGCCTTGACTTTACCCAATGCTCTCGGTATCTTTGGCAAGTCTTTTTCCGAGGGCCCGCGAAACATGGCCTTTGCATGGTTCGCCGCAGCAGCGCCATTTGGCGCCATGACAGGTCTCATTTTTGGCGCCCTCTTTTCCATGGCTTGGTGGCCATGGATTTTCTGGAGTCAGGCTATTGGTGTCGCTTTCGTAGCTGCCTTTGCTGCATGGACAATACCAGACATGCCTGTACAAAAGGAGCAGATGCGACCGCTTCGTCAAAAGCTGGACCGCCTGGATCTTCCTGGTGGTGCAGCTGGCGTGATGGCCCTGGTCTTGTTCAACTTCGCGTGGAATCAGGCCGTGGTCGTTACTTGGCGGGAACCCTACGTCTATGTGTGCTTGATCCTCAGTTTCTTTTTCGGTGCACTATTCTTTTACATTGAGATTTACCGAGCCCGCCATCCAATTCTACCCATCGCTGCCTTTACTTTGGATATTGTCTTCGTTTTCGCATGCACGGCAGCAGGCTGGGCCACATTTGGCATATGGGTTCGTGATACTCTTGATTGGAAAGCATTTCGACTAACAATAAGTGTAGCTCTTCTACGCCGTACGAGTAGCCCTTGATATAGGTGGCCAAACTCCTATTCAGTTGGCAGCATGGTTTACTCCTATCCTTATTACCGGAGTAGTTTCAGCTTTGGCGGTCGGCAAAATAATTAGCAAGGTTCCTGCCTCTTATATTATGGTAGTTGGACAGGTTGCGTATTTGGTCACATCCATTCTGATGGCCTTACGGCCTCCAGAATCGATTTATTGGACCTACTTCTTTTTCGGCACCATCATCGCCACTATCGGAATGGATACATCGTTGCCTGCTGCCATAATGATTTTTGCAAGCGTAGTTCCCCGGCAATACCAGGGCATGGGAGCCAGTATAGTCATGACCATCGTTAACTACAGCATATCACTTGGTCTTGGTTTTGCTGGCACCATTGAAATCAACATCAATCATGGTGGACATACTCAAGCAGACTTGCTCTATGGTTACCGGGGTGCTCTGTGGTTCTCCGTTGGCTTGACGGGGCTCGGAACTGTTCTCAGTCTTATCTTCTTGCTCAAAAATCACTCAAAACAGAAGTCAAATGAGAGTAAAGCGGAAGAGAACATACCAGAAAATCATTAATCCTGGTTTTGGTACGAAGCTGTTTGAAACCTCTGTTCTATTATAGATACTATGAAGTCTGAGGAATATTAGAGTAGCCTAATTTATATAGTGTTTTCGGGGCTTCTCTACAAAAAGCCCGACGCTCTATAGCTCCTTATTCTCTTGGCACGCATTAACTCTGTTGACAACGTATGTACCAGACACAGACATGTACGCAAAAAGCTATTGATTTCGAAACACACTCGTCAGTGCGCCATGTCAACGATTCAAATCCCTCCGAGCATATAATAGCAAGTAATCAATCATCAATTGACTTCCCTCCACGACCAGCCCACACATTGCTGTGATGATCATAATCATGATGTCTCCCCTTCGACCTTCCACTAGATGCCCAATACCAGCCCATCAGCCCATTGTTATTAGCAACTGCAGCCCCACTGACCCTCCTCTCCCTCCTCCGGCTCGTCCCCCTACTTCCATCACTACTCTCACTCCCACTCCTATTTCTTCGTCTCACTCGCGCCCTCCGCGGCTTCCTCACACCATCACCCCTCCTATCCCTCCTACCCCACTCACCATCCCCACCCCGTTTTCTCACCCGACTAGACCTGGAACCCCGCGAGGACCCAAACTCAGAGTCAGAGTCGTCGTAGGAGGTATGGAAGGGCGGGACCCAGATCGCAGAGCGGTTGTCGATGCAGCATTTGTAGAAGATGACAACAAGGACTAGGAGGCCGAATATGGCGCCGATTGTTGCGCCGGCTACGAGACCGGAATTGTTGTTGGGGTTATGGGGGACGACGATTTGAGCTGTGGGTGACACGGATGGGGAATCTGTGGTGGATAGAGGGAAAGGTACTGTTGTTGGAGAGGCTGCGTTCTGTCTCGCACCAATACACGGGTGGAGTTGCAACGTATTGTGCAGTGCTGGTAGAGGTGCCATCGTAAGATTATTTGTAGGAGGTTGTTCCTGAGACCAGAGGAGAATGAGGCAGGGACATCATGGAAAGGAATTGGGAAGGTGGCCTTTTGTAAACAAAGGCGGCAGTGGCGAAATCGAGTAGGATGGCGGGTTGCCCGGCTTGTGTGAAGTGACAGACGCAGCCTCGTGAGAGGCGTCTACACGGTGTTGTTGCGAAAACGAATAGAGCCATAAGAAAATAGCGGGGTGTGTCTGAAACTATAACGACTGTCGTTATGATGTGACAGTCCTGTCTTATCATTGCTCAGATCGGATCGCCTTGCATGAGCGTTCAGCGAATGTAAATGTCGTGGCGTCGTCTTGTCACCAATCTGCATACAGTGCACAATCAATTGACCAATGGGACAGACTACGCGGCTCTGCGGGGATCAATGTGGTGGGAAGCCATCTGACACATGCTGAATTTGATAGCACTTTTGATCCAAAATGTGAATACAACAATCTCCAAGTAGGTATCATTTAGAATAGCTTTTTATTGCTTATTCTGATTAATTGTACTCAATTTCATAGCCATTGCCGGTGTATGCCGGGAGCTCGCCATCCATGAGTGTGTTCCAGTATTCCCAATCAACTGGAGTGATTTCGGGCATTGTATTGTCGTAAGAAAGATCGGATATTTCCCAGTCGTCTCTCGTGTTTTGGTACGTGTTATTCATCGGTGGAAGATTGCTAGTAAAGTCTGGCATTTGATTCGATCTCAAGTATGATTCCTGGTTCTGAAATACAGCAGCTGGCTGTGGTAAATCCAGAACATTCCGTTGAGCGCGTAGCAAAGTAATATATCGCGGAGTTGAGTTCCCATGTCTTCTGTGACTAAGAACACCAGATTCCTCCCTTCTTCGCCAGGCCTTGAGGGTCAAGTTTCCAATAGCATAATAGAGCGCATTCTTGGTATCAGTGATCATATGAGGCCGATATTCGTAGGCAATTTCGACCTGTTGCCATGACCTTTCTACTAAATCACCCGTAAGTCGATGTCGGAGCTCGCCGAGTATGTAAATAAAAGCAGACAATTGAAAATAGTGCTGAATGTGCCAGCGAAACCCCTCAATCTCTTTGGAATTTTGACCAAGCCCATCGATTTCTAATTCCTTTAAGCCTTCCTTAAAGACAAAATCCTTCTCAGCCTGTGGCATACTCGCTCCTTTATCAGGATATTGTCGCGCTTTAGAATGAATTAGCAGGCTTTTCAGAAAATACATATGAATAGACAGCTGACATCCTAAGGAATTGCATTTCATGTGGAAATAGCAACTTACGATGATGTGCCATGATTCTCATAGTGCAAATGACAGATTTTGCTACATGCATAACCAGAAGATGCAAAGGAATCGATGCATCACAGTATCTCGTGTACTTTCGTTCAAAATGAGCCTCTAGATCGTTGATAGCTTTGTCTTTCGCTTGGAGATGCTGAGGACCATGGGGCTTAGTCCATCCGATTTCGCCATCCTCTACGGATATTCCTGTCCTCGTACCTGCTTTCCTGATGGCAACGGCAACGTCGAATCGAAGGCAACAGAACATCATCTCCGTAGCCCCTTCTTTTTCCTTCGGTGGTTCTTTCATAGTTGGGCTCAAATCGCTGTCGGAGATATTCAACGGCACTTGGGTATCAAAGGGGAAATTCCATACTTGGAAACCAAATCCGGCTAGTTTTGAGGCATGGCCATCTAGGAAAACTACTTGCCACCATGTACGCCGCCTGATCTCTGCATCAAAAGGCGAAACCTTATATTTCGAACTATCTCGATGCAGCCCAAGTCTCTGGGCAATTCGAACCGCAACCCCAGTGAGAACGGAAATTGAGTGATGATCCAAGTTCTTGCGAACTCCATGCAAGTAGATTATGAATGCGTGAAGTGTCGAAATATTCAGCGACTTGAGAAATTTCGCATTTATCAAAGCCTGTTGCGTTCCGTTGCAATACTTAGCGACTAGCACTTGGCGAGTCTCATTAAACATGCTCTGGCAATCTGCATTGTCCAGTGCCACGACAGCAAGAAAGTAAATGGAGAACATCAGAGCCTCAGTCGATCGAGACACCGTTTCCAGATTTCCACTTGCATCAAGGATCATCTGCTGCACTGTCGGTGCGTGAAATATTTTGACGAGAGGATTAACGTGGACGAGAAAGGTCTGCCATAGCCGGAAAATATGGACGGGTGGAGGATGCATGGATGTCAACTTCTTCGAGCCTGTTGATGTATGACCAACTAGCAGACTCTCAGCATGAGGGTAGGGCGCGCCATCATTGGATTCGTCATCTGAGGAGCCGGCTTGAAGAGCATCCTTTGGATACTGGAAGTCATCTTTATGAATACCCTGCCAGAAAGGACTATTGAGTCAGAAAAGTAGAGACGGGTAAACCAGCAAGACCTACTTATCAACGTAATGCGAATTGCCTTTATTCGTAAACAGTGAACCTCCATCTCTTTCAGATGTTCGAGGACTAGGGACATTCATACTGAGCAATTGAAACTCATGATGGTCGGGTGACTTGTTTTGGGGAAGGGGTTCATCGGTTTCGAATTCCTCAGGAATGTCCTCATCAATATTGACGCCATGACTTTTCAATAAGTGTTCGTACTTTCGAAGTTTTGCAGCAAGATCAATCTCGGTGAGCTTCCTCTTCCGGCGCCTTGGAAGACTAGGCGTACTGGCTACACATTTGGCTTGGGCTTTGATGCAATTGGAGCAAGGCTTTTGTCTGTCGCATTTTACTTTCCTCTGTTGACACAAGAGACAGGAATGGCCACGAGTGATTTTGGTAAGAGGAGTTTGGCCAGATGCAGAAGTTGGAGAAGGTCTCCCGTCCATCACGTCTGATATTGATAGGGATAGGTCAGGTTGGCTCGGGTTATCGATCGGTTTAGCTTGCGGTGCTTGTTCCGTTTCGCTTATGTAAGCTCGTGCTGTTCTCCCCTCCGGCTCCGAGTAGCCAGCGTCTTTCCTCTCTGCAAGACCAATGTAGATTGAAGAGATGGACCTCTGCTCTGCGCAAGGAAGTATGAATACTAGAAGCGCGAGGGATATTGATATCGAGGTCGCTCGGAGTATTTGAGGTCTCTCGGACTCGGGTATTATTGGTGGCGCAACATCTATGCTGCAAATTTCGGTGCAAACAGAAATCTCGGTCCCGAACTGCAATTATGGACGCGGCTCGTCAGCTACGGTCACGAAAAGAACCCCGTTCTTACTTGTCTTCTCCCGTCTTTTGATGCTACTAGGCAACAAGATTTTCTTCCTGCTAAGTATATTATAAACACAATGTCTCCCTATTTTCTAGTCTCCAATTTTGTCCATATACCTACCTACCTATTATCCAAGCAGCTTTATTTGTGTGAAGCGATCGAGCCTTGTTAACTTCTTCATTCTTTCACCCGTTACATATACGACTACAACTTCTTGACAAGCTATTCAAAGTTTCAATTCTTCACACTTCAGTCGCAAGATGGCCTCCAGCAAAAAAGAGCCTCTCGGTTCGGCAGAAGTCGATTTAGAGAAGGCGGGACCGCCACCTACCGGCCAAGATGAATCCGAAGACGAATTTCCCGGACCGAAAAAGCTCTTTCTGATCATGTTAGGCCTATACTTGTCTATGTTTTTGGTGGCATTGGACCGAACAATTATTGGAACCGCTATTCCCAAGATTACGGACGACTTCCACAGCATCGACGACGTCGGGTGGTACGCGAGCTCTTACTTGATCACTCTTTGTGCTTTCCAACTCATCTTTGGTCGGATATACACGTTTTACTCTGCGAAATGGGTCTTGCTATACGCCATTGGTCTTTTTGAGCTCGGTGTAAGTCGCTCTCCGTCAAACTTGATCTTAATTACTGATTTCTTGCTAGTCTGTTGTTTGTGGCGCCGCGCCGAGTTCGATTGCATTTATCATCGGCCGAGCTATTGGTATGTCAACTTACATCAAGTAAGGAGAGCTTTGCTAACCTTCTTCATAGCGGGCCTTGGATCAGCCGGCATCTTCACGGGCGCTGTGACGACCATGATCATTTCCATTCCTCTTCACAGACGGCCCATGTTTCAGGCAATCTTCGGAGCAGTCTTTGGCGTTGCCTCGGTGTGCGGGCCCCTGATAGGAGGCGCTTTCACAACTTCCGTCAGTTGGAGATGGTGCTTTTACATCAACTTGCCAATTGGTGGTTTGGTCGTAGCCATAATTCTCTTCATTCTCAAAACGCCTCCCAGCAAGAATACCGATACCCTCAAACAACAAATCGTGAAGCTTGACCCTCTCGGGAGCTTGGTGTTTCTCCCAGCTATAGTATGCTTGCTGTTGGCGCTTCAGTGGGGAGGAACAACCTACGCCTGGGCTAACGCGCGTATCATTGTACTTTTCATACTTGCAGGGATTCTGATCATCATATTCGTGATCATCCAATTCAAATCCGGCGATAACGCAACAGTTCCCATCCGAATCATCAACCAACGAAGTATCCTTGCGGGCGCATATTTCTCCGTAGTGTCGCAAGGATCGATGATGGTACTCATTTACTATCTCCCTATCTGGTTTCAGGCCGTCAAAGGAGTCTCAGCCGTCCAGTCCGGGATTCACACCCTTCCGCTTGTCCTGTCCCTCGTCGTTGGAAGTATTCTGAGCGGCGTCATCACCCAAAAAACCGGCTACTATGTCGGTCAACTCTACGCCTCCACCATCCTCACGGCTATCGGTGCTGGCCTCCTTACAACGTTGACCGTCGATATTAGCAGTGGGAAATGGATTGGTTATCAGATAATATATGGGTTCGGGCTTGGACTCGGTATGCAGCAAGCGGGCATGTCTGCGCAGACGTGCTTGGGCAAGAAAGACGTGATGACTGGGGTCTCCATCATGTTCTTTTTCCAAGGACTTGGAGGATCTATCTTCATCACTGTCGGCCAAACCGTCTTTAGTCACTCTCTTGTGTCAAATCTTGGGAAAATCGACAGCCTCGATACAGCGCAGATTGTCAATTCTGGCGCAACAGATTTGAAAACACTAGTTCCAGCGAATATGCTAGAGGAAGTACTTGTTCAATACAACGGTGCTCTCACAAACACGTTGAAAGTTGCTCTGGCGCTTTCTTGTGCTACGCTTGTGACAGCATTGACGATGGAGTGGAAGAGTATAAAGGGGCTGAAGCAAGGTGGACAGCCTCCTGTGGCCGAAAAAGATAAAGCGGAGGAGACGAGTGAGGAGAGAAGCATGGCTACTGAGACAAAGACATCGGTTGCAAATGATGTTAATTCGGCTGCAACTGGTGAGCCGGAAGCGTCCAAGTTGTCCTGAGGAGATCTGGGGCTCATTATTTCATATTCAGCGCATTGAGTCTTCGAATAGAAGCCCTGGCTGAAAGATTCCATTTTGGCGTACAAATACCCCTCTCAGACATGTACATCTAAAGCATAATTTCCTTTTATATTAATACAAAATACAGAAGCAAAAGAAGAAGAAGAAGAAAATAAAAGTCCATAGTATACCAAAGGCCCGACCAAGCTCCAATGAGAATTCATGTGAATCAAATCCCGTAACATTAACTTATTGCATCTTAACCCACGTTCAACTTCCAAGCAAATGATATACTCACTCACTTCAATAATGCATTGATGAACAACACGTTTAATTAGGCATCATTCAGTCATGTCGTTGCGTTTGAAAGCGCCTCGTTTCCAGTCTTGCTCGAGGCCATCGAGTACCTCTTATTCGTATGGGTTGTGATGCGTTAGTGACGCAAGCCTTGGACATAACGTTGATGCTTCAAAGTAACATCGTGATACTGGCCAATATTAAAAATCAAACCCCCGAATAAGGCCCGAATCTTGAACTTTCATGTATTCAGCCAAAGTGACTGCATTTCAAATACCTGCGTACTGTATCCATTCCCTCTATTATTAATTCACGCAAAATGGTCTCTCTGCCTGTACCTTGAGCCCCTTTTTTCCTCCCGGATAGGTGACCCTACATGGTCTACACCAATCCATTTATTCCGTGGAGCCCCAGTCTTAACAACTCTACCCTTCCCTTTCACATCCATCACCGTAGCTATTTTTTCGCGAAACGCTCCTGCTGTTGCTGCTCCCGTAAGGCCCGACTCCCATGCCGAAATGCACATGAACCAACAAGCCCATGCCGCCATGATGGCAATGAAAGCTGTCAACATCCAAGCTCCAGCTTTGTCCCCCTTCGTCGGCGGCGTGATCCGCTGCGCTGGTGGCACGGCAGAGGAATTATGCCCGGCATTTGGGTTCGAGATACTGGTCCCGCCCGTAGAATTCGTCAAAGGTACGCCAATATACCGAACCATTGTAGATTGAAAGACTTCCAAGGCCGCCATCTGCTGACCCACGCCATCACTACCGTCCCAAGTCCCATTCAGAAACCATTTCAGCCCACACGTCATGCCCCTCGAACCGCCGGTGCATTGCGCTGCTGCTGCGTTGGCGGAGGATTTCAAGAGCGCGATGGTTTTGTCGTAGATGAAAGGCGCCATTTGTGTGGATTGGCCCATCCAGCGAGAGAGGTAGGCTTTGAAGGAGTGTTCGTCCGTGTTGCATTTGTCGTACTGTTCACATATGTCTTTCATGATGCCGTCGGGAAAGAAGGCAAGTGCGATGGCGTCGATGAGTCCTTGAGTTCGGGTGCGCCATACTGGGTCTCCGTTTGTCTTTGGGAGTATTGTCAGTTGGGAAGTATATTCAACATTTTGGAGGGGCTTACGTAGTTGTACATAGTTGACGCTCCCATTAGTACAGTGGCGGCGTTGTAGGACCACTGGTTATGGTCGATCTTGGTGCAGTTCAGTTTGGTTAGCCTCCGAGTTGTCAAAAACGTTGTAATTCTGGTCAATAAGACCAATTTCCTCCATCCATTCCCAGACCTTAACTGCCCATTGTGCGTAGTGATCGTCATTAGTGTACCGAGCAAGTCGAGATGCGATGTTGAAGAGGCATCCGTTGGAAATCGAGTTCTTCAAATCATAACCGTTGATCTGATAGACCTGCCAGCGAAGTCCACCGCCGCAAGTAGTCGTGTCCCAACGGCCTATCTGTTCATTGAATACCGCTTGAGCCAAGCTCAACCATGATGGATCCCCTGGATTTGGTGGGCTTGGGAATTTCGTCTCGGCTGCGGACAAAGCTGCCATTGCCCAGAACGCTTGGTCGTCATTTCCCATCTCAGCACTCTCATTTTGGGGATTGAAATCTTTGTCTATTCCAACCTGGAACTGAAGCCCTTGCATTGTGATGTCGTTGTAGGTTGTGTCTCCAGTGTAATGCCCTGTGAGGACGAGTCAGCATAACTTGGGCACCAATACTCGTAAGTTGCGACAGCTATAGTGTTCTTATGCACCTATACAAAGCATGCATAGTAGAGCAGTTCCTGATCTAGAGAGTGAGATGGAACTCTCAAAATCACTTACAATAATTAATCAATGCCCCCCACATAGCACCGGATTCCCACCAATAATATGGAGGTTCGGGGAGTTTTCCAGGCGTCTGTCCACTCTCATTTCCCTTGTAATAGCTCACCATGTCGTACGCAGCGATGCTGGCAGCCTTCTTGATGGATTCTAAAGGGCACGCAAATTAGCACAGCTTGTTATCTACTCCGCCAGTGAGGAAATAAACGTACCAACATCGTCGACATCGATCTCTATCGCTATTGCCACCTGGAAGACCACAAGACACAGCAAAGCACAAGCCCGAATCATTTTGGAATAGCGATGTCTTGATCCACACATGGAAAGGTTCGAGCGATGAACATGTGGGTTCAAGTGTCATGAGAGTGAATGGTTTCTGTGATTGCCTTTCCGCGCCTGCCACTATACCGGAGTGAATGCAAGCGAGGAGACAGCACTAACTCGACTTGTAGGCTGGCATAATAGAAACTTACACATTCTAAGGCACGGTGAAGCTTGTGCCAACATGCGGATTTCTTTTATGTGCCGGTAAGTTCAAACTGACTTCGGAGGTTCGGAAGGGGCCGACTGTTAGACAAATTGAACCCACCAACACGTCTCATGATCGATGGCATGAACACAACCTGTCGTCGGTATGCAGTATTGTGTGCAGGGGAATCATGCCTCCGAGAGTCTGTGAGACGCTGCTGTGCTAGCTAAATGGAAGCTCCATCCAAAAACCTTGCGTAAGATTTATACCCAAACTCGGAAGAACTGTGACGAGTGCCACAGCATCTGCATTTTCTTTGAATTTGCCTCCCACAACGTCTTTAGGACGCGACAAATCCCATGCTCCTTCCCCGTACACTATCACGTTTGTTAAATGCGGGGTATGCGGGGTACGTGGGGTACAGTTGAGACGGTGCAAGTGCAGAAGCGAATGGAGCTGATCAGTTCAGATTGTCCTGCATGGATAGCGAGATACATTACCAAATTATTATTGTAAATGCTTATATCGACCAACTTGACGTAGAGGTTTGGTACCACTTTGTCTTCCCGCCGTGTGCCCTGTCAAACGGTGCCAATTGCTAGCAAGTTGACTTCGTGTCAGACTTAATAGGACTAGACAGGCAAAGCTTCTGATGGAGGACGAGATATTCAAGAGGCTGATCGCTTCAGATATTCAGGTCAATGGATCAAGTCGCTAAGTAGCACCGACCAAATGCAAATCCGAACATTTCGAGGTTGTGTTTCCGAGGGGCCTCGGGAAAGTGAAATATCTTCGCATGCTTTTTTTCATAAGTGCTTCCGCTTTTGATACCTCGAACACACCATTTTATCTCAAAGACGGTCTTTCAATCCATCTCCATGACCGTTGTCGCTTGGTTATCTGCAATTCCACGATGACAGTGTACGGTGCCGTAAGAGCTCCAGTGCAAGATCATATCATAATTTCAAGCCCAGGAAAACGATGAGAGACAATAACAGCATCTCAATTGAACAAGACTGCATAACCAATTTTAGAGAAGCAGAATGCACAGACTTTCGCGGGGAGGCCTCTCACTGTGTGGTAGTCAATGCCGGTCACATGCCAAAACTTGGACAGGAAAACCATGGAAAATATAAGTGTACTAAACGGAAGTAGAAGAGGGATTAAAAACTCATATAACATCAACTTTGATCAAGTATAAGAAACAAGGTAATCTCATGAAATTTGAGACGTACCAGGTCTGGACAACCAATTTCCTCAGATGACGCCGGATAGGAGTCAGAGGCAAGGCGCATTTGAGACTGCAACAATTTTTACGAACAGGTTATCATAACTGAGCGCCCATCTCCATTTGCAATACGTCCGTAAATACCTGAACAAGTCAAAAGGAAAGATCACATGCAGGTCAGCTGACAACCTTACGGACGTTAGCGGACAAATTCAGTGCCGGCCCCTCGGTGTATCCTAATATTTTAGTCGCTGCTGAACTGTTCAAATTACTTCCACGACCTCAGAAACCAACAGCAGCCGCGATGTCTCAGAATCCAGGAGTTGGTGTCGTGAAGAAAGAGAAGAAATGGGTACGCGCCTTGTACGCCTTGCCGCTGCTAGCGGCTGTTTATGGAGCCCACAAGACGATGGGCGTCACGCTGGACCTGTTACTCCCGATGCTAAGAGCCTCGATCGCGGGCGGGGAGATTCAGTTGGCTGATGGGATTGTCGTTCCTCTATATAAGAAATATTTTGGGATTCAAGGCCTGGACCGCTTCATTTCTGCATTTGTCACGTTCTTCACTCCGATTATTGGGGATTTTGATCCTATCAGCAGAACGCAGGGGGTTGCGTTTTTGGGAGATCTCATTCCGCTTCAGACGATATGGTTGGTTGAAGGTGTACGACGTGGGAATTATCTAACTGCTGCTCATCTCCTGTAAGTAGAAATACCCAATGAACGTGACATGAACTCACCTTAAACAGGCCAACCGTCCTTGGTATACTATTCCAGATCAAAGGTCTGGGCTTCATTGCTCCAATCTGGTTCTTTCTGCACTATGTCCAGTCCCCTTTGGAGAATTATCATGCGGCGGAAAATCGACTCACTCAGATTGGCGCGGTGAAGACCATAATTCCTACCATTATGCTTTCATATATCCTGCCTTCAATCGCCATGTGCTACGTGCCGGGCCTCGAAAACCGCCAATGGATCAACGGCCTCCTCTGGCAAGCCTTCCCACTTTACGCCGCTGTCTACCAGAGAATTTTCGGTCTGTTCGTCAAGGACACAACCGAGGCAGATCGCGTCTCAAACCCCGAGGCAGACATACCATATCTCCGCCGCGCTTATGGATTCGCAGCAGTGACGGCCGCAGCATTCAACCTGTACGCTCGCTTTAACCCCCCTGGTCCCATCAAAGACGTATTCTTTGCAGGCATAAGCAGTCCATCCACTGTTCCAAATATTATGCAAGGGGCGGCCATGTTTTTGAAGTATGATCAAATTGCCACTTTTAGCGCTGGCGCTGCCTGGATTATGTTGAGTTTCTGGGATTTGAAGAGCGCTGGGAAGGTCCATCTTGAATGGCAGAAGATTTTTACGATATTTGGCTTTCTTACGAGTATTTTTGGCCCGGGTGCTGCGATGATGATCATGTGGGCGTGGAGGGAAGAGGCCTTAGTTGCAAAGAAGAAGGTGGCCAAGAAAAACTAAACAGTGTCTGGGGGCTTCTCTGGCGGGTAATGGCGCAGTTACTGTGTATTATTATAGAGGGATGCTTGCGTACTGGCCATTTCTCTGGATGAGGCTAATTCATAAGAAAGGGAAAGAGAAGAGTCGAATCTGGTCCGGAATGGCGGGAAATTGATTAACATTGCCATGCTTGTCTATGGGGATAGTGTAGCTCTTCCTCTACTTGGATACCTGAAGTACTTTGATATGTTGATACATTTTGATATCTCCTATTGTAATCGGTAGAGTGAAACACGAGGAGCAAGCGAAGGGTTTGAGGTCGGCTATCCCTTCCTATTTGAGAAAATCCAATCAATATGCACCGCATCATTCCTTCCTTACCTCAGCGGGTACTTTGTTTCAGCCCCCGCCGGCCGTAATCCCGCACTTAATTAATTATACCACCAGCTTAATTGTAGCATACATTTACGCTGTATACTCCGTTTTGACCTCAGAATGGAGCATACTTTACACACATAGCTTGGAAGTACAAGGGCCGTTGTAGGAGCTGTCAACCTCTTTTATAATCAGCGAGCTGAGACTTCTCTGCTGCGATCCTGGTGCAAGGTAATCTTACTTGCTGTAAGCTCAGTCCGTTCTGCTTACCGTCAGCCTCCCTACAATCTTCCACATCCCTCAAGACTTTACTATTGAAAACACTCGCTGACTTGACTGCTTCTACAGAGCGATGCCAATGCCCCAGCAAAACCTGCTCACCGGCATCAATCGCAGATACAGGACATTGATACCTCTCACGCTTGTATCCATATGGGCTTGGTTCTTATGGCGTCCTGTGTTCGATTTCCAAACGAAGCTTCCTTGGGACAAATCCTCCAACTCCAACCAGACGCAGAGTACCCCCATATCTTGGGAAGGAACTAAAGACATATTCGATTTTCCTCCAATCGAATCCGAAGCTATAAAGAGTATCTGCGACGATGTTGAATGGAACTCTACCCTGGTCTTCACTTGCGATAATTCATATGGAGGAGTTGGCAACATTCGGAACTCTGTGCTAAATTGCGTTCGATATGCAATTTCAGCTGGTGCAAGCTTGGTGATTCCCAAGATCATACTTCGGAATAGCCAGAATATCATGGATCTCGAAACCGGTGAGCGGACCACTTTAGACTACATGTTCAATGTAGAGCACTTTGTCGAGTCTTTGCGCCTGTCCTGCCCGGCATTGAAACTCTACAGTGCGGAGGGCGACATCCCGAACCTCGAGAAGTCTTCCGACCCTATTTCAGTGGTGCCTGAAAGCTTGGTTGAAGGCAAATCAAGGGATGGGTCAGCAGCATTACAAAATTCAGACCAATGGAGACAGCAATTCTACCAATGGCTCGAGCAATATGCAACGAACAACGCCGAAGGTCCTATAATTGTCCACGTTGGACGCTTATTCCTGAAATATTCGGTATATAGCGACGGGGAGCGCTTCGCCCTCGAGTTTGGGGAAATTATGAAGGTTCGATCGGACGCCCGCGAGCTCGCCACAACGACTCTTCACGCGCTCATCCAAGAATACTCTCTTCGTGTCAATTTGACCGAAAACATTCTAAAAGATGCCTTCCTTGGCGTCCATTTGCGAACTGAAAGAGACGCAATGAATGCCTGGGGCAATCCGTTCTGGCCATTTTCAACATACAAGGCTATAGTGGGGAAATATATGGAGCAAATTCAGGATCCCTCTCGCCCAAAAACCGCGGTCATTTATGTAGCCTCCGGTGATCTGAATGAAGTAGGCAAATTCGCTGGGGATGTGAAGGCCCTCAACATGACTGTCACCTCGAAGAACAACTTATTGACTGGAAAGGATAAGGAAGATCTAGAGAAACTAGCTTGGGATCAACAGGCTTTGGTAGATTTCCTGGTTATGCCTATGGCATCGGACTTCGCTGGGCTTGGGATTTCAAGCTTTTCGTGGAATATCGCGCTTAGAAGGCATTTGTTCGCAAAGCAGAAGAACTTCCTGCATATCGACGGTCCAAGGATGTTCGAAGATGAATTTAGCATCTTGTATGGAGGTGGAAGGGACAAATATCCGGAGTACGAAGCTTGCTTGTGGCCTTGAGAGACTCTCGGAGAGCCCCGAACATTCTTGATTAAGGCGAAATGAACACAAGCTTTCCAGAAAACTGCCCGATACCGTCTAGGATGAAGGCGCACATGGCATTTAGGAGAAGTAATGGTCTTAAAGCAGATCACTTGAAAGAAGTCGGTGGTCGGGCTACACCAAGTCCGGACATTCTATCTGGATTTCCTTGCCCGACTGAAGAGCGAATCATTGGGAATCTAGGATTTGCAGTCACAGGATGCAGGTCCATAGACGCGACTGGACATGAAGTACGAAGGTGAGACCCCGAAATCTTTTCACTGTTAAAGCGCATACAAACATGTTATCAGGTTACCTCTAACCACAAAATTTGCGCAGGGCTGGTTTATGATTGGGCTAGGTATATAACCTCGTTAGTACCAATAGAAACAAGGGTTCCAGCACTTACAAGGCGTCTTTCGCCGTGTCTTACCTTGTGAGGAATGTCTGTGCTAAGCAACAATGGGGGTTCAATTACGTGGCGTGTGTTCGTCCTGGATGCTGATGATACGCTTACGTCCGTCGGTTAGCTCAATAACTATGTGCTGATATGCCGATTCGTTGCTCTATTGGTACCCTAGTTCTACAAAAGGGCGCAGGAGCTATTTAAGGACTGCGTTCAGTCTCAACCTTCTGCACTTACAATAATCGGATTATCCATTAGGTACCCATTCTACAGAGCAGAAATTATCATCTTTGTCCTTTATCAATTAGTGCAATGTCAGAACAAATCCAGGCCGTCGTTATCCTCCACCCCGTTCCGGGCAAAGAGAGTCGAGTCTGTCCACCCCTTTTCCATACTCCGTATATTCTTCTAGCTATTTTCCTTCTAGCTGGCACATGTTTTCATTTTCTTCCGTTGTGTGATCATCATCGCTGCAAAGCTAACGCAAACCCAATCAATCCAGCTCAAGGAAGTCCTCACAGAACTCGCGAGCAACGTCGAGAAGAACGGGAAGGGCGCTGCAAGTTTCCTTCCTCTCCTTATATTATGCACTTCTTTCCCCCATACCTCATCTCATCTCGTACTTTTTTCTGTTTAAATTCCCATAAATTCAGATTCCACATCATACATGTCTCTCTCCTCTTGCCCCTCATCTCCCCACCCTCATCCTACCCAGCGTGCGGCACAGCGAAGCATGACATCAAACTAATCTGATGTCAATGCATAAATAGCTCAATTTTCAAGTCTTCGAACAATATGACTCCGCAACCGGGACCAATGTTATCTTGTCCCAAGAAACTTGTACGTCTACTTTACTTCCTCCTTATGAATCCTTTTCGTGCATTCGCTACTAGTCTAGTAGTGCCCAAGCAACTCTTTTTTCTTTCACTCCTCCCTACCTTCATCCCCGGCCTTTTTTTTTATCACGCTTTCCCTTTCGTCCTTCTTCCTAAACCTTTATTTTCCATTTACGCAGTAGCTTACGAAGACGAATAGGGTCGGATCAAGCTGCGGTTGATGCCCATCTCGCCTCCTCCTACTTCACCGACTCGCTCGGCACGCTTATGAAAGAAGAGTTGGTTACTGGACCGCCTGAGCAATATAAGATTAAACCCATTGCCGGGTTCGCTTCACGCTGAAGTACTGGTAGATGTTTCATTAGCTATGAAATCTGCTACTTTTGGGATACCTATGTGTTGTGAGGTAGAGATATTGTTAGAATTGGGCTATAGAATGAATAATAGCGACTACTCATGGAATTTTTGTCAAGTACTAAAGAGTGCTAGTATAACCACTTCGTCTCAATGCCTTTAATGGCACATACTCACGTGGTATGTTAGCAATTGTGGGGCTTCACTTTCCCTAAGCGCTCACTTTATAGGCATCCCAACTTAACTCCCAATACAAGACCCTCAATTCAGGGCATACCGTGCATACCGGTCCCTCCATCCTTGGTAGCCAAGATCTGGGGACAGAGTATAAATGCTAATCGTGTCCCCGTGCCCTTTGGGAGTAGTGGACCGGAGGCTGCGTAATGTGGGGGAATTCTTGGACCACACTATGAAGGTTAGGGACACGACTACGTAGGAAGCGCTAGTGAATAGCCAGGACCCACCAATTTCAAATCACAGGTACTATCTGGTGCGATCGTATAATCTAGGTGCAGGTTATACTCTTAGATTGCAATTGCTAAAGAAGGCCTACCTACAAGTAAAGTTAAATATTTAGCAGGGCACCAGGGGTAGCGTGGGGTAAAAAGCACAGACAGCTAGTTCGGAAAGGGACCCTACTATAATATAGTACAGTACGAGAAGGTTATATTATGTATATGGAGAGATGGGGCTTTTAAAAGCAGTTAGGTATTGGCAAAATAACTGTGAGCAGTTGGTTAAGTTAGCCCAACACGATATTGAATCCCCTCTCCGCACATATATCCCTCCAATCGACCTCCTCTTGCCCCAAGTCTGCCCTGTGCCAGACCTCCCGAACCACTTCCCATGTTCGCATGATGTTATTCATGCCCTGCCTGCGTTCCGTGCCGACAAAGCTACTGAGTGCCATCCCTCGGTCCTCTTCCGTTATCGCCTCGCAGGAAGCCACAAATAATGGCCACAGGAGCGCTGACATGGGGCCATTGTGGCAATTCTCTGCACATTTCACTACAATTGAACAGGCGAGGAGAGAAAGATGGGCGTGGTTTTGAACCAACGGGTGGTTTCGAGGGTGGGAGTGGATTGTACGGTATAGGTACACGAGTGCTGAGTTCCGGTACGCCTCGGCGTTGTTTAGGATACTTTGCATTCGGGCACTTCCCATCGCGCATTTGTTGGCTGCATCTTGTGGCGATTTCTCTTCCTCTTCTTCAATAGAGCCTGGCTTCATAGTAGGTTTCCAAGTGGTGAGTGCGAGTTCGATAGCCTGGGAAGCGTTTTCCAGCTCTGTTCTTAGAACAGCAGCCTTGCTGGTTTCACCAGCTGCGATTGCAACTTCGATGGAGTTTTTGAATGACAGTAAATGGGACAATCGATGAATAATCGGCCACAGATCTGTGGATAGGCCAAGTAAGGTGTCCACCGAGCTCAGTGGGGACTCGGGCCCGCTGGAGCTGGGGAATGGAGAAGCACATGGCTGTGTCGTTGTATTGGGAGGTGTGCCGTGTGACAGGGCTGCTATCACGTCGTAGAACCGAAATGCCTACCTATGTCAGGAGCCAAAACATAGAGATATCATGATGACTTACTCGTTCCAAAAATAAAGATGTAGGGCTCGTCACTTGAGGTCCGGCCTTCATAATTGTCATAGCACCTTTCAAGTGTCCAGTGACCATGTTTGAACTACCCCTTTGGACCAGCTACAGGCGAGTCAGTGCGCTCTTGCAGGGCAACGGGGTGGAAGACTCACAACTTCATAGTAAACGAGCAACACAATTGCGCCCAAAACCTCTTCCCGTCTTTCTTCGTCATTCTGGTCAATGAGCTGTGCCAGCCCCTGTAAAGCGCGATTGTGAAATGTCAAAGATTTCTCTTCGATCTCAATCCCTCGATACTCGAGATGGGCACTCGAAAGCGCAAAAATGGCATTCATAACTGGTGAACTGGCATGCGATAGTGGTAGTACAAGTTGTCGGAACGGATTCCCGTTGTCTTCTTTGAAAACGATAAGATGGGATAAAACATTGCAAAAATGGTCGACCAATGCACGTCGACTTCTTCCTTCCGTGAACTCCATATATACTGGGGCGCTGAAATCTAGTAGAGGCGAAGCTATTGGAGAAGGGGCTATCATCGCAAGATCGGGATACTGACTCCTCGACTGGACGAGAGAAGTATTCGATGCAGGTGGAGCTGTTGGTTCTACCCGAACGATCTCTTCTACTTCATGTTCTTCCCTGGGTGGCACTTCCAAATCAGTAGTGGACTCAGACTCTGAACACTGGTAGCCTGAGCTCCCCCGCCACTCATGAACACCGTGGTAATCGTCCCTGGTATCATATTCGTTATAATCTCGTTCGTATAGGCCAGGCCATCTGCCATCGTAGAAGGTGGGGGATATGCTTTCGTTGGAGAGGGCAGACCCCGCGAAAGAGGTCCGCCTCCGCTTCCGAGGTTTGACGGCTTCATATTCGCATTTCGTGTTCTTTTCTGTACATCGGTCGCATTGTGGTCGTTTCTCGTTACACTTTTTCTTCTGCAGTATCTGTCAGGACACGATGGAAGGATGCAGGACGGACTGTGTATACTTTTTCTTTACTAGAACCAATTCCAGTTAGCATGTGTGTGATTAATGATTTCTGCGGATGTCAACTCACCAAGATATACACCCTTCAGCCGCAGTCATGATCAGCATGGGCTCAATATATGGTGCAGGGCATCCCTACCGGCTCTCGACCTCCTCTTGGGCTCTTTGGGAGGAGCACGTCTCGTGTAGATGAGCATCTTGCTAATTGACGTCGTGTTACCTGATGCTATGCAGCTACCGGTCTCGGGATTGGCATGATTGTGGTGTGTTGTGGTGTGTTGTGTTGTTGTTAGTAAAAGGCCCTTGGATGCTTTGTGATAGTGCAATAACTATAGCTGTATACATGTACATGCAGCTATACATAGCAGTATGTCGGTCAATCAATTATCCAGGTCCCAATTCCCCAAGGTTGGAGAGATGCCTGATAATGCGGGGTAACTTCCGGCCCGTATAATTGCGAAAAAACGACGGACAGGGGGCCTTTCCAGAATAGGCCCAGCACTTTTCCGGATGCTGTACCGCACCAATCAAAAACTCTGAAACGTATAATCTTGGCGCTAAAGGGCGACACTAATTACACAATAGGTAGTAGCTTATTCCCAAATAGGTAATACAGAAAAACAGAAAAGAAAAGATTACATCATGCTTTACCCAATATAAATTATTCTCCGAAGTATAGATAATTACCTGGGAGGTAGGTAATTGTGCGTTGCTCAGACCCCAGACCCCAGGACCCATGCCCACCACGCGTCCCCCCCGAAAGGAGAGGGAGAGCGATGTTGTGTGGTTGGTGTGATAGCCTATTGGATTCAGCTGCTCACATAAGTGTACTGGGAGTTGTATTATGAAATTCAGGGGCACACGATGACTCGCTTTTTGGTGGGAGGTCTGACACTCCCCCCTATAGTCGAGTAGCTAGCAAAGTATGCCCTGCGCTAACAATTTAATGTAGAAAATGTACGGATTAAACTTAGCGGGGCCTAAGTGGGGCATTCTAGCTCCTCTCCGCAGGTCTTTTAAAGGTCTACCATTATAAGCTAGCATAAAGCTTACTTGCAAGTAAGCATTTAGGTTTCAGAGAATAAAATAGCTTTCTAGGGATTTCCAAGATCTTTAAAACTATAGGACTCGTATTTATCTCAGACAGGCGAATTCTACGCTAGACTGCTAGTGCAGAGCATACTTGCTAGTCAGTTGGATATACATATCATGATATATGGCGCTTACCTCTTATGCTAGCGTCAAGCTCTTGTTCTATCAACTCTGTGACCTGCACATTCTATCATCGACGTGTGATTATGTGGAGCATATACCCAACCCTAATCGCCTCCAATAAGTTCAATCACAACGAGTCTGTGTCCGCCGTCAAAAGCATGCCCTGGAAATGCAGAACGCAGCAACAATTCCAGAGTCCCGTGCGCTACGAGACGGATGCCTATACCTGGTGTTTCTGCACAGCTAAGCTAGACGACGGGACGGTGCTGGAGGACGTGAGGACGTTTTGCTGGGCGGGTGAGCCGCGGAGTAGGGAGTTGGAGGAGGGGACGTTTGATTTGGAGAGTTGGCGTACGTATTCGAGTGTTTGAAGATGTAGTGGCTGGGAGGTAGGGAGATGGGAGGGAATGAAGGACAGCTAGCTAGATATGGGATGGGCTGAGAGGTAGATTTTGAGGAATATGCGTGTATATAATTTGATAGATCTGTACTACAAGGAAGGGAAGAGAAGATATGTGCAGTAGTTCGTGAAACACTTGATATGTACAAGCTTTGACAGCAGGGTTGTCAAGTGACAACCCTGCGGCCCAGTGATAGAATATTTACAGGGAAACAAACAACGCCGAATCATAAAGTAATAAATCCGCAGCTGTCGCGATCAATATCTCCTCCCTGTTCCATCTGCCCGTTTCGGGAATGTCAAGTCACGTCTCACCCAAGCTTCGCACTGATGGGCGACAGACCGGGATAAAACGAAGTCGGCACAGCTGGAATCGGAATACTAGCCGAAATCGCAAAGCCTGCCGTCAGATCCGCCGCCATGGTCGTGATAGCATAGCTCGCAGCCGGCACACTCGTCACCGTCTTCGTCACCACGGCATACGCCGTATACGAACTCCCCGTATTCAGGCCACCGCCCGTGCCATACGCGTTCTCGTCCTTGTACAAGACCTCGGAACCGGCTTCTGTCCAGATGTAGAAGGCTTCGATGTCGATGTTGTAGCAGGGCGCGCCGGAGGGGCACAGTACTTGGATTGCTGCGCGCGTGCCACCGTTGAGACACGTGCCGTGCCAGTGGCTGAAGGTTAGGTCGTGGTAGAGAACGCCGTCGCCAGCCGCGGTGGTTTCAGAGCTCCAGTAGCCATCGATGTCGAGTGTGTAGGCATTGCTGTGGCCCATAAAATTCGTGAATGAGCAGGAATATACTGAGCCGCTACCGCCGTTGGACTTCAGCAGTAGCATCTGGTTTGAGTTCTGGGTGTAGATATGGTTGTATGTGATGTCGTGGATATCTGGGGAGCATTAGTACTTCTTGAGGTAGATGCTGTTGGGTGCTATACCTGTGTCTGCTCCGAGAGAGCCAAATGCGCTTCCACCTGACCAATTGCAGTAGATGCTTTCAACCAACATGTAGCTAGCAGGGCTCTGTTTAGACTGTTAGCCAAGTACACTTTTACTCTTGATAGCTTCAAGCATACCTTTATGGTCACACATTCGTCTTTGTTGGTAACTTCAACATCGTGGATCCAAATATTTGTACCCCATACATCGATTCCGTCTAGACCTCCTTCATTGCCACCGCGAATGATCATGTTGTATACTTCTCCATTGGAACAGGTGTCTAGGCTTAGATGGAACGCAGGTGCTAAAGTTGGTCAGCATCTTTGGTCTAGGTGCTAGAATGGGGCTAGTACAGTCAACGAGAGCAATATCGTGTATGGAGAAACCCACAACTTGTGCCAATCGAAGAAGGCGGGGTCTGAAGAAGTTAGCATAAAGTATCACCATTCAAATATGTCCCCATTTACCCGTAAGTCCCAGCTAAAAGTAGTAAGTCAGTAATGAGTTCCGCTAGAACAGCGTGGCTGAAAACTTACCAGCATGGAACACATAACCATAGCCCTGCATTGCACCAGCAGAAGTGCTACTAAAGAACTCAAAGTCCGTGGTGTGCTCAACGAAGATCATGTTGCCGCTCGCTGTTCTATTCCTCGTCAGCTTTCATGATTCCTGGGTCCATATGGAGCACATCTCGCTCACCCGGTACGGTACAGGATTCCATCCAAGCGAATCGCAACACCAGTTCCACCAGTCAGAGTAACCCAAGTTGCCATGCCATAGTCACCCGCAGGGATATACACTGATTAGATCTGCGTCAGTAAGGATCTTCATCGATGTGAGGAATACGCACCTTCGCCCCCGGCAACACAAGCAGTCCAAGCAGCCAGAATTGCGGGTCCATTATCCGTCGATGTACTAGCAACACCGCCATAGTCCAGAATATTACATACTTTCGTCGCTGCCTTTGACGCAGTACTCGTAGTAGGTCCCACTGTACCAGAAAGCTGAGCAGTTACAAGTGATGAGAAAAAGATACCCGCAAGGGTGGAAATACAAGAAAGTCTCATACTTGAAGTTATGGAAGATCAACAAGTGAACAAACAACGCAGCAAAATGAGAAAGCAGAAACCAAGAAAAAACCCACATGAGTTATATCTTCCCAATACTCGAGTATTGCAAGATCCGCAGTCCACGCGATCAATTCGCCACAATTATTCCACCAAATCTGACAGATTCGGCGAATATAGAATAAAAGGTAGAATGGAACAATTACCGCATCAGTTTGAAATACATTTCTACATTTTAGCGACGTCGGCGAATCTATTTCCACGAATCATGGTCCTTGCTTGGGTTCAGGGGTGGACCTAGTCCGGAATTAATTTGCCTTTGAAGGCTGAAACCCGAGAGGATGGAGCCGCACGTGGTCCCACATTGCATGCATTTTGCGGGGTGCATTGGTGGCTTCTGCGTCGTAGTACGAAGTACAAGAAGCAGACGGTGCTGTACTGTTCCGTCCGTCACAAACAGCTAGTTTTCCGTTTAGCCCAGGATGAATGGCAAGGTCGCATCACAATCTCGAGCCTCTTCGAAATCTGGATGAATTTCGAGTTTCCAGGTATCCTGTTGCAAGCAAGTACAAAGACAGTAAAAGAAACGCAGTTCATTATGTTTCGTTCTTCTGCCGATGCAACCATAAATGAAAAAAAAATCCACGAGTGTTAGCAACGAGGCTGATTTCAAAAAGGGGCAGCGAATCCTAACTAACAAAACAATGAAACCGAAGTTTAAACCTTTCGATGCTGAAATAGTCTATAAAATTTGCGCTTGGAGCTCGACCTCGTATTAGGGCATGCCTTGCGCCCTCACTGTCAAAGTTACGAGTTGCCCAGAAATCGTCTGCAGCTGCGTTTTGACCACCATGGATATTGCAAATTGAGTACATGATCCGCCAAGACCTAGTTCCCTGCTTCGTCGAGTCGTTCATGACTTGGTCGAATCATACTCGTCACATGCGCGGAACTCTCACGGAAAGATACCAACTGCTCAACCTGGTCCTTCACCTTCCAGATGGTGGATAAAATGATGGTTTAAGTGTATCGTGACTTCGGTCTGCATCTCCGTGTTGCCTCAAGTAGGGGATAATATCAAAGTGACAAGGTCGCTACCCAGCCCAGCTACACTTGTTTGGAACAGGTCTTCTCGATCCCTAAGGAAATTGCCAATCCAACTGGACGCGTGAGTAAGAAAAAAAAAAACATTGCGGCTAGCATTGCAAATGACAAAATACAATATCAACCCCGCGGAAGCAAGGCTCGATCGCGCCTAGGAAATAAATCAATCGAGCAGCTTAGTCAAAGTTGCTTCTGCCATTGATCGCTTCGACTGGGATGAATTGTAAGCGTCGCATTGAGAAGAGATAGGCTGATAGCAGACCATGGACGCTCCTCCGGTGCTGGACATGTTTAACTAAGCATAGCACATCGTGACCTGATGTAGGCGCGCTATGCTGTGTCTTCTGACATGGCCATTTCGTTCTACCAATTCCATCGCGTAAAAGAAACATAAAGCGAGATGGCAATACTGAGAATCCTGTGTTTAATGCGAACGGATAAAGTTTATGTCGTGGTTGATTGATAACACGCTCAAGCCGCTAACATCGTTGACTAAGGCACTAGATACCTTAGGTAGTTCTAGTGGGGTCTCAGGCACCACCTCGCTAAAACTCCATGCTAAAACCCCCTATTTCCCCATGACGTTTCAGAGCACACCGCTTACTGACCCCAATACCTCCCAATGCCTGCTTATGACCGACCACCGCATCATAGATAGATATATATCTGCGATAGAGATGAAGTACGCGCTGCAAAGAGAGGTGTACAAGGATCTGTAGAATATTGAGGATAGGGGTTAACCTGGGGTTTACCGGCGAGGAGAATCTTTAAGAGAGATATAAAGAGAGTTATTCATTATCATTTATATGGAAATAGAAGATGTAAAGAAATCAAATTAACAATTTTTAATACACACAAAGAAAAGAATATCCCCAAGCCATTATTCCTATCTCCACCTCATCCCTTTACCAATCTCCTACCAACCAATCCAACTCCCAAAGCCCAATCTCCAATTCTAATAATAAAGAGGATTCGCCGGATCTGTCAAATCAAACACAACACTACTATGCGGCTTCGCGCCCCCTCTACTCTCCGCATACTCCGACTCAAAGTCAATCGTGCGGTTAAAGTGCAGCGAGCCATCGGGGTTGATGTCGATGTACAGCGCCTTGAAATCGGCAGGGGTATTGATGAGGCCGATGTCGCCCGTCTGCACGAAATAATCTGTGACGACGATGTGTTTCTGGTCCGGAGTGATCTTGATGTAGTGCGGGCCGACGCTAGGCTGCACTTCGTCGGGGTCGTCGAGACGCTTGACGTTGGAGAGGTCGGAAATGTCGAGGGCTGCGATGTGGTTGGCGGTGGTGAGGGTTAGGTAGATGAAATTTCCGTCTTGGGTGATGTCGGAGCTGTAGGGGAGAGTGTATTGGTTAGTATGGTTTTGTGATTATGTGTGGGCTTTTGGGGGTAGAAGTAGAAGTAACGGACTAGATAGCGATGGTATCACGGGCCTTGGGTCCAAGATCGTAGAGTAGCTCGGCGACACCTTGTTTTCCCGTAGAGTCGTAGCGGAAGGGGTAGATGATCCAGACTTGGCCTAGATGTACTGCTGTTGCGAGAGCCGCGCCCTCGGAGTTATTGGGGATGAACTTGATGTCTTGAATTCCACCACCGTCAGGGATCTCAATCGTGCTGATGATGGTTCGGGTCGGGAGATCCCATAAGCGGAGAGTGTTGGCGTGTTCGATTCCCAAGCTTGGCTTCAAGATGGTGATAGGGACAACGAAGTCCGATGTCAATATGACGTTCTTTTCCCAGTGGACACTTAGACCGTGAGGGGAGAATTGCTCGCCCAGAATGTTGAGTGTGCCAGCGACATCCTCGGGCCATTGGTGGATGATGTTGTAGTCTGCATCTGTTTCCACCAATCTTCCGGGGCTCGTTCCAAGAGCAGAGCCCATATAGGTAATGAAGAAGCCCCCATCTGGCTTGGCACGAATTTCATCTGTGATGGATGCGAGAATAGCTCGGTCACTCTTTTTGAACGATGGTCTGTATGGGTTTGAGACGTCGAAGTAGTAAGCGGTGTCCTAAAAGCCCGGTTAGCAAATTTTTGTATTACAAATGAGGTATTGATCTACTTGAGTTTTTAGTAATGAGAGCAAGCCCCCACCAACAAGTGTCTTTCCGTCCTTGCTGGGACCAAGATGATGAGGGCTGTTTCCACTGGTAGGAACATCTGTGATCCAGAGGAGTGTCCCGAAAGTATCATCGTCGAGACTGTATGTGGCCAAGAAATCTACAGAGAAGACATCAGAACATAGGTATTAATACACTATACAATGCAAAATACATACCCGCATGGATATTGTCACCAGCACCAGTCCAGAAGTAGCCAATCTTCTTTGGCTTGATATCACTTGCCTGGAATGGGGGGCTAGGAAGGGGTGGGGTAGGAATTTGAAGGATAGGCAAAGGTATGGAGAGGTCGCTCGTCAAAGGCTCAGTGACACCAGGAATGGAGGGAATCAATGGAGGCAAAGAGATTTGCCTAGGAGAGACTTGAGGCTCTGCGTCTGGAACGGGAGAGGCGCATGCCATACAGGCGAGAGAAACGAGTGCAAGAAGTGACTTTGTCATGTTGTTGATTCGGCAGATGAGATCCTGCGGTGAAAAGAGAGGTGGGGAAGGCTTGAGAAGATATGAGCAGGTTTGCGTATCCAACAGTTCTTATATAATAATGAGCGTCTCGCCTCTGTTGTATCTCAAGCTTCAACTTCCTTCCCTTCAGAAAACTGTACAAGCTAAGATATTGCATTTCATATTTGATAAATGTCGCCATAAAGACGAAAACGGAAAGTTCTGGGCACATCTGCACGAACACAATTCTACTTCAAGTAGCGATCTGCTAGGTCAATGAAGTTGATGAGAATTGGAAAATGGAGAAGGCAGTTCACATCACGCAGCTCTGGGTAGAGAGGAGGTGGTGTCAGGGCAGACTGCTAGCAAATTGCCTGCCGAAGCTACTAACTCATATTTGATGAGACGCGGGATAGAAAGAGGCAAAAAGACGAACATCAGCGGTTAGTTTTAAAGCAGGGTGCGGAAGAAGAAAGAGAAGCGCGTCTCATCTGTGACAGTATGACTACATTGCCGTTTATTAGGTTAAGCGGATTTTTGATGCATCTATTGACTCAATTGACTTTTCTCGCCTTATCCACGAGGGGCCCCTGCCCCTTTCCTTGGCGATGAAATGGGGCCAAAGGGAGGAAGATCGTCGCAGGGTTACTAAATCAAGCATTCTCATTTCCTTTAGGAGAGGAGCTCCCAAGACTTGGGAGAAGCTAAAGAGCAGCAACAGAGACCAAGTGGTCACAACACCAACTATGATGTGTCTTGTCAAAGTCTTGGCTGCTTTGTGACGAGCCGCTTGATAGTCGCGAGAGATTGTGATCATAGAGCCTTGCAGCAAGCTAGTCTTTTAACTCTGCAAAGGCAGCACAAGCACTACATGTTGTAATCCAGTCGCTCCAGTCGCTCCAGTGTGTTTATGACCAGAAAGGATGCTAAAGGGGATATCTAAAACCCCTTAGACTAGACTTCTATAATCACTTACCATTGAAAAAGACAATTGCTGGATATCAACTACTGATACAGCATGTTCACTAGGGGCACTTCATGAAAGCGCCATAAGTGTCTTCAGAAGGGCCAAACCAAAAGTGCCCCCACTAGGTACATTATCCAGGCCCATCCGTAATGATAGACTATTTCCACTATAGTGATGGAAGTAACTAAGCTTTCACGAAAGTTGAAAGTCACATACATGCCCGATCTAGAGGGACTTTGTAAAAAAGGCTAGCGAGTATAGCAAGAGAAATCTTCTGCACTACAGTATAGGCTCCTGGAAAGTTCGAACCACTGAGTTCGAATGTCATTAGGATGTTATGTAACAAACGCTGCTCGTGGTGTTGTTACACGCCAAGACAAATCAGATATGGTGCCTTCCAACCCCGCAATCACGCACAAACACGGGAGCACGCAACGAGCAAGCACACGCAGATCATGTGCATTTATTTTTCAGAAAGAGTAAGGTAGTAATATTAGCAGAAAATACTAAATCATAGAAATCAATAGACCTAAAAGTTTTTGCACCTGCATAGGGCTGGGTTCAAGGGTACCCACGCATCATGGGTTGACTAAGCTTGATTTTGGAAGTGGGTAAAATCAGCATGCGCAAGGGGAAACATTTGTCTGTGCCACACTGCCAAGGTACTGCAGTCTAAGATCCGCACTTTCGAAGTGTCGTTTGGGGAAACCTGGGGCCGGGATACGGCTGTATTGGAGAATCCATGCTTCCTCGAGGACGCCACCAGCATCAATGCTCGAGCAAATCACCACAATCGCGATGTTGGCTTTAATGGCATCATAGTCGTAGACGATCTTTGTTGATCCCAATTCCCGAGTTTCTTCCCATCGTGATGGATCACCACTGCAACAAAGCGGACATGTACTACTTGACTTGTACCTGCGTGATATAAGATCAGTCCCACTGAGTCGCATCATTTGGAAGTTACAACTTTCTGTGAAAACTTCTTTCGACTTCGGCCACTTCTTTCACTTCATCATGAGATTTTCAACGCTCGCGACATGGGCCGGCGCTGCTTCACTTGTGGCTGCTACGCCGTTGAGTGAGGAAAAGGTGGATAAAAGAGACACGCCGGGATTCACAAGTGGACAGCCAATTGACGGAAATGGAAAGGGAGGACCAATTCTCGGTAAGACCAGAGATGTTCGTCGAGATTTTATAAACTGACAATATTAGGCGGCACAAACCACCAACTCGATCTGCAAAACCCAGATAATCTTGCAGCCCAAAGCACAGACAACGGACTTGTTGCGAACTTGAAATGGTCCTTCAGTGATTCAAAGTCTAAAATCTTCAATGGTGGATGGACCCGCGAGCAAGCTATCACGGATCTTCCTGCTAGCCATGATAGTAAATTGCCTCCTTAAACAGGTCGAAATGCAAGGCTAATTTTCTTACTTTCAGTCGCGGCTGCGCAGCAACATCTGAAAAAAGGCGCACTTCGTGAGCTCCATTGGCACAAAGTGGCAAGTAATAGTTTCTCAATCTCTCTACATCATACTTATGTTTCCGTAGGCCGAATGGGGTTATGTCTACAGTGGACAGGTTCTGCTCTCAGCAGTCGACGAGAATGGAGATTATCAAGTCGACACGCTCAACGTTGGTGACATTTGGTATTTTCCCAAGGGTTCCGCTCATACAATCCAAGGTAAGAAATAAAAAATAATTGTCAAATTCGTGTCAGAATTATCGCTGATTGTCCCCAAAGGTCTGGCAGATGAGAACGAGTACCTCTTGGTCTTTGATGATGGTAAGTATTTTTGAACAATGATAATATTATGACTTCTGCTGATATGAAAACGCAGGAGACTTTGATGCTACTGGGTACAACTTTCATGAATTATGCCGATAGCAATTTACTAACAACATCTTAGAACCACATTCATGGTGGATGATTGGGTAGCTCATACCCCCAAGTCTGTCCTGGCCAAGAACTTTGGAGTTAACGAGTCGGTCTTCACCAATGTACCTGCGACAGATCCATACATCATAAACGCAACAGTCAGCACCGCAGGCCCAACAGGGCCTTCGAGCGGGCTTACAGGAAACAGCTCATATGTGTTCCATAACTCTGGAACCGCCGCGAGTGTATCTGTTCCTGGAGGGGGAGGTAACCTGTCCATCATCGATTCGAGAAACTTCCCGATTGCGAAGACAATCGCAGCCACCGTCGTGAGTCTAGAGCCCGGCGCATTGAGAGAATTGCACTGGCATCCGAATGTAGGTTGTTTCCAATAGAAAAACATGAAAAGACCGAAAATTGATACAGGATTCAGGCTGAAGAATGGCTGTACTTCCATAGCGGCACTGGCCGCGCAACAGTCTTCATTGGTGGTGCGAACGCTCGCACATTCGACTTCAGTTCTGGCGATACCGCAGTCTTCCCTGACAACTCTGGTGAGTAAGGATATCTATCTGTGATGGCATGATTCTTACTTTTCAGGTCATTATATCGAGAATACTTCCAAGACCGAGAATCTTGTCTGGATTGAAATCTACAAATCCGATCGCGTCGTAGATATTTCCCTCACTCAATGGCTGGCTCTCACGCCGCCAGATATCGTGGCTAGCACGCTCAAGATCCCAATCTCGGTTGCGCAGAACTTGAAGAAGGAGAAGCAATTGTTGGTGAAGGGAAACTGATCCACTGCTGAAGCAGTAAAGAGACAACAAGGAGGAGAATGTGGACGGAGAAAGTATGAAGGGACTTCGGTTCGGGCAGTAATTGTAATCTATAATTCTGGTTCGTTGTATCATGGCGTAGTAATTGTATATGAGGATGAAACACTTTATAACATATAAAAGAAAGGGAAATTTGGAGATGAGGCATGTTTTCGAGACGTACTATAACTCTTAGCGTGTAAATTAGCGTGTAAATAGTGAGCTGTTAATGTCGTTCTGTCAGATCACGTGTCGCAGCCGCTGTCGCGTACCAACCTGGAAGTTACTACCTTTCTGTCTTCCTACTTTCCAGTCGATGCTTCGTTATATCCTCTCCGGTGCTTACCAATATCAAACTCCACCAGCATCGGTCGCATTCGTCAGTTCAAGTGCATTGGTAAGATTCTATAATAAGAAACGGGGGCAAGCCCCACGTGCATAAGCTTATCCGAATACAGAAGCAAGGACAAGGACAAGGACAAGGTTACCACGTTTTCTTGGCAAAGCAAGAGCCTTCTCCCGCCAGTTTCTCTCACCGATAGCTTCTTTCACCATGCAGCAGGTATTATCGCCATGCGGGACTAAAGAGCCTGAATCCTTCGAGCAGCCCTTCTACGAATAGCAGCTTGAGCATCTGACCAGCCTTACTACTCGAGTACAGTTGTCACACAACTTACGGAGTATACCAATGTACGTGCGTGGAGGGGCACCATCTTCACAACACCTCGCATATTGCAACCTCGATGAAGGGCCAATATCTGCAAACGTAAGCCACTTTAGCCATCATTACGAACACCACCCACCAACCGGATCCAAAGAAGCTCCCCTCCTACACCTACCAACTACCACACCTGCAGAGGAAGCTCGTTATGTGTAGTTTTCAATTGGCTGCAGTGACGGGCAGCACAGTATTTTGGCCCCCCTCCAATCGGCGGTACTTCTGCAGGGCGATGGGTCATGTTGAAAGCCCCCCAAACGGGCAACAATGGAGGCTGAGGTGGACCCAACCGTCACATCCTGGTGTAGATATGAGGTGAGCATAGCGGGGAGATCACAGATTTAGGTAGGTCGAGTGTCGATCTTTTGTTGGTTCTGTCTGTCGCAGCCTCTTTTCGCATCTTCTCTGTTGGCCATACTTTCACCTAATTTCAGTCCTCTTTGAATTCTATGCTTCCTACTGTCGTCTACTGCAATATTTCTCTATTCAAAAACACCTCACACTACAACACCGTTGCGCTATTATTCTCCAACCCCCGCGACTCGCCACGCTTATCTTCTGCGCCGCAGCTAGCTGTTGTCCAACTGTCAGACTGCCATCGCACCCGTCGTACCCGTCGTGAAAACCTAATGAAAGCCTTCTGGCTGCGTTTTTCCACGGTAAAAGTCTACGAATCTATGGAAAATTCACCTGGAATGCACGAAATCAAGTACAGGTAGTCCACGGGGTATTTCGTTGCGCTGCATAGCTCTTTACATTGCTAAGCTTGCGAACCGCCCGACTTTCGAAGCTTCACCAGCGACTCACGATGCGCGTAGGAGGATCAGGCTGGAGCTGCACGGCCGCAATGGTAGCCGGTTACATTGGAGTATCATGGGCAATAGCAACAGACGATCAATACACGCTGGGAACATCGCGGAATCCGAACTACATCCCTCAAGATCAGTGGCGGGAGTTCGACGGGCAGAAAACAGCTGTTGGAGTAATACCGGCTGAACTTGCTGCTATTGAACAAAAAACACCAGAACTAGAGGATACGACCGATGCGATGGTAGCAGGCGTACAACCACTTCTCGTGACGACAACTACGTACGAGGCTGCCGTGACAGTAACCTATCCGAAGATTACAGAAGGACCTTCTTTGTTGAAACGAAAGCTGGGCTCAAATCGCTGGGATTTAATACACGAGGGGATCCAAGGCCAGAAGCGCGATGCGACAGATTGTCCAGCAAACTACCAATTGTGCCCGAAATCTATGAATGGAGGCTGTTGTCCAAACGATCGCGTGTGTGGTACAAGTAGCTGTCTTCCCACAAGCGCTGGACCAAGTTCAGCATGTGGCAAAGTGGGATATACCGCATGCGGTATTGCGGATGGAGGTAAGAAGTTCCACTTCATATTTCTTCTAATAGTAGACTGACGAGAGAGTAGGTGGATGTTGCCCGGGTGGTTATGTATGCGGTCAAGCCGGCTGCAGTCCTTCTGCTGGAGTTTCCAATACCCAAACTTGTGGAATCAACTCGTACCTTTGCCCAGCATCTCTTGGCTATGGATGTTGTAAGAACGGATTAGGTTGTGCTGTCGAGGGTTGTTGGACTACTAGTGCTACTACATGGTCAACGACCGAAACCCTCACGACAACTGACGCTAGCTCGCATTTGGTGACAATTACTACAGCCATTGTGACAGCAGCCACGCCCTCGGCTCCAGCTGGTTCAGTAGTGGTCGAATCTAACCTGATTCCGAAAGTAACATCGACACCAACGGCAATTGCCAAGACAGATGCTACTGGGACCTCAAGCAGCAATGGACTTTCAAAGGCTGCGATTGGTGGAATAATTGGAGGTGCAGTGGCATTCTTGGTTATAATTTTAATCGTAGCCTTTTTTATACTTCGACGTCTAAACACAGCCATCAAAGCGGCCTCAGGCGGCTCCCGGACTCGCGCATCTTCTAGCGTCCCACGATCAGCTCTGTCGCGGCCGAGGAACCCCAGGGAAACCCCGGATATCGATGCAATGTCTGTCGACCCGTTGATGATGACCGGGTCAGAGGTCGGCAGCGTCCGCCATCCGTCCTATCAATCACAAAGCACAATTCATGAATTCGATGCTTCCCCGCCTGTATTTTCGAGTCCCTTTTCACCGAACCCACCTCCACATACCCACTATCCCCGCGGCTACCATGCAGTCGCTCCTTCTGAATCGGCCCACTCGAATGTGAGCTCTAATAATAAAAACCCTTCAGTGGAATCTACACCTCCAATGGTCCAGACCAACAGAGATTACTTCAGCGTGCCTTTGCGCTCCGAGCGCAACTCCCAAGGGTCACAAGGTAGACGACCGAGCACGCATGGCAGGAACTGGAGCAATGCAAGCGAGGGTAGCGAAGTAAGTGCCGTCTCAAGCGGAGCTATCGAGCTAGAGGGAGAGCAACCGTCCCGGAAATCCAGCATACATAGCGCGTGGCAGCGTTTCGGGATAGGGAGACTTGGGAGCAAGAGAAAAAGCACCACAAGCAATGCTCCTGTTCTCACAGGAGGCCCAACATCAAACAAGCAAAACTGGAACAGTCCCATGTCTCCGGGCCTAGGCCATATCCCAGAAGCTGGAGAAAGCCGCCACCAGGTTAACACGGGAGCGCTACGAGCAGGCATGGAGGGTTTGAGTGGGACTCAGCTCAGAGAAGCTGGGTTGAGTAATTCGCAGCTCAGGGAGATGACAATGTCTGAGCAGGGCCCCCATTTGAAGGAGACGAGTTAATGAAGTAATGTATCATGGTCGTGGCGTTTGGGTTGGGAGCATTTTGGGCGCGAGAGATAATACGAATCTCGGTTCTGGGAGTTCGTGGAGTACCGTACTACTCAGCTTATTATTAGTGTTTAAATGGATATTGAGCTTCATGGAAAAGAAAGACGAGACACATATTCTCAGCTCTGGATTTTGCCAATCAATGAAATTCATGCGTGGAACGTCCTACAAGTAAGAAGCTTGCTTTGAGAAAGTGCCGGGAGCAAGAAAACTAGATCCCACGTGACTAGCCTTGTCCCTTACCTATTATGACGTAGGTGGTACGGACGGTCGCATCGCAATTTCTAAAAGCACAAGCAAGCAAACCGGATCCAAGATGTTTCTAAGTCTGGAGAGGAAGGGACTCTCCTTCCCAAATCTTTGAAAGACAGATCGATCGTATTCTACAACCCATCAATTCGGTTCCTCAAGATTCAAGCATTCAAGCATTTAAGCATTCAAGCCCCTCCCGAGAATACTTCAATACAAACAAGGTTTACCCCTTCCCCTCCCGCGCTCCCCACCAATGTCGATCATCCGTACGGGGCTCTCCAAGCCTGTCCTTTTCGCAACAACAACCATCCTTCTCTGCGCATTATGGGAATGGCCTCGCCGCTGGTTTATGTCTGGAGCGCCCCTCCTCCAATACTTCTTTCTCGTCGGTGATGCGAATGGCTGCCGCGTCCTCCCAGCTTTCCAGCTCTGGCCGCTCTTATCGACGTTCAACCTCCTCTACTCCATCTCCTCAACATCATGGCTCCTCTACTGGGTCTTCACCTCCCTCTGCTACCCAGCCATCTTCCTGGTGTGTTTATTCCAGTTCAGCATCGTCAGTGATTTTGCACGTCGAAACTTGCGTGCCTTGTTGAAAGAACTGCATTTCCTCGACGACAAAATCGCCTTCTTCAACATCCCCGCCCTGGAGATCGACACAGAGGTTGACGGTCTCATGGTTCTCCGCGGCATCACATTTTCTCTCTCTACGCTAAGCTTCGTCGTTCACGGCGTAGAAGTGGGTATCAAGCTGAGCGATGACATGGAGCTGGCTATTCAGACCGAGGAAGTGGTTGTCAAGCTGTTTCGGGGCATTGAGATTGGCGATTGTTTTGCCAATTTGAAGGGTGGGGAGTTTGAGATGACTTTTGGCGCGCTGGAAGGCAAGAGTAAGGATGCGGAGGGTGAGGCGATGTTCATCGAGGAAACGGCGCTACTCAGGGCTGCGAGTATGGAGGCGGATAAGAGGAGGCTGGGAAGTATTGATTCCGAGGTTACGCTTGTGGATGGGAGTGGAAATGGCAGTCCTATAATGTCGAAAGCTGGATGTAAGGAAGGACATGCAGCGAAGATGACGGCTGAAATGACAGGTGGGCATAAGCCGAAGAATTCATCGATTTCAGGGAGCTTTGACTCTGTCGAAAAGCTATCTCCGGATGATGAGCAAGCCAGCGGGCGATACCAGGATATCATAGATTTCTTGCAACAGACAAGTGCCATTTCTGAGGCGAGGATACATGTCAGCGAGCGCAACAGAGAAGCATCTATTTCGGAGCATATGACTGGTTTCGATGAATCTGACGATAACAACGTCCGAGCAATGATCTGTTCACAAGTCCACCGAACCCCATCCGTACCGCACCCCCCAAAGAAATCCATCAAAGTTACGACGCTTCAAACTCTCGCTCCACCATATATCTCCCGATTCCTACATCGCCTTCCGATGCTATACCGTCTTCTACTCAACCCACTAAGCTACTTCCATCCAGTCCATATCTCATCAATCACAGCTACTGCTTCTGGCCGGTGGATCGAGTCTATGCTCGTCCTGAAGATATTTCAAGACTACGCCTCCCAAGATAACGAAATCAACAATCTAAAACAGCGCGTCTCCCACTGGCTCTCCGACGCAAACTTCGCCATTTCCCTCGCCGACATCACAGGCTTGGCGCAAGTCCCGGTCGATCCCTCCTACGACATCAATTGCCACCTCGCCATCCAAGATGTCATGGCGTACCGCGCGCTGCCTCATAGATGCACTTTGAAACAAGTTGTAAGATTAGGAGGAGCAGATGCGCGCTTCCAAGTCCCTTCCTTCCTATTACCTCACCACGATCACTTATTACCACCTGTACCAACAACAGAGAAGAAGCATGAGCTCGAAGAGAGCATTGACTCGGCAACGGGCAAGCCCCAAGAAATCCAAGCCGAGCAATCCCTCGAACAAGCCGAAAAAGACCAAACAAACGTCAAGATGTCAGTTCACGCTCGCCTTCCCGCCTGCTTCGACCAAGAACTCCTCGATTTCATCGCCGCACTCATCAAAGCTAGCAAAGTGGTCGAGGTCGAGAAGCAGGGGAGCGTGATGGATGAAGAGGTGCATGGCATCAAGGAGTTCAGCAAGGCGCTCAAAGGGGGCTTCAAGGAGGGGGTTAAGAAGGTGGTGGTTGATGGGGTTGTAAATGACAGGTGGATTGCGAAGGTTGTGGGGAAGGTTACGAGGAAGCTTGAGGTGGCGAGGGGAGAAGCGGGGTATTCTGGGGATATCCCGGTTCAGTTGGGTATTTATAGGACGGGGGAGGTAGAGAGGGATGGGGAGAAGATATTACCGTAGTCTTTGGGTGGGGATGATTTGCTGGATGTGGTAATTGGCATGGGCTTCAGCTTGCTTGGTGCGTATGTGAAGTCGGGCAGGGATTTCGAGGATAGAGGAAGATGAAGAGGGAGACGATTATGATATACCCCAGAGAGAGTTTATAGATTGTGCGTGTGCACAACATCCCTAATTAGCATACCCCCTTTCATAGAAAAGAGAATAAGATATTTGCATTGCATTCCACTATTATAAAAGCTACCGCGTCTAATTGCCATACTTCCATACCCCGTTTTCGCTAAAAAGAAAAGGAATTAACTACCATATAGTAAAATGGATAGCTGGTTAGCGGAAGTGTAAGTGCAAGTAGAAATGGCAATAGAAAAAAGGAATGGGACCGATGAAATTAGCATGTCAGTCTGGTGCTAGTGGTAGAGATTGTACGGGAAAGTGAAGAGAATATCTAGCTCGTAAGTGAGTTGTTTGGGAGCCTAGCTCTAGCTCGAGAGTCGAGTTTAGTTTGAATAAGGCTAGGCAAGACAAGGAAAGGCAGTGAGGTGAGAGATGTGTCGTAATGCGACGTACTTGGTACGGAGAGAGTATGTGAATTGATATGATGTAGGGGCTGCGAATGAAATTATAATTGGGATAATATTGCTTTTGGTTTTTGAGGGCGCGGGCTTGTAGATTAGTAGGATGTATATACATGGGAATAAAAGTCCGAGGTAGACTGAATTTAGAATCCACCTGGTTTGGAGGGGTGTTAGGGGAGGGGGGTTGTTTAAGGTAGTGTTTAGGCATTAACTAGTGATATAGTGATTCATAGGTGATAATACTTTTGGTTGATTGGTTGATTGATTAAAGGGCATTTTCGTTGTGTTGTGGTATAGTGGTGGGGGGGATTTCATGCCAAAGAAGAAGAAAAAAAATCCTGGGACTTTAAAGAGAAGATATTAATGAATGGAAAATGGTGCGGGAACGGATGGAACAGAGGGAGAAGGAATTATGTTAGAGGTAGAAACATGCTTGCTTACTTTCGGAGAAAAGTTACGGTTAGAGGTGGACTTTAGTAAAACATGGATGGATGGATGAATGAATGAATAATTATCTATACATACACTTACTTGATTTAGATTATCCCTTTTAGCAGCCTGTATAGACACCTAACACCTAATATATCCATAGTACCAATAAAATAAACCCCCCCCCCCAAAGAAAACTTTTTCCCGAGCACCCAAGAAAACCCTTTCATCACTAAGAAAAAGCTCCTCTACAATGCAGAATTTGCGCCCTTATTTCTATTGCTGATATCATTTCCATGCTTCTTAAAGCGCCCCATTCTAGTATTCTCTGAATGTGAGTCGAAACCGTATTCCTGATACATTGGACCCTACTACTAGAAAGGCTTTATACTTTTTGCAGGTAAGTTCCCGTGTCTAACTCTGGGGGACAGCTGTCTTAGGCCCATCGTGGTGCGTACCGTGGATAGCATTACACTAGCCACAAGACCGGATATAAGTTGGACTTTTTAGCACCCACCTCCTCCAGCACTTAGCATATCTCGATTACTATAAGAATGGAATATATTTCTTCTTTTCTTTCGTTCTTTTTTCCCTTCACTAAAGTCATCGCAAGTCCGCAACTTAAATCGAAGAAGAGTTTTATCTTATAATATAATTTTAAATCAACTTCGGAGCACAAGAGAACTACTTCTTGATATCACCGCAAGCATTCCAGCGCAAGAGAAGAATAAAAATACCGGTGTACAATCCAGACGAGTTTCCTTGGAACGGCTTTGAAACTGAAGAGAAAAGGTGAGTTGTACGATGTCTAACTTTTGAAATCTTTTTAACATATCGCCAGCTTGCGCATTATCTATCATCAATCTTTGAAACAAGGATTCAGAGTTTCTAAGGAGTAACTCTCCATCAAAGAGAGGCCTCACATCTTACTTTCCAGATCACTGATCCAATCCCACGCAATCCAATCCAATGAGCTCACCAACATATGGGTGGGACTTCCTCACCAGCAACTGGCAAATGTGCGAAGGCCAGGCAATCGCCAGTTATATCCGCAGAGAATGGCACTTCCCAAGCTATGATGATTACTGGCGGATGATATATAGCATGTGCAGCCACGTACGGAAGTTCTGCATCCACGCCGCGGACCGCGAGCTCATTCAGCCCGCACGCCTCCATTTATTCAGAGAATGTCTGAATATGCGGGGTTGGTGGATCATGGCTAATAGGGTCAAGGGCGTTATCGTGGAAGGCTGTAGGTTGCTGAGCACCGTGGAGACAGTCCTAATGTGGTCTCCCTCAACGCCGAAACCAAACGTGAAGACACCATCACCGATGTGTGCTGTGGTACAGAATGCCTTTAACACTGTAAGTGTTGACTTTGTTGGAAGGAATGATATGGGCACGGAGCAGAGAGAGAAGTCAAGGCGGCTTGACGACCCAAACGTCCTTGTCGGCAGGATCGGGTGGGATATAGTGTTTGACAGAGACGAGGATTTAATTGAGGCGCTTATTGCGAAGCAGACACTGGTTCGCAAACGGGAAGCTCGAATGAAGGATCTTGAGAGCCATGCAGAGGCTGAGCGCATCAATTTCATGACCCTGTGGTTAGAAGAGGATGACGAAAGAATTGCACGGGAAGAAGCGCAAGAAAAGATGAAGCTTGCACAAGGAGTAGCACAAGAACAAAATGAGGGGCGAACCTATGACTGGGATACCTGCAAAGCGGGCTCTGGAACAGACTCAAGCGAAGAGTGGTGAATTGGGGGGAGGGGGATCGAATATGGAGTGAGACGGATACATCTGAAATCCTGCAGTCTCAGTGAGAGGATACTGAGAGTATGTATTTTGGGACATCAAAAGCTTGTATAATAAAGTACAAAACCTCACTAGAGGCAAGTTGACAGACTTGGGATCTAAGAGAATTGATTAGATTAAAGGTCATCACCAAGTTCGAAGTCAAAGTCGTTCCTATAGTAAGTTATCATTATCTATCAAACCAGCCACGGAAGTGAAAACCCTCGTCCGACTTTTGGCTCCAATGGGGTTTCCTCCTGCCGGCGAAGAACCATTATTTTTACAAGAGGATAGGAAGAAATCGGCCGGTCTTGCATGGATCCGCGGCTTCTTTTGGGAGACTCCTTTACAATATTGCCGGCTTGATGTAGTGGTCGATGTCGTCCACCCTGCAATACCATGTCCATCCACCAGAAATTTGTGGGCCTCCGGTTTGATATGAGTTTCAAGGTTTCGAGGTCGTTCAAGTGCCATTATACTTCTCGTTCATCTTCGAAAGACATCCTTGACAGGATAAGAATGCGCAGTGAGGGCATTTGTACCCAGTCGGACCACGCTTCTGTCCACAAGCAGCGCATTTGAACTTCTTCTTCTGCTGCTCCTTGGGCCAAAACTTGGAGTGGAGACAACTCGACTGTTTCTCTGCTGGAGTCGTAGCGTTCAGACTCGTCCATGTCTTCTCCTGCAACACCCTCTCTGTCTTTTCCCTCTGCTCCTGGGACATGTGCTTCTTTTCCTCCTCTGCCTTCTTAGCCTGAGCTTTGGCCTCAGTTTTTGCCCTGGCTGCTTCAACCCGGTCCATGTATTCTTGCATGCGGAATTTTCTGTCTTCAGAATGCCTTGCCTCCGTCCACCTCCTTTCTTCTTTCATTTCTTCTTTCAATATCTGGTATTCCTCCTCGCTCATACCGTCTAGTCCTTCGTATCCTGGGGGAGGACCGTAGGAACCAAATCCATGAAATTCAGGCCTAGAGCAAGAAAAGCGTGTTCTCAAAAACTCCTCCATCAACTCGTCGATAACGTCCTCCTCGTCATAGCCATAGCCTTTATCATCGTCCGAATCGTAGGGAGAGGGGTATGAAGAGTAAGGATTACCTTGGGGACGTCGTGAAGGGTTATCATGACTGGATCGTTTTGCCGGATTTGACAGAGTCTCGTAAGCCTCTTGAATCTAAAAACACATAGCTCAAGTCAGTTCAATCCAGGCCGTATACTCCTTAGCAGAGCATGCCCTACCTGCTGGAACTTTGCTGTCGCATGCGGATTCTCGCGGTCCTTGTCTGGATGGTGAACTCGTGCAAGACGTCTGTAGGATGCTGTTATGGCCTCAGTATCGGCATCTTTCTCGACCTCAAGGGCCTGGTAGTAGTCGAAAGCTGCGGCTGGAGGCATGTTGCTGAGGGTAGGTTTTCCAGACTCGCTACACGCGTACGTTCGCCTCGAGCAAAGTCGAGGGGGCTAGGTGAGGCTCCAGTGACAGAATAAAAGAGGTGAATTGGGTGTCGCAAGGAAACTAAATCGTTGGGTCAGGTTGGAGAGGGATGGCTATTGAGTCCAAGGAACAAATTAATCTTGGGTAGCCGCGTTTGTCGCGAATTGCGCGAGGTCTGTGAGCGCGAGAGCACGTGCCTAGGTACCGTAAGTCAAAAGGACATGGAAAGGATCTGGACAAAGGCTGCGGGTTTGTAAATGTGATTCGAGCTTCACGGCGAGAGTCGCATTGAGCGTGAATCTTTTAGTGGCTGAAGTTATGAGAATATGGTTTTTGAATATATTGGGGTTGCATGAGCTTACAGTAGGTAGGTCCCAGTCCACTTCACCTAGCTCGGCCAGGCACATGAGGAAAGAGCAACCATACGCATCTTTCAATATGGCTCTATCAAGACTTGCTCTATGAGAACAGTGGTTTGCTGTGACGATGATTAAATCCGCTTGCAAATGCAGGCTTCTGCCTTATTCTTGTGAATTGCAAAAGAAGGACGAGTAGCATATACCGCAAGAGCCGGCTTTGATTATGTACAGAGTCCAGATATGCCAATGACTCGCAACTACTTAAGCAGCGACAAGAGCAAGTCTAAATTATAGAACGTCCAGGAAAATGAAGTTCTCAAGGAAAGTTTATCCCCTTCCTCCCCTGTCGTACCATACTCTAAGCGAGCGATCTCAAGGGGCTCGCTAACCCTGAATTCGGTGCAAGGCAAGGTAACGTAAAACTGCCTCTGGAGAGACACAAACTATTCCGGATCTTCAGATTGCTATCTTCAAACATACGACTTGATCTTACTAAACTGTATATGCTTGATGAGTACTATTTTGGTTTATCTCAGTCTTCTTTCAAACCGTGTCAGGCCGTATATCAGAAATTGCGATGACTATATTCTATATACTGTGAGATAATTTGCATATTCATCTTAAGAGGTCCTGCCGTACTACACAATGGCTTCCTCCCATAATCTGATTTTTTACTATGCTGCCCGGTTTGTATCGTTACTTTGACTTAGCTTAACCTCCTAAATTGCCGCTCCATCTCTCGATCGCTTTTGTCTTTTTGCTTTCGGTTCCTCATCCTCTTCTTCACTCTCTTTGTTGGTCTCTTCAAGTTTTTCAGAATCCTCTGTTGTATGCTCTTCATCATTTTCTTTATCATCCTCCTGTTGCTCGTTCTCAACAAACACTAAAGCTGCCATCTCCCTCTGCACCCTCTCTATCCCCTTCTTCCTTTGCTCAGCACTCAAAGTCCTCGCATACTCAATCCCACTCTCAATTGTAGTACCAAAGGGCCCCAATAGAGGCTGTCCAGTATTCCTATCAACACGCGTCGGCGCAATACGGCTTTTGCCTTTGTTCCCACCTCCACGCGCAACCCCAGGGGTAGCCGCGAGATTGACAGCAGCAGCGGGATTGACAGCAGCAGCGGGATTGACAGCAGCAGCGGGATTGACAGCAGCAGCGGGATTGACAGCAGCAGTACCCTTTTCAATAATGACAGTAACAGAAAACCCACCAGCATTTTTCAGCGACCCCCCAGTATAATTTGCTGGCGCCATGTCAGGTATTTTGGGTGCTTCCTTCTCATTCGCTTCAATCTGCGCAAGTGCATTCTCAAGATCTACCTTCTCATCAGCCTTTCAAAGCTCCGTAGTTTTACTTAGACGGATCTTTTACATACCATCTCTAAGCGAACACCTACTCCCCGAACCCCCATAATGGCAATTCGGACAACTCCCCTTCAAATGGCTCTCCAAGATCATACACGTATCGAACGGTCCCGACGGATTCTTCATGCGGCAGTGATTACACGCACATGGTGCAGCTTCCCCACGCTCTTGCGCTAACCATGCTTCTTCGTTATTCGCGTTATTTTCACCGCCTCGAAACGTGCGGTTTGGTCGCATGGTGACGGCATTGAGAATTGGGAGAGGGACAAGTGCCCGGATTGTGCGCGTTCTTTTGAATACAGGCTTGCCATTCACGAGCATAGTTGTGGTGTCGATTGTCGGAGCGGCTTTGGGACCCATTTTAATAGGTCGGTTGCAACGGGGTTTGTGGTGCAGGTTGCGATTGCTATTGCGAATATGAAGCAGGAATAAAGTCTTAAGTTTGCTGTTATGAATTATTATTTGTTCATCATCGGTCGGCCGGTGGAAGCTTCTTGCTTTCTTCTCCCTTTGTTGACAGTCATATCTGTCAAAGGGTGAATAGGGGATCTTAAACCTTCGCAAAGAGAATGACTTGAGGCTCTTTGTTCAGCTGGTTCTCAATTGACCGGATATGGCAACTCGCTTACTACTTTCTCAAAATCGTAGTAGAGTAACAAAGGATGGTCTTCCATTTTCCTGTCCAAGGCAATCAATTGCGGATATTTGAGGGTAGTCTATCAAATTGTTGCGAGCTTAGATCGAGAACGTTTAAGAGCAGACCCTTAGGCGCTAGCTACGGCGCTAGTAATCTACCACGTGAAGCAGCGGTGCATGTTTACCAAGACTACAGTTCGCAGGTTTCCTTATGTTCTACAATTCGTCTCCAAATCTGTCGATTTGCTTGTGCTTCCCAATCGGGGCTGCATCACTTCAAAACCTACAGCACCTTCATAGTTAGTAAGAAAAGGAAAAAATAAGAAAACAGCCCAAATGTCAACATCTGAATGTATTGCATTGGCTGCCGATGAAAGTGGCCAGGGTGGTGGTCAAGTAAATATTTTGAAGTGCTTTAGCTTTGACTATTGCTCAATCGATCCTCGACTCAGCAATAATCTTAGCTTTTAGACGTCGTATATTGGATGACAGCAACGGTCAACTGGACAGCAAATTTAGCAGTGAATGGGTTAACTTTAGAGTTTCAGGGAGGCAGGACATGAAGAAGTCATTCCAAGAGGATTTTGCATTCCTAAAATGGCCGACCCCCGGGACCCCATGTCCGGCTTCTCGAACCTCAAAGAGATGCAAAACACCCGCCAATGTGGGCTACAGCGGCAGCTACTCTGTCCCGGCTCTCTGGGAACGGAAGAAGAAGACGATAGTCAGTAACGACAGTGTGGGCATTATGCGCAGTCTATCTACGTCCTTCGACGAGTTCTTGGAACCGCGACTAAGGAAGGTTAATAATCCGGTTCAGCGGACTGCGGCCGCAGGGGCTGGCGAGGGAGATTGATCAGCTGAGGGCTAGAATTGAAGGGTACATTAACTGGGGGACTTATAAATGCGGTATGGCGGCATCGCAGGCGGATTACGACGAGTGCATGAAGCGGTTATTTGGGATAATGGGAGAGCTAGAGGAGAGGTTGGGTGGTAGCAAGTCCTTATTTGGAGATCATATTACCGAAACTGATATCAGGTAGGATTAATCGATTAAGCTTCCTTTATGTAATTCCATGAACAGATTGCTGATAGTTTATTACGGACTCTTCACAACCGCCGTCCGTTTCAACATGGCGTACTACACCATCTTTATGTGTAACTGGAAGATGATCCGCTCCGGTTATCCAGATCTGCACCGCTGGTTAAGAGCGCTGTACTACGAAGTCGACGACGAAGCCAAGGGGGCTTTCAAGAGCACGACTCACTTTGAAATCGTAAGTTATACCTGTCTGGATGGATTATTGTGATTTTAGAGCTGCCTTGGGTAACCTTTCATAGTTCATGGAGGGGTATGCTCTCGGCGATGAGGATGACGCTTATTCCTTGGGGCTGCTGTGCCAATTATGCCACTGGACGCATAAAAGGAAGGGTAAAGTAAACAAAACATACAGAACGGACTAGTGCACATAATAGAAATATGGCATTGGCGTTACACCTTTTTCGGTTTATTCATGAATCTAACCAGTTTAGTTATGACTATAGTAGTTCCTTCACTTGTTCTAATATCGTCAGGAGAATTCAACCGTCCAAAAAGTATTACCAAAAGATCTCTTAGCTCCCTCTTCCCCCTTTTCTACCAACGTACAATGTCCCCGAGTATATAGTATTCCTTGCCGCCAAGCACTTCTTCACCTTCTAACACCCAACACTCCTCAATTCGCATTCCAAAGCGGGGTGACCGAGAACCCATAAACATTCCTCTCAAACTCAACACACGTGTCTAAATCACTATTTGTAAGCTTCACCACCGCATCACCCGTACAATTCTCATTATCAAACCCCACAACCTCCCACCCCTGATTGGCGCTCTGTTTCGCAGAACCCCAATAAGACGGAGCCCCCTGATTCACATAAAAACACTCGGTTGGAGCGACCCACGAGATAGAGCTAGTGGAGCTACATGTCGAGTTGAGGCCGGCGAGATGCGCAGTAACGATGAAATCGGAGGGGACGGCGTATGAGGAGTTGGTGGGGATGGAGGTTATGGCCCCGGTGAGGTTGGAGAGAAGGTGGCCGTCGTAGTTAGCTATGTGTTGCTCTATATATGATCAATAGAGAGTTAGATTGTTTCCGGATCCGCGGAGATGGCATGGATGGCTGGGTTCTGGGATTGGTAGGTAGGTAGGTACTTACCGAGGTTTAGGGTTGAGACTGTAGTTCGTCCTGAGTATGCGCCTGTGCAGGAGCATTGCAGAGTAGAGCCCCCGCTGGTTAAGCTACAGTCGACGCAGCTTTGTGTGTATTCTCCCCTAAAACAATGCGTTAGTATATATATAGTTCTATAGATTCAAAAACGTCGATCCTTACTTGTCTGCCCACTGCAATTAAAGTTCCGTTAGTACTGTTTGTGTATAATAAAAGATACGGTGGTAAATATACATACTGTAAGGTTACCATTGTCGTTCTTAAGTTTGCTTGCTAGACTAACACTGCTGGTAATCTCTCCGGTAGAATCGCTTGTTGGACAGGTTCCAATTAGCCAGCCTTCGGTGTTGTAAGATATGCCAGTGCATGCAGCAGAATATCCTTGTGAGTAGGCATTGGATATACCATGTGCTGCAATCAGAAGCGCGACTTTGGTGAAGGTGGAATACTGCATCATGGCTTGGAAGTCGTGGATATAGAAGAGAAGCGGATGCGACAAGAATATTTCTAGAAACGAATCGATGCAGGGCTAGATATAGTTTTCTTATTAATTGCTACATAATTATAGTATTTGTCTCCACTTCTGCTCTGTTACGTTACTAGAGGTTTCAATGGCAAATAGAAGGAAAAGGAAGTTGGGAAATATGATATAACTAGAATTGCCGGCTAAATCTCGAAAGCAAGACCCTTTTTGAGATATTTAATAAAAACTGGGTTTCAATCTTCTATCCCGAGGTCCTTTTCAGTATAGAGCACTTACTTATAATAGAAAATAAAAGCATTTCGACCTATCATAGGACATCTATGATAGAATTCCCGAGATTACAAGTTGCAAATCGTACAATGCGACTCGAATAGGTAAAGCCGGTGGACATATAGGAGCGAGCCCCTAGAAGTGTAAAAGTGGACCTTTATAGATTTAGCGTTCACAAGAGGTTCGTTCTACTATATCCACTATTCCCCCTTGCATATCTGCGACATTGAAATCCTTACTATCTATAAATGATACATACACATTAGTTATTACCTGCTTTTTGATCCTTCGTTCCTTTTGCGATCCAAGCTAAATAATTATAACTCTTATACTCGTATATTAGTTGAGCGGAATAAATTCAAGCTATCTCGCTTAATTACTATACTTCCAAGTTCTAGCAATGCTTTAAGCTACAATCTATCGGGTCTTGGATCTAACCCACTCCTACTATTTAGGTAAAAAGCCTCCTACGTTCAAGAAATCGCGCCAAATGTAGGGAGGGTTTTCTTTAACAAGGTTTCACTCAAAAATCCTATTATAAGTCAAAACCGTCTAAAGCAGATTCTGTTGGCTTACACATAGTGCACTGGTCTGGCCTAGTAATCTGTGGCTCTGTGGTAGGTTCTAGCTATGGTCACGTGATATATCCCAACAGCTTTTATCCTGTATCAGCTTATAGACGTATATACATTATTTATACGTACGTGTCTATAAGAAACATTTTCACGTTAACATCCCGTATATATGACATACAGTAAGTGGTGTTTAGCTTGAATTTAGTGTCCCTCCCCTTCTACACTCTGCCCCTCCCCCCCAAATTCCCAAGTCGCAGAAATCAAATCTCGGGAGCAAGGAAGCACAGGCACAAGCATGGCAGAGAGGAATGAATGGATGGATGAAAGGGTCTTTACATATATGTACTACGTCGCACACGGCACAAAAAATACAACACAACATGACCGCCATGCATGCATACAGTCGGAGGAAAAAGCACGTTTGGAGTTGTACGGATAGCTGGGAGTTGTGTTGTACATGTACAAGCAGGACGGACGGAGTTGAACGGACTGTATATTTTCCGGGCGCTAAGCGGAAGATTGACGACGATTGAGAGAGGGAAGGAAGGTGTTGGAGATTAGGATTCTAATCTCGATAGGTTTTGAGAAGCAGGAGTAGGAATTGGAGGTCCAGGATTGAACAGTTGGCTAAGCAAGGCACGAGGGGATGTAGTGTAATTGTGATTTTTACGGCATTTGCATTACTAAATATAGAGTACGGTAGCACTATCAAGTGCATCATTACTTACACCCACCAAAGTGTCCGTATCCAAATCATACCTGCAGTGAGACTGCCTTCCTGATAAACCACAGCCATCTACTCGTCGTCCTGCACATCGATCTCGGTCTTCTTCCACTGGCGAGCCGGTATCTTGCGATTGAACATGATGTCGATCTCGCGGTAGGAGCGGCCCTTCATCTCAGGCAGCCAGAAGTATGCGCAGATCAGGCAGAACAGACCAGTGCCACCCCAGACGTAACCGCACTTGCCGCCGAGGTTTCCGCCCTGTGGTATGTTAGTAATTGTCAGCGCAGAACGAGAGAAAGGCTTACCGTTGGGTTGAGCATGTAACTTCCGAGGAAGATGCAGGGGATTTCAATGATGTAGTAGGTAGCGCGTCCCATTCCAGTGGTTAGAGGCCGGAGGCGGATGGCGGATGTTTCTCCAATAATGACCCACGATGCGGGCGCGGGTCCCAAGGTGAACAGGACGGAGATGATCAGGCCCAAGGAGGCTTGCGCTAGAGAGGCTGCGTTGGACTTGCCAACAGAGGCTGCAACACCGAGGGCGATGAGGAGGACGACGTTGAAGCCCGAACCCCAGAGGTAGATGGTACGTCTGCCAAAGTACGTGGTGAGGATCCAAGAAAGCATGACGAAGATCATTTGTAGAGCCGAGGTGATAAGACCTAGAGCGAAGGCAGTATTCGTCGACACACCAGCCTCTGCGGTTCGATCAGCATATACATCACTTGAAACAGGTATGATAAAAACTCACGCTCAAAGAAGTAGACGGCCTGATTAGCGATAAGGTTACCCGTGAGATTCTGTGCCAAGTACACACTGCACACAATAACGGTGCGGTAGAGGTCAGTGCCCTTGAACAGTTCCAAGTGGTTGGGTTCCTTGGTGGTCTTCTCGAGCTCAACGACACGACGCATCATGGCAACAGTCTCACTAGTATTCAGCCTCGATCTGCGTCCAAGGCGACCAACCGCATGAGCTGCTTCTTCGAGACGTCCCTTGCGAACCAGCCACCAAGGTGACTCGGGTGCACAAAAGATCAGGATAGCAAGCGGGGTGGGGAACATCCATTGAAGCGCAATGGGAATCCTATTTTTCGTTTCGTCAGCAAAGGGCCTTCTTGTAATGCAATGCGGATGAGCACGTACTTGTAGGCAGATTCATCAAGCCTAGTGTTGTAACGGTAGGTGACGGCACCAACGATGATACTACCAATAGCCCAGAACATCTGCAGCATCTGCGTCGCCGGGGCTCGCAGCTTGATCGGTACAATCTCGCTGCAGTATGCCGGCGCGTTGGCAATGAAGATACCCCACGGCAAGCCCTCGAGAAGCTGGGCTACGAAGATAACCGGAAGCGAGTGGGCAAAGTAAAAGGAGAAGATGAAGACGTTCAAGAGCATGAGGCCAGTCAAGGTCGCATAACGGTATCCAATACGGCTAGTAAGGGGGCCAGCGATGAAGACACCGATCAGTGCACCGAGTTGCCCAGATACTTGAAGCGCAGACTGCCACTTGGTTGCGATGACATATTTGTCGCTTGCGGCGTCGTAGATGCCGTATTTGTTCGCGAACGCAGGAAGGGCGACGAAATTACCCATGAGGAAGACATCGTAGGACTCCATAATCTGAAAACAGATGGTGAGCTGGGATTTCTCGCCGGAGGAAACGTCAAGCGAAAGGGGGGAAGGCAGCTTACAATGGTCATTGACATGATAAAAGCCCAAAAGGAAGCCATAGGGTATGCTCGAACGGCATCCAGCACTCCCATGTTATGCTCGGCGGTCTCTGCCTCGATCGCGTCGGCCTTGTAATCGGCGACATGCGCCTTTTCATCAAGGTTGTAGACATGTTCTACTTGAGAGAGGGCCTTTTCAGTCTCGACATGAACCTCTGGGGCGCCGGCATCTGATTTAGAATCGAGAGTCATATTGGCTGGTGTTTGCCTAGATGGATAACGTGTGTACTACCAGGTAGCAAAAGAGAAGAGGACAAGGAAGGAAAAGCAGCAAACGATAGCGGCGGGGAAAGCTGCACCTTATATGGTGTTCCTAGTACCTACCGTGTCGTGTATGTGCCCAATTCACCATTTCCATTCTGCATTTTGCCTGCCATTCACCCCAGGTCAGGTCATGCGTAGGCACGGGATATGGGTATGGTGTGGGTATGGTATGGGTATGGTATGGTATGGGGTACCAAACAAGCATGCGGGGTAGAACAGGCCGATCGTACACGCAGCGGGTTAGAAGACACCGAGCCGCCTTTACAGAGTACAGTAGTAACAGTACGTGCGGACTAAATTTGCATCACCAAACGTTAACTTGGGGAAACACATGGATGACCGGTTGACCTGGGGGTAGATGGCATGGGGTCGAGGGGAAACTGGTCCAAGCGCCCTCGACCCCCGGACTTGGCTTGAAGACTTTCCTGATTAGTATTAGCCCCATGTTATGGTCTCTGGTCTACTCCGTAAAAGTGAAATCGAGTCCGGCCCGTCTTCCCAACCATTGGTGCCACTACCCTTTGGCCTCAGGCCAACAGGTACTCTAGTAAAGGTCAATCCATATAGAGGCTCCACAGAATATATGTATGTACCTTAGGTACTTGGAAGTATAATTGAATGGCTAGCCGCACCTACAACACATTGGCAATTTGGCAGCTACCCAGCCATCTATGTGACTACTGTATGTCGCATTCCAGACAGTTGGGAAAAGCCCAGACGTGTTTCGGGATAGTGCAGGCGGCTGGATGCTAATTGGCTGCGGTGCATCCATGTGATCAAGAATTGTACAGTTGCTATTCATGAGTTTCGAGATCATTAGCAGTGGCATTGGCACTTACTGTACGCCAGTCTCCTTCTGGAGTGTTGATACGATATCGTACGTGACTCGTGACTCGTGAACGTGTCTAGTGGGGAGCTCTGGGAGAGGGCTTGTTGACATGCATACTAGATTGAAACAAGACCGACCTCCTTCTCAAGTCCTTCCAGCCTCCTCTCAGACTCCCACTATTCCCTCTCGATACTCCGTACAGCCCAGACTCCCATAAACCGAACAGAAACACCTCCCGACCCTCCGTACAGTACAGTAGCTCAGGAAGGCGACCATGGAATGTGGAGTGCCGCTTTCCAATCATGTGACTGATCCGCTTAGTCATCCAAACTCCCGAGTCAAGCTTTCCCCATGCTGACGGTGAGATTTTGGTTAATTCCCCATAATACGGCCGCGCCGCGCTCCACTTCTCCGCATTATCTTGCACCACAAAACAGATATACGAAGTATCATCTATGAGCTCCTTATGCACTGTTCTCCCCAATCCAAACAATTCTTCATCACCTCATTTCATATCATAGTCTTTTATATGTATGAATACTAAACTGAAAAGACGACTTTTTGCTTTCCCCGGGGTTTGGGTCTTGATGTCATGTAATTTACTACTATGTAATCTTACGGAGTATCTACCTATCTATACGCTACTGGGGTGCGGTACACCGGTACCTAGCTAAGAAAAGCCACACTCACTCGCTCCCCGCACGCACCAGCTCTTTCCATGTGCTGGAACTGGTGCGCTTATACTGCATTTTAACCCTGGTACGGACTCGTTTCTAGCTCGTCTCGTCTCGTAGATTTCAAAAGGCCGTGGCGTGCGCCCAGGGCATGCAAGCGCGCGCGCGTGATACGTGGGTTAATTACGGAGGGTAGGTCGATTTGAAGATGGGAAAAGTGGAGAGATTATCTGTGCTGCATAGGTACCTTAACCTAGAATGGTTCGTTCGAAGTTTAGTGAGGGGAGGAGCCAAAGAGGCTAGAAGCTATGGAGTATGCATCGAAGCTGGGGAATGCTATGCTATGGTGCTATCGGGTATGAGTATATCATTCGCGCATCCCGTCCAATCCCATCCCTAGCTGTAGGAGTAGGTCGAGATGCATTGGTGTTGTGCTTTTCGAAGGGAGAGTGGGGCGGGTGTGGGCTGATTCAGCATTTGAGGGGAAGGGAACGTGAGGTGGGAAGGAATTAATGGTCGGTCATCCTTCTTCGCTGCTTCGGAGATATCGTAAGGAGGAGAAGGAGAAGGGGAAGGAGTGGGGTGTGAAGGTGGAAGAGCTGGATTGAAGACAGGATCGAGAGAGCTTGTTGAAATCGCGAATTATTTGGCGGCGTGGGATTCAGGAGCTTCGGGTTGAGGTCTTGTGGACGTTCGATCTCGACCTCTCGCTTGGGCGCGGAGCACATGATGTTTATGGGAAATGGTAATGCTGTATTCCCAGAGGGCATGCATAGTGGTCACGACATCTACAGGATGCGTGCGAATCGTTGTTATTAATTAAGAAGATGCTAAGTGTCTGGAATTCCAGAAACCCCTCCCCTTATTGTTTTAATACAGGTCTCTCATACATCTGACATGATCCCCGGCGCAATATTTTCCAACTTCCCCATCAGCTCATTGAAGAAGCTCTTTTGTATTCGTTTGCCCTTGGTGTTGGTTACTGAAGATGCTGGCCTGGTCGGGGTAGTCATTAGCAAAGATTTACTAACAAGAATTTCAGTAGAGAGAACTCACGTGTGAACATGGCAATTTGACAAGTACTGTCCATTACTTTCCACACCTGATAATACTCCATGAACCAGCGCACGACTGCCCATCTCCGTGCTTCGAGGAAGCATCCTCTCCATCATTCTCTCTGAAAACCCCATATCCACATCACGCACAAGCCCAGACTTGCAGTAACTAGGATTGGGGGTATTGATGACAACCAGAGGCTTTTGCGAAGACTTGGTCCGGTCTGCTAGTTCACGGACGGCGTAGAGAACGAGTAACTTTGACAGTGGATAGCGGCCCGCCATGTCGGCTGTCTTGGGATCATTCAGCGTCTTGAATATCTCCCCCTCCTTCACGTCTAGTTCTTTCACGGGCGCCATGTAGTGCAATGCTGAATTTGGAATCACGAGTCTTGGCACAACACTGAACTGTTCTGCAGACTGACGAAGTTTCGGAAGAATAAGCAGACACAGCAAAAAAGTGCTGACCACATTTGTCGCTATCGTCCTTTCGTTATCTGCGACAATGCTGAAGGTTGGCGTGAGGATACCTGCATTGGCCAGCACGGCATCTAGACGAGGTAGAGTTGCAGCGCGAGATGCAAACGCCTTGACAGAGTCATAGCTGTCCATGTCCAACGGCCATACTTCGATGCAAGATTCTTTTCTCTTGGTCGAGGCCAAGATGTCTCGCTTTGCGTCTTCGCCTTTCTGCAGATTTCGTACGCCCATGATCAGTTTGTCTACCCCGAGGCGCACCAAGTGTCGGCTGGCTTCGAGGCCAAGACCCGTGTTTGCTCCTGTCACAATAATGGTCTGTTGTTTGATGCTGGCATCGGCTGTGGGATATGGTAGGCTGATGAAAGATGATACAATGACGTCGAAAGTACCGTATATAGCTGAGAATAATGACATTATACTGGTTGCAATTCGTGTGACTTGACGGAAAGAATAACATTCTGGAATGCGGGAACTCACATACATATATAGCCTCATGAAGACCGCAAATTATGAATGCGTAGTTGACGCGGAACGGGTTTAACTTCTGGACAGCTACATCTTAAGGGACTTTGAAAGATGATCGGGGTTAAAGCAACCTACAGTAATGTTTTCATAGCGGTTAAGGAGCCAGCCGTCTTTACTCGGAACAAGCAGATCGCGGGGATATTAAATCCGCTCCGTGGGCTAGCATACAATTGGCTACCTTTGATTACGAGTATCCACTATCCAAACCGCAACATTTCACAAAAACAGACTGCGCCTGGTTGAGGTAATGGAGCGGTGCGCAGAAAAATCGAATATGTAGCAAGAAATGCATCAAAGAATGCATAACACCAATATGGACATTAGGCGAACGGTCAACAGAGAACCCAATAATGGAAAAGTAGGAAAACGGAACAGGCCACCAATCTCCTGTGAGCCGTGTCGTATACGAAAGTATGCTACGTGCTCTACACAAGCAATATGATACTCACATGGAAAATAGATTGAAGTGCAATCGTGGCTCGCCTTGTGAGACGTAAGTGATTTCTGGGCTGTATTTCCTACTTCGGACACTCGGGAATGCGAGACTTTGCATATGTTTTAAGAGCTAAGTTGCTCTCTAAATATCGTCTCAACCGCCATGGAAGATTATTCCAACCTCTGAAACTTGCTATGTTGTGCAATACTGACGCTAAGATGTTCACTGTAGGTGCGTCAAGCGGAACAAGCAATCATCATGCGAATATGCGGACAATGCCAATCGAAATAAGCCGAAACATAACAATACCGGAGATCGTCTGCAGAACTTGGAGAATATCGTCCTTCAGTTTGTGCAGAACGGCGTGACAGGAAAGACCAAGGAGCAGGAAGCAGGTACCTCTGGTGAGAGTACAGATCATACCAAAGGTTCGACGGTTATCACCACGCCGACAGGCGAACGTGGAACACTACATGTTCAGGGCGGGCAGACGAATTATGTCGATTCCAGTCACTGGTTATCAATTCTGCATGATATCAAAGAAGTTCGTGAACAGTTGGCTTTGTCAAGTACTCAAGAACAAGAGGACGACTCATTTGACAGAATTGGCCCACAGCCAGAAGCGGATTTGGTGTTTGGTCTACAGCAACCTCTCAATATCATTGAAATTATCCGGTCTCTGCCATCGAGGCCAGTCTGCGATAGTCTGCTCTCCCAATATTTTAACTCGCAGTATATGATTATCCGTAAGATCCCTTCTTCTTTTGGGAAGTGTTATGCTTACTACTGTAGCCATTGTACATCCACTCAAATTTCAGAAAGAATATGAACAATTCTGGCAGGATTCGTCCAAATCTCCCACCCTCTGGATTGGTCTCCTATTCGCTATCCTCGGCCTTGCCACTACCCTCCGGCAGACTACAGATTCAAGCATGCCTATTGAGTCAGGGGCAAACTTCATTTCCTCAAAAGAGTTCCGACTTAGAACCACGCAATGCCTCGTTCTAGGGCATTACTCTACCGCTAAGGCTTATGGGCTGGAGACACTGGTACTATATCTCCAGAGCAACTTGATCGGGCTCGTAGACTCACAAATCAATCTCTGGTTTCTCATGGGCATCATTATTCGTCTAGCAATGCGCATGGGGTACCACCGGGACTCGAGAAACCACGATAATATCTCGCCCTTTGAAGGCGAAATGCGACGGCGGGTATGGGTCAACATCTACCAGCTAGATGTATTGATGTCTTTTCAACTAGGTCTCCCCAGCATGATTCCGACAGACTATTGCGATACCGAAGCACCGCGAAACCTCAATTTCACGGACTTCTTCCCAGACACTGCCGTCTTACCACCATCGCGGCCATTGTCAGATCACACCTCAGTCCTGTACACCATAGTCAAAGGGAAAGTAATGGGGGTATTTAAAAAGATTGTAGCCCACTCGCAGTCCCTGTCTCCACCTCCTTTGGAGACAACCATTATGCTAGACATAGAAATGCGCGAAACTTACAACGACATACCATCAAATTACAAAATGATGAACGTCAGCCGCTCCTTTATGGACACACCTAGCACTATCATGAAGCGATGCAGCATCGAGCTCCTCTATCTCAAAAGCATCGTCGTACTCCATCGGCGCTTTCTCAATCGAGAGACATCAGATATAAAATACGCGAAATTCCGACGCAGTTGTCTCGATGCAGCGATGGACATCTTGGCAAGACAAGCGGACTTGCATCAAGCATCCCAGCCGGGAGGCCAGCTATATAACGATCGGTGGATGTTATCATGGCTATCGGCGCACGACTTTCTAGTAGCTGCCATGGTAGTATGTTTAGAGCTTTCAGAGTATATGCGGACCGTCACTGTGCCAAAACCCGCGGATTTCGCAAAGCAGTTGGAAGCCCTGCAAACATCACAGATGATATGGACTTCCCATACATCTCATAATCCCCAGTCGAAAGAAGCTCGTACTGCAGCGCGGGTATTGGATTTGATGATCCGGAAGGTTAAAGATGATAATATTGGTGACCCATTCAACTCCACACTACCTCGGGAAGATGGTCCGTTCTTCGAAAGCTCTAACTTGCCGTACGCCGAGCCTGTGACTGAGATGATCGATGGATCGGAGGATTTGGATTGGGTTAGTACAATTTTAATATCTACATTCCAGCCAGACGCGACAGAGAGTATCTCTAACCTATTCTTGGCAGTCACTGCTAGATCAATATTTCCAAAACACTCAAGGGCTTCAAGATTTTACTTCATCACTTGGTACTTATAGCGAAGAGCAGATTGGAGAGCTATTCCAAACTATGGAAACGGATCAGATGGCTTGAGATGTTTCTATAGAGTTTAAAGAAGGGGTTTAATTATCCTATCTCTGCTGGGGTGGAAGGCTGATGTATTTCGGACTTTCGGACGGTCTTGGATTGAGGATGTGCATCTTGGATTCTTGTTTGCCCATGGTGGAAGAAAGCATATCTTGGTGATGATCAATGAATAATGGTCTCCTATGATTGTCCCGAGAGGATCTATATATGTTGTTGTGAGGAGTGGGCCCTTTTAGACCTGGTACGTCAGACCAACCCCTGAAGTCGCTTCAGGAGGAGGAAAGCCGGGAGAAGCATGAGACCAAACAGGAAGTCCCAAGATTAGGCGTTAATACCCATGGTATAAAAAATCCATACTAAAGCCTGGCCGTGTCAGTTAGGTGACGTTGAAAGAAAAATGACGGATGCCATTGATCGAGCAATCAAGTTGAGAGAGTTGAGCAGATATCAGGAATCGAATATTGTAAAGTCGCCGTCGAAGGACTTGAATTCAAGATTTTCCTATTAGCATGCAAGTTTCGAAACTAGCCTTTAACCAGGAAATGAATCCACCCAGCCTTCCCAATTCCCGCTCGACTGGACACGACTTCATCCATCTACTCCCCACCAACCTCCAACCTCCAACCCAGCATCAATCTCCTGTCAAGAACATGCCTTGCTCTTTCCTCTTAGCCCCTCTATGACATGAATGTCAATCCCAAGACGCTCACCGGCCATCCTTCCTTTCCCTCTCCCTATTCCTCCTCCATAGCTCCTTCCCCCCACTTCCGCTCCCACCACCGAAAACACTCCCTCGCTCTCGGACTACCAATCTAACACTCTCATCAGCCCTTATCCTAACCCCCATACTTATTCACGGCGTCACTATCCCCACCCCAAAGGAAAACCCCACAAACATACCTGCCCCACAACCTTCCCCCACCCCCCTAATAGCCGCTCCCTCCCCGTAAACCTCTTCCCAACCCCCCTAACAACGCCCACCCACGCCCTCTCCACCTCACCTCGCCCCACCCATCTCCCCCTATTCCCCCTCCAGACCATCCCGATAAAACGCACATAGCTATTCCGCAAAAGATGCAGATATCCCTTCTTATACCGCGGTATATACAACCCATTCGCGGTACTAGTAACTCTCTGCAACGAAAGTCTTCTCATTCTCTTCCACCTCCACCTCTTCATTCGTATCCACCAAGATTTTCCATGCCGTATACAATGTCTATGAAAAGACTCTCGCCCCGGCCCAGGCTCGCGTGTACGCTCTTTCTGTTCCCTATCGCAGAAGTAAAGGGTGCGAGAAAGGTATTTGGGTGTTGTTGGGTGAGTAGATTTCGATTTCCGATTCTTGGATTTAGGGGTCTCGATCTCGCATTGCGATTCCGATTCCGATTCCGGTTCTGCTGCTCCTCCACTTCCTTCTACCCGTACTCCTCCTACTCCCGCGCCAGCTTCCAGAACCACAGCCCCTAAATACCAATTTATCAGCTTGAACCCCTCCTCTCCTTTCCCTACGCACCATAGCGTACGTTGGAGTGAAGCAACCTACGGTCTAGGCGCGATCGTTTCTTTCCTCTATGGCCACTCCGTCTCGAGCGACGAGTGCGAGGCACGATGAATTTCGCAGGCAGGTCGGGCGTTGCTACGCAGTAGCGCCAGAGGTTTGAGTGGCTCATTGTTTGGTTGTTCGTGGGCGTGATGGGTAGGTATGGAGTTCTGTTTGATGGTACGGTAGGTAGATCGGTTGTGTTATTCTAGGCTTGAGGTTTTTGATCTGGTGGAAGGGGGGGTTTCCATCATTGTAGATTTTGAGAGAAGTGATGTGAATTGAGCGTGGGTTGATTTGAAGATAATGAAATGAATTTGGGGCGGTACGCTGAATAATTCACTTGCGAGATGTGGGATTCTAGGATTCTAAATAACGTGGAATTATTAAGTTGAGTGGGGTAAAGGAATTCATAGGAGCAAGATTGATTGTGTTTCGTTGCTTTTTTGAGAGCTCGTAGCTCATAGCTTCTAACTTCAGCACTTCCGCTCATATGCCAATTACAACACAGGTAGCTCTTACAAATCAAACCAGCCAGACTTCATTGAGTACCCAGAGTCAATTCAGTCCTCCTTTACCACTATTTTGCAAGATTACCAGCAACCTCAATATCCACATCATCCCCTGAAAGATCAATAACACAAGCTTTCTTACCATGAGTTGCCTTGCGAGCCTTAACACCCTCATCACCCGAATCATCATACAAATCCTCTCCCCAAACTATAGTCCTACCCTCTTCCATCTCAATCTTTAACCCAGCGCGTTTTGGTTCCAATTCCCCATAAATGGTACCCGCAATCTCAGGATCCGCAAGAGGTTTGCCATCCGCATCCCAGTAATAATCAGTAGCATACTGCATTCGAGCGCCCGTCGCCATGAATGGAAGTCCCCCTCCCCTTGCCTGAACATCAAAGTAGCCAGGCAAAAACAAGACTGTTTGCATACAGTTGCTGTATTCAGCTCTGTCCTGACGAATGACTTTCGAAGTAGGGCTAGCAGCAATGAGCTCGTTGTCCTCCTCTGGTGACAATGACTGAAGGATGTCCTCCATATCAACACCATTTCCTCTGTCCTCTGAAATAAATGGCCTTCCCGCTTTCTTTACCAAGCTCCCCAGTAGCGGCATGTTTCTATGGTGGATTTGATTTATCGCATCATCGTACCTGTATTTCTTGGTCTGAGGCGACATGCTATTGTCCTCCCACTTCTGGAACTCCAGCCAAATAAGAGCTTCCCATGCCTTTTCTAGCAATTTGAGGGTGACTTTGCCTTCATTGCAATCATACATGCTTTGCGAAAACCTTTGGTAGCCAAACTCAATGACTAGATTAGGGAATCCCTTGTTGATGATCCCCTGCAGCGCTGGGACTTTGACCTTGACGTTGACCCCTTTCTTCCCTGCTGCTTCCTCCCCTTCTTTCTCTCCTAGAGTTCTTCCCTCTCTTTTCGCTAGCTCTTTAAATAACTTCGATCTGTGGCGAGTGTGAATTTGATTTAGCGCTGTACTGTAACAAGCGACCTTTATCTCGGAGAATTCCATGCCCGTATTCCACTTCTGGAATGTTAGCCAAAGGAACTTCTCCCATGCGTCTTCTATTTGCTTGAGAGTTACTTGTCCTTCATTGTATTCAATTATAGCCTTGGCAAAAGATTGGAAGGGGAGTCCGGCAAGCATCTCGACGAATCCTTTCTTAACGATTTTCTTGAAAAGGGGAATTTTAATCTCGACAGCTTGCTCTTTTCTCGCTTCCACGGATTTCTCATCATCTTTAATCGGTGGAAAGAGCCCCTCCATTTTAGCTAGGAGGGGTTCGGTACTCCGATCATAAATCTGATGCAATGCCTTGTAGTATTGAGTCATTTTTTCTTCAGAATCTGTGCCTTCCTTATACCACTTCTGGAATTCGAACCAGATCGCTGCTTCCCAGGCGTCTTCAAGCTGCGTGAGAGTTACTTTGCCTTCATTCAAGTCATATGTATTTGAAGCGAAGGTAGAGTAGCCTATCTTAAACGCTAAGCCGAGAAAACCTTCTGTGGCGACGTCTTCGAACGCTGGAACTCTGATATCGGTGGAAAGCGTATTGGGTACTTGGGTGGAGGTACGAGAAGATCTGTGGGCTTTGGTATTCATAGTTGCTGGATTGTGCGCATGTTCTGTTGCCCGATGCTCGGCTCGGTTGGTGGCGAGGAACAAGGCTGTTTCTGCTTTTTTGGCTTCCTTCGCCGTCATGCTAACTTCGCCAACTATGACACCAGAATGGGTTTCCCAGCCCTTTAGCTCTTGATTGCTACTGCCGGTTGCTAATAAAAAGCTCGCGGGCTTTGTATGTTTTCCGAAGATCGGGTATGGTTTTTGGGAGAATTTTGTTACGCCGATCATTATTGAACCTTCGGGCTCGTTGAAAATCTCAAGCTGTGTAGGAGTAATTTGTGTTTCGCCATGTGGGTGGCAATTGCTATGAGTAGGGGTCGGTGCTGATAGAGCAGCTATTGGTTCTGTATTGTTCATCGTTGCTCCTGATACTACTGCCTCTTCTGGGAGCTGGGGCTTTGAGAGAGTGTTGGTATCTTTAGGTGGCGGACATGGTACTATAGAAATCCCATCCTTCACAGAGTATCTCAAGTATGCAGGTGGCAGAGACTCGGTAGATGTTCCACTCAAGGCAGATGTCGCGACTGGTGGAACATGATTAACAACGCTAGATGTACGCTGAGAACTAGGACCAGCTAGATGAGTTGTTCTCTTGAACCCGCTCGCAGCATTCAATGACAGTGTGGCTTTTGGTTTGCCCAAGGCTGCAAAAGTTGTCAGGGGGGCTAGCTTTGGGATATCTGAGAGTGCCTGTAGAGCAATGTCTGTGCTCGTGATATCAGTCTTCTCTGATAGAAGTCCTGCCTGCCATTGTTGAATACTATTCTGGAGAGTAGTCTTGACAGTGTTGCTATTTGGATCTGCTACTTCCTTCGCATGTCGATCAGCCAATCTGGCAGCTTTTTTCGCAATGGTTCTTGCCTCCCTATTCCCCCTTCGCCGCACAACTTTTGGTTCGTTACAGCGAGGCCTCGTGTTAGCAACACTAGTTTTAAGTTCTTGATGGTGCTGATGAACGATATGCGGAGGCTGGCTCTTGTAAGTCTCCCATCTTGCACTGTCTAGTGGGGCAGTGATTTGATTGAACGCTGGTACTGGCCTCAAATCTTGTGTGGACACCTGCGATCCAGTTGTCTGTCGGACTTCGGGTAGTTTCTCGTTTTGATTCGAGACAATGTAGTCGTAGCTAGTCGTTGCTAGGCTGGGCGGCGTGGAATCTCTGATGATATCTGAAGTAGCGACCGTTCCTCTCGTCGAGGCATCTATATTCCGATTTAGAATTTGATTCTGGCTGCACATAATTCCACTGGAGTTAATGGCTTCATTGTCGAGCATAATTCGTGGCTTTTTAGTGATCAGTGGCCTATTTTCGTAGTGTTTTGCAGACTGCTGTATTGATCCTTCGTGTGCACGTAGTGTAGCTGGGCCAGTCGGATCGTAGTTCAGACCAACGACCTTCTGCGAGTAGTTTTTCAGATCAATTCTCTTCGGTAAAGCTGTGTTTTTACCAGATGCCGAGGGGTGGAGCATTGTCAGCGAAGAATCACTTTGGCTGTAAATTGACGGTTGTTGAGCAGTGGTGAAGATATCGTTTGGGCACAGAATCGACGGCTGTTGTCCTGATGGTTGAACAATGCTCTGCTCGTGGTTTTCTAGCCGTGGTCTCTTGGAGAAAGTTCCATTTTCATAGGACTTCAACGGTTGACTTCTCGACAGTTCAACTTGATTCTGGCTTGAAATGGACCACTGTGGTAGTTCTGAAGAAGCAGCGCGCTTTCGAGACATTAGTTCGTATTCTGAAGAGGTGTCGACAGTATTCTGCTCCTTCCTAGAAGGCTGAACCACATATTGATCCAAGACTGGGAGCTGCACAGCTGCCTCGTATTTTACTTCCCCATATTTCATTGACTCCAACACGATGTTCTGGCAGCGCATCGACTTCCCTGTCCGCTTCGGAGAACGAACATTCTCAATATCCATTATTTCATCTTCCCCAAACGGCTCAACCGGGCTGCGGTGCGTCTTCCGCAATGCTGGAACAGGTGTATTCATTGCCTCGTACGTTATGGCAATTTGGTCTGCATACTCGTGGGATTTGGTCGATTTCACGACAGCAGCATCCATCCGTAAACGTTGCGTTTGGTGGCCTGCATCATCGATGAGTATCGATTTTGCTTGCTCCGACGGAGAGAGTGTATTCCGACCAATCACTGCTTTCCAATTGACGCACGACCAGCTTGCGCCATCTAGGTATGTGTTCTCCTCCGCCATGTCTGCGGGCTTTTTCTGGGTAGATTGCTGAGGCTCAATCATTGGCAAGTTATATAGCGTTGATCGAACTGTAGCTGAATCGTCGGCGAGGTTGCTTTGAGTAGGTTGCCGAGGTTCGATCATTGACACTTCGGGCGAGTTGTTTGGAGCTCTTGGGGTGTCTCGGAGACATCGCGACCTCTTTTCCCATATCCGATTCTCTGGCCGCTAAACACACCCACCATCAGTAAAACATTCACTTTTCCCCCTCTCAACCTCGACTTCCAGCAAATCAAAGAAAAGACTCACCGCTCAGAGTTTGTTGCTCGTCGTGAGCTGCACTTCTATCCCCGTTCTTCAAGGGTTCGTGGCCGGAATACCATTTGACCGTGCTGTTGGTGATGTTAGGGAATCACAGTAAGGTGACGATGAAACAAGATGTAGTGGCGCGAGGTTTGAGTTTTGTAAACAAAGATGAGCGGAAGGCGCGAAAGGGTCAGGTCACTACGCGAGAATGTAAAGATGAGCAGCATCAATTTCCAATACGCCTCTTTATGAGAAGATTGCGAGCTGTTATTTAGCAAATTTGCAACTGGAGTTTCGATTACATATATTGAATACACAGCAAGGCAGGATGTGACATAGACAAAAGACTACGAGCACCTAGTACTCGGGGTGAAGAATAAGAAAATTTCTATTCCACGGCTCTAAATACTGCTCTTTGCTTTTCTATCTAACTAACGCTTCATCTAAAGAAAACAGTTCTATCTCAAAGCTTTACCTCCCTCTTACAACCCGAAGCTTGCCCCTCAACTGCATGCTTCAACGCCTCATCCTCCACCAACCTACTCCCATTCCCAGCCTGCGTACTCTGCGGGACGTCCAGCGCCGGATTCTGATCAAAAAATCCGCTCGGTTTAAGACTCACAGTCATAGTGTCACACGGCATAACAGGATAATCCTCCGTCCTCGGATTATGCGTCAAGCTTATCGAGTGCCAGACAACGATATCCGTATCCTCGGTGGTATCCTGTCTCCCAGCCCAAGAGGCGAGATCAGGAGTATGGCTGGGGTGCGATTGATAAGTGTAGTCGCCTGCTGCGTAGATTTCATTGTCGTGGTGGGATGTTACCCAGAAAGGATGGAAGGCATATTTTTGCGCGGCGGCCGTGCCAGGATTTGGGGTGGGCGAGGAGCATTTGCTTGGATGGAGAATGAATTGCGTAGGCGACGGGGTGTCCGGATGAGGGGTTGATGCTGTGTGGGTTTATAATTTTGTGGACGCGGTTTGGTGCTGAGTCTGAGTGGGTGGAGGATGTGAGGGCTTTTTTCTCAGTGACATATCCGACTCCGTAGGGGTTGTTATCGTCCCATGGCATGGCGACCGAGTCTTCTTCGACGAGGGTATTTTTGTCGCCATCGATATTGGGATCTATGCGTAGGCTGAAGACGTGTTGGTGGAAGGGAGCCATAACACCTTCATTGACATTTGTGCCGAAGGGAACTGTGACACCTTTGTCGATTGGGGCAGTGGAGAGGATGCCTGTGGCCTGAATCTTGTAGTGCAAACCGGCAGCTTGATCTAGATGCCACATGAAGACATACTCATAGTTCCCAACAGTAATGATTGTCTGAAGAACGAGAACTCGAGACCGGACGATTGAAACAGCTCCGGTACGAGTATTAGTGTGCTTCCATCCAATACCATCATCAATCTCGTGCATGCAGACTGCGTTTGGCTTCTCGACCGGGTTACCATTGGAGTCGCCGATAACAAATGAGAAGTACTAGAAGAGAAATTAGCTTTACCTCTAATTTCCGGGCAGAATCCTACAATGCAGAAAGTGCTCTATCAAGCCACAGACGATTAAGAGAAGAAAATAAGAGAATTGCCACATACTTTGATCACCCCCAAACAATCACACCCCAACGCCAGATTATTAGCAGCAACACCAGCCCCGATATCCCCGACATCGAAAACGCTTTTCCTCGAATAAGGCATCCTCGGATCCCCATAGGGAACAAACATCTCACTCAGACTCAACCGATGAAACAGTTCGCGTCCATCATAAGTAACATCATGCAAAACCATACCCTCCCTCCAATTAAAACCTAACCTGAACCGCCATTTCTGCCACTGGATTAGATGACCATCAATGCTGAATGAAACACCTTGGGGCTGGTGGACCATTAGGGGTTTGAGGTCGGTGCGTGCTGGTTTGGATTGGAGATCGTGGTGATATTCCTTTGGAGGATGGGGCACAAACACTGCATCTGGTCTAAGCTCGGACTTTGGTCCTGTGGGGAGTTGGATGATATCAGCTAATTCCTTGGTTGTCATATCGAGGATAGGCGAAAAGGGAAGGGGCAAATCGTAGTGATTGGAGCCAGGATGATCACCTTCCGCGAACAAGTAACACTGCCTGATATCAGAAATGCTCACTCACTTTGATATGTTGAGTACTCACTTGTACATAACGAGGATGTTGATCCTCCGAATCGCGTCCATATGGCCAAGTATCACAGATCACCTTTAAATGCGGCGGCAATTTATACGCCTCGATCCTTTCCAATACCTTTGGGTTGGACAGGCACGCATCTCTCATCTCTATGATCTCATTCACATCTGCCTGGGCATGGAAATGGCTATCTAATTGCTCGACAAGTTCCACGGTGCTTTCATCGACGTTGACGGTGGCTTTGAAGAGATGGGACGTGCCGCGGTGGTAATACAAGGCTGAGGCACGGCGAGGAAGTTGTGGGAGGGGAGAGCCATTACGTTCAGCTTTCAAGTAGGCGCGAAGCTGTGCTTTTGGAGGCTCATCGATGTTGATTATTTTGAAATGGATGGTGTGATCAGGTGATAGCTTTTTGAGAAGGGATGATATTTGAGTGATTTCGGAAGGAGCTAATGGGTCTAGGGGATGTCTGGATGGAGACATGTTCCAGATTTGTCTTTAAAGAACGGTTTGATTAGACAATTCCTTAGAATCTAGTAATCAATGTCAGTTATAAATGTCTCGGAGAAGGTTTAGTTGTCAAGAGTGGGCCAAGTGGCAAACGGTTTACATACTGGTAATTTTGTACTAACTGTAATCAAAGCTACGCACACAGTAAGACAATGTCGAGAAGAGTGGTGGACACGTTATGAAGCATTATGATGCGAAAGTGATCGAAAGAAGCGGATGCAAGTCGCGTGGCTATATATGCAAACAAAGTTTTTGGTGTGCACAGCGTCAGCGTCTTTGTCCTCCGATCAATCGGAGGAGATAAGCGGGTGTCACGTGTCACTATCTAAGGGGCTCGCTTCCATCACATCCCACTTTTCGGGCCGGGGCGGGGTGACCTGCCGCATCTGATCGTAGACGAGATTGGGTATATAATATTTCATTTTTAGTTTGGATATCTTCAGATCATTATCCTTTCAAGGGTGTATTTCCCAACCTTCTGACTCTTCAGATGCCCGATGTCTCGTGCAGTACGTTTGGATACTTCCCCACCGGCGCCAACCTTCAGTAGTGATATCTGTTTGTCTGCTCTCAAACCAAGAGGCAGAATCTTAGCCTCCGAAGTCGAAGATGGAAGAAGGATGGGTGGGTTGACAGGGCCCTTGTGCTTTTTCCTGCTAGGCGCATCTGAACCCGGCTCGAGTTCCTGAGGGAGAGACTTTTGCATCGCATCGCCGTATCGCACCATCTCCGAGGTCAGCCCCTTCAGATACGCGGCCTCTTGGATTCCTTCCAACGCAGCACTCACTTCAAGCTTGAGACTTGAAATCAATTCCTCCGCCTCAAATGGATCGCCTTCGACGAGTTTCAAATCGCCAGATAACCAACCCCCAGCTCCCACAGCATCGATGCAATTGTTGAGTAAGCTAGAAATGAGTATAATAGTGCTTCCCGGGACCTCAGCATCCTCATCTACGAGCTCTGATTCATCATCGTCAAAGTACTTGGCTGTCCAAGCTCCTCGTGCGAGTTCGAATCTGAGAAGATAGATGAGACACACAATCTCTTGGCTTGTCAAAGTCGTTTGAAGAGCATGTACGATCGAACTAGTTGGGCAAGTGTAAAGCCTCGAAAGTGCTAAACTCAGTGCCTGCCCGCGTAGACCTGAGCCAGGTCCCAATTGATATTCCGCGTGTTCCAGATCTTTCTCGGCTTCAGCTTCCAGCTCCTCCAATTGCTCATCGGCATCACCGTTCACTAGCCCTGCATCTTCGCCGTTCGTGAGTAGTCCCTGCTTTACGCGAATATTTTCGCCAAGCATTTCGAGGCTTTCCATCAGTGTACGGATCGCATGAAGTAATTCTGCGGCTCCGAGGTAGTTCTTGTCGATAAGTGCGAGCAGTAGATCCATATCTGGATTCAGTTCGACGATCGCGTTGATGAGCTCTCCCGATGCAATGGATTTCGCCGGAGGCGTAGCAGACTCGATTCTCAACGCTGCCTCGATGTTGGCCACAGTCATATGACCAGCATTGATGAGCCACAAAAATACATTCGATGGGTAGAACGAGATAGATAGTTTGGACTGCTCGGAGCTCTCTTCGATCCTGCTGAATATCTTGCTAAGTGCATATATGACCCAGCGGCGATCTACACTCGAGGCCTCCAGTGCGGACACTTTCACACCGTTAGTGAACGGCTTTGCAGAGTCTAGCTCTGTTGTTGATGATGTAGGGAGCTTTTCAGCAATGAGCTCGTCGAACTTCTCAGCATCTTCAGCAATAAATGATTTCTCGAAGCTTTCTGTTTGTTCCGCCCACGGGCCCTCGAAAGTAGTGATTGGACCAGGGAGATACTCTTCCAGAGTTTTGGAACCGACAGTATCCATTCCCTTCTTTCCGCGACCGGGGCGTGATTGTTCTTTGACTGAGCAGCCAAGTGAGTCAATGAGGAGGCCAGCCGCACGGGATCTTCCTTGACGATCCTGATGCCCTTCAACATGTATTGCAATAAGATTGTTGTCCCTGATTCCTACAACCGCACCAAGTTTGGGGAAGTAGGTTATTAGGTTGCAGGAGCTGCTGGAAGTTCCGTTGGTTTCATTTTGGCTTTCTCGTTTGCGTTTCAAGGATTCCTCAGACGTGAAATCGATCGCGGCTAGAATCGAATGATATTTTGGATTGTAGACGGTGATGTACTGATTGGACGATATCATGGTGGAAGTGCTTGAGAGTCTTAAAAATGATTCCGCTTTACTCACACTGAGACTGGATTGTTCTTTCGGTCCGCTTTCAGTCAGTTCGAACGTAGTTAGGGTGTTGTTGCTCAATTGTTGCAGTATTCCCGTAGAAACTTGAATGCTGAAAGTCGGAATATCTTTCCGCTTGTATGGCACAGGAAACGGTGCCGACAAAAGGGCTTGCACCGAGTGTTGTAGCCCACTAATCTGTGCAAATCTCCTTGGAGGTGCGATAATGTGCAGAGTTCTTGTAAAAGTATCTGAGGCTTTGGTGACAAGAACTACAAGGTCTGGGTTGAACCCATCCTCGGATATTTCCTGCGCGAATGCGGCAAGCACGTCCTGCCGGTCTTTCAGAATGCTTTGACCTGCAGCATGTGCATTGGTGAGATGTGCGAATTCGACCTCTAAATCTTTACTGCGCGTCGCATCATGCCCTTCCACAAGAGCGGTGGCAGGAGACTTCCACTTCTCTTGGAGGGTTTCACCATCCAAACATTGTATTTCGCCGTCTTTTCGTATCACAAGTAAATCTGTCGAAGTAGCCGAGAGTTCTAACCCAAATGTTGCTGAAATCACACCAAGATAAACAACGGAATTTCTAGTGTTCTCCAGATTGTGGCTTATGGTGGAAGATTTTGTATGACTTGTACCCTCCGTTACATCGTGAAATAAGGAGATTTGAGATTGGACGCCGGCAGTGGATGCATATGTTCGTCGTTCGGTTTTGCTTTTGGAAATCCGGGTGCGCAACGAGGTAGGCGGGCAGGTAAAAGATGATTGTGGAGGCAAAGCATACGAAGTGATTAATTTGGAAGACGAGATCTAAAGAAGAACGATCAGCTCTAGTTCATAAGTAATCCAGATAGGAAGAGCGTCTTACATCGTATAAATTCAAACCCTCGCCGTCAATTCCCACCGCAAGCTCAGATCTTTTTCTCTTTTTTGCGCCGGGTGCCCCTCCATAGACATCGCCCACCACATATCGCCCTTTGCTGTGGTCAATGGGCCGGGGCAAAGATGCCACGACATATGGACTTTGTAACGAAAACTTGGACGACATGGCGGAAAAGTGTCGTGAATAGCTTTGTTACTTTTGTCCCGGTGAAGCTTCCATCAGAAAAATAAATTTAAATTCTGGGCGTCGAGAAGTTCTTCAAACGCAGCTAAGCTAAGCTAAGGCCCGACGACGCTTGCTACGGGGGCCGGGATTTTCACTCTAGAACGGCAGTCGCGATCAGAACTTCAGAACGCGGTTCCCGAACATCGTCAAATTTCCATTTAGATTCCCATCCCAACTCCCCTTTGCTGCCTTTACGGTTACTCTATTGTTTTGCCAGACAGCCACGTTCAACCAAATCGTCAAATTTATCTACATTCCACACCATCGCATCTGAACGCCCAAACTGCTATGACACCATCAAATTCGACTCTGCGGGACGCGTGAAACCCGCGTTCTACTGCAACGTATTTTGGATATTCGGATGGCAGCTCTGGCAACCATGACCATGGGGGAGCTGAATGAGGGGCAAAAACAGGTCTATCCCCTCTTCCAGAAGAATGCAAGTATGTAATTATATATGGAGAACTATGCTGTAAACCTGTCGATCTAATCCTGTCCCAGAACCCCGAGACACCAAGCCGAAGAAAGTTGAGCCACAAATGCTTTCCACAAGCGTCTCGAAGAGCGAATCCGAGCTTCAACCTTCGTCTGTCGATGCATCTATGAAGCTTCTGGGGAGGCCCCGCAGGAAGCCCAAGAACGCCTTGCCGGTCGAAACCTTGAATACAGCAGCAGACACATGTGCAGTGCCCCAGGAGAAGGAGGATGGTCAGGCGGAATTGCTGCAGGTCGACCCCAACAATAGCAGGAGGAAACGGCGGAAAACAGACTCGCCAGCACATGAGGATCTTCTCGAAGCAGGAGACAAAGACGTGAAGGACGTGAAATTTCCTAAGAAGGATAGGGCTTCGAAAAAGGACGAGGCATCCCCCTCAACTCAAAAAGCAGAAAGACTGAGTCAACCGCTCATTTCACTGCAAAAGCCCGAGCCTTGCAACGGACTATCCCCTTCAACAAAATTTCCGCACATTCTGGGCCCCATATTCCCCCCCACAAATGCAAAACGGCTTGGGAATACTGGAGATGGACAGAGGCAACGATCCAGCTGGAGTCAATACTGCAGCTTCGCAGAACGGAATTCAGAACAGGAATGGAATACAAGTAGACGAAAGCAACCCTGCTCTTACCAGTGAAAAGGGCGAATTTGATTTGAAATTGCTACTTGCAGAAGGAGCTGACAATAAACCAAGAAAAATCCTGCGACTGAATACGAAGACTGGTACCATTGGTTCACCTCCCGCCAAGAAAAAGATTCCCTCTGTTGAGCCAGCTACGAAAATCTCCGGTCGTAGGAAATTCCCCAGATCCAATATTATAACGGTTCGTTATGGAGATGGGGAGCGACTTCCATTGAGGATTGGTCCAAAAATAGAGCAGATTCTGAATAGGACATACATTGTCCATGTGCCTGGCAAAGCTGTGTCTGACCCACACAAGGTCACGAAACCTGCCCCAACTCAGCCGTCAAAGGCCCTACATCCTCTTTTCATGGGCAAAGCTACTTCCAAACCGCCAGATCACAAATCGGAAATTGCCAATAAAGCCCCGAATGTGGAGGTAGTAGAAAGCAGGGAGCCTAAAGTACTAGGAAGGGCCAGAGAACGTTCATTTGGGAAACCAGATTCTCCCCCTAAGCCAAAGGCTGCTCCATTTGCTGGTTTCGGCAAATCTTCTATGATTCTCAAATTTCCCGGAGCTGTAGAACCAGCATGGCCATGGCAAGGTATGGTACACGTTCGTCCAGATGCTAGCCAAGACTTTCCACGGGGTTCCGGCAACCGAAGTGACGATTTGCAAATTCGTTCAAAAGCCAAAAAGTCTAAGTATCAGGCCGTTCAAATTCTACCGAAAGAATATGTTATTCATGCTTTAGCAACAGAATTAGGGATAGGAAATGTGGTTGAGAGCATTCGAGAGATCAATCCAGACGAGTTCCCTCCTCTTCCTCCTTGCCTGCGTATCCCGATCAAGCACTATGAAGGTGGAAGTGCTATACAACGACGAGTGCGCAACGAGATTCGATTTAAACTGCCCCCTCCCAATGCAGCTAAATCCAGCTCCAGCGATGATGAGATCCATACAAATACTTGCATTCGCGCGACACCGCATCCAGCACTAACAAAGGCTTACGACCTGATTCCAACCACAATGTCTGCTTTTGACCAAGGTCATTGTGAAACTCAGTCATGGGTACGGAAATACTCTCCAAAGTGTGCAGCAGATGTCCTTCAAAGCGGTCGCGACGCGTTTGTTTTGAAAGAATGGCTAGAGAGATTGACTGTACAGTCTGTGGAGACAGGCCTAGGCGATCAAACTACTGGTCGTGCCTCGTCACTATCAAGAACTGGGCCAAAGTCTGAAATCGCTGGGAAGCGGAAACGAAAGTCCAAGAAGCTGGATGGGTTTGTCATTTCAAGTGGTGAAGAAGACAACGAAATGGATGAAATAACCGACCCAGAGGACAATCTCATAGCTGAAGCTGGGCAGGGGCTACTCAAGAAGACAGTTATTAGGTCCGGTGATGCAAATAAGGGCATCAAAGACTCTGGAAGAGTGACAAATGCTGTTGTCATAAGTGGTCCTCACGGAAGTGGGAAAACTGCCGCCGTCTATGCTGTTGCAAAGGAGCTAAGTTTCGAAGTGTTCGAGATCAATTCGAGCAGTAGGCGTAACGGCAAGGACATTCTGGAGAAGGTAGGCGACATGACTCGCAATCATCTTGTCCAACGTTCGCAGGCCCCAGTCTCGGTAGATGAAGATGAAAAGCGTATGGATGATGCCCTCGCCCAAGATCTTCAAACCGGTCGACAGGGAACAATGAATTCTTTCTTTAAGCCAAAAGAGAATCCGAAACCCAAACCCGGCAGGCCAAAAATCGGTTTCAAAAAGGAGCTCAAAGATCAGCCGTTACCCAAAGCTCCAATCAAACAACAGAAACAGTCTTTGATCTTGGTTGAGGAAGCTGACATTCTCTACGAGGAAGACAAAAACTTCTGGGCGACGATTCTGGATCTCGCCACCAAGTCGAAGCGCCCAATGATCATCACTTGTAGTGACGAATCCCTTCTACCGATGAATGCTCTTATGCTATATGCAGTCATACGTTTTGTACCACCTCCCGTTGACCTTGCGACGGATTACATGTTATTGGTCGCTGCCTGCGAAGGTCACGTTCTTCGACGCGACGCTGTTAAAACTTTATATGAGGGCCGAAGTCTGGATCTGCGAGCCTCTTTGACCGACCTAAACTTCTGGTGTCAATTTGCTGTCGGCGATGCGAAATGTGGACTGGACTGGTTCTACCCTCGTTGGTCTCGCGGAAGTGATGTTGATGAATATGGAGACACCATTCGCGTGGTCAGTGAGAATACATATGAAGCAGGGATGGGCTGGGTATCACAAGATGTCCTCGAAAGTCACGCGCATTATCTAGACATTGAAGAGGAAATGTTGCATGAGGTATGTGATGGGTGGCAGTTAGACGTTGGTGATTGGCAGGAGAATATCGGCATCGATTCATGGGCAAGTAAGATTCAGACTGTATCGCGTGGGAAAAAAGATGATCTATCTGCACTGAGGATGTACGAAGAGTTTGCAACTGGCATGAGTGACGCAGAACTGTTTTCTGGTCCTACTTTTGCACCAGAAAACAAGGTAACATCTATCATTATCCCGCTTTCTATCCGAGGCTAACCATGACTACTTAGATCCTTCTCGATGTCAACATGCCAGAACTATCAATCAAAGTACGAGAGGACTACATCCTAGCCCATGAAGTCATCGAAGCCTCACCACTAGTCGATTTCACAACAACCAGCAAAGATATCTCCCTGTGGATGAAATCTCGAGCCAGGAAATACCTCCAAATCGACCAACACATCCAACATGGCTACGAAATTCTACCCCAGCTGGACCGACCAGGTGAAAGCGACGTGCTGCGCCTCATCAAGAAGCAAGCTATGATTCCCGACCTGTCTCTTTCCCGTAGCGACTTCAGTCTCGCGTTCGACCCTATCTCAGAAGAAGAAAAATACGTCTGGAACACCTCCACAACCCTCGAAGCATCATCCTTCGATCGCCACCTAGCAATCATCTCGGTAGACCTAGCTCCCTACATACGCTCCATTGTTGCCTACGATGCCCGTCTCCAAGAAGAACGAGCACGTATGAGCAACCTCCTCAGTGAAGGAGGACGAAAGGGGAAACGGCTAAGAACAACCAGAGCCGCGATGTCTGCGCTTGAAGGCGGGGCTCGCAGCACTACGAGGAGAGAGAGGTATTTTGGGTCAAAGTTGAATTCACAGTTCGTGCTTAAGACAGGGATGCAAAGTTGGCTTGACGCGGCGATGGTGGAGGAGAGGATCGAGAGAGAGGCACTGAAGCTGATTGCAGAGAGGGATGCTTTAAAGGCGAGGGAGGAAGAGAAAGAAGGTGGGAGTGGGCGTGATGATGAGAGTGCATGATTAAATGGGTACCTTGGTTAAAGACCGTAGAATGAAGGAGTGGTGACAGTTGCATAGCATAGCATAGTAGCGGACCATGTAGCATTAGGGCATTTAGAAGCTGCGAATCTTGCATGACTATAGCTGGCTTGCAGAACTTATTTTTGTTCCGTTCCTTCGATTTCAATTGCAAACAAAAACGCGTCGAAACTTCCCTCCCTAATAACAAAGCAAAAAGTAGCCAGCTCTTTGGCGCTCGAGCGCACCGCAGTCGCAATGTTGCCCAGCAGTGGCAATCAACAGAGATCACAAGCAAGTGCGAGTTCGCTGGTCCAATTGTATTCGCACCGGTCTCCCGGCTATCCTTGGCACTTGTCATAATATTACTTAGTCAATAAGTGTCTTCACAGATAGTAGTTCTACTGGACTGAAATATAGTAGATTCTTGATGACTTAAGCTTATGAGGTTATCATTTCATCCCTTGCTGCACAACAGTAATTGCCTCCCCGCCCAGGTAATTCGAAGCCGAAGGGTCACTATCTTCGACTCCACTCGGAGCAGCACGAGCACGTTTTGCCACAACTCGCTCAACGAACCAGATACCCAGAGAAGACCATACAGTAAGCAATGCCACAAAGACCAGCGCCGCAGCATAGCCATGCTTGGCCTTGTACGCTGGCGCTTGGCTAGAGGGGAACAGATATAACTGGAATGGTGAAACGACCGCTCTATGAAGTATCAGTAACAACTATGGCCAACCGGGCAATGAAAACTCACAATCCCAACGAAGTCATCCACGCCAGGATAAAAGCCCTCAAATGCTGATCTCCTCCACAACTGCTATTGACCCAACCGTAGAGTAGCGGCGAGAAACATCCATAGCAACCCGCGAGACAGAAAGCCGCCATCTTCAATGCATTGGGTACGGTCCACTAGATCAGGGGGGAGTCAGTAATTTCCTCTTCAAGAGTGTTTTGAGAGCAGAAGAAGAGCAAGTTCCCTTTTTAGGAAGTATGTAAGGAGTAGATAGAGTACATGAGACGAAACATGATAGAAGGGGAGAGGGTAAGATCAAAGAGCCAGGTATCCTTACGACAGTGAGAACAATGTAGCAGAACGTAAGCAGCGAGCCCACGACCGCCGTAACTGGGGCACGAGAACCAATAATATCGGATGCGTAGCCGGTGCTTATCATGAAGAAGAAGTTTACAGCACCGATGATGGTCGGGATATTGTTTATGTTTGTTACGGAGTAGTGTTGCGATTTCAGCCAGAGGCCGAAGAATTGCATTATGTAGGAGCCAGCGGTTAGGGACCAGCAGCACCATCTGTGGGTTGGTTAGACGGTCACTGGCGCTATGGGGGGTTGGAGGACTTGCGCGAAGCTAAATGTGTAGACTTGCCACGATGTGAGGATTCTCTTCAGGACTGTTAGGTCCATTTTCCCGATGGGTTTTCGACCTTCTTCTTCAATGCGTTCAATTGCTCGTTGGCGTTCCCAGGCACTGAGATACCATGCTTTTGACGTGTGCGGGGTATCAGGGAAGCAGAACTTTGAAAGTGTTAACAGCACATTCGCGTTATTGATTATTTACTCACAATTCCGTAGATGGCAATAGGTACAGCAAGGACAAAGTCAAAGATGAATAACCACTAAAAGTCTGTTAGATCTCGGCGTGGGAAGGGAAATCAACGGGTTTTGCATACTCTCCAAGCACTTAGGCCTCCTTTCCCTTCCATACCAGAATACAACGCCGATTGCAAGTATCCCGAGAACATCTGACCAAGAACACCCGAAATGACGAAAAGAGCACTTCGTCTGCCGAGCTCGGATTTTCTGCTAGAGAAGAACGGGGAGTTAGCTCATTTCCTGCCATGTAAAGAGGCTTCAAAAGCGAATAGCAACCAAGAAGTAGTCCCAAAACATGCCGTGACAGGAAGTAAACAGGATCCCGAGAACTTACTACCAACATCCGAGAACGTAATGAATACCGGGCGAAGCGGCTGACTCGAACAGACCGATACAAAATCTTAACGCGTAGAATTCCGAGGCTGTCTCGCATTTAAAGAGGAAAAGCACGAATATTGACCAGACTAGCAGACAGGATGGAAGCCAATATCGGGGTCTGATTACCGTGATAACTATGAGCTGGATTAGACGTCTCGAGTACTAATAGAATGAGATGTATGCGGATTGAACTCTTGAGAGTCTTCCGTGTGGCGATGCTCGTCCTTTCCTGTCATAACCGTAGGCTAAACTTACTCATATTTGCGATTGGCCCCCCAAGAATCTGCCCGATGTTAAAACTGCAACATCTATTAGTTTTTTCAATTTCACGCTCATATAAAAATGCTCACTAGGTATTCATCCAACTCAATTCGTTGCCTTTCCCAAAATGGAGCTCTTCCTTCATCCCGGAGACACTAAATAATCAATTAGGCTTGGTATACAATAAAGGTCCAAATATTCCCTTACTATGCATTAGATACATTATTCGCATCCAGCTGTTTCATGAAAAAGCACTGTCGAGGTTTCTGTTAGAAAGAGTTCTTAATCTGGATCAGCGCAACCTACCAGGCAACTGTAAGACAAGAGAAACCAATCGAGCTTCGCGATTAACTTCTTCTCTTCCCTTGAGGTGCCCGGCTCATGCCATTGGAACCATCTTGGTTTTGACTTCTCAACGGGCACAGCTTCAACAGCAATAGGATTAGTGATTTTGTCCGGCGTTGAAACCTGTTGATGGGGATCCATTTCGACAAAGGTTCGGTTGATAGTAAAACTTAAAAAAATGCAATTGGAGAGGTTCGCGACGTCTATCTAAACATTTCCAAATGCGATGTGATCAACCTCATATTGAAATTTCACTCTTGACCCCTCCTATCGAATCATATTATCCGTACGATTAGGACAAGAAAGCCCCATTTCTGGGAGAACAAGATATCACGAATCAGTGGGTATCAATGGCGTGCGATAAGAGCTTGGATACGCTGGGAATCCGTGACCCTGATTATTATTAGGAGGATATCGGCCGAAATCATGTCTATCCGCCTTATCCAAGGATCCAAGAATCGGCCAAGATGTAGATCAGGCCGAGATGGAGCCTTACGGAGGTAGACGTTTGTGGTTAACTTAAGTACTCGGCTACCCTGGTTGAGATATTCCAAATTTCTGCAATTTTGTCAAGAATGGGATATAGCGCTGGGTGTTCGAGTCAAGAAAAGTGGGTTGCCACGAGGCCATCTTCCATTCAGTCTGTCTGCAATAATACCCGAGAACAGATACAATCTTCCAATAATAAACTAGCCACTTAGTTATCCTTTCCGGAAGTTTTTGTGCAACCGTCAACATATAGCGATCACGTGCGAGTACCGACAACAGCGACTCAGAAGCCGTTCAGCAAGATGCAGGCGGTACATATAAATGGTGCTGATTTCGCATATCGAATTGAGGGATCTTCAGAAAACCCTTTAATCATCACATTACATGGCGGCCGTGGTTTTGGTTTGTCCTCCGATTGTATGTTCATCCAAACACTCCGGATAACCGTAATGTGATCAGGAAACCATGCCGGGGACTTCAAAGCCTATTCTCCTCTCAGTAATGCATATCGGGTCCTGTCCTTCGACATGCGCGGTCATGGAGAGAGTTCGGTGACAGGTCCTTTCACATTCCAGCAATTGACTGATGATATTGATGGACTCCGACAACACTTTGCCGGCGAAATGGGCAAAGTCATTATTTTAGGAGGCAGTTTTGGAGGCTATCTAGCACAGCAGTACGCCATTCAGGTAGGCTTACTCTCAATCTAAAATGCTGCTCTCTTATATGTAAACCTTGGAGCTGGGAGCTGATTCAGGAACTTGTATGTCGGCTTCTGAGATAGCTCCTAAGCTCCGCAGCTCTCTTCAAAATCGCAACCTATTACTATACTAATTCATTGGAGCAGTACTCTCAGCATGTAAGCCATTTGATATTACGTGGGACTGCACCTTCATGGCATCGTAGGTCCCCTAAACCAAGAAGGAGACTTGAATTCTGACCGCGTTGAGACGAGGACGGTGCTTTGAAACGATTGATGGAACGACTGTCCAAGGCGCCTCTGGCATCAAAGGAGATGTTGGTCAATGGGGTATTTGATAAATTCGACAGTGATGAGCATTTTCGGCTTGTCATGTTCGCATTGGGGCCTTTGTACTCGGAAGCCACATATGACCCAAATGCATCTCTTGCGGGAAACCTAAAAACCAAATTTCGCGCTGAAGTCCATAGTAGGTGTGTCCCAGCATTGAACACTTGCAACATATCAATTGATACCCTCATCAGATGATCTGTACAGTCCGTCACAAAAGCACTTTGACTACAGAGCTAGTCTGAAAGATTTGACAACGCCGACGCTTGTCATCGTAGGGGAGAAGGATTGGATATGCCCGCCTGGTGAGTCTTTACTCCGTTTTGATGAAATGATTCTATACCAACAACGTCCTAGACGAATCGAGAGCAATCGCAGACGCCGTAACTAATAGCAAGCTGGTAATCGTAGAGAATGCTAATCACGGTGTCCACTTGGAGAAAAACAAACAAGTTCTAAACTGTATTAGGGGCTTCCTGGGTGCTTCGTAAAGCTATCAGAGATGAGCTACATAATAACGTGATATAGCGAGACAGTGGCAATGAAGCTGTAAATTTTACAACGAAGCTACTGCAATGTTGCGGAGCGCCAAATACTTTGTAGCCCGTCGGGCGTGAGCGTGGGAGGACATTTCAATGTATTTAGCGCGAGACCTTAGTCATCCAATTATGCCACACCACTTTTGCGTCGCGCCTTCCCCTTCATCCCACTTAAACTTCGTAATAATATCCATTTCGATAAACTTGGTCCCGAGTAGGCCCGCTAGTTCTGTTGCTATAATACAGGATCTAAGACAATGACTGGTCCGTCTTCACAAGACGTCTCCTAGTGGGGCAGATATTAGATCGCAAGAAAAAAATGTCATTATTTCTCGGGTGTAGCTCACGGGCAGTTTGTTTCTTTCCTGTATACGGCCCGAGAGATCGGGGTCATACATTTTCTATACTCACTGTTCTGTCATCCACCAAGTTCTTTGCCTCCTATTTGCTACCCATTCACAGTAGCTATGCCAGAATCTGTGAAGATAACAATTGGTACGCCCGACCCACCATAAAAAGCTGGTGAAGGCTCACGCGAATCTAACTTGACTTAGATCGAGGGGGGACTTTCTGTGACGTTTGGGCTAGTATCTCAGATGGAAGAGAGATTATGTTCAAGCTTCTTTCTGTTGACCCTTCGAGTTACGAGGATGCACTCACAGAGGCTGTGCGCAGAGTGCTGGAACTTCTGACCGGCCAGCCTGTCGCGCCTGGTACACTACTTGATGGCAGTTCTATAGAGTGGATCAGGGTCGGCACAACTGTTGCTACGAAGTTAGTCATCAATTCGCGTTGTCATTGCTACCACCGTCTCACATCTAACCTGAAGCCAGTGCTCTTTTAGAAAGGAAAGGTGAACGGTTTGCCTTCTTGACTACAAGAGGCTTCAAGGATGTATGCTTGATAGGAAATCAAACACGACCTAAGTTATTTGATCTCAATATTAGGAGACCTGGGGTACTTTACGACAAGGTGGTCCCGATATCTGGGCGCGTCACGATTGAGGATTATGTGTTGAATCCGTACCCTTGCAACCATGACTTCAGCGACACGGCATTAGTCAAAACTGCAAGCGGAGATGTAGTAAGAATTATCGAAGATTTAGACGAAGATCACACCAGGAGGCAGCTAGTGGAATTGAAAAGCGCAGGTTACAAATCGCTTGGGGTCTGCTTCGTTCACTCCCATATCTTTCCGGATCATGAGCGAAGGGTTGCTGAACTTGCGCGAGAAATTGGTTTCGACTTTGTGACAATCTCTTCGGATTTGAGTCAACAAGTCAAGTTCGTGAACCGAGCAAATTCTGCATGCGCAGATGCTTACCTGGCGAGAACCGTACGGGACTTTGTGGACGGGTTTTCTGGCAACTTCTCAATTCAACCACAAAGGCTTGAGTTCATGCAATCGGATGGTGGCCTTGTAAGCAGCAGCAAGTTTTCGGGGTTGAAAGCTATACTTAGCGGGCCAGCTGGTGGCGTAGTTGCCATCGCTAAGACGTGTTACGATGAGAAGGAGGGAACACCTATCATTGGGTTTGATATGGTATGCTTTAAACAACATATACTTTGCGCACGAATGCTAACCGAAGTTAGGGTGGCACAAGTACTGACGTCTCGAGATTCGAGCGCTCCTTTGAACATGTCTTCGATACCACTATTAGTGGGACAACCATTGCTGCGCCAATGCTTGACGTGAAGACCATTGCGGCTGGAGGAGGATCGATCCTACAATGGAAAAATAAGATGTTTGTAGTTGGACCTGAGGTAAGTCCAAGTTGTGCTGTTGAGATACTTTCAGCTAATAGATTCTCGAGAGCGCTGGTGCTCATCCGGGACCTGCATGCTACAGGAAAGGAGGTCCCCTGACAATCACAGATGCCAATCTCTTACTAGGTCGACTCGTTCCAGAGCAATTCCCTTCCATCTTTGGTCCTAACGCCAATGAAGCGCTGGACACAGCAGTAGTTAAGGAAGGGTTCAAGCATCTAACCATTGAAATCAACTCCGACACTGGGTTATCTTTCACCCCAGAAGACGTCGCTGCTGGTTTCATTCAGATGGCTGACGAGACCATGAGTCGGCCCATTCGAAATATTACGGAAGCTCGAGGGCACGCGTTGAACTCACATAATCTCGTAAGCTTTGGGGGAGCAGGAGGCCAGCATGCTTGTTCTATCGCCCGAAACCTCGGGATCCCGCGCATCATTATTCACAAATATTCTTCGATTTTGTCTGCATACGGCATTGGTCTTGCCAGCGTTGTCTCTGATCAGTCTGTTGCTGTATCATATACAGCGTCAGCCAAAACCTTGCCGTCAATTCTAGAAAAATTGGCGACACTCAGAAAACAAGCTGAAGATGACCTAATCGCTCAAGGCATCAAGCCTAGCTTCATTCAATACGAGAATTATGCTAGTCTCCGTTATGAGGGATCAGATACCAATATTAGTGTGCTCCAACCGCGAGACAATGACTTCGTCAAAGCATTTGTTGATCAGCATCGCCGTGAATTTGCTTTTGAGCTGGCTGGCCGCCCAATCGTTGTGGATACTATACGTGTACGAGGGACTGGAAATATGGACATGGCTAAGGTGAAGGAGAGTCTTTTTGATGAGCTTGGATCGATCTCGACTAATGTATCTCAATCACCCTTTACTGCTGTCCACAGAACTTTCTTAGATGGTGCGTGGAAAAGTATACCGCGCTTATACCTCAGCGAGTTAGAAGTCGGAACACGTTTTTCTGTAAGAACATCCCATTCCCCTTATCTCTTGATACTTGCTAACTTCAAAGGGACCCGCATTAATCCTAGATGCAACGCAAACGATCCTCATTGAGTCCGGATCAATAGTCTCAATCCTCAAATCGCATATTGTTATAGACCGCCCCGAGTCTAAGAGAAGTAGTGGAGAAGACTGTGAGGTCGTCAACCCCGTGCAGCTAACAATGTTCGCGCATCGATTCATGTCCATCGCAGAACAAATGGGCCACACTTTGCAACGAATAGCTATTAGCACAAGGTAACTTCTTACATTTATGTTCAGCAGCGTCCCATCAATGCTAACGTTTCCCAGTATAAAAGAACGACTTGACTTTTCATGCGCCATCTTCTCCCCTGATGGAAAGCTAGTTGCAAATGCACCTCGTAAGTAAGTTTCCAGCTGTATCTAGTTAGATTGCTAAAAAGACCTCCCCACTAGACGTTCCGGTCCATCTGGGCTCCATGCAATATGCTATCCAATGGCAACATGAGCATTGGAAAGGCAGACTCAACCCTGGTGATGTTCTTTTGACAAACCATCCTGGTTAGCCATTCTTTCTTAATCTATGAGATTTACTGACACGAATTTCAAGAAACTGGAGGCACGCATCTTCCCGATCTCACTGTGATTACTCCCGCTTTTCACGCCGAAACCAAACAAATTATTTTCTATGTTGCTTCCCGTGGTCATCACACAGATATTGGGGGCATTGGCATAACTAGTAGTAAGTACCAAGCGATTTTTGATAGGCTCCTTTTGGCCAGCTCTGGAATTGCAAGCGCTGCTAGCTGGTTCTATCGGGCTACAATCTGCTTCAATGCTGACTTGACTGACCTAGTGGCTCCTGACGCAACCGAGCTCTGGCAAGAAGGCATCGCTATCAAAGCAATGAAGCTCGTAAGCAACGGCGTTTTTGAAGAAGAATCTATCCGCAAAGTCTTCCTAGCAGTAGCAGATCTCCCAGGCTGCAGCTCAACCCGGCGCCTAAACGACAATATCTCGGACTTGAAGGCCCAAATAGCAGCCAACCAAAAAGGCCTGAATCTCATCAGCGAGCTTTGCCGATCCTATAGCCTCCCCTACGTACAATTCTACATGCGCTCCATCCAGCAGAACGCCGAACTCGCAATCCGCGAATACCTACAACGAGTATACTCCAGGTTCAACGGCAAGGCGTTGCAAGCTATCGATTACTATGACGACGGAACGCCAGTCGTAGTGAAAATTACTATTGATCCCGAAACAGGCTTCGCACATTTTGATTTCACTGGTACGGGCGAAGAAACATACAGCAACATGAACGCGCCCCCATCAATTACATCATCCGCAATTATGTACTCTCTGCGCGCTATGATCGATAGCGATATCCCGCTCAATGAAGGCTGTCTAGCACCAATACGAGTCACCATTCCCCCCTCCACAGTACTGAACCCCTCTGACGCCGTCGCCATCTCCGGCTCCACAATCGCCAGCCAGCGCGTAACGGACCTTATCTTAAAAGCGTTCCAAGCGTGTGCTGCAAGTCAAGGCTGCGCGAATTCGTTGGGCTGGGGAATGGGTGGCAAGGATGCTGATACTGGGCATGTGCGCCCGGGGTGGAATTACGGGGAGAGTATTGGCGGCGGGAGCGGTGCGGGTCCGGGGTGGCACGGGACGAGTGGTGTGCATGTGCATAGTACTAATACCAAAATCACTGATCCTGAGATCATTGAGAAACGTACGCCGGTGTTGGTACGCAGGTATGAAATACGGGAAGGAAGTGGAGGGGTAGGGGAGTTTCAAGGGGGATGTGGAATTGTGAGGGAGATTGAGGCGAGGGTTGATTTGAAGTTTAGTGTTGTTAGTACAAGGAGGACATATAGCCCGTATGGGATGGCTGGTGGTGGGGACGGCAGTGTGGGGAGGAACTTTGTGTGGAGGACAGGGGGTAGAAAGGTTAGTATTGGGGGCATGGCGGTGGTTAATGTGAAGGCTGGGGAAAGTATCGAAATCAATACTCCAGGTATGTTACTCCAAGTCCATGTTATTAATGGGGGGGTACTGACTGATTGTCGCTAAGGGGGTGGTGGTTATGGCCAGTTGCCACAGGGTGAAGAAGTTGAAGATCGTCTTGATACACGCCCAACACCAACATTTCAAGCATAAAGGTTTCGTTTACTCGTTCATTAATAGGGAAAAATGCGTAGATATTTCCCCCCAAAACGGTTGCTTTCATCCTTCAATTACCAAAGGTTTACTGAGGCTGGCAGTGATTGGCAGTGGCAATGGCAATGGTAAGTTGGAGTTGTGCGAGAAATCTTTGCTGCTTGTATGTATGCAATCTCAGTTTCTCAAATACTTTACAAATGCATCTCTTGACACATGCTAGCATACCCTTTTTATAACCTGTCCCTGCTGTAGGTCAAACCCATCTGCAAACCCTTGTACCTGCCAATAGAATAAGAGTTGCCAAATCGTTTCTTTATATTTTTATCAATTCACTCGACGATTGTTTGCGGTTGATACCACGTTTCTCGCCCACCCGCACAACCTACTCCGACCTGCAGTTCAAAAATTACAATTTGGTTTTCACGCACGCTCTAAATACTCAAACCAATCTGCAACTCTACACCTACGTACTCCAGGTAGCTCGTCGACTGACCGCATAATGGCTATTGGCAAGCAGAAGAAGCGCAAGAAGTTTGACGGCCTCAGGAAATTGCATGAAAATCATGTAGCGCAGCGACCTGGCTACGCTCGCGCCAAATTGACCTTCCCTGCAGTCAGCGGCAACTTTCAACACCTCACTAGTCAAAATCGATACAAGGGGTATATACTGAAACTCAAGCAAACCAACCTCAACCCTTTCATCGACCGTCCCGTCCTCGAAGCCTGTTGGGTACGACAGTGCAAGGAAAAGGCAGATGTATGGAATGGCCAGGGTAATTGGAAGAAAAAGTCAGGCAAGAGGCTGACTGAATTAATGGCCGCCGCTGCCCAGATGGGAAACTCTCCTGATTTTGACGTTGATGCCTTTTGGAAGCAAGAGGTTATTGAGACTGAGAAAGGCTATAAACTCGATGTCGAAGTCGGTTCTTACTGGCCCCTACATCCCGTACTTGCTAACATTTTCGTAGTCTACTTTTGATCACTCGACTATTCACCTGCCAGAAGCTGAATGTCTCTACGACTCCGACTCCGAAGACCTTAAGCTTGAAGTCATACAGAAACAGCTGTGTGACGAGTCCCTTGGAAGACTTGAAGCCAACCGCTTAATTCTTCCCTCTGTTATTACACTCAACGAGCCCGACTCAGACGACGAATCCGATTCCGAGTTAGAGTCCGAGGACGATCTGGAAGAACTGGCAGATGAAATTGACTTCGAGTCAACGAGCGACAATAGCCCTGTATCTTCCACCAGCAACTGTCTACCAAGTACTAGCAATGGCCCCGACTCATCCTCCAGCGACGAATCCGACTCCGGGCCCACGATTGGCAATAGCCACGATCTATCCTCCTGCGAATACCTTACTGCGGTCGATCAAGAAGCATGCGTTGGACAGGTTGATGAGCACAAGGTTGATTGTGGGAGCAAGGAATAATGGAGTCAATCTTGTGTAGTTTGGCTGATGTTGTAATACATTGGACTAGCAAAAAGAAGCGATACGGATGAGAAGTGAGTATGAATGTAGACGAAGGAAGTGACATGTGCAGTTTTGGATTGTAAAGTGCCGTATGTATACCAGAGTATTTAAAGATGCTTGGTTGAAAGGTGTACATTGCTCTTGTGAACTGAATCTGTGCATAATCAAACGGTAGAACCTAGCAGGTTCTAGCGAGTGGTATGAGGTTATGCCAACTATAATGGCTGGAAAATTTTCTCAGATAGATCTATATTGTGGGTTCGATTCCCTCGTATAACTCTTCTGAGTACAGATTATTTTTGCATCATTTTAGATTCCTATCAGGTCGCACTACAGCAAGGGGCTTAAGCGACTTCCCCCTTTTAAGCCTCTAAAGTATAAACGCACTCTATTATTAATGATTTACTACCTCTTAACCTCACATACCCTGTCCAATTGATAGAGAGATAATTTATTTCGAAATTTCAGTGCTTGCTGGGAAATAGAAATGCAGAATATGCGGTCTTGATGAGAGTCACGTGATTTTACGATGCTGGCTTGGATGACAGTGGGATGTTCGAGTATCTTAGTGATTTGGTAGGATGAGGTATTCAATTTGAGAATTTGGCTTGACAGAAGCATGGGAAGGCTCGGTAAGGGTTGAAGCACCAAGAGCATATTGAGAGTGTGAGATGCTGCTTATGTAAGCTGCCCTCGAGGTGCATCAGGTGGGCCTTTACGTCCCGTGTCAGTAACTGCTTGAAAAGTACTAAAATTAGAATGAAGAGGTTAATTCTTAGAAGTTACACTAAGGATTGAGAACAATGCCTTCCCTTAATAGATATCGCCAGCCAAAACGAAAGATTGATTTACTAGGATATTATTTACGACAGACGTCCCAAATCTAGGGGAAATATGACCTATAGTAACAATCGAAACCCCATCAAACGCTTTCTCGCTGATGTGAAAACTAATGTGCCATGCATGCTATGCGTTGCTATATGATTATCAGAGACCGAGAGCGTATATATGAACAGTATGTGCATGTGAATACATGGCGCCCCCCCGTCCCCAGTCCCCGTACGAAGATTCTCAACGTACGCTCCACCTCCATTTATAATACGTACAACATCCATATTCATGTAATCCCTCCAATATCGTACCGTCGTCGATGCGTCGCTTTATGTAAAATGCAATGTCGTTGTCCCAGTTGACCCGGTTGACAATTCCAAGAAACCCAAAAGTGCAAAGAAACCAACACCGCTACTCTAAATCGTCTCTCTATGATCTCTCTATGCTCTATTTCTTTCCTCCCCTTTGAGGACTCTCTGCGAATCGAATACCCCGTGGCTTTGCGACAGGTGGCGGCACACGCGGCGTATCATCATCTTCGCTATCACTGTCATCTTCCGCACCCTCATCACCAAATCCCAATGCAGCCTCTCTCCGTCGCTTCTCCGCTGCTGTTTCAACCTCGGGGTCGTCCAGATCCGGCTCGGCTTGTCTTGCTCTACCTCTTTGCGCAGGAGTGACATCGTCGATGCCTTTTAGAGCCTTCTCTCTTCTCCTGCGCTCTGGAGCGGTTTCGCCCGTATTAGTCGATGGAGACGCCGGTTGCTTGCCGGGCGAAGTTTGCTTTTTGTATTTGGTTGGAGCTCTTCTTCGTACGGCGCGTTCGTCATCGCTGTCGCTTGATTGCTCCATGATCGGCGCTCCCCGCTGACGTGCCATTTCTGCGCCTAGAGCTGTTGCAGTGCGGGTGCCGGAAGCTGCTTGGTGACCTACGGCCTTAAGCAACCTACTGCTGCCAGGACTATCGGTACTAGCGTCTTTCTTGGCTGCAAGTTTCATCGCGGGGTCTGCATTGCTATTTTCAACAATCTCACTTCGAGCCTGTGGGTCTAGAGCTTGGATTTCCTTCAGGAAATCCTCTTTGGTTAGACGGCGGCCAGCGCCACCGATCATAAACCTAATACGCCGGTCGTCGTCTTGGTCATCTTCACCGTCGTCTTCACCTCGTTTCTTGCCCGTCCATGTGCTCATCCTTGAAATGCCTTGACGAACTACACCTGGCGTCGCAGTATTTGAAGTCGATGCCCCAACGTTGGCATTGGAAGGTTTGCTACTGAAACCAGTCCAAGTTCCCATACGCTGAATGCCTTGCCGTGTAGCACTTGGCTCGCCTTCTCGCGGGGGCTTCGCACCTGCGGGAATATCATATTTCTTTACAACTTCTCCGTCTTCATCTTCAACGATAATCTACAGGAAAGAGTCAGTGGCCACCCAATAAATGCGCTACAGGTAACTCACAGTATTACCAAATTGATAAGCTAGAGCCGGCCCACGCGTCTTGTGGTGCTCCTTCTTAGTCTTTTGGGGATTCTCATGGATTTCTCCACCTGCCTCGTCCTTGTGCATCCAGACACCTAGCTTCTTCCGGAGGTTCTTGACCCCGTGTGCTGGATAATCTTTATCTCCGAAAGGTTCCCTTTCGACCTGTTTGATTTTTCGACGGGTCCTCGATGGACTGAGTTCGGTACTTAGGACGTCCCCGTCTTCATTTTCAATAATTACATCATCCCCTTCTTGGTAAACCTCTGTTGCTTCCGGGTGTCGCTCTGCATCCGATCGATGTTGGTCTCGCTTCTCATCGTCTTCATGCCGGTGCAAGATTTCGTGCATCTCAGGGTCATCCTGCACCTCTCCAAGCTCGCCCTCGTTCTTCTCGTCATCATCGTTTGCCTCCGCTGGGGATTCTCCGGGTGTCAAAGTATCTGAAACACTTACATTTTCACTCTGACTCCGGCGCTGAGGATAAATTGCAGACTCGCTGACAGGACCTCCAGGACCGTGACCATCGTCCCACTTTTTCTTGCGTCGGCGTGGGATGATTGACGACGCCCGACTTCCGTTATGACTCGGGTTGTCTTCTTCCTTCTGACGGCGAAGAAAGTTTCCTGGCATGCCAATAGGAGGAAGAGACCCAGGAGGCAAGTCTAGTGGCTCTCCATCTGTCTCTGATGCGACAGATTTCGCCTGTGACCTTGATGTGGACGAGATACGCGGAAGTCGATTCATCCAATTCGGGCCGTCCGGGCCAGCTGTTGTATATGACATTGTTAAGTGAAGTGTGTTGATATGCTTACCAAGCGTGAAAACTGCAATTGATGAGCCGTGGACAAGGATTGATGATATGACGAGGAAAGTTGTGATAGGCCAGATAAGCGCAACAATGATGTAGTTTTTCGCCTCTGGGTCAGTATACGTTGCCAAAGGTGTGGTTGATCCTCCCTCCAGTTCAGCTCTGGCAAGAATAGCAACAAAAATAGCTCCGACTCCGATGGGGCCAAAATGACCCGCAAACAAAGCCTCTCGCCATGTTTTGATATCAGGTATCAAAGGTTTCAGTGCCATCATGACAGGGATCCGGCGGAAGAAAATGACGAAAAGAGCAATGACAACCAACCTCCACGGCGTAAGACCAATAGCGGCGTTGTTGTATTGTTCCCAGGGGATGATTGTGCCAAGGTAGACAAAATATGCCAGATTGAGCAACAGATCAATGACGTTGGAGACGTGAGATTCTTCTGTCTTTTGTGTAAACCATCCATCATTAGAGAATCCGACACCTGCAGCGAAACCGACGAGTAGATCATCAACACCTAGGATACTTCCAGACCCAGCGCAGAACAGGGCGAGGACGAAGTAGAAGACGAGAAAGCTTTCCCGGTCCACGAGATCGTGCTTTTCTGCTAGTTTAATGCCATGTCTGCCAATGTATCCAACCATGAAACCATAAAAGGCCCCAAAAACACATTCATACAGAATTGTAATTGCGAACCAATGAAGGGAAACGGCATTGGGTTCATGTCTGTACTCAATAATATACAGAGCAAGATAGATGAATGGAAATGCCATGCCGTCGTTACAGCCGGACTCGGCAGAAAGGACATCTCTCAAATGTTTCGGCACTCTTTTGGCGAACTTGCCTTTACCAACAACGGAACTGGCGAGGACAGGATCTGTAGCAGTAACACAGGCCGCGCAACACAAACTCTCTAGCCAGTTCAGCGTAGGTATCATCCACCAAATGAACAAACTTGTAACCAGCCATCCAAATGTCATGACTGGTATTAGCAGGAACACCACACTGCGCCAGTGCTTTTCCATATAATACTTTGGTAATTCTACACCGACGGCAAAACATTGCACAACGAGCACGATGCGGGAGAATTCAAGTGTTATTTGGTCCGTGTTACCCCATGTGTCTGGATCGATCAGATTCGCCGCGTGAGGCCCGAAAATGACCCCACAAATGGTGGCTACGGTTGCTTCGCCAATGTACAATCGCTCCTTGATGAATGAGGAGCACAGCATGAACAAGGAGGTGAAGCCACCGAGGATGATATAGACCAGATGCGGCCGATTGATCGAGAGGTGCTCCCACGCCATCTTGATTGCGATTCGATTGAAGACTCGGCTTTGAAGCTTGTCGTCAAAATTTATACTGTTTGTAATCGAGGAGTTTCAGGCCAGCATAGGTGTGTAATTTGTAGAGTTTTCGCAAGAGGATTCTCGGTGATCGTCTGTGGGAGGTAGGTAGGGGTCGATGTCGCGATTTTTGTTGGATTGATTATCTGACAGGTCTTCCAGTGACTGGCCGATTCGCAGAGCTGCCACGCAGCAGGAGCGTTCAACGGAACAAGTATCCAGGACAACTAGCAATTGAGATGCCTGAAGTTGAAGCAACGGTTTGTGGTGAAGTCGCGGGGGGCGTGAAATCTTTTCTAAAGTGTTTCCTTCCTTTTTTTTTGTGCACCTTCCTGTGTTCAGGTACCCGTGCCTTTGCCCTTCCTGATCCCCCAGTCGGTCGATTCTGTCAAGAGTATTGGATGCGCTCGAAGCATTCAGACTGTTGGTGCGCCCAGTCGCCGCTCCGTCAGTATATGTACAGTTATTTGTTCCTTCTCCCGGATGGTACCACTGGTCCGGTTACTGCGCGCGCACGGTCAGTGATTGTCAAGTCCCGCGAAGGTCGTATTTGGTGGAGGTGAAGATGGAGGTGGAGGTAGAAATGGCGATGCGATTCGGAATAAATAATATGGGAAAGGCGGGTGGTGATGTGATTTGATTGAGGATTGAAGATGCCAAGTCGGCTAAGAACTTTTGGCTGGTGCCGTCCTTTTTTCAACCAGCCGAGTGGGCTAAGCTTGCACTTTATACTCGTGAGGACGAGTCGCAAAGATAAAAGTAAATAGCCAAGAATGCCCAGACCGAGGAGGAGTGAAGAAGAGAAGTTCGGTGGGAGAGAAAGACTCGGTCGAATCGGGTCTGTCGGCTTGGCTGGTCTGGGCAAGACAAGGGACCGCGATCCTGGTGATCTAGATTCTAAGGTGTTGCTTCCCTTCCCTACGAGTACCCTGCAATCTCCATCATACTATATTCAGCTGCCAACAACCAAAAAAAGGAATCAAATAGCTATCCCAATCACCCCTGGGATATGTCTGATAGCTCTGAATAGTGTCACAATTGCTTTTTCTGGTTCCATGTCCACTTTATGCTCTAGCTACAACAACATTGGACCCCACGAGTCAGAGGAGCTACGCGTGGGCGATACGTCATGGCTATTGGACATTGGATGAAAGGAACTTTTCTGCCAAGCCATCCAAGGCCCAAAGCAGCATACCGAAGTGGGGGGCTCTTGTCTGGGCGGTGAGGGTGAGGAAGGAGCGACCGTGCGCCAAACATGTGGAGGGGAGGTTTGGAGGCCCTCTTTGCGATCTTGGGTCGTACTCGGTCTGGTCTGGACATGGAATGGCGTGGCATCATACCATATGCCACGCCATGCCATGACTTTACCTTATCGACCATGAAATTGATTACCTGGTGGTTGCTTGACATGTAGTAAGTAGTTTCCCGCATTTACAATCACAACTGAAAACTAATGTGGCCTCAGAACGCCGTCGAATAAAATGCAATGCAACAAGACCCCATTACCAGGCGTGTGGCAAATCGTCCCGAAGCTGCCATTGGAAGACCGAGACAAAACTGGCTGTACCGAATCTTAGAGGGCAGTTCGTCCTCAAGAGGCGTCTAATGAACTTGTCCGAGTCCGACCTGCCAAGGCCCTTCAATTTATTGAACGCGAAGCTTACTACTTCTGCGCCTTCCAACAAGATGATACTTCGCGAGAGCTTCAGGCTTTCGCAAGTCTATAGCTTGGACGCATGCAATGTTGCAATCGTCTCACAGCGAGCCGTTTGTGCTTCGATCCTTGGTAGCCATAGGAGCGCTGGATAATCAAGATGTCACATGCCGCTGTGAAACCAGAGCTCCCTGGTTAATAGTCTGCTCATAGCAAACCAACATCGACAATTTGCCTTGGCTACCTACGACAAGGCTATTATCGGGATGCGGCGGATGACACCAGATCTCGACAAAATTGCTCATCTCCGGAAGACGTTGATAGCATGCTTGCTAGTCAATTGCATCGAGTCATATTTACAGGATCCTAATACAGCATATCTGCATGCTCAAGTAGGTTACGACATTCTCCATGGATGGACTGAAAACTCTCCTCACAAGGCAACTGGGCTAGGTTCACTGAATAGCAGCATTATCGAGGATGATAGATAGAGCGAATTCGTGCGCCAGGGTTCGTCCACGGCGTTATGACAATAGCGGACTCCAAACCAACCCAAACGCCAGGGCCACAGATGCAAAGATATAGAACAATGTGGGAAATTGAAAGGCAACTTAAGCGATATCAGTTCAGACGGCGTGAGGGTACCTCAGTAGTGCAAAATATGCCCTTATCGTTCTCGAGCATTGACGAAGCAACCACCAGGAGCTTTTCCTACGGCGAACTTTCCATCTTGTGGGATAGACGTTCACTCGCATCGTCTCGATCAAAAGCGAATCTGGTCACGCATATACGGCAGACAGTCGAGAGGAATCGTTAGATCCATGTCATATTCCTGAATTGCTTCTAGGAGATCACAATGGGTATATTCAGGATAATAGGCGGTGGTGCAAAGCTTTCGACCCTATTTTTGATAGTTCTCTAGCTTCTCTAGACACAGAAACCTCCATGGGCGCAGCACTACTTCCAATCCACGCCTTAGAAGCTGAAATTTCACTTGCGGGGACATATTTCAGAGGAATATTCCTTCGACAAGTATGTCCCCGATTTCAGAGAGATCGTCGAACTCTCTCGATTTGTCGTTCAAACATCCGCCCAAAAATCGCCGAAACTCGAGCCTATTTTCAATCTCGACATTGGGATTGAAACGGGTCTCTATTCTACCGCACTATACTGCCGCGACAAAGACATCCGCCACAGAGCACTCCACATCCTATGTTCACAAGCATACCGCGACGCCACCAACAACATATGTCTCATGATCGCCCGAACTAGCTTTATTGTCAACCTCGAAGAAAATGGCAGGCAAGAAGACGGCAGTATCCTCGAAGAAGCACGGTACCGCAGAAAATGGCTGCTACCCGTTGGCCTGAGGCCAACGGGTAAACCACCATTTCAAGGAGTCGCGAAATCTGACAGTAATGTGTGCACGACGAGTCGGATACCCATTAGGGGAACTCTATTCAGAGATGCGAATGGAGATTGAGGACTTGGACACAGGCTGAGCTGGAGAGCATAGCTATCAGTACCAACTCCGAGCATCCACTTGGACAGGATGAACTCAAGCCCCAGCCAACGACGCTGCGGAAACCGGGCTGTGTGAAGTGGGCGGAAATACAAGCTAAGCTGCTACGAATCGTCAGAGATACCCACCTAATTAAGCATCTAATAGATCTGTTCACATCCATTTTCCTCATATATATCAAAGAAAATACTACTATCTTCAAAGCCATCTATCTCTATCTCTTTCCTTCACAAACCCATCATTACTAGTGCAAAGCATTTCCCATTGATTCCTCCATTTCCCCAGAAACGCATAATCACTTAACTAGTACAATGCCTCCCATCCATATCTCTCACTCATCTCTCCCATTTACGTGATGCCTAAATCTCACCTACACTTAAAGCTCATACTAGCCCTACCACCCCACCTCTAGCTCCGTGCTACTCCAGAGGGCTACTCTAAATCAAATGTACCGAAGAGCGTATAGTACGATGCCCTGCCCTGGTCTCAATATTTCGGCTGGGTCAAGTAGTACGCTGTACGAGTAGTGTTGCGAGAAAACCCCATAAAATAGGTATCATAAGCTCTTTCCTTAGCTATAACTAAACGCTGCTGTCAATTATTCAAGCTGTTCTTTCCCCCACATTTTGCGGCTGGTGAATGATGGATGATCCCCTCCGCCGCTAAGGTCCTATTAATAGAGTAAGTACTTATTAGGCTTCCCATCTACTAAATCAGTACCGCGCGCGCGTTTAACAAATCTTCTTTACAAGTACGGGCCTCTCCTTCGACTTGTACTCGGCTAGTATTTGTAGTACAGGTTCTGCTAAAGGAGAGTTCCTAGGTAGATAGGTAGATAGTTTCGGAGGTAAGCTCATAAAAGATCTAGCTAGATTTTAGTAATAAGGAATGTTTATATTGCGGGTCGCTCGTATAGATAATAGTTTGGCTTAGAAGTAGTAGTAGAAGTTCTAGACTCTAGAAGAGTTTGAACAGGATCTGAAATCCGGCTTGTGATAAACGTTATTTCTGCTCCGAGGCTCACCTCACTTACTACTTGTTGTGCCGGAATAGACATTCAGTGAGTGGTATCAGGGACGGCAAATTATATCGTGTCGTGTATTTTGGTAGTATTAGAGAGCAACCCCAATGCATGCTCCTTCTTTATGCGCCAACTCCGTGGTATATACTCTGAATCTTCGCCTCCATCGCTGCTTCCCAATGGTATCATTAATGCCGCCAATGACGTCCCTATGCTTATATACACAATGCTCTTCAATGATGCACCGTAACCGCCCATTAATTAATCAGGCGTCCCTAAATCGCCGATGCAATAATTCATTTCATATGATGCTTGTAATGCTCATCCGTTCGTTCCTCTGATCTCGTTCTGGACCTGTAGAACCGCTACCAGGAGGACCGCCATACCTAGGAGGCAAGGGATGCCCATAGCCGCCCTGCTCCCTCGCCAGAACACCAACCAGATACTCGACTCTCTCCCACCCACCCCAATCTCGTGCCTCTACATCCGTCAAGATCGTCGTTCCCTCCTCCCTACCACCGCTCATCAGCGTGGCACTTGGTCCAACCGCACCACTATTCGCCGTGATATTCATCCCCGTCTCACTACCAGCCCACACCCAGCTATTCTCCGTGCTCGCTTGCAGGTCGCCGGAGACATACGCCAGTATCTCTTCGTCCATCTCTGGCTCGCCGCGGTATCCTCGACTGCCTGCCATCCCGCCCGCACGCCGCTTCTCAATGAGCACTCCGAGGAAGAAGGCTACGTTGCGTCCACATGCGACGTTGACGTCTCGGAGTGTGGCGACGTTAGCTGATGCGCGGATGCAGGTGAGAGCTGCGTCGAAGTGACCGCCGAAAAGGAGGAATAATGTACAGCGCCATATATGCGTACATGTCATCGCGTTGGCCGTCGGGCCAAAAGGGGGGTTTGCGGGATGCAAAGACGCTGATGAAGCCGTGGCCCGCGCGAACAGGTTTGCGGAGTCCAAAGATGTTCTGATGCACTGCTCTATTGCATTTGCACGGATCTCAGGTGGGCAGGAAGTTGTAAGGTTATGGCGATGAAGGACAAGGCGTGCGTTCATGAGGTGGCAGATTGGCGCAAGCATACGAGGGTTCAGCGGCTGGGTTGCAGTAAGCTGGCAGGCTGGTGGAAAGGAAGACATGCAAGAGGAGAAGTGCGTATCGAAGGTTGCGAGGGTTGAGGAAGAGATGACGGGTGATTTTAACGTCTTGATGAGTTGGGACACCGCACGTACGACGTGGATAATGGGAAGAATGAAATTGGTGAGAGGAGAAACACCATTTGGGACTAGCATACCAGCATCGTGGATATAGTGATCGTCGATAGCTGCTGGAAGACTGACGTCGCAGTCTGCATCTTCGATCAGGAGAGGCCGGCCAAGCTCAAGGGACATGTGCCGGTCCCAAACATAGATTCCCCACCAAACTCTTCTCCGCATTTCTCCTTCGATCATAGGCCATGGACCAGTTTCAGAGTGAAGACCAATATCTTGAGATATCCGGACAGCTGATGCAAGCCATGTCCAAGCTGCCGACTTGAGATTCAACTCAGTAAGGAAAATGCTCGTCAATATTGCTCCTCGCGCATGGTCAATGACAAATTCGTCATTCCACAAGTCGGTCAACATGTGCGATATCTCGATAAACTCTTTCCCTTTTTGCGGACGACGTATGCTCGGATCTGAACTGAAGAGCACCCCAACTGCCAAGACAGAGAAGAAAAGGGAAGCCCATACTGGCGGCACACCATGCAGACTCCCAGCTTTATATACAGCCTCATATTCTTGCTCGAAGGTTGGCCAATGTAGAATAGGAATGATCATATGCATGGATGCATAATACGAACCGAGGATGTGGTCTGCCATGAGTTTCGGTGGTAGGTCCGGACGAGGGTGATTGAAAGGTCCTTGTGATCCGATTTGACGGTAAGGCGCAGGTGGCTTGAAAATCCCTCGGCCAAAATTCCGAATATTCGATCGAACTCGCGCAAGGTCATGGGGTGGCGGCGGCCGTTGCTTCCTCTTTGGGTGGGAACCGATTTCAGGTAATTGCAAAGTGGCTTGCGCTGGGCCCTCATTATCTGTATCCATTTGACTATCTCTCATGTTCAACATGGACCGCAGTTGAGAGTTCTCTCTCTTGACTTGTGAGATTTGCTTTTCCAGATCTTGCACTTGCTTGATAGATGACATCCGTCGATTGGTCTCTTTGGTGAACTGGCATTTTACATTCCGACTCGAGCATTCAGAGCAGCTCGTTGTTTCTGTCGCATCGCATTTCACCTTGCGTTCGCGGCAAGCATCACAGCTCGGATCTTTCCTCCTCTGTCGATAGGCCCTTTTCTGCGCCTGCAAATTTGCAGACGACATTTGTGACCCAGAGGGACCAGGAGTACCACTCGAGGATCTCGTAGAAGCAGCCATTGAGTCCATTCCTGGTGGTCCTGGAGAAGTTGCTCCCGAGCTGTAGGGGTTTTGAAATCCGCTGTGAATTAATGGTAAATTGGCGTGTTGAGGATGTTGGCCGCTCATCGGTCTAGTTGAGGCGCCCATAAGGCCTCCTTCGTATACTCCTTGATTTCGAGGCGATGCTGCGGAGGAGACAGAGGAAGAGTCGTAAGACGACGTAGAAGGTATCGGAGACCTGGAATACGTATTATGTGATGATCCCGCCATCTTGAAGACCTGAAATCTACAATTTTATTCAAATGATAGCAACCGGTGTAGATGGACTAAAGCACAATTGTTCGTACGGGCTCGATCGGAGGAGGTGAACTTAAGGCAAACGTTTGGAGGCCAGCCTCATTGCACAAGATGTTGCTGAACCGTTAGATCCTCCGGGAAGGGAACAAACCTCACCGCAAGTGTCCGATGGGGTATTGTTTAAATGGCCGTTGACAACGTAACAATCAACAGCGATTGTTCCAGTCAGAAGACTACTTGGCCTCAGGAAGTGGTTTCTGGTATCTTTCTCGCCGGGCTGCAGTTTGGTGGGACGTCAGGGCTGCAGGCCTTCAGTGCGTCCGGGCTAGATATATTGTACCCCACCTGACACCAATAGCCAAAGGCACCAAGTGTCGGCAGCTAATCCGTACCAGAGGGGCTTCAACCTATGATAGGACAGTCATCAGCTAGGTGTGTGGCGAACAATGAAGAATATATGTGTGTAGTAGAGAAAGTCATGGTGTTGCAGTGCCAGTAATGGAAAAGAAAACTGCCGACAATGGAGAGGATGGATATGTGAAGAGAGCGATATTCCCAGGCGTGGGTCGTTCCGAGAAGGAGGGTATATGGCGGAAGCACAAGCATTAGGTTGCCCCCTTTAAGGCTGATTAGGAAATCTGGAGTAATAATAATCCAAGTCTTATTTGAAGCAAAAATTCGCAGAGCCCTGGCCAGCTTGCCTTGCTACCTGGACATCCCTGCTGCTCCGTTAAAGTAGCGATGGAGATGACTGAACCTTGCATCCATCATCCCCAGAACCTTGGATATCGGCAGGGGAGGGGAAGGGGATGGGCATGGAAGTGGGTACTCCGAGTATGAAGTGGGGGGGATGAGTGATACGAATGCGCCAAAACACCCAGGGGAAAAGAGGGGGAGGGAGACTCCCCGAATCAGGGCCGCGGCGCACAAAAAGACCTAGAGAGTGTCCCTTCAAAGTACTGTAGCAAGTGTGAACCACAGCTTGTAGGTTGCAACAGGTAGACATTACTGTCATAAATTTACTCGTACAACTCAACGGGAGGAATATGATGTGCATTGCTGATGGTGCGCTTCAGGAACTCGTGCAGGCTTCTCGGTAGATGAGCCGCTCCAGTGGGGGCGTCAATCAAGTAAATTGACAAACATACCGGGGAAGATGTTTCACAGTTTCAATGGGCATCCAGTGGTTACTAAGAACCTCTCGGGATGTGGCGTGACTGGGCGTTCCTGTAACGTTCTTTGCATACAGAGTACGTAGCCTGGACTTCAGTCTCCTTTCGGAACACTCTGCCGAAAGGTTCGGCCCGCTGATAGGTCCACGCTCGGGAGTAAGGAAGAGGAAGAGGCCCTGGTTCCAGAGGGTCTTTATGGAAGACACGAGGGCTAGAAGAATATGAAGTACCAAGTATATGGCGGTTTCTCAAGACGTCTTCTTTCCCGATTTCGTTGTAACGTCTCGACTGTACTTCAGGATATGCAACGGCACGTGTAGAAGGCTGTATGGTTATCCTCACTTTTGTGGCAGTAGTGGATAGATATATCTTCGCACAGTGCTACACGGCGCCGTCTTGACTATAGGTAGCCTTCCGGGAAGGAGATTTAATAGGCGAAACTGCTCTCAATCCTGGTTTGCAGGAGCGCGGATGCTAGGACAGGGTATATGGTGATCGGATAAGAGGTGGTACTTGCAACCCTTGCTATATGAAGCTCTTTACTCCGGACAGCGGGTTGTTTGTGGTGTCACCAGGGGACTTCGGAAAATGTCTCGACAGCGTGTTTTGGCCAAGATAAGCAGCGCCAGACAGTCAGACGGTGCATGCTAAATGTATGCGAGGCTGGTGTAAAGGATGTTTGCGTATTTGGCAAGTCCATGACAATGAAGTTTCTGTTCTACTAACATATAAATATGAGTACCGGCATGACTTCGAAAAAGCGCCGTAACACTCAACCAGCTTTCACACCGTCAAATCAACTAGGTGACAAGAACTTCTGCGGGATTTATAAGAGCCACGTGCCCAATAACGCAGTGCATTTGGCGTTTCATGTCTTAAGTCTCTGCATTTAGCCTTTTTGCTCTGCGGGCGGCGGAGATCCAGGCTGGAAGGTTCCGAGAAGTCCACCCGGTCTACTAGGGCTAGACACGATGAGATGGCGACAAGGAAGAGAATCCTTGAGTACGTGGACGCCGGCAGTATTTAGGCATGCGGTTGCATGGTTCAGGCTGGTCTATCCATCCTGTGGGGTGGCGTCGGTTAAGATGTGGACGTGGCCTGGGCTTATGACCGCCGTCAAAAGAAAGTAAGAAAGTCCGGGCTAGTGCTAGTTATTATCAAGTGTTTTATGGACATATCGATGCTATTAAGCTACTAACCTTGTAGGGTTAAAACTGATGCCAGAAGTTCCGATTAACGGTACGGTAGAGGTACAGTAGTACTGTAACCGCCTGTGGAACGTCAAGCTTGAGACGCCGCACGCGTGGACCAACACGTAAATTAGGTATATATGCAAACTTGTACAGTACCGGCGTCAAGGAAGAAGGGGTAACAGCCATTGGTGTACCCTATATTCGTGCAGCGGTCGAAACATCTTACGGATCTAGTTACCTCGGTTCCAAAGTTCCATAGTCCCATAGTTCCTTCCGGCTGCCGCGACGACCTATATTCAAAGCAGCGGCCTCGGAATCCTAGTGGTAAAACCCGAGTGTACTGATATTATTAGAAGTATATATGTGTTTCTGTAGGCTTAAAGGACTGGTGAAAGTTTGGTTTTGCCGCAGACTGGATACGAGTAAGGAGAGCACAAGACAAAACTTGTTTGCTTCAAGAATATGCCGAGATTGCATTCACCGGTATGGCCCTTGAATATTAAACATATATGTCCTCTAGTTTCAAATTTCAAAGCTTACACAGAGCGCGGAAATTCGTATCAATCTACGTCCTATATTTCAATGTCTATGCAACTATGCAACCTCCGAATGCTTGTGTCTAGAGCTTTTGTACTATTGTTCTGTGAGGACAAATTGAAGTTATTGATGGCTCAAAAAGGCTGGCTGAGGAAATACCGAGAATATCCCACTCCAGTAGTCTTAACTCTCAAGATCATTTAACCTTTATATATATATAGATCTTGAGGATCTTCCGTAGCACTATAATAAGGTTTGAGGTGTTGTGGAGACACCCGCTTTGTCCGAGCTTTAATCTGATAAGCACTCGAGTACATACATACAGTAAGTACGCTTTAAAATGCCCTGGGCACCAATGAGCTGGAGGGCGCTAGTTGTGGCGGGGGGTGTTCAAACTTTTGACACTCCACTGTATGTAAAGTTACTAAAGATCCCACAACCATATGGCATAACTTCTAGACCCTCTATGCCAAGCTCCATGCGTATCTGCGAATGGTTTCAAGTATTAAGCGTATTCGGATATAGCTTATAGTGGACAAGCATTGACAGTTACCATTTCCAGCAATCAAAAGACGGGAAACAGAGCTTCAAGCACTGCCGACGCTGGAAAGCTCCGTACTCCATACGATAGAGTATCCACAACGAGGTCCAGTACGCACCCTGGTTCCTACGGAGCGTACTCCGTATATCAATCAAGTTGGGAACTATGGAAGACTAGTTAGGCCTAATGGGTACGGTGACAGCATTCTAAGTTTCCCATATCGGCCCCTCTTCCCGAATTGAGGCTGCCACTGTCAATCTTCCCAGCGGGAAAATTGTCCTTGACACGGCTGAAGATTTACAAAAGGCCCGTAGACTTCCCACCGTTACAAAAGGCGGTTAGGATGCTTTGGCAGTAAGGGTGATGCCGGACTAGGAAATTTATATATACTTCGCATAAGACTTGCAGAAGCTTCTTTCATGTCAGATCCTGGTTTCCGGGAACGGCTCAGCCTGCCGGTAATTTAGACTGCTACCGTACGGAGTACCGAGCAGGCAGGTGTACCCAAGATCTGAAAATCTGACACTCGGCGGCCAAATTTCCTTTGCGGGAAATTTAACGTCGATCCCAGAAAGAGATCGGGCTAGAAAAGTGATACAGATCCATGGGATTACCAGAAACTTGGTCTCCACTTCCCGTCGATTAAATACGCGATGTGGAAGAAAGATTATGGAATGGATGTTCTGCAATTCTGAAACGAGATGACAGTTCCGGAGGTTCGTCAAGAATTGGCATGGCCGGCCATGCCGTCCAAGCCTCCAAGGGACCCCGAATGCTAATGTCGCAAGCTCGCAATATTCCGTCCTCGGTATACGGAGGACACTCCGTAAGCACAGCAAACATGCTCCGTACCTGCGAAGCCGATGATCCCTTCTGAAGCTTCTTTTTCGTACTTATTTCTTCCTCTCGGACATCAGATCTGATACTTCGTACTTCGTACTGTGCCACTGCCACTGCCCCTTGATGGTTTGGCCGCATACCTGCATTGCCGCATCAAGCGCTCCCCTAATCCCGAATAGTTGGCGTCCAGGTGTCCAGGTGTCCATGTCCATGTCCATGTCTGTGCAGGGAAGAATGAGCCCCTGTACTGTATATCTTGACCAGGATGAAGACGAAATTCTCCTCCCCAAGATTCGCTGCTCTAAGGTCGAGTTTAGGGCCCGAGGTAACTCTCATGATTTGCGACTTCGACTTCGGCAATTGTTCTATACCTTCTTGAAGATTGCTCGCAAGCTTCGCCTGAAACACATATCTCTTGCGATGGCGCGCTTGTCTGGCTATGATGAACATATCGGAATGGCAAGGGATGCGACAAAAACCTATACGCAGCTTCTAGACTTCCACGACGGCTTAAGCTCAAACACTAAACCATTAGGTACTACCGTACCTACCCCATCTGTACGAACTCTATTTGCCACTCCAAGTCTCCAAGAGGTTGTATTTTCCCTTACTCCGTAGCTTACTATATGATTATGTGGGTTCCCTTAAGTCGACTTACACTAGCCAAATCAGGAAGGGATTATGCATTGTGCAAAGCACGGATATGCTGACTTGCCAGGTACCTGGCGAGGCCAGCCTATACGCATCCATAGAAACTAAGATAATAACATATACATTTCTGCCATTTCTATTGCAAATAATTGATTGATTCTACGCATTTGGAATCATCAATTTGTAACGCTAAAAGCTTACTATCTGACTTACATTAATACCTGCTGGGATAAGTAAAGAGAAATGTTATATAAACCGACGCATATTAAAAGTTGGGAATAGTTACAGATACGCGACGCGACATGACGTGACATGACATGACACGTGTAAAAGCGACTTGAATTGGCTATTTGCTTCGGTGGGGCCCTAAGTCACTTCCGGCGTCGAACTAGTGCGTGCATTTACGTATGCATTTTATACTTTATCGGGTTCTTCCCCATTGGACCCGATTGGGTTGGTGTAAGTCGACTTAAGGGAATAAGGGAAACCCCCGATTTTGATTTCCATTCGGCACCCGCCGTGGTCCTACATATTTCCAAGCTCACCGCCCTGAAAACCATCAAATTCTGCCATCTGAAAAAAATGTCTGCGATAAAATAATCCTCACTTGTCAACTGCCCCGCCTGGGTGTGGATGCTAGCAATTGGACTTAGTTGTCGTGTCTGCTGCAAAACAATTCTCTTTCTGTTGTTTCATAATCACTACTCTTTCTTTTGATTCCTAGAAATCTCAATTTCCTTGTTCCCAAGACGTCAATTAATTCACATAAGACCAAAAGCCCAGTCAGGCAGGTCTTGGAGACGGCTGTATATACTTGCATACAATCCCGTTCTGTCGCTACTTCTACCGTTTACACTCCCTTATTACGGAAATTCCTAGTCGTTGCAGAAATCGATTCGATCCATAACAAGCACCACCTCTAAAATGTGCAAGTGCGAAGCAAGAACCCACCAGTTCCTCCTGGAACTCCCGAAATGTGAGCACCATCTGCATATCGAGGGCTCACTATCGCCGTCTCTCCTGTTCCGGTTGGCGAAAACGAACAACATTGCTCTCCCCAGCACAGAGAAAGACGAGTCCTTTGCGTCCCCTGAGGCACTAGAGGCTAGGTACGAGCGCTTCGTATCCCTCAACGACTTCCTCGACTACTACTTCATTGCTATGTCCGTTCTGATCACCTCTTCCGACTTCGAATCTCTAGCATACGAATACTTTACACGGGCACACAAGGATGGGGTCCACCATGCAGAGATATTCTTCGATCCACAAGCGCATACATCTCGGGGGGTAGCATACAGTACAGTTGTGGGCGGATTGGTAGCTGGGCAAGAGCGGGCTGAGAGGGACTATGGATTGACGTCCAAGTTGATCTTATGTTTCTTGAGAAACCTCCCGGTTGAGAGCGCGGATTCCACATACAAAGAAGCCCACGCTCTCGGGCACTTCTCAAATGGAACAGTAGCCGGTATTGGATTGGATAGCAGCGAGGTGGGATTCCCCCCGGAGCTTTTCAGAGAGGTGTATGAGTCTGCGGCTGCGGCTGGTATCCGGAGAACGGCTCATGCTGGGGAGGAGGGCGATCATACGTACGTTTCCCGGGCGTTGGATATTTGCAAGACGGAGCGGATCGATCATGGGATTCGGTTGGTGGATGATGAGGCGCTTTTGAAGAGGGTTGCGAACGACAAGACGTTGGTTACGCTATGCCCGCTAAGCAATGTACGACTGAGATGTGTAACCAAGGTTGCTGAACTGCCGGTTCGGAAGTTTCTTGACGAGGGGGTTAGATTCAGCATCAACAGTGATGATCCGGCGTACTTTGGTGGATATATATTGGACAATTATTGCGCTGTTCAGGAGTCATTCAACCTTAGCCTGAAGGATTGGAAGTTCATTGCTGAAGGTTCTATCGAGGGAAGTTGGTGTAACGAAGGGAGAAAGAAGGTTCTCTTGGAGAAAGTCGAGGCCTGGGCGCTGGCATGGAAGGAAATGTCTTAGGTCCGTCAATAGTGACATTTGCTTGTCATATCACCCAATATATAATGCTCTGTCTGTTCGTGTTTCCTTTCAGTTCACATCATGTGGATTTGAATATCGCACACCAGCAACTACGTACGTCAAAACAAAAAGACTTACCTGACGATAAATCTCACTCCCTAGTTTTGTTACTGATTCAGACCGTTTAGTGAAGTCCTGGTAAAGAATCATTGCCCGTATTGATACGCCTGGGATTGATTAGCTTAGAAACAGCCTTAACAATGGAGCCCGTTTCCAATGTATCTTATTGTCTTGCTTTGTACCAATTGTTCAACGTCATATTATCATTCCCTTCAACTACTGTTTCAAGATGGTTAAAAATGAGCATCCACCTTTTCTTCCTAGCTTGCTGTCCTGCCCCCGCACCCCACACCCACACCCATTTCCACTTGCATTGATAGACATTCATTCCCCCCTCTTGCGAGCAAAGAGTACATCTTTCATATGTTCGTGGTCGCAATAATACTTAGCAGCAGGATCCGATCCCGTGAGCCGTGGGTACCAGTGGTGGAATATCAATCACTTCTATAGGCCGGACCGGGTCGCTACGCTCGATGACCTCTACGCTGCATTTTCTTGGGGTTGTAAGCTAGTCGATAGGGCGATGTTAGAGTAGGTGGAGATGCTTGCAATATTAAGTACTGATTTGTCGATGACGGTTGAGAATGAGTAGGACAGGGAGGGACGTGGAGAAACTTTCTTGGCGTTTGCGAGTCTTTCGGTGAGAAAGATATCCAAAGCTTTCGAAACGATGCTAGGGTCCTGGCGAAAATAGGTAGGCATAGAAAGAACTTATATTTCGTGCGGTCTGGGGAGGGAAGGGGGTTGACATATTAGGAATATGTCGCGGTTGGAAACCAAAGTTCGGAGGACTCGTACATGTGTTGTGCGACCCTGGTACATTAGATATGGATTGGCTCGATATGTAAGAAGCGCTAGAAGTTGGAAATCTGGATGTATAACATACAATATGAAACCCGGGCATGAGTGACAAGATTATTCGACGTTGGTAATAGCAACGGCTGGAAAGTTATAATGAAGCTAGTCTGGTCTCGGTTCCCTCCCCTTTCCCCCTTTCCATTTTCGTTTAACGCCCGACTCGAAGGATTTTGTCTACGCCTACCTGGATCATCAAGTTACAGTTCATTTCACGAATTGTACTTTTTGTCTCACTCATATTTCATGCTACGTTCCCTAATTCCACCTCGAGCAGTGCGGATTCCCGCACCAGCTTGCAATTGTAAGCACTGTTCGCTTATATTCGAGTGGTGCCACGAAACGAAACAAAATAACGCCGCATGGACTGTGGGCTGTACCCGTACCCGAGAGGAGCCGGATGTGACGAAGATGGAAATATGCGAGTTTTTATGGGCGGCTTTTAGAGGGAGGCTGGATGTGTGACTGTCACAGCACTCTGCAGGCGGAACCTGCAACGAGCTTTCAAATGACAGGATGACTCAAATGCTAGTATGAATAGAAAAGTTGAAGGATGTAGAGGCGTCAAAATGTATTTTCAAACAGCTTTTAAATTCTACTTCCGCACAGACTTGAATGCATGGTTGAAAGTTTGTCAAGTCCCCTCAAAGAATACTAACTCTATTCCGTAGGTAACCTTTTTCAATACCACCACCTAAGGATCGTACTTAGCCATCTCAAGACAAGGAACCTGCGGTAATTCATGTTCCACCGAATACCAAAAAGCCTCGGTCTTTGGATCATCCATCGCATTACCGCGCAACATCTTCTCCTCAAACTCCTGCCTACTCTTCCCCGCATAATGATGCAAAGCAATCCTGTTTCTCGTGATCGGAGACCTGTATGCCAGATCTGTGACCGGATCCATATATTCCCCAACAGTGTTTACACCGTCAGACAATTCCCACACGTGCTGTCCCTTTGGAGCCACCGCCTTGCTCATACGCACAATCGATTTCACATGTCTATTATGCGAGTCATGGCCATCATTATCGACATCATCCCAAGTGCAGTTCACGAAAGCCTTGCGACTAGATTCCGGACGGGTTTTCAGACCCGAAGAAGTGTGCATTCTCCAATTCATCGCCAGGGCACCGATATCCTCATGTTTTTCAAATTCGTGCAACAGGTCTTGAAGCGTCTCGTTTCCGGCTGTCATTTCGATAAACTCATCGGCATCTATGAAAGCCATCCATGTGTGCTTGCTTCCATGATTCTTGAAGCAGCGATCGTATATCTCAAATTGTTCTGATTGACCCACGGCGCGGTCAAATGGTGATTGGGACTCGAATGTGATGTATTGCTCGGGGATGCCATAGTCTGTGAGCGCCGTGGAGAGAGGCTTTTCGGATCTATCGTCCATGATGTAGAAGCGTTGAATGTCAATGTGATGGTAATGGTGGATGAAAAACTCGGGCAGGTCGATGGCTTGATCTTTGACGGCTACGCAAAAGGCGACATAATCGGCGGGAGGGACCGGCTTGTCGAGAGCTGTTGCTTCATCCGCTTCTACGTTTTGTTCTTCATCTGCTTTCTGCGGATACGTCACATTCTCTGCTTGTGCTTTTTTCGAGTCTGGCTTTTTTGTTGGCACTTGCTCCTTGGTTTCCTTCTGTTTTCCTTTGTGGTTTTCGTGGTTTGATTTGTCATCAGTTGGAGTTTCCGATTTGTTCTCTTCAAGTTGACCCCCTTTCGACTCTTCGCCTGTGTCAATGTCGGGCCCCTTTTCTTTTGGTGCTTTATTGGGTCGCTCGGATGTGGCGTTCTCGTACTTGGGCTTGTCCTCGTCTATTTCTTCTTTAATATTTTCGTTTTCAGATGTTGCCTTACTTGGCTTCACGTCCCCATCTGTGGTTGCCGCTTGAGATTTCGCTTTTTGGAATTTATTGTCCTCAAGCTCATCTCCCTTGGGCTTCTCTTCATGTAGATTAGATTCCTTCAATTTTTCTGCTTCCTCTTCCTCTTCTAGCTTCTTGCTCTTCGCTTCCTCTTCCTCTTCCAGCTTCTTGCTCTTCGCTTCCTCTTCCTCTTCTAGCTTCTTCCTCTTCGCTTCCGCTTCCGCTCTCAACTTTTCGGTTTCCTCCAGAGTCAGACGGCCAGGAATGGCGTCAAGAGGCGAATCCCATTTCGTCCCGAGTACGGGATTTGGGTCCTCGATTCGAACCTGATCATCCAAATGGGAGTCGTATACATTCTTCGGCGGCACAGAGACGGCTTTCGGGGCTTGATTTGCGGTTTCAAACTCGAGCGGTAACTCCTTTTGGATTTCTTGGATTTGGTCTGTTGTCAGAGGCTGTTTGTCGAATGCGACAAAGTAGAGTCCCATAAAGACGAACGTCCCCACCCATATAAGTCGCCAATTCAGAGACTGGATTCTGTTTAAAAGTGTCCGCATGGCTTCGTGGCTTGCTGTTATTTCCATGTAAAGGAATTAATGTAATATTTCAGGAGACGTGGACACTCTGGATTTCGCACTAGTCTCACCCCTTACTTGAGAGGCTGAGAGTGTTGGAATGCTGGCTCTTTTAATTAGGAAAGTGATCAGTCAACATTTTCGACCGAGACAGTATTGACTATTTTGAATTATTGATTAACTTGCGGTTTTCTGAATGTCTTGAAGCTAGGTTTCTAAAAAAAATTCCATAATCTTAATTATATACTTTTTCTTTCGATCGCTTTGAGGCTAATTAACGACCGAGTAGACTACTAAGATGATCTAATTCTCCTCAGTCTACAAGTATAGTTATATGTTATAGATCTCTCGTTATTTCAAAATATATAGCACAAGTTTCTCCCTCCTTTAATTTCCTTGATCGGTTCTTCCCATATACTTTCTTTCACCACAAATCATCTCGAATGGCAATTACGACCGCTCCTACTGCCATCTTTACAATCAAATTCTACAATCACAACAAAGCATATCTTCAAACCAAGGAAGCCTAGTTCCTCACCGCACACCTTTTGGTTCGTCTAAGCCAACCCGATTTCTTGACGTCCAACATGATTTCTAGGTCGTAACAAAAGTAAGGCAGATGCCACCCGAAAGTCCTTGGGAGGCTCCCTGGCTGCTATACGGCCAAAGCCAGCATCGAACTTGTACCACCTAGTGGTTTGCGGAGCGACGAAGCCCGAAAGGGATGGCTTCATATCCGCCAATTTCATGGCGTTTTGTTACTACCTAAGCCAAAAAGGTGCTGGAGGCACTTTTTTGAATTGCTTGAATATCGACAAGGTTTTTGGCGCACTCAGCAACCTTACACCGAGCGTCGACACTATCAATTTTGGTTATGCTGGCGTGATCGCACCCAGCACCAAACCACTCCTCACGTATTCACGTTTTCAACATAGTCATCGGCAACAATGGTGGCGCGATGTCAGACCCCATGACTTGAAGAAAGAGGTGATGACTTGGATTCAAGAAACGGCTCAGAAGGCCAAGCCTGGCGATTCAGTCAATATCATTCTCGAGAGCCACGGTACCGAGTTCAGGGGAGTTCAACTGGGTTCTTATTGGTTGAGTGCCTTGGAATTTTGCGCAGGAAGTGGGCGCTTTTGCTAAAGGTGTGCAAGTAAATGTCATTTCTGGGACATGTTACAGTGGGATATTCAAGGACACCATACAAGCATCCAACCAATCCGATCGCTATATCTCCGTGGCATGCGGTGCAAAGGAGGTAAAATTACGGAACTCCACGCACTATAAGTAATCGCTGCTGTGGTGGAAGTTATGAACTTGCTTGGATCCAGTCATTTGCGAAGTTACGAATTTTCTCAGGGCCACCAACTTCACAAGGACGGCTACCCAACAACGCCTAGGAACATGAAAGGTTCATTGCGGATAATATCCATCGAATATTTCCGCTAACAGCAGGGCCGCAAAACCCAGGCTTCGCCAACAGCCCCGACCTTCTAGAGACCTATTTGGAACACCTAGTCATTCGTGATAAAGTGGACATCTTGGTTGATCCACAAATCACGTCGAGTCGACATCGAATTGAGTGGCCGTGTGAGAATCCGGACTTTCTCCGTATAATTCAAACCGTCAAAACACATACCATCAACCCAAATCCCATGGCCAAACAAAATGCCATCAATTTGTTGGACAAAGAATGTGCAAAATGCGACAGGGATGCAGGCGTGCTATACGATATGGCCATCTTTGATCGATATCGAACCACAAGCAATAAACACATAGCAGACGTGCTAACGAACCTCTATTATCGAAACCGGGTCCAGTACGCTATTATGGACATGTTCCTAATGCATGTCCATCGAGGCTTTCTCAAGCTAGATAGCTGAAAGAAAGATATCAAGTTGAGAGTGTCCACAGAGGGTACCTCCAGGGTCATGTAGCTGTCAATCACTTTCGAAGTCTTGGTGAAGCAAGACGGTTCCATGACGACCCTTCAACTTCAAGAACGGTCCGCTACCTAAACCGTGCAGCGCGCCCATCTTAACTTCTAGCTTGATATTCCTTAACCAATAGTATGGCGATCCAGCCTTCCTGCAAGCAATAGCTAAGCCTTTGACTAACTCACAACGTCGAGATTATATAATAAAAAGCTTGACCTCGCTTTCCCGGCGCACAACAGCTACCAAAAAGCCACTATGATGTAGAGGCTTCGCTCGTAGGATTTGTCGTACTGTACTAGGTGCCATTGGTACAGTATAAGGACGCCGAAGGAGCATCAAGTAGATAAGAGGGTTGCCGACGGTCATGTGATGAGGATAAGGATGTGGGTTTGAAACAACCCCCCCCCCCCCCCCCTGCCGTTTCTAGTGCGTCTCCAACGCGGACTAGTCCTTTGAGATGCAGCGGGGAGTCCAGGGGCGTTACTTGCATTTCTGTCAAGTCTGACAGTCCCGCTGTTTCGACCCCATAAATATATATTCCGCACCACTTATAGACCTTGGATTTGACTACAGTATTACCTCCGTGCAGGACGAGTTCTGAGCTTGACATTGTTACCGAAGATTGGTTTTGCTTTATCCTTCTTATCTTTATCTTATGGATGTAGGATCTTTGCTAGGATGATAGCGAGTCAGACCTATAGAATTTCTGATTATTGATCTCAAGTAGTAGATTTGTCGTAGGACTATTAGACTTAATACAAGTATGTGACCTTTTACTCGAGCTTTCAAGAACTTATTCTGGGCGTAAGATACGGGAGATTATCCTACATTTATTTTGCAGTGAACTGAATTCAATCCACGTACCACCGACGTCCCCTCATTCGATCAGTACTTCGGTTTACTCCGTGATATACTCTAGGTCAGGAACCCGAAGTCCTGGCTGATGGGAAACTAATGTACCTTCAGATATAGTGCGTACAGTAGTCCAACTGTCTCGAGTCGACGGTCAGATGTAGAGGGTTGTATTTGTTCAAGTGAATATTCGGGCCGTAGAATGATTGGTTGATATCACGGTGCGAGCCTTTACCTTTTAGGTAGTAGTGTATGCAGGACGCGCGGGACGTTTATCATGGGCACGATTGCACGAGATACCTGCCCTCGCTGCCCTCCGAGCCTCCGTACGTCTTCTACTAAGGGGAATTACTATGTGACCGGCCTTATAATTTATTTGTAGTCGCGAGATGGTGCTTATGGTGTGCTTATGGTTCTTCTGGTGCTTCTGGTACGAGTTGGTATGAATGGTAATGAATGGTATGAATGAATGGTATGAAAGAGTTACGTACCTCCGTACATACAATACCTGGGGTAAATAGGACAGGTCCATGCCTCAGATCTCAGGCAGAAGATGAGGGCTCTTGGCACGAGTGGTATCAATGGTAGGAAAGACTTACGTATGTATAATACCTGGGGTAAATAGGACAGTTTCATGCCTCAGATCTCAGGCAGAAGATGAGGGGGTGCGGTGGATTCCCAGGTCCCAGTGACTTCGCGTGCCACAATCACCTGCCCCATATGGTCGCCCCTATCCCGGGCCGTGCCCTTATCTTGCGGGGGTCCCCTCCTGCGGCCTAGGCTCGCCAATAGTGCCAAGGGGACGTGAGATTGCGACAGGGAACGACAGGGAACGACAGGGATGCGCATCGAGAACGGAAGGTCATAACATTGGCGGCAGAAGCTTAGATTGTTGATTCGCCCGGGGTCGCCGCGAACGGCTGTTCATGTCACACCACACGCGAATCGCAGCCTACAACTATTATTGGACATGGAAGAAGCTTAGCCTACCTAGGAACTTCTAGAAGCCAAGTCATGGGGAGACCTTATCTTGGGAATCCATACTAAGCTGGATGCATCCTAATCGGCTGTATTATATGAGATCGTCCTCGCGCATATCATCTTGGTATTCCTCTTCTCATACCTTCTCATCCATTGCACAGGGAAACGCGACATCGTCCGTCGACTTTCAACTTCAAACATGAGCGCTCGAGAAAGTCCAAGCCTGGTGGCTGACGAGAAGCATACCAAGTCGGATGGCGTCCACTCGGCTGGTTACGGCGACGGATTGCCTGGCCACCACCAACTCGATGGCGACGACTCAGTCATTATCGACCCCAATCAAGGCAAACTGCACCGAAATCTGAAGGGGAGACATATGCAGATGATTGCCATGTAAGCCTTTTCTGCGATTGATCCTTTGCATTCGCGCCGTTTATAGGCGTCGAGCTTGGAGCTTGGAGCTTCAAATTCAACGCGTGTTCTTAGTCCCAGTTGCACACGATTTCTCAGTATCATATTTGTCCTACGACACACGCTGACTTGGCCTTAGCGGCGGTGCTATTGGTGCAGGTCTCTTCGTCAGTACCGCCAGTGCTTTCCAGACTGGAGGGCCTGGCTCAGTGCTTGTCGGTTTTATTATCATTGGTGAGTGCCGGACAACCAAGCGTCTGTTAACAATTCTAATGGCTTCATATTAGGTTTCATGATGTATGCATCTACAAATTCCTGCCTGTCGCGATGGTATCCTGACCATTATCTTTAGATACCTCATGATGCAAGCGCTTGCCGAACTGGCCGTCCTGTACCCCGTGAATGGAGCCTTTACCATGTACATTTGCAGATTCATTGACCCTTCGTGGGGTTTTGCCTGTGGATGGCAATACGGTATCAGTTGGCTCACTGTACTTCCTTTTGAAATTTCTGCAGCTTGCAATGTAAGAATAAACCCGGTCGTTCATCATCAAAACTAACGCCAGCAAGATCATTCACTTTTGGACCGACGTGGAGAATGTTAATGATGCCGCGTGGATCATACCGTTGCTTGTTGCTCTTACTGCCATCCAGTTCTTTGGAGTGAAAGGTTATGGAGAGGTAATTGATCACTTATGGACGATCAATATTTGTTGCTAATTGGGTCGTAGGTTGAATTTGTTCTCAGTACATTGAAGGTCGTTGCCTGCACTGGTTTCATCCTCCTGGGAATAATCATCGACTGTGGCGGTGTACCAAGCGATAACAGAGGCTACATTGGGGTCAAATACTGGTATGGTTATGATTACCAGATTTTACCAACCCGCACTAACCAAACGGATTAGGCATTCTCCATACAGTGCTTTCCTCAACGGATTTCATGGATTCTGTACCGTCTTTGTCACGGCCTCATTTTCCTTCTCCGGAACCGAACTTACTGGACTCGCTGCTGCCGAGGCCGAAGACCCAGCTAAAGAAGTGCCCAAAGCCACCAGGCAGGTCGTCTGGCGTATCTGCATCTTCTATGTTCTGACTCTCTTCCTCATCGGCCTCATTGTACCCGCAAACAGCCCTCTTTACGATACTGATGGAAGTGAAAGTCGTCATTCACCCTTCGTGATTGCTATCGAACTGGCAGGTATCAAAGCACTCCCTTCAATCTTCAACGCCGTAATTTTGATTTCCGTGATGAGTGTCGCCAACTCGTGCACATTTGGCTCTACCCGAACCTTCCAAGCATTGGCTCAACATGGTAAGCCATTCTACCATATCAAAGAAAAAGTTCATATCTAACAGCTGCAAATAGGTATGGGACCAAAGATCTTCGCCTACGTTGATAAGAAGGGACGTCCTCTTGTCGTTACCCTGCTTCAACTACTCTTCGGCTGTTTGGCGTTTATCAATTTGGATAAAAATGGAGGTGGAAACATCTTCACCTGGCTCCTATCTTTATCCGGTCTCTCTTCCTTCTTTATTTTCGGAAGTGTTGCTGTAGCCCATATCCGCTTCCGTTCCGCCTGGTAAAATACCCCTCCCCCACACAATATCGTTCCCGCTCTAACAACATTTACAGGAAACTCAACGGCCACAGCGTAGACGAACTCCCCTTCAAAGCCCAATTCGGCATCTGGGGTTCCTACGTCTGCGCCGTCCTGAACTTCGTCTGCCTAGCAGCCTCATTCTACGTCGCGCTCTGGCCCGTCGGCGGACCCAACCTCGACCCTACCACCTTCTTCCAAGACTATCTTGCCGGGCCCTTCCTCCTCTTTCTCTACGTCGGCTGGAAGGTTTACTCTTGGATCTTCGTGCCGGAGCACCGCCCGCTCTATGTCAAGATCAAGGATATCGATGTTTACTCGGGCTTGCGTGAGGGACAACTGCAACCGCGCGAGCATGTCGAGAAGCCGAAGAGGTCGCCTTTAGATTGGGCAAAGTCTGTCGTTGGACAAGTATTCTAATAGAAGTAGGCGTGTTAGCACCTCCTAGGGTTTAGGGGGTGAGGGAAGAGGAGGGAGGTGTGCATGCGTAGAAGGTGCGACAAGACAAGACTGTATAGGTAGTGGAATATCAGCATCATATAGACATGCTCTTAAACATCCTCCCAGTAGGATTTCTCAATTGTAAAGTGATAGTGAGATATAACCTTTTTCTTCCGCGTCTATATATCTCTTCTATTAGATGTATTCTGTGATAATTATTTCCGATTATAGGAAAACTTAAAGCTTGATCCTATCTATTTCACTCATAGCTGTATTCTATTTCCAATCAGATAGAGTAGCAAACCAACCTTTTACCACCAAGATGAATTACTTCATAAAAGCTGTAAGTATGTTATAATACCATCCCGGATAATTAAGTATAGTATAACCCCCACGTACTAAACTAGTGTTGTGGGGCTGACACCTCGGGTCATATCACGTGGTTTAGCACGTAACCCTATATCATGTATAGCTAACTAGCCTAGCTTCTTCACTCCTGCTTCCTTTCCTCGAGGCATACATACTTCATACAATTACTTTACCTGCACCTTCCCAAGACCCCTTTTACCCTCTCCCTCTCTTCCTTCTCTCTGCCCCCCTCTACACTACTACCTATCCTATACCAACTGTCAGCATACGAATTACTATATACTCTGTACCCCTCCTACCGTTTCGGGGTGCGGCACAGCACAGCACGGCACGGCATGGTCGGTCTTATAGTTAGCGAGACGCGGTAGGTAGGGTAGCTGACCGACGAGGGTGTGGGTGTAGGTGTGCAGTCCGTCCCGTCCTATCTCTCGCACCTCGGGAAATCTAATCTGGGTACTATACTCACTCTACTCTACTATATGCTGCCTCGGAAGGCATTACGGATAAGTAAACCCCCCGCTAGCTTAGGTGAAAGTGAAAGCGAGATGAAAACGACGGGTTTCTAATAATAGGATATGTCATTCCCTGCTTGCGAGCGATAAATCAATTCATTTCTCCGGAGCCTAGCTAGCTACGGAGTAAGGTGCGAGATCCTCTTATTGTCTATATACCGAGCTGTTAGAGCTAGTAGGTAGGTAGCTACAGTATGGTATTTACTGTATTAGTTGATAAAAAGCGAAAGCGAAGGTGAAAGCGAAAGTTCAAGATGGAGCTTGTATGATTAGAATGCTTGCTTGCTCGAGCTTGCATATAGTGTTATCTTATATATAGTGCAAAAATCCGCATATAATTCTATTAATTCTTTATTTCTTCCTTTCCTTCCTTCTGGGGAATTGGAGTGTCCGGGGTCTGAGAATTTCCGGTGCTAAAAAGGGAGATTCGGATAGATATAAACGGAACGGCTCTTACTGCAAAAGCTCAAGGATACCCAAAAATATTGCTATCTATCTACTAGTAAGTATCAGTCGCTTCTGTCTTTCAATCATTTCGTCTTGCTCGGGGGAAACCGTAAATACTACGGTTTGCTGTTATCTATTACCCCTTAAGGGCGGTTTCTGGTTCAGATGCCAGACGCGCGGGCCAAGTATGGGTCCGGGCGCGAATGATTAAGCAGCATTCGGGTCAGGTCAGGGTCCATTGAAGGCAGAGACCACTTTTCCTTACCCCCCCTACCTTCCAAACACAATTATAATGAGCTTCTTTTCTCATAACGCGGTCCACCAAGTCGTGCTATATCATACCTGTCACTCGTATATCGTTCCCGGGCGTCGAAGTCAAGAGTATCACCTACGGGCAGCACCACGCCGGCTACTAGGCCAAGAGCTGAAGGCGACTCTGGAGTTCTTTAGCACCTATAGTGCGAACGCTCGGGGAGCTGAAGCAGTGTAAGGCTCGAATCGGGGATAAATTTGAAGTGATCATGCACTTGGTAGTATATAATTGGTTCTACTGTCCACAGCCGGACTGTGGGTACCCAGCCCGACATCTTCGGAAAATGCAGAAGCATATGCCCCAGGCGCATCAGACAAAGGCTACTATGCATAAGTCAAGCCCGCTATGGAGGGAGGTTAAGTTTCAGACATATCTCACCGCGTTTGGACGAATCGATTACTTTCAAGTAATAGAGCATCCTTAAGCTAGCGTTACATCTCTAGATTCTTCCCTTAGCTTATTTTTTCCCTCTAGTATTCTTCAAATAGGCTTGCTTATCAATGTCAGATTTGTTGTTAAAGAGTCTTTTCCTTAAGGCTGCTACTATCTGCTCGTCTAGACTAAGTTCTCTCCAAGATGGTTTTGCCGGCTTAGTGTTTATAGTGTGTAGAGTTCTATAGATATAAAAATAACTATATAAAGCAGACACAAGAAAGAAAGATCTTGCAAAGTAGGAGGAGAGTCAGAGAGTTAGGAAAGAAGATAGCAGAAAAGATAGTTAGGAGCAAGAGAAAGAAAGATGCAAAGCGAAACAAGGACCGCCTTAATAGAGTAAAAAGTCTTAGGAAAATGTAATATCCTTACATATAGATATTTTTGCATGCTATATAAAGATAAGCAGACGGGGAGTAGTTCTAGCGGTGACAGATTTTGGATCCCTGGCTGGGCGGAAAGGGGTTAAGACTAGCTCCCTCGTTAAAAGTTAAGTCAACGATTCCTAACAATATAGGTGAGCAGACCTAAGCAGACCTAAGCAGCCCTGAGAAATGCTGAGCCGGCCTAAGCAAAGGTGGCGCAGCTCATGTGAGCCTAGGTGTCGAAATTCCGGTAGGAGAACAACTTCAAGAGCACCGACCGTATTTCCAAGCGAGCTGGTCCAAAACATGATAGATTTTTTGGGGGCGGCTACTGGTCATGTTTGGATGGCTGTATGTGGCAGATACTAGCTAGGATTGTATATAGGGAAGGGGTAGGTAATGCGAGTAATGCGCGGTAGTTACAGGTTTCTTTATTCGTTTATTTAAATCTTGTTCTATGTGCCCAACACAATACAACATGGTATTTCGAGTATTAATTCCTGATCTAATGGTTCATATCTAACTATCCATCTATCACAACGCCATTGGGTATCTATCATTCAAAAACCACGCTTGCTTGCTCCCTTCCTTCCTTCAAATGTCCCACTCCCATTATTCATCCCTCATATATCTTTCAGAAATGTTGCATAGTAACACCAACGCCCTCTTCCATCGCCATCTTAATCAATTCCGTCCCAATGACCAAATCAACGAGTCCGATGCCGATACTTTTATAAATCACATTGCCTTTGGTAAGCCACCGACATAGATCGTCTTTTGCGTTTTGCGACTTGTGGGTTTTCTTGCGCTGCTGCTGTTGCTTGCTGCTGGTGGGTGTACCTTGGATAGGGCTGTGCGAGATGCCGCTACTACTGCGGTGCGAGATAGGAGGCCTATGGTCAGTTGAGGAGCCGGTGCGGTTCGATTGTAGGGAGTCGGAACGTTGAGGCTGTGGGTGTGATTGGGGATGTAGTGAGGAAATGCTGAAATCCGGACGTCGAGGCTGCGAGTTTTCGGAAGAGGTAGCTAGCATGTCTTTCTCCGAGCTTCGTGAGTCCTTTCTCCTGTGAAAGATGGAAGGAAGGTGGTGAGGTCGATGTGACGGGAAGATATGCGACAGACCATGGCGTTCTTCGGGCGGGGAATCTGTCTTGCTGATTGAAGGTGAGAATATGGTTGTCATGGACAGGCCCTCGAATGAAGAGCGTGGTGAAGCCTCATCACTCATCGACGAATTTGAACTTTCCTCGACACTAGGCGCTAGACGCTCTAGCATCACCAGCTCACCCAATTCCACAACTTCCGTCTCGCGCAGCTTCGCCTGCGTCAACTCCCCCGTATTCGTAAGGCAAGCTAGCGTATCAACAATAATCACCCCGCCCTCCTCAGCATGCTTGTGCAGATGATGTCCCGCACCATGTCTCTTAACAGCCTGATGGATAATCTCCTGTGGAATCTCAATCATGCTATCCTTGTAACTCCCCACCGCAACAATCAACCTCCCCTTTTGCCTCCCCTGCGTCTCCGTCAAGATCCTATGATCAAACAGGGGTTCTGTACTCGGCGTCGTACAGTAAATAACATCTGCATCCCTGATCTGCTTGTTAATCATGCGTCGATACTCCTCATAATACGGCGTTAGCAGCGAGAAACTCGTACTTGGCCAGCCCTCGCGCTCGCGCACAAGCGGGTCGTATTTGTAGAAGTTCCTCAGGATGGACATAGCATTTTCGCTGAAATCGCGGTTGATAAAATGCACGTTTTTGATGGTGTGGCCGTGCAAGCACAGTGCGAGACGAACGTGCCAGAAGGCTTGTTTGCCGGTGCCGAAGACGGTTAGGGTTTTCACTTTGCGGCGGTGCAGGAGCAGGAGGGAGCTGGTGAGAGCAGTGCGGAAGGCGGTGAACTCTTGGGCGTTAATTATTCCTATGGGTTCACTTGTGTTGGACATCTGTGAGGAGAGTTAGACATGGCTTCATCAGGTGATTTAAGGAAGGGGGAAGGTGAAGTCGGAATAAATCGGCTCTATGATGAGAATATGACCGGCTCTCCTTTGCTTGGCTTGGCTTGGCTCGTCTTGGCTTACGTACAATCAGAAGAGCACCACGAGGGTTATTTGCTGGACTGGAAACCATCGCCTCCTCAGACTCACGGTCAAGAGTCTCACTGCTGCTGTCCTCGGGAACCGTAACAGTTGCCTGCGTAACAACTAGTGATTTATCAGTATTCGCTCAACCAATCTCGTTTGCTAGAGTTTCATGCGCACTCACCTTTCATCCCAAGATAACTTGAGCTTATAGCAGGCGTAAATCGAGTAGTAGTACCATGAGAACTCTCAACAGATGTTGGCTCTGGCTGGTTGTCGGCCGAACAACCATCTTTGGTCTTGCTGAGGGAATATTCATCCAGAGCTTCCCGGAGTCGCTCCATCATCTGGTGCAGATATTCTTTGCGGAGATCAAGCAGGAGATGCTGGATATTCTTGTTACTTAGAATGGTGAGAGGCATTTTGGTAGTGTGATTCGTGAGTGGTGTGAGTATGGGTATGGTTGAGATTTATTTGGAAAGATTGAAGATGAAGTTCTCATCTTCCTTTGGGGTAATTGTAGGAAGATTGAGTATTCCGAATCTTGTTTGAGTTGAGTTGAAGCTGAGAGGATGTGGACGTGGATGTGGATGCATAAAGGGAGAGAATTGCATTGTATTAACAATACCTTACCTTACCTTTCCTTTACCCCGCCGGATAAAGGTTGTTCCCATTCGATATCGGGACCCTAGACAAGTCAAGTAATATCGCCGATACCGGGTTTAAGGAGTTAAAGAATTGCCAAGTATAAGTTGACTCAGCTGATGGAGTTATAAGAGGGAATGGATGAAGAAATTGAAAATTTTCTATGAATGCAACGATGGCTGCTTGTTGCTTAAGGCGATGCTTAGTATCTTCTCCGAGTCATAAAACTTTCTAAAGTCGTTTTAGCATGAGGATGATAATCTGGAACAAATAAAATGTTTTAACCAAATGCAAGCCAGAAAGAGGCATCAGAAACTAAGAAGAAAGAGAGGCTCAAGATGTGCATATAAAAAGTCTATGTGACATTGCTTGATGTCAATTGATCAGCCGTACCCTGGGGGCTAGGCGGGTAGCGGGGTACCCTCCCCTCCTTACAAGCAGGTATTCAAGCTGTTGCAAAAGTGTAGAAGACTAGCTCGGGGCCACTGGACAAATTGAGAACTCAATCTTGAACAAATCAAAGGAAACGCATAGAACGCAATATCTGAAGTTGATCATTGTCCCATTCCATCTGAATCAAACTTTAGAGCCGCAGATCAATAGCAAATGCATGCAAGAAGCGCGTAAGGATATGCTAACACGACCATAGCAATCTGCCGTGGCTCAATGCCTTCGGCTTCATCACGCCGTCTTTGCAATATGCAGTTGTTGATGGTTCTAAAGTGGAGGCATTGAGAGTACGGTAGTTAAACCCGGCAACACCAAGCTAACTTCAGACTATAACGCTAGAGGCAGGAGATATCGTCACTGCCGCTCTTTACTAGATGAAGTATACTTCATTTCATGTTATTCAATTACAAATCGTACTAGCATCCAGACCCGTTTGATTTATAAATGTCCTTAAACCGCACAGGAAGATTCTTTTCTCTTTGTATCGCATCTTCAACCCGCAAACGTACCCAACTCAAGCCATCTTATTTCCCATTTTGTCAATTGAAAGCCAATATGAGCAGCGCCAGCGCTTCTACTCCCAAGATGGAGTATACGCGACTTGGGAACTCCGGCCTGAAGATATCAAAGGTAATCTTTGGAACCATGAGCATTGGCTCTTCGGATTGGCAAGAGTGGGTTATTGACGAAGCTGCCGCATTGCCCCTCCTCAAGGTTTGTCGCCCCACCATCCCCCAAACCTTTTTACTGATTTTGAACAAAACCAGCACGCATACGATGTAGGACTAAATACATGGGATACCGCAGATACCTACTCGAATGGATTGTCGGAAGTAATCATTGGCAAAGCCCTGAAGAAATACAACATACCCCGAAACAAAGTCGTCATCCTAAGCAAATGCTACTTCGGAGTCGGCGACGTTGGTTCCCAGCCACCTATATCAGCGGTTTCTTCAAACGATGGCGATATGGTTAATCAGGTTGGATTGAGCAGGAAGCATATTCTAGATGCCGTTGATCGAAGTGTCGAGAGATTGGGAACCCATATCGATGTTCTGCAGATTCACAGATTGGATAGGGATACACCGAGAGAGGAGATCATGAGGGCATTGAACGATGTGGTGGAGAGTGGAAAAGTTAGCTATATTGGTGCTTCCAGTGTAAGTGGCGTGGGATGATGTGAACGGAAGAGAAGCTCACTAGGAATAGATGGCTGCTTGGGAGTTCCAGACTCTTCAGAATATTGCAGAGAAGCACGGCTGGCACAAGTTTATATCGATGCAGAACTACTACAATCTGTTGTATAGAGAAGAAGGTATGATATCACCCTCCTTTCCACCCCTCGACCAAATACCCACTAACTTCTCCCAGAACGCGAAATGATCCCCTACTGCCGAGACGCGGGCGTTGGTTTAATCCCATGGTCTCCCATCGCCCGCGGGGCTCTGGCCCGCCCCTTCGACGACCGCTCCACCACGCGCGAGAAGTCGGACAAAATGCTCGACATTCTGATCCGAAGCAAAGAGTCCGAAATCGACAAGCGTGTAATCGGCCGAGTCGAGGAAATTGCCAAGAAAAGAGGGGTTTCTATGACTACCATTGCAACTGCTTGGTGTCTCAGCAAGGACAACGTCAATCCGATTATTGGTCTGAGTAGTATAGCGAGAATTGATCAGGCTGTTGAGAGTGTGCAGTTTGCTAAGTCGGGGAAGTTGACGAAGGAGGATATTAAGTATCTTGAGGAGGGGTATGCACCTAAGGAGAGACAGGGGTATTGAGCTAAGGCTGTTGCTGTTAGATAAGCAGCAGCTAAAAACAAAAAGAGACATTTCCAGCATTAATCTACCGGTTTGAGAACTAATTATAAAAGTACTAGTAACTTAAGAAGTAAGCTTATAGGCCTGGAAGTATATCCAGCTATTAGGCTCAGCGCGTTCAAGAATGATAACAAGAAGCAGACGAAGTTTGAGGCCATCGCTTATACCTTCCCTTTTCGGCCTACCGTCTACTTGAACCACCATCAAAGCAGTGTACCCAGCGGCGACCCAATGTTATAACAGAAATAGCTAAGCCATTAGACTGTATGCTCTCTTGCTCTAGAGTCTTGAGTAGTTGGACGACCCCATTGCTAATGGTATCTTTATACGTTTTGGAGCATCTAACAGGCCAATTGTTCAAAGTGGGGTGCTTACGAAATTCTCTTCTTCCTTAATTCCTAGTATTTCCTTGAGAGTTTTCTGCTCGTGCCTTGGGATCTCTTCCTTGTTCTCAGTTAGGAATCTCCGAATCTTCCTACGTCGAAGCTAGCCAGGCTTCCCGTTGAATTATGTTGTTCATCAGCATTCCAGCCCTGGGCTTTATCGCCCTCTCTTTGTTCATTGCCTACAGATTCATATTATATCCTGCCTTCTTGTCGCCACTTTCGAGCATACCGAACGCACATTGGACCTCTCCATTCACTCCTCTCTGGATTCTCTGGACCCGTTATCGCTGCTTCGAAAACCGCTCTGTCCATGCTGCTCACCTCAAGTATGGCTCCGTCATTCGACTTGCTCCAAATGAGCTTAGTATAAATGACGTGGATGGGTTGAGAACTGTCTATGCTGGAGGATTTGAAAAGGGCGAATGGTATTCAATCTTTGACAACTATGGGTATAACAACATAAATGCCCCTTGCGATTAGTTGAGATGCTGACGCCTTAGGAGTGTTCCATGCATGTTCTCAGCTTTGCATTCGCGCCCACATTCTGCTCGAAAGCGCATGATATCAAATGTCTATTCAAAATCGGTTCTGCACAGCTCTCCTGCTCTTGCCAGACAAGCTCAAGTCATACTTTACGACCGTCTGCTCCCTATCTTAACGTTACCTTCTGCTTCAAATGCTTCTGCTGGCATTGATATACACCAAATTTGGAATTCAACTACCATGGACTTCATCACCGCCTACCAGTTTGGCCTGAAAAATGGGAGCAATTTTCTTCAAAATGAAGCTGAACGTCGACGTTGGTTTTCGTTATACCACAGTCGCAAAACCTATACGTTCTTCAACCAAGAACTCCCTCGCTTGACCAAGTTCTTCAAACTTCTTGGCATTCATCTTTGTCCCACGTGGTCGATGAAGCAAATATAGAATTAGAGGCTTGGTGCCAAAAATGCTGTAATGCTGCAACGGATTATATGAACCAGACTAGCAAAGACGCAGATGTCGGCAACCAGCCCGTGGTGATGGAAGCCATGCTCGCTGGGATTGCGAAAGAAAGCAAAACCAAGGGCCACGAGTCTGTGCTCAATAGCACGACTCTTCAATACCAAGATCTCAGTATCGCGTCTGAGATGATTGATCATTTGGCTGCTGGCCACGAGACATCCGGCATTACCCTCACCTACATCTCATGGAATCTCTCCCGCGATCTCGCGCTTCAGGATAAGCTGCGAAGAGAACTCCTTGCACTTTCTCCCAAGACGTCACTCTCTTCGCCAGCCTCCGAGAAAAGTCTTTCCAGCCCAAAAGATCTCGATTCCCTCCCTGTATTGCACGCGGTCATCATGGAAACTCTGCGTCTCCACGCCGCGATTCCGGGTAGCCAGCCGAGAATGACACCTTATCCTTCTTGTACTCTGGGGCCATATACGAATATCCCTGGTGGTGTCCGGGTTCAAGCACAAGGACACAGTGTTCATCGCAATGCCGAAGTGTATCCCGAGCCTGAGAAATGGGATTACATGCGCTGGCTGGACGATGAGAATGGATATACCGAAGACCAGAGAAAGGAGAGGGACCGATGCTTTTGGGCTTTCAGTAGTGGTGGGAGGATGTGTGTTGGCAATAACTTTGCTATGCATGGTAAGAGTTCTCCAGATACCAATGTTCCCTTTCTTTTCATCCATGGGATGAATTACCCAGAACTTCTGAGACATGATAGCTCATCTCACTTGCCTAAAATATCGGGTCATCTGGTAGTTCGGACCCTCGAGACAAAGGCAGTTTGGAACAATTCCAACGCTTTTTTTTAAAAAAAGTGATATACATAGATGCTAACTAAAAACCTAGAAATCAAACTGGTTATTGCAGCTGTATACTCGAACTTCAGGACCCATATCGTAAACGATGATGGTATCGAGCAAACTGATGGATACACCGTTGGCCCCGCTAGCAACCAGCTGATATTGAGATTTGAGAAGGTTTAGGTTCTTAAATATAGTTGAATAGACATGGTGAATCGTTGAAGAACTGATGTTGAGATGGAATATAAAGACATAAAGATGTGTGGATCCTAATCTTACTACTAGTCTAAGTCAACTGTTAATCCTTAATACTGGGTTACTTCTATCCTCATTCCCAGACTTTGAAATGCTCTTTGAAGTTTCAGATCCGCGGGTATGGAAGAACTTGTAACGTCATTTTTATCCCCATTGTAAGATAAGATCTATAAGGCGTTATATCTCACCTAATAGAAGATCGTTTCAAGCTCCAGGAAAGGCCAAAGCAAGTGATAATCTGGGTCTGGCGTTCCCTGACAACATTCAATGTAGAATGTGGTTGTTCAACCCGACTCTTCTCAGCACCGTCGGCCCCATTGTCCAGACTCCAGTTGGCCCCCAAGCAGTAGCCACCCGCATCCAGCCCGCCAACCTCCTCCTCAATACGGAGACACAGTCTAGTTCCAATAAAGCTTCTATTGACACCAGAAAGTATGCCAGCAACTCGCCTCTTCGTTCCGAGGGGCTTCCGGAAGTCCAAGAAAGGCACTCCACAAATTGCATATTCGTACCAAGACTGCTATTCGGGGCTGTTTACAACACGAAGAAGCTGCACAACAATCTAGCTGTTCGCCAGCTTCCGACCTTCGGCAGAAAAGTCCATGTCCAATCGGCTGTTCGTGCCCCCATTGCTCGCCCAATTGTACTCTACCACTGCCGGTCCCAATGGCATTGCCAGCGCCGTTTCTAACGCCACGGACAGACAAAGAGTCCAAACGGTATATTCTCAAATGCGCGAGCCCTTGAATATTCGGTTGGAAAGCCAAGCTAACACTCGTCAGAACCCTGTTGCAGTTCAGAAGCCCCTCTCCACCTCCGACGAGCAGCACATGTCCGACATGCGTGCGACCCATCCATCCCAAGCAGCTCTCGCACTGCATGGCCAGTGAAGGAAACCCCGACGAGGAGGGAATGGTGCACAGCTTTGAGGGTGGTCATAACAGCGACGCATACCATGACTTCAACAAGAAATATGATGACCAAGAAAAGACCCTGACGAGAGTGATGATGAGGGCGCTGGGTATCAGCCCAACTCGCCTTTCAACCACCTTCTTGACAGTACCTCCATTAACTTGAAGTGGTGCATGACCCCCGCGATGAGCTCTGAGCGCCAGGTCTTTCTCGGTAATGTTTTCAAGACTGGTTAGACGTCTCTTCCTGCCCACCACGTAGGAAGCACAGGAAGATGTTATCAACCTGGCTGATAGTACGCAAGTTCTGAACTGGATGTTCTGGAAAGTTTCTGCCGCGTTTGATCGCTCTGTATACATATGGTATACGGATAACTGGTTCTCCTGCGGCGTTCGTCAATTTGGGGTCGCTACAGTGGGTTGATTTGTACCATGTTTACCTATGACAGAAGAAAATTTGTTCAGACATGTTTAAGTACTGGGCAAAGCGCAATGAACAAGTTTCTTTGCATCTGACAGCCTATAAATATGACTTCATACCTGTCAAGACTTTTGAGCTGGTATGTGGAGTAACAGCCTTATAATGAAGTCCTGAAAACGAATAGGTCTACTTGGCGGGATAACACCATCCACGACTTGAAGTTTTCTTACTCTATCCTTTTACAGAACGTGATATGAACGAGAAAGTCACACTTACACCAAGTCACGAGTGCTTGTCAAATCATCCCATCCACTGGGACAGAAATACTGTAGGATCTTTCTTTATTGCCCATGTCAAGTCTGTAGGTATCCGTAGGAAAAAAGGTAAAGTAACAAACGCCAAACCCGAGTCTTCTTCGCATCGGAAGAGTCCGACTCTCCAGGTATCCCTAAACCCCAAGCTTCAATCCCAGCATCTATACGCTCATACGCAGCAATCTATCCATCCCATCCCATCCCAATCAATCAACAAACCCCCATCAAGTATACGCATATCACCGGATAGCCATACTAGCGCCCCCACCCACAAAAACAAGCTCCCCATGATTTCCCTTGACAAGCTCCCCCTCCACTTCCGCCGTTTGATGCACACCCTTGCCCTCTCCATTCCCGAACCCGAGATCCCGGATCTTGCCTATGCCAATATCATACAACACGCCATGGATCTTCAAGCCGCGCTCTCGCACCGCCTCCTCGACAACCCACGTACTCATCAAGACCTCCACGCCCCTCTGCACATTCAACACCGCCAGTCTGCCCGCGCGCTCCTTCTCATCCACGATAGCCTTCAGCTCCTCTTCGTTGGCCGCGCGCACGGCTTTCAACGGCGTGAGCCATGCGTCCAACACCCCGCCGATCCGCGAGTCTGATAGCGCGCCCAGGCACCCGCCGCACCCCGTGTGGCCGCAGAGCACGATGTGCTGGACTTTGATGTGCGAGACGGCGTATTCGATCACGGAGAGGAAGGAGAGGTCGGTGGGGGATAGGATGTTGGCTATGTTGCGGTGCGTGAAGACGTCGCCGGGCTGTAGGCCGAGGAGAGTGGTTTCGGGAACGCGGGAGTCAGAGCAGCCGAGCCAGACTGAGTCGGGTGTCAGAGAAGGGAAGGGAAGGGCAAGTGAAGGGAAGGTGAAAGTGAAGGGAGAATTTTTGCTGGGGTTGATTGATTTGTTGAGGGGGAGGGGGACGTACGGATACTAGGTGATTGCCCCTCGGCGAGCTTTGGGAAGAAGGTTGGGTTCTGATGGCCTTTGTAATTTGCCCATGCATCGTTCGATTTCAGCGCATATTCGAAAGGATCTGTATATCATGAGCCTCGCTCGTGGGTCTCATTCGTCCCCATCCCGTCATCCAACCCCAGTGACTCGATCAAGCACGTACCTTGTTGCGAACTCATTATGTCTCGTCTCTCTCTCTCTCTCTCGTAAAAGCAGTCTCAAAAATAAAATACAATCAAGGGAAAGAATTCCAACGTCTGTCTGGTCGTATCTGTCCCGCTCAAAGGGAGGGGATATAATGTAAAAGCAGAGTTGAGTGACGTTGGGTGGTAGGTAGGTAGAATATGGAAACAAAGAAGAAGCTCGGTTGTAGGCTGCCCTAATTTAGATACTCCGGTCCGGGTACGGACTTTCCTTTTCTAATCGAATTCACTGATTTGGCGGGATGACTTGGATTTTGTTGAACCGAGTACGGGAGGAGACAAGGCGATAACGATAAGCCAATGAGAGGGGTCAATTGCTGCACACTACTCCCGTTTGTGCGCAAATGCCAGACTGACTTTTCTCTCGGTTGGCTGGCTCGCTGGGCTGGCTTGGTGCAAAGATGATCTGAGGGATTATGTCCAAGTAGGTACAGTAGGCAACGTACGATGCACAAGAAGGAATATACTCAAGGTGGGGAAGGCGGGGAGAAGGAAGAGGAGAGAGAGGAGGGAGAGAAGGAAGAGGAGGGGAGGAGACGCATGTAAGAAGTGCGGTCAAGAAAGAAAGTGCTTCCACTGTGCGGCGTCTTCCGCCAAGTCAAGTCACCTCTTGAATATGATACTCTCGTTATGTGGTTTGCTGGCTTGGCTGTCTGGCTGTCTGGCTTGGTGCCGAGCTTTGCCATGACGTTGCGTGAATATGGTGACCCGTGGCGAGACACGGTTAGATCTGGTCCAAGATCCAAAATCATGAAATCTTCGCTGAATTCCGATAATACTCCGCTTCGGGCTTTTCCGCGGTCTATGTGCAGAGTAATCGAAAGGTAGTATTGATATGAAGATACAAGTTGTCAGTTGTAAGTGTTGAGGCTCTTAGAAACAATCAAGGTCCTAGACGTCGATCCAACACCCCCTCGTGTTATGTGGGTAGGCTTGGCTTTACTCCCCCTTAATAAACAGCATTTGTGGGTCAAATCCCTATAATATGTAGAAATCTATAGAACTGAATGGCTAGAGCCCTTGCTGGTAGCCCGTGCTAGCCCTGAAGCGTACTTGTAAGGTCCTTGTAAGGTCCCACTAAGCCCATAGACGTAGTGATATCATTAGCTTAGCCCTTGTATTTACGGTAGAGAAACCCACAAATGCTCTTTTTTAAGGGGGAGGGGGAGAGTATATGGGTTCTAAGTAAGCATCCCGCGCGGGTTTGAAGCGAGTTCCAGGAGTTGGCGTCGGCGTGCTTGACTTTACTGAGACTGGAGAAGTGGGATGAGATGGGGTTTTGAACCATCAAAGCCTTCGCCTCTCATTGTAGAAATAGATCGTCCGTCTTGCTTGAGGAGGCTTGTCAGTACTCATATCACTTGCTGGAACTAAAGTACAATATCATGCGCTTGAATTTTTTGCATTCCTAGCTAAAAGATCCGCAATCCCATGCCATGATATCATAAACGCCAGCAGACCCTTTTCATTAAAACATCTAGATCTTAATGGCAGCATCAAGAGCCTTGCGCTTCTTCTCAGTGCGGGCATTGGCCTTGGCACCCATGATACCACCACCCCAGTGTCTCTTGGCCTCCTCGTACTTCTCAGAGTAACCCTCCTTGATGGCCTGAACCAACTTGGACAACTCAGTCTTATCCTCTGATCGGACCTCAGTCAAAGCAATAACAGCAGCGGTCTTCTTGTGGACGACCGTGCCGAGTCTGGCCTTGCCCTTGATGATGGCGTATGGGACACCCATCTTCTTGCAGAGCGCAGGGAGGAAGATGACCAACTCAATGGGGTCGACATCGTTGGGGATGAGGACGAGAGCAGCCTTCTTGTTCTCGACCAGGCCGACGACGTGGTTGAGACCGTACTTGGCGGCGTATGGCTTCTTGCTCACATCCTCCTTCTTCTTACCCTCCTTGATGGCGGTGGCCTCCTTCAACAAACGCTCCTTCTTCTCAGCCTTGGCCTCTGGGCGGTACTTGTTGAACAGCTTGAAAGCTTGGGCGGCGGTGTTGCGGTCGAGAACGTTCTGGAATTGGGCAATCGCAGGTGGGACCTTCAGGCGCAGGTTGAGGATCTTCTTTTGGCGTTGGAGGCGGACATACTCGGGCCACTTCACCATACGCGAGAGGTTGCGGTGGGGTTGGATGTCCTGACCGATGCCGAAGTTACGGGTGCGCTTCTCGATGAGAGGGTTCTTGTACCATTTAGCAATCATTCAAGGATGCATGGGGATGAACGTACCTTTGGGGCCTTTTTCGATCCTGCACCAGCCTTGGACTGGGGGAACGGGGCAGGCGCTGCCTTCTTTCCGGCTTTTGGAGGCTGTCATTGAGAAAAGAAGACATCAGCGAATATGTTCACTAATAGTCTTCTTTGAACTCTAAAGAGACTACACTGGCATTGCTGCACAGATGTAGCTCAAGCCAATTCATCATCAACGCCCGGAGGCAGTCAATGGAAAGCGCATCTCGACGTGCGATTAGTCGTAGAGGTACGAGAGCGGCGGCGAGTTGTATCACAACATGTTTAGGTAGAGAATCAATTAGAGCTTACCATGATGTCGAGTTGCTGGGTTGGTGATGCAACGATTTGTCGAAGGAGTTGGCGATGGAGTTTGGAAAAAAACTTCGTATTGCGAGAAGATTATGTGCGAGCTGGAGAATCTTGGCGCTCGCTTACTGGCGTGCATTTCACGTGCACTGAACTGACAAAGAAGCTATTATAGTATCACGTGATATGGTGGGGTCACTTTTTCCGACCTCGAAATATTCATGACTCTGCATATGATTTAAGAAAAGAGAAAGTATCCAGCTTCACTTTTTCAAAATGGCACCAGCACTCTGTGCCATATGCAACGATTCCAGAGCCCTTATCATCCGTCCAAAGAACCACCAAAAACTCTGCAAGGCCTGCTTCGTCGCCATCTTCGAAGCTGAAATCCACCACACAATAACCACCACTTCCCTCTTCTCCCCAGGCGATCGGATAGCAATCGGCGCATCCGGCGGTAAAGACTCCACTGTCCTCGCATCTGTTCTCAAGACCCTAAATGAGCGATACAACTACGGTCTAGATCTTGTGTTACTCAGTATTGATGAAGGTATCAAGGGATATAGAGATGATTCTCTGGAGACGGTCAAGAGGAATGCGGTGCAGTACGATATGCCGCTGAAGATTGTGGGATACGATGAATTGTATGGCTGGACTATGGATCAGGTTGTCGAGGCTATTGGCAAGAAGTCGAATTGCACATATTGCGGGGTATTTCGGCGGCAGGCGCTAGATCGAGGGGCGAAGATGTTGGGAATCAAGCATGTGGTTACTGGGCATAATGCAGATGATGTGGCGGAGACTATTTTGATGAATCTATTGAGAGGAGATCTGCCACGTCTGGCGAGGAGCACGAATATTGTGACGGGCGACGAGTCGAGTGAGGTTCGAAGGAGCAAGCCATTAAAATACGCATATGAGAAGGAGATCGTTCTTTATGCGCATCACAAGAAGCTGGATTATTTCACCACAGAATGTTTATACAGTCCGGAGGCCTTCAGAGGGAGTGCGAGAAGTTTGATCAAGAATCTAGAAAGGGTACGTCCGAGTGCTATTCTGGATGTCGTACGAAGTGGGGAGGATATGGCAAAGTTGGTGCCAGAGCAGGTCACTGGAATCAGCCAATGCAAGAGCCAGAAAGTTTCGTTGTCAAGTGCTGATGGCGAAGAAGAAGGCGCTGGCGGCTGCGGTACGAATGGAAGGGATAGTGGTGGGGAAATGGCTGATATGGAGAAGAAGTTGAAGGAAGACGAGAAGGCATCTTCTCGGGAGGTTGATATCACATCAGCGGTCTCGAGTCAAACGAGCGGTCAACGGCATGATAGAATACCCATCAAACCAGAGTCAGGGAAAACTAGAAAGCAAGAATCCAGCCGAAAGCTCACGCGGCAGACCCTAGGCACGTGCAAGAAGTGCGGATACATGTCAAGCCAAGAAGTCTGCAAAGCATGCGTGCTTCTCGAAGGATTGAACAAGAATCGACCCATGATAGAGATAGAGGTGGATGCCGCGGATGAGGAAAGTTCGACGCTGCGGAGGAACATGGAAGGACTAGCTCTCGCAGCCGGGTAGTAGACCCAAATAAGTAACAAGTGATCTTTGAATAGTGGCCTTGAGTGTGAGGCATTCGATACCAAGTGGCTTACTGTGAAATTTCGTTTTGCTTTGCATGCTGTGACCAGACCATGTAGTTGTGGCGGCCTTGCGAAGCCGGGTTTGGAACGGTGATGGTATATCTATTGTGCGCCACTTCTAGTTCATTCCTGTGCAAGTCTTGTTCGGAGAATCCTTGCGTGCAATTAAGTCGTGTGCAACTAAGTCAAACCACATTTCACCTGCCTTGCTATTGTATGATATGCATGCTATGTTGTGCATTTGCAAGGTTTCCCGATACAATCGCGCGGCTTTAGGTTGATCTACAAACACGAGACTAATTGTCGCTCTAAAGTAGATATAGGCCGAAGTTGACCATCTCTCGCTCATTCCTGAATTGATATAGCTGCTCATCTAAGTAGATCAAGCGTAGCAGAAGTGAAGTACCTTATTTAGTTCACCACTCATAACCCAATAAGAACCACGACACAAGAGTGTCCAAGAAGAGTTATATTGCCAATTTCTCGTTATGTTATCCCACCAACTATAACTTTGTAATTGAGATCGAGACAACCCTACTTTCATATCCAAATCGCAAAGCATTCAATCCAAAACTACCTTTTCCAAAAAGCTCCCAACACCATCCATCCCAAACCCACCAACCACATCGCAGTCCCATGCCAAATTATCTCGCCGCCCCAGCACCAATAAGCTTCGCATAGTCCTCCGCCAAAACCTCCACCGACCTCCCCTCCGCCACATTCCCCGCCTTCGTATTAAGATTAACACCTTTCTGCAACGCAGCGCGGGCTTTGTCGCTCCAGTATTTCTCTACATCAAAGCCACCATCTCCGCGAATCTGCACAAAGTGGAAATACGATTAGCACAAATCTAGCATGGAAAGAAAGAAGCTGGGTGGGGGTTGTGTACTTGACCAATGGCAGCAACGAATTGAACCGTCTTGCGGTCGGCGGGCAAGGCTTTCTCGGTGCAGAGGCGCGCCCAGCGCCCTTCCATGAGCGGGCGGTCAATGACTTTGCTGTTGAGGGAGTCCATTTGTACGCAGAAGCCCTTGTACTTGAGCACATTGGCTAGGCTGCGGAAGTCTGCTTTGTACTGTGGGAGCTTTAGCTCTTTGCTGTGCGCGGGTTGTTGTGGTGGTGCCATTGTGTATATCTTGTCGTTGATTTTGATGTTGGTTTGCGTTTATGGAATTGCTTGGGAAGTTGCTCGAGGAGTCGCTTTGGAGATGGAGGGGAGGGAGGTGGCTTCACGGTGAATTTTACAAAGTCGGTTTTTCGATCGATGACTCGTTTCATACCACCGTGCAGCATTGATGGAATTCACATAGTTCATATTCATATTTCATGGAAGGGTTGTTTCCATGCCTATTCACTTCTATTGCTACCATTCTGAGATACAAAGTATCCACCCAATTCCCGTCACTCTAGTTACTCCTAATGTCTTGGCGTCACGAGGACTTCTCTGATCCGCATTCGAGCCGCATGCTCGTCTCTAGCTCTCTAGCTCTAATACCTGTCCGGAACCCGTATTCGTCTAGGTCAGCGCCATCAATCGTCTTGCCTCAATCTTCTCTGTTGGCTTTTATCATATCAGTGACCGATCGCTCGCTCGCTACAAAATACTAAACTGACTGACGTTGATATTGAGCTCAACCCCTGCTTGCAATGCCTTCTCTGCTTTGCCCAACCAGTATTCTCTGGCGTCGAAAGGTCGGAATCCATTGTATCCATTTGTCTGTGAATCTTTCTGTAATTGAGAGTACAGACAGAAATGTGGAGCAATGCTTAACCTACCCAGCCAGAAAGATCATCCAACTCATCCTGCATCCTCTCTACACTCCAGCCAAACCCCTCTCCATGTGCTGCGATCTTATGATAACACAGTATGCGCCACAGCTTGTCCATAGTAGGCCGGTCCACAAACTTGTCCCCGTTGGCAGCATCTACTCGCGCGCAGAAATCTTCATACTGCATGGAGTCGTAGATCTCGTTGTAGTCTTCTGGCACCTGGGAAAACTTCACGCTGGCCTGAAGAATCAGGTTGAGATGTAGTTGCACCATTTGGTCCGCTATCTCCTTATATTCCATCGGCTGGGTCATTGCCATTTCACCGGTCGACATGATGGATCCCGTGGGGGCTCAATGCTGCAATGGATCTATTTATACAATACTTGATATTGAGGACTTGTGGGAGAAAGTTGCGGAGATCAGCCTTGGGTGATGGGAATGTCTCACAATTACTCAGTAGAGTAAGTTAAGCGGCATCGAATATTAAATATTGAATGGCTTGTTGTCCGGAACGGCTTTTTGCATTCATTCCTCGTTTAGTAAAGACCTGTAGTGTGGCCTCTCTTCATCGCAACCCGCCATAGCTTGGTCAATTTGCTGCTGCTCTACCTAAGGTACTTTTAAAAGCCATACCGTTGCATGTATAACTAACCTACTTGCCAACTTTTATTCATCGTCGTTGGACTTCTATACACACCTAGCGCTTGCTTTTTGCTTCGGATACCAAGGTAAAATAGTTAGTTACCTTCTCGTACTTGACATGTGCCTCTATTACGTAACCGTCGTTGTACGGCACTGCTATTCTACAATCAGTCTTATTGTCGAGTTCAAATGTAGTAATCGGTCACTAGCGGTAGTAAGGGGGGAGGGGACTTTCGCTTAACTCTAGCGCGGGACAACAACGATAATAGCAATAGATGATAACAATATATCTCATTCCATATGTACCTAGCTAGATTCTTTATAATAAAACCACCCCACCCGAGGTGTTTGCTCTCATCAGATTAACGAGACGAGGATTCCTAATAAATTAATGCTAAAAAGAAGAGTATATATAAAGCAAGGAAGGAAGAAAAATACACCCCACCCCCATTTCCTTTAATATCCTACTACTCCTGCTTTCCGCGTTGACACAAGCCACAAATTGGAGAATCCTAAGGAGGGTGATAATACGGATACGCTTGTATATAGGAGTATATTATATAATGTTGCAAGTGCCAGCTTTTTGCACTTAAAAGAAGAGTTGTAGATAATAAGACAAGTAGGGAAAGGTTGATAGGGTACCTAAAGTAGGGGTTTTAAGCGTAAGGTAGGTAGGTATACTACGGAACAGAATTGTAATACATGATATGCGCTAAAGCCAATGATCAAGAACCCAAAGATAAAGAATGAGAAGCATGATTAGTTGATTGTATTTTTGTATAGATGCCATAGCTTTCATACGGCTTCTAACCACGCGTGTCCCAGGCTCTGTTCCGTAACCTAGTATATATCCAAAAGAAAACTAAAATCAAGGCAAGACAACACCCTCATCCCTCCTCATAGCTCTATTACTATCCGCCTCTATCCTACGCATCCTCACACCATGCCCCCGTCCAAACATCCCCAGCATAAGCGGCAGTGGCACCACGACCATTGCCATGACGGTCTGGAAAATAAGCGCCCGGTACATATTCCCCGGCGGGTATCTCGTACCATCATCCGCCGTCCCGTCATCCTTCCCCCCATCTCTCAACGCATCCGAAACAACAATAAAAATACCCCCCAGAAGCTGGCCACCCGACCAGCAGATCGTGCTCGTGACTTCGGGCGAAACAGGATGCGTGATCTCAATCATGTACTCGAGAACCACTGGCACTAAACTGAAAGACGCCGCGCCGAGGATCGCAAGAATGGCAAAAACGGCGCCCAAACTCCTTGTTTGGGGAGCCCAGGTGAAGGCTAGATAACAGAGGGCGATGATCGGTACTTGGACCTTGATAGCTATCAGATAGCTCTTCGTGCGGTCGATGATGGGAGATGTGATGGCGGAGGTTACGAGACCGACGACGATAAGTATGCCGCCTGCGATGCCGGCGTCGGTTTCGGAGAAGGAGTAAGGCTCGAGCATTTGGTTTATGAGCGAGGAGATGCTGTTGAAGAGACCGACGTAGAAGGTGAAGGGGATCATGATCATGTAGAATTCGGGCGAGGAGAAGAGGAAGCGCAGGGAGGGGAGGAGAGGTTGTTTAGCTTCGTGGCCGGATGCTGAGGAGGGGGTTGGGGGGTGG